TTTAATTAATTATTATTATATATTATTTAGAATATTAGTATTTTTAACGCCTTTTTAATATAAATTAGCTTATTAGGTTTACTAGCTAGGAATTAGTTGTAATTATTATATTTCCTTGTTTTAAAAATAATTTATAAAGTATAGCTTAAAATATATAAATACTTTTTTTTAAAAAAAAAAGCTTATATATTATTACTTTTTTATTTAATTAGTTAGTTATTTAAAATAAGCTTATAATTATTTTAAAATACTATTATATAAAGTAAAGCTATTAAGTTTAATATTACTTTTAAGTAAAATTAAAATATTAATAATATTAATAATATTTTTAATTTGTTATAAAAATTATTTATTTTAAAATATTTTAAATTAAATTATTATACTAATTAATTTTAAATTTATTTAAAAATTAATTTAAAAAGCTTTTTTACTAATTATTTTAGTTTAATATATTAAAAATAGTAATAAAATATATTATTATTATTATTACTTTAATATATTAAATTAAAAATAATAAAATTAATATATAATATTATTTAAAGTTTATATAAAATATTTAAATAAAAATAATTAATTATTAAAAAGCTATATTATATTAAGATTACTGATTTAATAATAAATATATTTTAAATATATTATAAAATACTTTTATTTAATAAAAAAACTTTAAATTATATTTTTAAAGTGATTAAGAAATTAATAATACTTATTATTATAAAATAAAGCTATTAATATTAATAAGTAAAAATAATATAATAAATCTTTTAAATTTATAAAACTATATTTTTTTATATATTATAAAAAGGTTTTTTTATACTATTTAAATTATTTATTATTTTAATTTTAATTTTTTTTAAAAATATAAGAATATTAAAAAAAGTATTCATTTATAAAAATATATGTAAATTTTAATTTATATATTTTTTACTAAATAATTATAAAAATATATAATATTATATTATACTAGTAAAACTAAATAGTTTATTTTTATAAAAAAGAGTTTTTATTATTTATAAAATTTAAAATTATAATAATATTATTATTAATTAATTTATTATATTTATATTAAATTAAAATTTTATAATTAATATTAAAAGTTTATAATTAAAAAATATTATAATAATAGTATTATAATTATAATAATAAAATTTAAATATTTATAAAAAGGTTAAACTAAAAAAGTTTTAAAATAATATATATTAAAAAATCTAAATATATTAAAATTATTTATAATGCTTTTAAGTAGTAAATACTTTATATTATTAATTAAATTTTTTTTACTTTTATTTTTAAAAAAGTAAGTTATATTTATATAAAAACTATTAAAAAAATAGTAATACTATAAAAAAGAATTAATATTCCTTTTATATATTAAAAATAAAAATAAGTTATAAATTTAATTTTTAAAAAATACTAATTTTATTTAAAAAAAATAAAAATAAAAATACTTTTAAAATAAAATATAAATATTTAATTAATAATAATTTATATAAGTATTTTTAATTTATAATATTGTATTTAAATAATATTTTAATTATTTAAATCCTTTTTAAATAAATATAAATAAAAAGATAAAAAAAACTTAACTTTTTAAAATATATAATATAATTAAAAAAGTTTTAATATTAAATTAGTTAATATTTATAATATTAAAAAACTTTTAAAAATTTAAATTATATTATCTTTTATTAATAATTTATTAAAACTTATAAAAAATATTTAAAACTTTTTATAAGCTTTATTTAAAGTATTATTATTTATTTTATAAAAATAAAATAAAATAATTAAAGTTTTAATAAAATTAATTTAATAACTTATTAAAAAAAGAATTTAATATTAAAAACTTTAATAAAGAAAAAACTTAAAATAAAAATATATAAATATATTATTATATTTTTTATAAAATTTTAAATTTTTTTAATTTAAATACTAAATATATAATTTATAAGTAATAATAATAATTAATATATTTAAATAAAATAAAAATAATACTTTTTATTATTTTAACTTATTTTATTATTTTTAAAAAACTTTATAAATAATAAATTAAATAAATAAAGATTTTTTATAATAAAATATTAAAATATTTAATTTAAAAAGATTAAATAATAAATTAATAAATATTTTTAATAAAAAGTTAATTTTTTAATAAATAATATTTTTATAAAGTATTAATATATAAATAGTATAATTATTATATATTTTAAAATAAATATAAAACTTAAATAACTTTAATTTTATTATTAAACTTTTTAATTAATAAAATTAATAATTAATATAATAAATATTAATATAAAGTTTATAAACTATTTAAATAATCTTTTTTTTAAATTTATAATATAAAAGTATATTAATATTTTAAAATAAATAATAATTATTATATAAAATATTAATAAATAATTTTAAAATATATTTTAGTATTTTAAGTTTTAATTAATAAATTATTTATTTATTTAATTAAAAATATTAATTTAAAAAAATTATAATATTAAATTTATTAAAATTAGCTATAATACGGTTTTTATAATATTTAGTTTAATTATTATTATTATTATTTTAAAAAAAGTAATTAAAAACTTATATTAAAATTTTTAAATTATTATAATATTAATTTTATTTTTTTATTATTTTATATATTTTATTTTAAATAATTAATAATTAAATTTAAATTATAATATTTTATATATAATTATTTTAATTTTTTATTAAATAAATTTTAAAAAAGATTTAAGTTAAGTTAAATATAAATTATATTTTAAATTATATTAGTTAATTTATTATTTAAATAAAATTAATAATATATTTAAATTATAAAATAATATTTTTATTTTTAAGTATTAAAAGAAAATTAATTTTTTAATAAAAGAAAATAGTATTTATATTTTAAATAATTAATTATATAATAAAAAGTAAGTTAATTTAATTAAAAAAAAATAATAAATAAATATTTTAAAAATTAAATATTTTTAATTTACTTTTTTTATAATATTATTTATTTTTATATATATTAAGTTACTAATTCTTTTTTATAAATATTTTATTAAAATACTTTTTTAATTAATAATTAAATAATAAAAAACTTAAATAAGTTTTAATAATAATATAATATAAAGGTTTTAATATAAATATAAGCTTTTATTATAATTATAGCTTTAAAAGAATTATAATAAAAAAGTAAATATTTATAAGCTTAATAAGTAATAAATTAATTATAAAGTTTATTAATAAATTATTTTATATTTTATAATATTATTATATTATTATTTTTAACTTTATTTATTATAATTATATAAAATTTAGCTTAAAAATAAAAATAATATATATATTTAAATAAGTGCTATTTATATTAACTTATAAACTAAAACATATATTTATATTTTAAAATATAATAAATTAATTTTTATTATTTTATAATTATTTTTAAAAAAATTTAAAAAAAACTTATTTTAATATTAAATAATTTTTTAAAGTTTTATTTTAAATATTTTATATATTTTATTTATAAATACTTTACTTTTTAATAAATAAACAAATATTAAATATATAATTAATACTAAAATAGTTAAAATATTTTATAATATTGATTATTTAATTAAGTTTATAAATTTATATATTTAATATTTTATTAAATATTAAATAATAATAAAAATATTTTAAAGTTTTTAAATTTTATTTATTATATTTTTAAATAATATATTTTAAAAAATAAAGTTTATTTATTAATTTTAAATAAATAATTTTTTAATATATATATTAAATAATTACTTTTAATTATTATTATTTTATATTATATATATATAGCTTTATTACTTATTATTAAAATTAATAAATATATTAATTTTATAAATTAAATAATAAATATATATATATATATATATAATAAAATAAATATTTTAATTTTTAAAAAAAGAATTTAAATTAAAAATAAATATATATAAATTATAAAAATATAAAAATATAAAAACATTTTATATAATTATAAAAAGCTTTATAACTTATATTAATATTTTTTTAAAATAAACTTTTTATTTATATTTACTTTTTAATTAAATAGCTTTAATAGTATTTATATAAAATAAATAACTTTTTATTTTATATATTTTATATATTAAATAATTTAAATTTATTAAATTTTTTTATATTTTTAATATTAATTTTTAATTTATTTTTATTTTTATTTTTTTAAAGTAATATTTAATTAAATATTAAATAAGCTTTATTGTATATTTTTATTTTATTTTAAATAATTTAATAAAATAAAATAAGTATTATATATATATATATATATTATAATATATTTTTAATTTATATTTTTATTTTAAAATTAATATTAAATAAAAAAACTTAATAATATTTTTATATTAAAATAAAGCGCTATTATTAAATATTACTATTATAATATTAATTTATTATTTATAAATAGTTTTAAAAATTTATTTATAAATATTTTATTATTATATATATTTAAAATAAAAGTATAATTAAAAGTATAATAAATATTTTATATAAAAATTTAATTATAATTAATTTTTAATTAATTAAATTAATAAATAAAATAATAATTAATTAAAAGCTTTATAATTTATTTTAAATAAATATTAATATTATTTATTAATAATAAATATATTATATATATATTTATTTTTTAATTTAGCTTATAAAATATATTAATTTATTTAAAAGTTTAAGAGTTTAATAATTTAAATACAAATTCTTTTATTTCATTTTATAATTTATATGTATCTGAATGAAGTTTATCCGTTAAGTAAATGGACTTTTCATTTATTTTTAAATTTCAAAGATTATAAGCCAGTCACTGTAGTGCTAACAAGCCTAAGCTCATTTGACACCTGTTATGTCGCCTTGACGCACCTGTCCCAGCGTCAACCGCCATGTACCAATAAACATAGACTCCATACGTTGCCTTGATTGCTACTTCAGCCGAACAAACCTCATAGACTATATCATAACTTATCTTTTCGACGTTCTCTTATAAAACCATGGAGGATAAGTCGGACTCAGTCGTAATCATGGCAGAATGTCTTTGCAAAGCACATTCGTTCAGCCCCGAGGTTTCCAAATCCAAGCTCCCGCTGGAATGCAACGTCTGCCACTGCGACTCGTGCCGTCATTCCACTGGAGCATTATACGTGGTCGAGACGACTTGGCCTCAACCGCTCGAGGATGTCGACCTGAGCGGGCTTCACAAATACCAGTTTTCTGACAACATCGCGTATCGGTTCTGCGGGACATGCTCGACGCTGATGTTCTATGAGTCGCGCAAATATCCCAGCAAGCTGGGTACTTTTAGCGGGCCGCTGAAGAATACAGATTCAGAAACCATCAGACTCGCTCGGCACATCTATGTTGAGGATACCATCGACGGCGGGGCAACAGTCTGGCTCAGGAAGCCCAATCCCGATGGTCAGCAGATCCCACGTTACCTCGAGCGTTCTGGAGAAGAACTTTCATGGGACTGGCCTCAGATCTCGAGTTTGACGGGATCCACAGGGAAGCAAGAACAAGCACCCATCCCTCTCTGGTGTCACTGTAGAGGTATCATGCTACTCGTCCATCGCGGGAATTATGCCACCATGACGAACGAGAAACTTCCATGGTTCATCGACCCAAGACAAAAAAGCACATCACCAATCTTGATGTATGCGACTCTTCGCGTTTGCATTTCGGAAACGACATTGTTCCCTGGACATTTTTAGATCTCTCCAATGTTACTCAAGGCGATGGCGACGCGTTCCCAAAGACAATGGCAAAGCTCAAAGCTGCTGTGGATGTGGCCGACCCACTCATTGGAACGCTGGCCTACTATCAACCAACATCGGGTGTACAGCGATATTGCTGCAAGGTCTGCTCTACCTCCGCTTTTCTCGCTTCTGACGATAGGTCGGAGGCTGTAGGCGTGCCCGTCGGCCTGCTAGAGGCATCTGATGGATCCAGGGCTGAGAGTTTCTTGTCCTGGGGATTAGGGGATACCCCGATAGGGGTGGATGATACCAAAGGCGGCTGGCGAGAAGAAATGATAAAGCGAGTGCTTGCCGACGCGGAGAAATTCAGGGTTGCGAGGGATTATCCCAGGAGCTGGAGAAGACAATTCAGGGAGGCGAATGCTGGGTCATCTTGAAGAAATGATTGTGAGTCAAGGAAGGTAAAATCGAGCCTTCCTTAGAACCAGTGACAGTGACATGAAATCCGAGAACATTCTTCTAATGAAGATAAAATGAACAAGGTGAAAAATGTTGCGATAACTCCACATACCAGTTTTTAGGGTCGAGGACCAGCCTACACGGCTTCCATCCAAGATTGGCAGCTTGCAAACACTAGGGTAAAAGACGAATACAATCTGAGCTCGCAGTAGCTGTATGACCGCATGGCGCCGTCGGCTTAAACTTAAGAATGGCCCTCATCCCAACGAAGTGAACACGTCCACTGCTCATGAGTGTAGTGGCCCTTCCTAATACCAGCATTCAGGAAGACGGCCCGCTCAGCGTTCACTATAGGGCACAGGCTCAACATCGAACAGGTATAAAGTCCGCGCCAGCGCGAATCTCATCTTCCTTGGCGCAAGAAAATGGGACAGTTAGGGCAGTATACGGCCCCGAAGCTGAGAGCCCTGTGTGGTCAGGGTCTATAGCTCGCCCCATTTCGCGGGCTCGACGGCTATCTCGGTCGCGAGAAGGATCTGTACAGGAGGCCTCTTGGACAACACCGCGGTGAAGCTGAAAAAGTGTCCGTCTTCGGTCTCGAGCATCTCCCGCGCGCTCAGCTGGTACGGCTTGTCCTTTGAGTCACCAGCAAGGTCGTCCATGTGGATAGTGGTGGCGTCCAATTCTATGTCGGATGGGGGGGGGGGGGATTCGCTGATTGGCTAAAGGGCAAAAACCCGAAGCTGATTCGGCTCGATCAGATGCGTCGAGTTGTAGCGGAGGCAGAGGTGTTGTCGACAACGTTCAAAGGGAGGTTGAAAGGTCACTCACATTGAAGACAGAGTTGGCACCCACTGATTGAACCTAACCTGAGCTATGTTTGCAAGGTTTGTTGGTGTGTTCGAATACAGTCGATGTGAAAATCTTCTTCCCCGGCTGGGTGCAAAGAAAAGGGAACAAGAAAACAAGGAAAATAATGTTATTCAGGCTATAGTTTGATGTAGAAATGGGTCTTCCGACATGGGCTGAAAGCTGGTGCTACCTAGGTAGTTCAGACCAGGCGCACTGCCGTCCAACCCAACGCGAAATATCCCGAATAAAATGCCACCAGAAATCGAAGCTTCTGTAGGGTTTATCACCAACTTGCCCAGCCGCGGGTCTCCGTCGACTCACATGCACACCGTGTCAAACATAGAGGCTGGGCTTCATCGAGACTCGCAACCGAAAATGACTGCACCGCAGCTTCGAGATCTGAATGATCGTCGGCATTCAGTCAGATCTGCATCACCACCTTTATTGTGCATGCAGTCAGGCAGGCAGAGTTAGAACATTTCGGAAGTGAACATTGGTGTCATATTCAGGTCCTTCTATCCAAACAAGACTCCCGTAGCACTGTAGCATTTTCTGACACACACCAATGGTGTTGTGTGTTATCTATCTCCAGAGTAGTACAGAGAGTCTGTTACACCTTGGGTACTCTCATACCACAACTCATCTTTTTCGTTCAGCCAAATGTGAACACACATAGACCGCTGATAATTTGCTGGGCTGCTCTTTCTTTTGTCCTTACTCGTATACGGGGATGCATGTTGTTCGCTATTATTAAGAATAAAACCCTTATTGATCGATGTAGTCTCCAATCCGAGCCCAGGGCCGGGCGGAGGCCCATCCCTTGCAGCGGGACGGAGGCCCACCAGGTTGAAAGGCACAGCATAAATTCGAGCCCCGGCGTGGGGGCAATGTGAGAATGGCTTCCAAAGGTCACAAAGGAACCTATCTTCGTAGTAAATTATAGCTTTCTCATGGCTATACATTTCGGTCAGAAAGTAAGTTATACTTCATATTTAGCTGCACATGCGAAATTGCTCATGTTGAAAACGTTACACCAGTGACGACTCCAACCCTCCAGCCTCCCTGGACGTATACGGTTAGAGGTTAGTGGGGGAGGGGAATGGAGGAATCAAAAAGAATGGCTCAGATTGTCCCGTTTGAGTGTGGCGCTCCGGTGGACTTGTCATCGTCCAAATAAATACCTTATCAACACCCTTGCGATTCTTGACTCGTCGTTGTCTTTGAGATCCTTCATCCTTGAGCTGATTCGCAAAATACGCGTCTCTCCGCCCTTGGCTTCCTCAACATTCGCCTTTTGTCGCATTTCCCCGGTCCCTCGGACGTTTGCACAGGAGCGCAGTCGGTCGAGCAGTTAGTTGGAGATTCTATCAGGCGCCCATCGAGTCAAGCCACTCGCCACCATGCTCAATTTCCGAAGAAAGAAGTCGGCCGAATCCGAGGTCGCGGCACAACAAGAGGCCGAGGCCGTCGCTGTCGCCGTCGATGCGCCCCGCCAGCCGTTCCGGAAGGCGATCGTGCCCGTCATTGCTTGCGGCGCCGGGCTGTTCTCTGACGGATACATCAACAACGTGAGCGCTCAGCTATACCTGCGCTATCCGACCCGTATTTAGTTGCATCGGCAGTGCCAAGTGCCCAGTGCCAAGTGCCAAGGTGCGGCTCTCGAGTATGCTTTGCTTGGTTGCTAACTTAGGCGGCTTTAACCGGTGTAGGTCATCGGGTCCGTCACCACCGTCCTTGCCCTGCAGTACGGCGACCTATACACGGACTCGAATGCCAAGAAGTATGTCGGCGACATCGCCTTTGCCGGCACCGTCGTTGGCCAGCTGGCGTTTGGCTGGCTCGCAGACCACTGGTCGCGAACCAACTCGCTGCTCGTCTCGACAATCATCCTGCTGGTATTTACCGCCCTCGCTGCTGGATCCTACTACAAAGGCGACGCTGTTGGCATGTTCAACATGCTAGCCGCATGGCGGTTCTTCGTGAGTAGCACCCACTCACCCATATATATATATATATCTACATATATCACCCCCGCCCGACGGCATTCCTTGCGTGTCTCATTTACAATATGTCCTCCATTAACGTCATTGTCATCTTGAAAGGTCGGCATCGGCATTGGAGGCGAGTACCCCGCAGGTAGCGTCGGCGCAGCCGAGTCCACTGGCGAGATCAAGTCGGGCTCGCGAAACATGTGGTTCATCATGTTCACCAATACCATGATTGACTGGGTAAGAAAGGCGTCGCTCGCCCCCCCCCCCCCTTTTCCCGACCGACTCCTGTTTGCTGATTGCCTGAATTAGGGTTTCGTAATTGGCGGTTTGTTCAGCTGCTCCCAAACCTCTTTGAGGGTGTGACAATCATTTTAACACATGAACAGCTTTTGTGCCATACGTAGTCGCCGCCGCTTGCCACAATGGCCATTACAGCACCGTCTGGCGAACCAGCTTGGGCATTGGCGTGGTGTTCCCCATGTTTCTCTTTGCCCTCCGTCTGTTCGTGAAAGAGCCCGAAGCCTCCACCAAGAACTCGATGCGTTATGCCAAAACACCCTACTTGCTGTCACTGAAAATGTACGGCTGGCGCCTTTTTGTTGTCAGCTTGATCTGGTTCATCTATGATGTGAGTCCCGCTCAGTCATGTCTGCTGTGCCGATGACCTACTAGTAAATCACCTAACCCCCTTGATGCGTCGCAGTTCTCGGCCTACTCCTTTGGAATATACTCCACCACCATCCTGACCACCTTGTACAAGAATTCGGCCCCACTTACCACCGTCTTTGGCTGGAACACGGTCATCAACCTGTTCTACATCCCCGGAACCATGCTCGGTGCCCCGGCCTCTGACTGGTTGGGCCCGCGGTACGCACTTGCTCTCGGCGTCTTCTTGCAGGCTGTCATTGGCTTCATCATGGCTGGTGACTACTTTAACCTCTCTCAGCCCAACATGATCGGCGGCTTCGTTGTTGTCTACGGCGTCTTCCTCGCACTGGGCGAGTTCGGCCCCGGAAACAACATTGGCCTGCTGGCAGCAAAGACCTGCGCCACCGGCATACGTGGTGAGGGACTATCTCCTTTCTTGGCAATGAGCTTCTCTTCTCTCAATGGCGTGTGCGCTGACAATCTAAAAGGAAAATACTACGGTATCGCCGCGGCTATTGGTAAAATCGGTGCATTTGTTGGCACCTGGGGTAGGTCCAGTGGCAATCGGTTGGAGCGGCACTCACTAATCAACATTTCTCAGTCTTTCCATACCTCCAGGCAGCCGGCGGCGACGACGTAGTTGCCTCAGCCCAGTACCCTTTCTGGGTTTCTTCGTCGCTGTGTGTTCTGTCTGCTGCCCTCGCTCTATTCTGCCTGCCGCACATCAGCCAGGACACCATCCAGATCGAGGATGCACGCTACCGGGCCTACTTGGAGGCGAACGGCTATGACACCAGCCAGCTTGGCATGAAGAAGGGCGATATTCTTGAGAGCACTCCTGCCGATACCTCGGTGGAGGAACCGGCTGAGACTGCGAAGGGCGAGAAGACGGCAGCTTAGGTACCAGGTTGCCATGGAGGTGAGATATTGTTGCTGGTGACCACATGTCGAGGCGTCTCTTGACATCAATGGCGCCATGGATGAATGGAAGTCAAGGCTGAATGCCCGTGGTAATGACCGCCCGGGAACTAATTTAGTCCTAATGTCTACAGTATAATTACAATCTTTAATACCGACGCATCATCCACAAGACACCTTTCTCTAAAGTACTGGGATATTTGCTTCCATCATCTTCAAGTCTGTTGGTGACGAGATCCATGGTGGAAAGCTCTACTTTCTTTGTCTTGGCATACACCTTGTAGCTAAGAATGTTCACCAAGTAGATGGCAATGCCGATGTACGAAGTCATGAAAGTTGACACAGTAAAGTCGGGAATGAAGGCATTGTAACCTAGACCATGATGTCAGAATAATATGTTTGAGAGATTTGGCGAGGCGAGACTGACCATTGAAGAAGATGACGAGCATTGTGATACCCAGTGCAAAATAAGACCCGTACGGTTGAAGCGGTCCCCGATACGGCATCAAGATCCTTGGAATACCCTGTGCTTTCATTCCACGAGTGAAATTAATGTAGCTGATGAGGATACTGACCCAGTTCAGTGTACCAAATACAGTGACCAAACTGACAAGGTAGCCAAAGACTTGAGAAGAGTTCTTAGCGGCGTTCATGTACGCCAGGGTTGCAAAACAGCCGGTGAAAGCAACTCCATAGAGTGGGACGCCCTTTTTGGAGGTTCTTGTGAAGACCTTGGGGGCTTGACCATCTCGCGCTAATCCAAACAGTGTGCGAGACCCAATATAGATGTCAGAGTTCGCGGCGCTGATGACGAAAATCAAGAGACATCCGTTAACAACATGGGGGAAGACGGGAATATTTGCGATCTGCACTGCAATGACGAAGGGGCTTGCAGCGGCACCCGTGCTCTTCTTCGTCCCGCCGATGAGCAGGTCATTCGTGTAGGGCACCGACATACCAAGCACGACCGCGCCCAGGACATAGAAGAAGACGATTCGCCACAGTGTCTGACGGACTGCTTTTCGTATCGTCTTGCGCGGGTTCAGCGCCTCGCCAAAGGCAACACCAACGACCTCGGTGCCAGTGTAGGCGAAGCAAGCCTGCACCATGGCAGCCCAGAATCCGAGGAAGCGGCCAGTCGGCCCGTCGACGAGGTACTGTCCAAAGGCACCTGGGTCTTGCCAATATTTGAAGCCGATCACTTCGCCGGAGGGCTGGCCGCCCACGGAGATGATGAAACAGGTCAGGATGAGCATGATGATGACGAGTAATTTGACGGTCGACATCCAAAATTCCGCCTCGCCAAAGAAAGATACGTGGAGGACCTGCACCTGATTAGCGTGGTTGTACTGAAAGGTTTCCCGGCATATGTATGACTGACGTTGACAGCAATAATTGCTACGGTAAAGGTTGTCACAAATATGGCAACTTCGAGGTCAGGGCGCCAGTATTGTATGATGATGCCGGCGGCTGTAAGGTTGTTGGGAAGGACAATCGCGTATTTGAGAAAGTAATTCCAGCCTGTGGCGTACCTGGGCTCTGTCAGCTAAGTTTAGTTGTAGGAGGCTATCGTCAACTTACCCCAAAGCTGGATCAACAAATCTAGTTGCATATCCGGCGAATCCCTTGTCCGACGGCAGCATCGTTGACATCTCTCCCACTGCTGTCATGATGAAGAAGACCACGGCACCAATAATGGAGTATGCGAGCAAAAGGCTCGCAGGTCCGCCCCTGACCAGGCCTGTACCTGAACCAATGATGAGTCCAGTGCCAATGGCTCCAGCAACGGCGATCATGGACACATGGCGCTCTTTGAACTCCCGCTTCAGTTGGTTTGTCTCTACAAAGGTCCCTTCGGCATTGGAAGCCGTGGCTTCCAAAGCGGAGGTATCCGCGTCGATGCCGTTGGCAGACTTGCCATACTTGCTGATGTTGTCGTTATTCATAATTTGGTATCAAAGGCCACCAGCAACCTGTGGTGTCTCAAGAAGTTGATAAGAAATAAGATTCCTGCTTCAAAGCCATATTTCTTGAACGCGTTGTGTTCCAGGGCCGGGCACCAGTTTTTATACTTCACCCCAGACGAGATAGGGAGAAAGAGAGCGGAATTTCCCCGGCATCATTCATTTGGGATTAGATAGAGATAGAGCCTGAATAGACCTAGCGACCATGTCACTAAAACTTTCATTTCACTTCCAAGGGCTACATTTTGACGACGCATTCAAGATTGTTTTTTTGTACTCTTTCCATGGGCGTTTTTAGACTCACAAAGTCTCTCTTCGCCCACCCGAGTAGTAAAAGTGACTTTCGATCGAGAAGTCAACGTTTCACCTCTGATCTCCCTGAGAATGTATGCTCAGACGGAATCCGAGAAAGCAATAAGACCAACAGCGGAGAGATAGACCACCAGACTATCTTGTATGTAAGACTCTGGCACGAAGTGAGCTCCAATCAACGCGCGGGGACAGGGCCTCTCTTGTCGATCCTGGATCCACTAATGGAGGTTGAAGTCCGTCTCCTAGTACAATATCACAAGATCTTCTGGACCAACCTTGCAACCACCCCATCACATGATTCCAAGCTATCTAAGAGGATCAGTCTCAAGATCAATGATTGATGCGCCAGCTGTTGGCCTTTACCCGTGTGAGTGAAGCTTCGTGCCGTGTACAGTGTATTCCATGCAATGGTTCCTAGTAACGCCCCACACACAATGCAACGTCCGTCCGTGGAGTACTAAAGACGGACTTCAGCCTCCATGAGCTACAAATTGGCAGATGTCATCGCGTCGCACGATGTCGGGAGCAATGAGATATATCAAGGCGACCGTGGAGGAACAATTATACTTGCGCCGATCTAGGAGTGTCGTGCAACGATAAAAGCTGGCAGGAACACAGCAGAAACAAATTCCGCGTCCAGAACCTCAGTCAAACCATCCAAATTAACTCTTATTTTTCACTTTCTCCCAACATACTCACCATGTCGCCAAGCGCTGTTCAAGAAAACGTGGACGATGTTCCGGCTCTGACCAAGGCGGTCACTCAGCCTCCCACAGAAGCCGATTTCTCCACATTCCGGTCCCTCGTCCCCCTTGTAGCTGACGACAAAATCACTTATCTCAATGCGTCCTACCAACCCCCTTCCAACCTAGTTATTCACGGTGCCATCACCAAGTTTGCCTCTGATGCGCTCTACAACCCTCACCCCAAGCCTCAGTGGCAAAGCGCCGTCGAGGATACCCGCGCCCTGATAGGACGGTACATCAATGCAGACCCATCCTCCATAGCCTTTACTCGCGATACAACGGAGGGCTTGGGATACTTTATTCGAAGCCTCAAATTCGAACCCGGCGATAACGTGGTTGTCCTGGACACTGAGCATCCGAACCATGTGTATGGATGGATGACTTTGCGCAAGGCTGGTCTCGAAGTCAGACAGGTGCCCACCATCCCAGAGGCGCAAAAGACTGGCAATGTGACCGCCGCGAACGCCGAGACATTTGCACCCTACGTCGACGACCGTACCCGAGCGATCGGTCTCAGCTCCATCATGTTCCACAGCGGCCAGTGGAACGACGTCGCCGGCATCTGCAGGACGTTCAGGCCTCGCGGCATCCATGTCCTGGCAGACCTTACCCAGCAAGTTGGTTTTGCCGAAGTTGATGTTCAAGCCCTGGGTATCTCGGCGGGGGCTTTCAGCCTGCACAAGGGTCTCAACTGCCCAACGGGCTTCGCTGCGCTCTATGTGCACCCGGATTTCATCAAGCAACATGATCCCGCACCCCCAATCGCTGGCTACGGTGCCGTTAGCAATGTCCGATCCGATCTTCTGGTTCCTTCAGAGGAAGTCGTGTATCACTCGACGGCGCGGCGGTACGAACACCTGAACCTCAGCCTGGTCGCCACCGCCGCCGCAAAGGCTTTTTTGACTTTTTACCTGGACTCCATGGTCCCAAGGCGTGTACAAGAGCACCTCTACCATCTTGGTGATGCGCTGAGAGAAGAGTGCGAGGCTCTTGGAGTGAGTATCGTTGGGCCTTCCACCAGAAAGGAGCATGCACCTCACCTGTACATCCTCAATTTGCATGACTCGAGATGGATGGATCTGTTGATGGAAAATGGGGTGTTCGTTACGCCCTATCGTCTGGGTATCAGGGTCTCGTTTGGGTTCTATAATAAGTCTTCGGACGTGAAAAAGCTTGCAACTATTCTAAGGGCTGGGGTTGATCAAGGTCTTCCTTTGCCGTAGATTAATCTGTTTGCACATATACTTCTCGCATTGCAGTAATGAAACAAGTAAATGGAAGTTGTTGCGCATATCATTGAAATTATGCCTACCGATAATTTGGAAGTGCAGATGAGAGGTCACCCGAGTCGCAAAAAGCTCAATAGCGTCGGCATGCGGTCTGCTGCTCAATAGGACAATGGCAATACCCAACGAGCCGCAGCGAGTAGAGACAAGATAGTAGTTGATTGGGCAAAACTGTCCTCATATCTCAATTTGTCTCAATCTAGCCCTCGCCCGATGAGCTAGAGCCCAGGCAGAAGAGCACTCGTCGAGGGAAAGCAACAGGTACTGAGCCTCTTCCGGCGTGCCAAATACCGCCAGCGTCCTTGCGGCTTGCACAATCCCGTAAATCATCATTAATGGGCTATGTGCAAGTCCGAATTGGCTACGATATTTCCGCACGATGTGTGAAATATCCTGCGCCGACGACACGCAATCCTTGCGGGCGTTCTCTTTTGAAGCCTCTCCTATGTTATCTGAAGTCGCGTGGTCAAAGTTGAGTGCAATGCGGATGCTACGAAACAGAAGGCTATTTGGCAGGTGTTAATGCTACTCTGAACCACACTTCGTGGGCGATATAAAGCAAGTCAGAATCGCTTACTGAAGAGCGGCTACGCTTGGTCTGAGGGGTGTGCTTGGTGGCTCCCATTTGTTCCACTTCGCGCACTCCGGTAACGCCTCGTACCAGCCACACAGTTCGATATTGAGGCTGTCTAGGCACGACTGACGTCCAAGGCCTTCTAGGTTGGACTTTGTGGAGAACAATTTGGAGAGCATTTTCTCGACGATCTGGGAGAGGCGAATCTGTTCTTTGAAACAGGGAATCAGTGGGTTGACCGCGCCCAAGCCCCCGTCGTCATCCGCGAATCCAGCAGGCAGCCAAGGCCCCATCTCTGGGAAATCGCTGGGCGATGTGAATTGTTAGCTTTATCCACTTTATAGAAGCCTTGGAGGACCGTAGCTTACGGGAGTCTGTTGGTGGCTTCAACTTCTGCATCGTCGTAGAAGAGATACACCGGCCGCCCGAGAATGAGGCTGATCAACTTATCCGAAGAATAGCAGCCCCAGAAGATACGCCTGCGGATTTCTAAGTCCTCTTCGGTCGCTAAAGACGAGTCGTGGGATACCCAGTGTTTTGGGTCCTTTTGAAAACCTAGATCCTGCGCCATGCGAAAGGCGATACCTTTCCAAAATATTATTGGTACAATGGCAATAAATGACGTTGAAATTCACGTACCCGAGAAGCCCCAGCCTTTGGAGAGATTCCCTCGTCCAATCTCATAGAATGCTAAACAGAGAAACCCCTGCACGGTGACTATAGAGGGCCTCGTGAGCCCGGAGACGATAAGAATGCTTTCAGCCGCAGAGAAGAACTGTGCACTTGACTCCCGGTGCCGCTTATCAGGTGACATCAGCGTCCCCAGGGCGCAAATAGACAATAGTAGAGCCGAAGACCAATACTTGCAGCAGACTCGTTCAGAGAAGTGGTCTCTCAGAAACGCTTCACGATAAATGAACATGAAGTGGGGATACTGCCATTTGAAGAATTGCATCAGAGCGTCATGAACCAGCTCATCGTGCAAATTGATACCGAAATGTGCCGCGACGTACTCGAAATTGGTATCGGAGTCGACGGGATGTTTCGATAGAGCCGAACAGTCGCTGAAGGCGTTGCCCGTCGACGGCTTGCCAGAGTGTGCGCGATAGATGCTTGTCGGCCCGTGATAGATGAGTGAGCCCTCGAGGTCGAGTTGGAGATTGGCAGTGCTCTCACGCCTCTGGCCGCCATTGTCACCTTTGTCCAGGTTTACCGTCGATGCTGATGACTGTCGGGCTGGCAGATGATCGCCAAACGATACACTTTGCAGCATGTCGTCGCGCTCCTGGGTCGGTGCTGCTTGAAGCTTGCCGATGAACGACTCGAGCCATGCGACCCTGTTCTCTAGACTGACCACATACTCGTGGGTAGCAGGCCGCCTTTTCCGGTCGACTTCGCGATACTCGCAAGCCTGTCCAGCCGTGGCGCAATTCTGGCACGGCTCTGTGCGTGAGCACTTCAGCTACAAGCAGAGAGCACCGAGTCAGCGAGATCGAGCGGCAACACGGGTCGCGGGGTTTTCAGTGCCTTTCGGTACTGGCATCTCTTGCATCTATCTCTCTTTGTCAATGAACAGACTCCTTATAGCATGGACTCGGGGATGTAGTATTACGAGATTCTCTTGACGGGCTCTGACGACATATTATCTTTGATAAGGTCATCGTCCCAGGTGAGTCAGGTGCCTCCTGTGAACATCACTTCAGGTTTATGACCTGCGACCGGGTGCACGGTAAATTGCGGGGTCAGTCTCGAACGCCGTCAGTGGCCCACCCACCCGGGTACCGGATTCTAGAGAGCCTCCTACCACGAGCACATCACTACCATCAACATTCGTCCATTCACTGTTGTGTATCGCTCCCAGTTCCCAATGATAAAAAAGATTTATGATCTTGACGTTCATCGGGAAAACATGAACACATGCTGTAGTAAAGCTGCTTGGAGATGTGGATTACAGGTCTTAGCCAAATCCTTTCAAGTGCTCACTCAACCGTTTAAAGCAGGAAGAATTGCTTTTCCTTCACCTTGGTCGATTCAAGGGTCTGGGCGTATTTTCGCTCGGCGGACATGATGACTGTGGTCGCTGGATTGAAACGCTCTGGAATGTGAATGGTACTAGGGCTTAACAATATGATACAGATAGATGGTAGTCTTCGTTCAAGGTCTGTCTAAAACCGTGCTGGCCGCCGCAAGTCCGCCAAGTGAAATTCACATATTTGAGTAATCTTATTTTGTTGCCATCGCTATTGACAGTTGTGGCAATGTATCCATGTAAAAAGTAAGTCCGGGTTAAGTCCAAGAACAATGTATGTACCGAAGTTCTGCCAGCCCTGGCCTGGGAAGCGAGTGTATACGATCGGATCTGCCCTTTGACCACAATTGGAAATCCCTCCATTTAGGAATATCTTCATCCGTCTGACCGGGTCATGGATCTAGCAAGTGAAGATGGAGGGACCCGGGATGGTGTAAGATGTAAGCGGCGGATAGTACTGCGTGTCTGTGTCAGCCACGGCCAATAAAAGGAATTCACATTTGCTCACGATGTTGACTTTGACACCTGGATCAGTCCCCTATGTATAGCCAGGCAGTTAGCGCCTCATAGTCTCCCCCATGGGAGAAGGAATCAATTTATAAAACAAAAAGGAAATCGAGGACGATTTACTTACCTTGTAAGCACCAGGGAAGCTGACGATGTTGGAAGGTGTCTTGGAGCTAGTCCCGCCAACGACATTGATCTGCGCACACTCCATGTAAAATTGTGCGCCGGGGTAATTGCTGGCGCCGTGCAGGGCAATCATCTCGGCGCGGAGCAGGTACTGACCCGGTGCGATGCAGGACGGGATCTTGATCTGGTGCTTTCCCTGGCCATTAATGACCTTCTCGGTGCCCCAGACGCCGTTGTCGAGGCCATCCTCCTGGATCTTGAACCAACCGCCACCGACGCCTGAGTCAGTGGTCGCGTCCGTCACCTTTTTGAGGTAGGCGATGGTTGGGCCTTTATGCGAGGAGTCCATTATGTCGTTCGGGGCAGTGCCGCCAGTATTGAGCATGTAACGCCACGTTGCGGTCACAGTGGAGCCGGCCTGGACGTCGATGATCTTGGAGGTCGCGCTTGTCGGATTTGGAGGCCCGTTGCAGGCGACGGAGTTGGACGTCACGTCCTCTACAGGGCCGTTGTACGATGGCACGCGCACGCCGTTGCCAACACCGTGGTTGGTGCCGCCGACTTCGAGTGAGGAGAAGATGGTGTGAGCGCTCGCCAGGGAGGAGGCAAGGATAGGAATGAGGACCTTCATGGTAGTTTTGATAGAAGTCACTGAAAACGAAGGGCGGGCGCGTTACTAGAAGAATAAGATCGAGTGTGCTTGCTCGTCCGCATTTTGCGAGGTGGCCTTCCCAGTATCGACTTCAATAACAACGGTATATATAAGTGAGACCCTTCATAGAGGACCAGTATTTTATTCAGTGGCATTTCGTGGCAGATGACCCTTTTGGTCTCGGAGTCTCGAGCCGTAGCAGCGCTGGCTGTTGTATATATTGGTAGGCGCCCAGAAGCCAAGACTGCCAGGGCGGCGAGGCACCAGCCGTGATGTTTGTGGAAGTCATAGCATTAGACTGAAGAGTCCCGGCATAATTGGCTCTCCAAACCTCAAGCGTCGGTTGGGAAGCCTTGTGAGAAACACAGTCAGCTTGGAAATCAGATGATCAGGCGGGTAAATACGATCATATTGGTCAAAGCTCCTACAGCGGTGCGTAGACCGGCGGCCAGTCATGGGAATCAGACTCCGATGGGCCACAGGAAGGGAGGGCTGAAAATGAGGGTTTGAAAAACCTGATTTGAAGAAACACTTAATGGTAGAATTTTCTTGTATGTTAAACTCGGCGAATTTGCCCGTTACAAGAGTCCTCGCTCAAAAAGAACGAGTTTGGTATCCCTCACAGGGTTTGGACGGGGACGTTCGGCTCCATCGAGATCCCTCCCCTTCGCTGGTGCTTGGTCCTCGTCACTGCATGGTTACAGAGTGATTGAAGTGATTGGAATAAGCAGTTACATTATCTAGACTCTCGCTCGTAGTCAGGATTGGCGCTGAATATGCTTCGCCACGGCCGTGACAGACACGGCCCGAAAGTTTCGGGTTCCCGAGTCGTGGGTCGTATCGCTTCCGAAGTACGATCGAATCCGGGTCAGAGCCCGGAGTCGGCTTCCGCGCAAGCTGGATGCGAGACATCTTGGCAGTGTAACCTTTCTGCTGTTTACATAATCGCGAACAAGCAGTTGATGATGTATACCAAGCTCCGAAGAAGGAAGGTCGAGTGGGTTGCGAGCGGGGTGAATACACCGACGTCCTCAGGGTCCCCAAAGGTTAAACTATTGACTTTCCCACCGAAAGTCACTTTGGCTGCCAAACTTGGCAAAGTGCTACCTGGTGGGTCTAGTACTGCCAATAGGACAGGTACGGAGACAGTTTATCTTTGGGATCCCTGAGGAGGGTAATTTCGATAAGTATGATGTGATTGTCGGCGCGGTCGACATCCTCGCGGCGCGACTATGCTGCCTGATGCTTTCCTTCTGTGAACATTTGGCAGACTTCGCGCTCAATTTGCAAAATGTGGCCCTCTCCGTCTCTGTGGACTCTCGCTGGTACGGCTGCTCTGTTTACGCTGTCATTGGGCCAATTCCCTCCGACGCCTGATGGGGTGACGTTCCTCGAGTCAAAGTTTGACGAGAACATCACAATTAGCTACAAGGAGGTGCGTCTTGAACACTGTATTCATCTTGAATGACCGGTAGACTGACAGACCAAGCCTGGTCTCTGCGAGACAACCGAAGGAGTCAAGTCGTATGCTGGCTACATCCATCTCCCTCCTGGGACCCTCGAAGGCGTGGGCCAGGAGCAAGATTACACTATAAACACCTTCTTCTGGTTCTTTGAGGCAAAGAATGACCCTGAAAATGCGCCCCTGTCCATATGGATGAATGGCGGGCCTGGGAGCTCTTCTATGCCGGGTATTTTTAATGAGAATGGACCATGCTACATCAACAAGGACTCCAATTCCACGAGTCTCAGAGAGTGGTCATGGAACGACAATGGTAGGTACCCTCCTATATATCCTGTGTGTTCGTTCTCCTAGGGTTTTTGCTCACCTAGCCTAGTGAACATGCTTTACATTGATCAGCCAGTCCAGGTTGGGTTCTCGTACGACTCCCTCCGGAACGTCACCGTGGACCTGTTCGGCGGCATACAGACCCTGAATACTTCAGATCCCATACCGGAGCAGAATGTAACCTTCCAGACAGGCACCTACGCGAGCGGGAACCGCAACACAACGAGCTGGGGCAGCCGCAACGCCGCCATTGCATTATGGCATTTCTCGCAGGTCTGGTTCCAGGAATTCCCGGGCTACCACCCCAACGACAACCGCATTAGCATTGCGACGCAGTCCTACGGCGGGCGCTACGGGCCGGCATTCGCGGCCTACTTCCAGGAGCAGAACGAGAAGATCCAGAATGGCACCTGGAACGGTACTGAGGGCGAGAGGTACGTCCTAGACCTCGACACGCTGCTCATCGTCAACGGCTGTATCGACCGCCGGGTCCAGTGGCCATCGTACCCGGAGATGGCGTTCAACAATACATATGGGATCGAGACGGTCAACGAGACGGTTTACGAAGGCATGGTAGATGCGTATTACCGCGAGGGCGGGTGCCGCGATCGGATCGACGTCTGTCGCGAGGTTTCTGCGGTTTATGATCCTGAAAACATTGGCATCAATGCTACGGTCAACAGTATCTGCGAGGATGCTGAGACGTTCTGTACAAACTATGTCCGAGACCCGTACCTCGACATATCTGGCCGCGACTACTACGACGTGACCCAAGTCGACCCAACGCTGTTCCCGCCTCCTTTCACCCCGGGCTATCTCAACCAGCCATGGGTCCAGGCAGGCCTCGGAGTCCCACTGAACTTCAGCGGCAGCTCGTCGGCATCCTCGTCAGCCTTCCGCGGCATCGGTGACTATCCCCGCCCAGGCTGGATCGAGGACATCGCATACCTCCTGCACAGCGGGATCAAGGTCTCGCTGATCTACGGCGACCGAGACTTCGCCTGCAACTGGATCGGCGGCGAGCAGGTTTCCCTAGCCATCCCATGGGCAGACCAGGAGAACTTTGCCGCAGCGGGCTACGAGCCGCTCTTGACCAACGCCAGCTATGAAGGCGGCCAGGTGCGGCAGTACGGAAATCTCTCGTTCATCAGGGTATACCAGGCCGGACATGCTGTACCGTCCTACCAGCCCGAGTCGGCCTACCGCATCTTCAACCGGGCCCTTTTCAACCGCGACATCGCTACCGGCGAGATCGACACGGCAGCGGACCCGACATACGGCACCGAGGGACCGTCCGACACGTTCGCCATCCGAAACGAGTTGCCTCCACAGTACGAGGACTTCTGCTACATCCTCGACCCCAGCACGTGCACAAGCGAGCAGGTGGCCGCTCTGCGTAACGGCTCTGCCGTCATCAAAGACTACATCGTGGTCGAGCCGCCGTATGCTGAGACCGTTGCGGCTGGTGGTGCCAGGCTTGCACCAAGAGCTATGTGAGTCCTGACTCTGGTCTTAGCTACTTGAGGGTTGAACTGCTTGGAATACTGACTTGACCTAGTCTTGATGGAATTTAGTTGAAGACTTGCGGCGGTGACAATCTCATCTCCACAGTTACATACAAGAACGACATTATCTCAACATACAGAACTTTGATATCTAAGCTCTCGCTTCCCGAGTCGGGCCCCTGGGGCTTTGGTCTTCTTAAGATTAGGTTTTCCAAAAAGGTCTGCTCCTCATGTCGATAAGGTATCTTGACTTTGTAGCCCTTAGATAAGACTCCCTTTAATTACTGGAACCATCAACCTACTCATGTGCCCTGTGATAATGTTCAGTCTTAATGATCTATTTTTAATAACAAATCAAACTTTGTTTATTGTATAAAAGTTTGTTATAATATGATTTATGGCTTTTAAGTAGTGAGTCAGCCAAGCTATACTTATCACTGCGGCTGCTCAAGAGCAGGAAGATGTTGAGGTTGTGCTTGAGCATAGTACAGTCCGGGGGCCCACCAAGTTGCCCCCTCACTGATCGAAGGCTATGTAGTGTGTAGAGGAAGTCCTCATTTCTTAGAACCGTGATTGCCTACACAACGCTATGAAATGGCCCGGCGACGCCCCGGAAAAAGCGCCCAAGATCGCCAAGAGTGGCGACACCGTGATCTCATACGAGCCCACAGAAACTCACAAAAGAACTGACGAGATATACTCGGGCTGGATGAAGGCTTCTTTCACCCCGGCTCACTGGATGCCTGTGCAGGCGATCATAGAGGGTGATGATGAAGTATTGGAGACCTCGTTCTCGCCATAAGAAGGTATCAAAACCACAGCGACTGAGGGACTCATGGCCCCTGTTGAGAAGCAGGGCAGGTCTAAGGGTGTTGTCAAGATATCGCTCCTGGGTCGGCGACCTGGCATGCTGAAAGGGGCCCAAGACCGGCTCGCTGCTGGCAAATCAACTCCACAACCCAGCCTGCGTGTTGGAAGGGGGAGGCACTGCCGTGGCACTTTTTGTCCAAGGCCAGGTGGGCTCCCGTCGCCACCGTTGCTATGTTACAATGTTACAAGATGACACGGGTCCGGTGCTGGGCATCAGGTACACTGCTGTCGTCCGTATCTAGGCAGGTCAAAATATGGCAGACAATGCGACACAGATCATCCTCACCCAAAGGGATCGAGCGGACCGACTCAATTCGGTGAGCGGAATGAGGACCTTTTGTTCTGACAATGGCTTGATCAATGGCTTGCCGCCGTACATCCTGAACTCCGCCTGCTCAGCTGTCACTGGGGAAAATCCCCTGTGCGTGAGCCTTACTTCTGGCAGCACAGCCTCGCTCGAGGGATTCTGTCCCGAAGCATAGGTTGCTCGCCGCTTTCACGTTCGTCAACAGCATGTCGGACATGTCCGCCACCTTGAGAACCGGCGATCAGATTTACTGCTTCTGCAGCAGTGCATCTGACATGGCATGTCCACTGCGACAAGGTCCAGATGAGTGACACCTGCTGCGCGTTATCTCGTTGCTCGTCGAAGTGTTAGCAGAACAGACGACGGCCTCTTCGAGGGGCTCAGCTGTGTCAAAAGTGAGCAACGATATGAGGGATTCACCTCTTTACGGTGTTCTTGGAAGATCTTTGAGTTGAACATATGGCCGCGTGTTGATCTAGCTGGCTACCTAGCATGGTATAGTTTCTATAAACTTTTATTGTTCCAATCGAGTCCGAGTCCTGAGATACCCCTTTCGGAGGACCTTTGTAAAGTTGACAAATCAACCTATCCCTTCACATCCTGGCATGATCACAACTTTCACTTTTCGTACAGGACCCTTCCTGTGTTCCGGTAAGACGTTGCCTCTTGGAAATGACCGTCTACGTTGCAGGTTGACTTTGCAGTTTGCACTGTATTGACGATTGCAGCTGTCGATGGTTCTCACGAGACGTAAGAAGTAGTCATTGAGTCCTCGGAGGGGCGGTTGGTCCGGCAATAGTCGCGTTGGTGTCCGGCAAAGGGAGGTAGGTTGGGTAGCGGGCAATTCCGGGCGGTTCATGTTCGTCTTGGTCCGGGCGGAGGAAGTTGTGGTTTGGCCTTGGTTGTTGACTTGGATCCGGGCAAGTGATTCGGTCACGGCTTTCTCACAATCACACGCAAAGCCAATACTTCATCACAACAGACTCAGCAAGTCACGTCGGGGGACGTCAGTAATCTCGATCGGAGGACGGCGCGCAGCGGTCAGGCGGAAAAAGCAAGAAGAATGAAGACCAGTCCCGCCTACGTTGGTGGTCCGGCATAGTTTGCGTGGCCCCAGACGAAGTACCAGGCGGTCGAAATAAAGGTGAAGGCGACGAAGACGACAGACGCATAGTTCATGGTGGCAGCCTGCACAGGCACGGTGGTCGGCATACAGAACAGCGGGATGGCTAGAAGTGACCAGGCTTCACGCAGTCATCACAGTCAGCACAACACACACAAACGTACACGCAAACACGCAAACACACTTGCACATCCACCTGGGCAGGCTCTCCGCCTGCTCAGGCACACCAGGCTCGCTTCGGGAACGCATGTGGTACGTAAGAGCAGACATGACAAGAAACACCAGGGCAGCAGGTAGAAGGGAAAAACATACCGAGCGCGACGTAGTTGCAGACAGTACCCAAAGTGCCCAGGTGGAAGCTCGCTCCCTTGATGGCTTCCCTGTTGTTCAGGAGGTTGACGGCGATGGGCATGGCGTAACTCGTCGTGAGGCAGATGACACCAACGCCGGAGAAGGCATTGAAGGCGGCAGTCGAGCCGAAGTAGATGAGGCCCAGAATGATCTGGACAACCATGGACAGCATCATAGCGTTGAAAGGTACACCCATCTTGCCGTCAATCGTCTTCCACAGGTGGGACCCCGGAATGGCGCCGTCCCTAGCAAAAGCCCAGATACACCGAGACGAGGCTGTTGTGCATCCGATGCCGCAGATGAGAGCGAGCACAAGCAACGGGATAAGCAGACCAAAGGCACCTCCCGACGAGCCGACGGCAGACTTGATGATCGCGGGGACTGGCTGGCCGGAGGCGAGGGCCACAAGGTCGTCGATATTCGGGAGGACAAACATCATCGGAATGAGAGTCAACAGACCAGCGAAGGTATTGAGCACAACGGTGAAGACCATGGCCTTGGGGACCTGCGTGGCGGGCGCGCGTACTTCTTCGCACATTCTATGGGCTGTCTGTTAGCAAAGTCATCCCAAAAAAACATATCTGTGGCGGTGCAGGAGTAGCGGAGGTCAAAGGCTAAGACGTACGAGATGATCATGCCTGTCGATGAAGTGGCATAAGCGGCCTGCAAGAGGCCAACACAGAAGGACCAGCCAGGCGTCCACCCAGACCGCGGCTCAAAGGTGGTGAAGACGTATTCGGCGGAGTGGCGGCCGTTCTTTGCGATGGCAAGAATGCAGACAACGATGGATATCAAACCGGCAAACGTCCAGAAGATGGCGGCTGTGTCGAGAATGGGAAGCCACTTGTCACCCAGGGCTGACACAGCATTGCACAGCAGAGTGATGGCCAAGAAGATCAGGAAAATCTGATACGTCTCCCCGGGGAAGATGCTCTCACCAGCCGCGTTCTCGAAGACACCAATGCAGGCAACCAGGAACAGGGCGGTACCGAAGTTAACGGCGAGCGTGATGGTCACGTTTCCGACGACATAGAGCCAGCCACAGATCCAGCTCGCCACACGCCTCCATTTCGGCGGCGACAGCATAAATGTCTGGTAGTAGACGCCACCGGCGGTCGGATAAACGCTGGTGATCTCGCCCAGAGACGCAGCCACGCACAGGATGATGCAGGACACGAGAAGCCAGCCCCAGATGACATTGGTCGGGCCACCACCGGCCAGGGGATAGTACATCGTTGTCGAGAGGCCGTAGGGGATCGCTGCCAGCACGAAGGACATGAAGGCCACCTGCAGAGTCGATCGGTTGCGGGTCATTTCGGGGGCGTATCCGAGGGACTCGAGGAGCTGATCGGCCGAGGTCACTTCGCCGCTGCCGCTGTGGGCGTCGAGACTGCTCTTGTGCATCACGCCCATCTTGGCCTCGTGGTCGCCGCCACCGCTGAGGTGGGCGCCATGGTCCTGAGGCACGACAACACCCGCCATGGTGGTGTTGTCAGTTATGGATGAGGATATATTACAACACCGTGATCCGCTGGCACTGGCCTATAGGAAGGAGGAAGGAAGGAGGGAGCGAGAGGATAATATCTGGTGAGTATAGTGTTGACGGCAGAGAGGGAAAGGAGTGAGTAAGGGTCAGGGTGAGGGTGAGGATGAGAGGAGGAAGGAGGAAGAGAAGAACCGTCGCTTTCCTATTTCTGGGGAGACGAAGCACTAAAGAAAGAAAGAATGATGAGAAATGCGAATCCCAAGCCGGATGTGAAATGAGCATGGCATGGACATGCAGAGGCGGACGGACATGCTTGCCACTCTTGACCAAGTACTTACTTGGACGCTCACTTTAGATAGTATGTAGTCGTACAGTACAGTACACAGATTCGGGTGAGCGAGGGTCACGAAACCCACACTGGAGACCAAACCAGACCAGACCAGAAAAAAAAAAAAAACTCAATGCATCCCGGGGTGATCGCGTGGGCGAATAAGCAGGACGCTACATAGTACGAGGTACCATGCCCTACCCTATCATACACTGCCGACGGTACCCTTTCTCCCACTCGCATCGTACCCTTCCACGCTGCATTGCACATCGATCCGAGTAGTTGGGACGCTGGTACAGCAGGCAAGGCTAGGAGGAGGTACTTGGCTGATTTCTCAGTGGTGATCTTGGCGAGTCAGATGTTATACATACTACAGAGAGAGGGATCTCTGGGGACCCCCATCTGGCCCCATCTGGCCCCATCTGGGACTGCTGGGCCCCATCCGAGCCCCCCCTTTGCACGTCCAATGCTGCCAATGCCACCTCAGCGCGGTGCCTGTGACATCACAGGCACCACACAGGCACCCGTGGGAGGCCCACAGGCTTTTTGCCAAGAACTGGAGCCCCCCAGCGTGGGCCAGCGTGGGCAAGGAGAGCCCATGGAGGCACGGGCGAGTGCTCGGCCAAGCGGTTGGAGCTGTTGGGATGCCCACGCCGAGAGCCCGGCGTAACCGACGGCGCGGGTGCTAGGCTTTGTCTCAAAGAGTCGCCGACAAAAAATGACAGAATGGGAGCGATTGGGGAAGCCAGAGCCGGCGCCAGCGACCCAGCTCGGTCCGGCTTCTTGGCTGGCAAATCCTTGATCTGCCCATCATGCATTTGCCATGCCTGCTTCACTGTTCCGAACCATGTGCAGTACTGCGATACTATCAGTCAGGAGTATCTGCGGGACCTTGGCATGCACACAGTGTGTATCCACAATACTACATAGATAAAGGACGGGCAAAAGAGCAGCGATCGATCCGACACGAGCCAGCTGAGAGCCCTTCCCTCTCCCTATCCCACCCTCCCTGCTTCCTGATCCCCATGTTGAAGTTTTGAAACCGAGAAAAACAGCCCCGGCAGTGGGCAGACTGGAGGACTGGCTGTCTGCCAGTCTGCCAGTCAAGTGAGGCGGGCCGGGACTACCTCGGGGCTCCGCCTCCATCGCCAAACGCGCACAATGTTTCGTAAAGAATACAACACCCTGGGCAGCCAGGCGGCCACCTGCACCTGCGGGTCCACCTGCACAAACGGGATGACGTTAAGGGGGCCCACGCTGCGTCTGCTAGACTGCTGTGTATGTAATGCAAAGGATTGGACCTGGGTTCACGCTGGTGCAGTCGGTCCATGTACAGTACTGTCCGGCTGATTGACTGTGTTAGTAGACTATGCGATGAGGCAGACCCCCGTTGAAACGATAATACACATGGCACAACAAGGAACACACGCACCACCCACATCATCTATGTGGACATACTGTAAATATCCGACATGATAGGCAAGCCTGCAGTACAGAAACGGGCAGAGCAGATAAGCTAGATCTACAACGCAGTCCCACGTCGTCGGCATTGTGTCGGCATGCGGCATGTGCCTCGGGGCAAGCCAGCGGCCAAGCTCTTGCCAGTGCAGAGCAAAAGCACCAAGCTCAACGATCGACCAGGCACGTACTGTACTCGGTAGACGACAGCTCCTGTGCCTGGTAGACCTGTCATTATAGGCTACTGCAGCTATGCGTAATGTGTCTGTTGGGTGGAGCATTATGCAGCACAACAGGAGCATCTAAGGCTTCCGGGAATGTTCCGTGACACGCACAATATACTGTACAACATACACACAGCAGCAGCGGTACATCGTGATTATCTCAGATTACTACGGGCAGCAGCTGGCAGCTGCACGATCCCGACAACCGAGAAACCTCCATGATAGGAGAAACGCCGGGCGGCCTTGGCCTCTGCAGATAATGTGAGCCCATGTTGATACAGATATCTACGTTGGGCTGTACTGGGCGGCGCTGCGCCATATGTGAGCATCCCCCTTTCAATTTCTTGCCCCTGGCTTGCATACAGTCCTTTACGACTTGCCTATCGTCTGTGACTGCCGCAACAGGGTGGTGTAGATATCATTCATTGATCTGCTATTCCCAGTCCGATATTTTCCGTATGAGGATACCCAAGGACAAGACGCAGTGGGTCGCTCAGCTTGGTCGGTGTACAGAATAGGCCTCTGGACCTCACCGTTGACCGCTGGCTAAGGTCTGACTGGCGGGGGACTTATGATCATCCGCGTACAGTATCCGAGCCCTCTCATCCAATCGCTCACTGTCTGCTGGTTACGCAGATGTAGACTACCTATGTGCCGAGTGTATGTAGCATCCAATGTGCATAATGGAGTATCTACCTCTGTATGGGGTCCTAGCAGGAACATGGACGACTTTCGAGACTGGCGAAGAAGCGATTGGACTTTTACAACACCGCCCACGAACAGTACATTACTTTGACACGATTGTGTACTGCTACCAATCGATGAACATATGATACGCGAGAATATGCAATTACACTATGAATAAACACTCGGTACATCGATGATTTGATGTACTTATGCTCGATCGCTCATAGTCTCATCAATGATTCTCAATGCCCTCGACGTCTATCTTATCAGTATGTATTTCATTGAAACATCTCTCTCATCAGCAAATTTCACTTGAGTACAAATTGCATATCAGAGACATCCAGCCTCATCACCTAGAATGTTTGCCGGGAATGTATTCTGTAATATGTCGAACTCTCATGGCTTTCTGCGATATGGTAGAAGAGCCACAGAAGAAACTATCCACACTTCGTACAGCGAGAAGATTCACCAGCGGAGCCGTTGATAGAAAAAGGGCATACGATTCAAACATTTAGCCCAATGGTACTTGGACAATATACTATCACTTGCGTCTCATATCACCCGAAACGACCAAGTGCCATACTTGATAAACGATTGTAAAATGTCCACCCATGTATGACAAAACCCGAATGTGACAAGGCCTACCGACAGCTCATACTACATAGTCCTCTTCGAAAAGATGAGCGCCGCATCGCCCACTCCCTCCCAGCCCAGTACCGAGGCGCCTGTCAAGATCAACGCCCATAGCTCCCCGATCGTAGCCCCCTCCACCCCAGGGGCACCCAGTGGTGCCCAGGACGTGGTCTTCGTAGCACCTGCCACGAGGGCCAGTACCAGAGTGATCCAACCTTTCGCGTCCTCGGCGGACCGGCTCCCCGGAGGTTGACGGAACTCGACCGTGCCCTGGGACAGGGCCACGTTACTGCCCTTGGAAGAGGATGACCGAGGCAGCATCCTGGAGAAATCCCACTTGTACACCTTTCCCCGGACGAAGTCGTGCTTCTTGCCGTGTGCCCTCCCGTACGTCGAGGTCGCGGGATAGAGGTTCATAGTCCCGACCAGGGCCTGGGTGCGCCCGCTCTCAAAGGACTCGTTGCCGAGGGACGTGGTCGACAAGTCGACCGCGGCGTCAACCATGCCCAGGCAGTCTTGCAGGCTCATAGACCTCAGTCCCACGCTGGCCCGATTGCTCTGGCACCAGTACGCAGTGGATGCGCGCCTGTCGGCTGGGACAAGCTGGTCGAGAGCCGGCTCGAAGTACAAGGCGGCCTTGGCGAGCGCAGAGAGCTCCGTGGATGACAAGGGCATGGGCGTGCCTGAGATATGTATATGTGTGCTGCAATGGGGGCTGTGGGCCACGACAAAGTAATGTCTCACAGTCGAGAAGATCACCTCCATGTCGGCGGCCCAGTGCCATGTGGCTGGATAGACTGGTGACACAAGCTCTATGCCCCCTGATCATGCAGGCAATATCTCTTATTAGAAAAAGTCCAAACAACAAATCAAAATTGGGATGGAAAGGCATCATACAGAGGCCCTTTGCGAGCTGGTTCGGGATGGTGACTTCGCGCACGATAGAGTACTCTCGGTAGTGTTCAACTGCCTTGTCACCTCCATCGTTGATATGATTGGGGATCCCAGCGGCGGCAAGGCGTTTACTTAGATCATTTGCAAGGCTCTTCCAGGACGAGTGTGCTTTCTTGCGGCCGCCGAGGAGTAGCTCGATCTCTATGCCGAACTGGAGAGAGGCATTGGTCATGGCTGAGAAACTCATTGTTGACGTTTGGGTCGGTCTCAACTGGAATAGAATACACTAAGGCTGGGAATATGATGATATTGCTGATGGACTGGTAAACTGGTGAACAGAAGCCCACAGGTACTGCTCCTCAAGAACTTTATATACTTGAATTTTAACAGTCTCCCCGATTAATCGCTCCGTAGACGACTCTCGACCCTCTCCTGACATCACAGACTTCATCCTTGACCATAAGCGCTTCCACATGTTTGAGCATAGGGCGGGCTCGACGTTATCCGGAGGAGACCAGCTTCAGTCGGCCACCCGAGCGGGCCATCTCCCAAGGATGATGCCCTGCCTAGTGCCATGGACTGCGTCGACGAAGGATCGTCAACAGCGTCTCGCCAGGGCGATGGGTCATGCTAACCTCCAAGTCTCTGCTGGAGCCAACAGAATGAGCCTGCCTCCGCCGTGTTGGCCCCTCTCCCAACTGCCGTGGACCTTGTCAGCCAGGGGGAGTCAGCGAGACGCCCGGCCTTGGACCATGCTGTCGAGCACCCTACCCTGTCCAAGCTCCTCTTCACAAGATGTCTGACCGACATGGCGCCGCCCAGGTGAGTTAGAAAAGTGGGCTAGGCGAGACGCTGGCTCGGTCGTCACTCCGATATTCCAGAGCGTTCCTGTCGCCCAAATCCTCAGAGACAGCTGCCTTACAGAAGGTGCCAAACTATAGGAGTACACAGGGCGAGAGAGAGGTGGAGAGAGCTAGTTAGCCAAGCCTACGACCTTAGAATGCTGGGGGATGGAATGTACTCGAGCAGCTTGGCCCAAAAGGTGACAGTGGGATGATAATAGAATCTCGCCCCCAGGAGTTGCGTGATCGAAAAGAGGTGTATCCGCAATGGCTTCGACCCAGCTGCCTCAGACAGGTTGTCTCGTCCAGAGATGTTCATTCGGATATATTTCCGGCCCCCAAGAGCCCGGGGGCATCGCCGGCCCTGAGCCGGGGATCCGTGGCCGAGACCCTGGTCAGAAGGCCGCCAGACTGCGGCCACAGTCGAGCTGCGGGCAGAACCAGCAGCAGCATGGGGATGAGGCATTGGGCAGATAGTTTGCTCGATCTGAGGCCTCATTCGTGAAGCACATGGCCTCCGTTGGGGGCGCCAACCGCATGATCCAGACCTGGCTATCCTGGTGTAGGGCTAAGTTCAGGTTAAGCGCCGTGGAATACATGGGGAGGGGGGCATAAGCCAGGAACACAGACTGCTGTTGTATGGAACCGCCTATCGCGGAAAACGAGAGAGGGGAGGGAGAGGACTAGGAAAGGAAAGGGTGGGGGGGGGGGATAGAGAGGGACATAGACAGAGAGAGAGAAAGAGAGAGGGAGCTGACTGAGGTGGACTGGCCGTGATCATGTGTTCCAAGTGGACAGACGATGGTACCGCCAGCCGGTTTTCTTGGTGTTGTGTTGCAGTGGCTGCAAAAACAAATGTGACTGGCTGGCATACTGACTCCAAGAATGTTTCAGATCCCGCCCTGCAATCCTCAAGCTTCGGCAGACGAGACTCGGCTGCGAAACGACCGCCGTCCGGCTCCGGAGCCGAGCCTCGGGTGTGTGCCGGCTCGCCACCGGGTCGTACAGGCCGGACGGGAGACGCATCATCGCGGCGGGCACTCTTCGCCAACTCGGGTGTCCTTGCACAACCTCATGGTCTCGAAAGCACTCACTAACTGGAAGCACTCACTCGTTACTCACTCCACAGCAGATCGGATGACGACAAGGATTTATTCTTTGGTATCTTTGAAACAACGCGACCCCGTCCACATCTGCATGCAATCTATGGCTGCAGATGAGTCCAACTCCATGCTTGTATAGTGTATGGGCCTCCCCGCTGGGAAGGCCAAAAAAGCAAATTCAAAACCGAACCAAAGCAGATGGGCGATGGCCTCGATATCCAGACTAGGACCCAGAGCATTGTCCAAGACGTTGGTCTTGTATCAATTGCTCTCGTCATACACCACGCTCCCACAGCGCCCACAGACAAGGCGTTGACGGCCCTGGATCTTCTTGGGCCTGAACTTCTTCGCCCCGCACTTTCGACATGGGGCATCATTCCCATCATCGCTGCTCCGACGGCCCGCCTCACTGTCACTCGTCAGCTCCGAACTGAGCTTGCTGATGACTGAACCAGTCGGAGCAAGGCGGTTCTCCTCGTGGGCCGTCATGGTGCTGAGATTCGAAGCGCCACGCTGCCCGCCGGCCGGCCGCCTCTCGAACCCAGGGACTGGAGGTACCGGTACCGCATCGGCGCTTGGCGAGAGAGGCATCGTTGAGGACCTAGACGCTGCCAGACTCTTCCTACGAGGGCCATCGGACGGCGCCTCGCGATTCTCGGCCGCAGACATTACAGCGTCACTGGCAGTCCTTTGGTGGCCCTTATTCCCTGCGTTGGACTTAGCCTCCCCGCTGGACCCCCTGAGGCCAGCCAGCCCTTTCCAGCGGTTTAGGTTCCAGAATCCGTAGCTTGCTCCAGCTGGATCGAGCCGTAGCTCTTCTGGCCCATCTTCAGCGGACCTAAAGCTAAATGAGGGCACAGGCGGAGGCGTGGGGGCTTCTTCGGGCTTCTTCGGGCTCTTGCGCTCCTTGGCCGTTGACGGCCGGCGTTTTTCCTGTGAGAGATCCTCCCTGCTGTGGTTGTTGTCCGGCCCGTCATCCCCTTTGCTCGCAAGATGCAAGGGTGAAGAGCCGGTGGGCTTCTTCGCCTCGGCAGCACTGGCCGTTTTCGGCCGCAGCCGACCGCTCGCCACACTGTTCGTGGGACTATCGGGAGCCTCACTGGCAGATGCAGGGATCCGCGGAGAAGCCATCACATACTGCTGCTTCCTGGCGTCCGCGGCTAAATTTGCCCGGCTGCCGCTTGCCGCTGGCCGCGTGCTCTTCCCCGGAGACATGCTTCTTTCGCTTCGCACAGGCGTACCTATGCTCCCGGCAATCGAATGAGGCCGTCCGCCACCTTCGATATCCTGGCGCCAACTTAGAATCATGTCCGACGACACCTTCGGCGTCCCAGGTGCACCCCAAGTGATACCAGGCGGAAGGGCTCCGCCAGTACTCAGACTACCACGTCGTGAGTGCGCAGTGCTACTGGCGCTGGTTCTAGTCCTGATACTGGAGGAACGCACCAGGCCGGGTCCCAGGGAACCACCAGGCTTTCTTGAGAAATTGCTGCCGGTCTCCCAGCTCTCATGACGTCGTTTCGAGAAGGCACAGTCCTGTCGAAAGACCTTGATGATGCCTTGGTCGTCCGTTGTCACAATGATGTTGCCACTGTTGTGGGATTTCCGTGCGAGGTAGGCTGGCGAGTACTCGATCTTCTTGACCAGGCCTGGCGTCAATGGCGGGTTATCTAGATCTTGCGACTTTTCCTGGCTGTCGGCCTCGGAGGGTGCAGCCTGAGACGACGTCGCAGCGACCTCGTCCGAGGGCATGAGTGTGACCGGCGGAGGGTTGCAGAGGTCGTAGATCGGGTCTCCGGACTCACTCAAGAGTTGCCTGGTCTTGACCGGGGCAAAGAGCGCCGTAGTCACTATATCCCCGTGGGCATCGAAGCTTTCGCTAGGCTGCTTGTTGGAGTCACCGACGGCTGCCGCGCCCACCTTCCAGATGAATGTCTTTCTGTTCTCGCTCCCACTAATGACATACTGTGCGTCGTCGCTGAAGCTGGCACTGATCTGTGTGCAGGCGTTCTCGTGGCCCTTGAACTTGACATCCAGGCTGCCATCTTTCAAGTTGTAGACTCGAATCCTGGAATCATTTGTCGAGATCATTATTTTGACTCCACCTGGCTCCGTACCACCCGATCCGCCTGAGGTAAGGGGCATCGTCATGGTCTGTATCCCGGTGATTTTGCTCCCTTTCGAGTTTTTGCCCCGCGAGCTCTTGGCATGTATCTGGGTATGGAACTTGAGACCCTCCGTCTCGTAGACCATACACAGTCCGTTGAGGAGGCCTGCGATGGCCAACTTCCCGTCCGGAGTGAATGCCACGGCGGTAATGAGGTCTGGCAGGCGCACGCTGTAGGCGATGTTCTTGTCAGGTATGCTCCACAGCCGCAGCGTCATGTCAAGACTCCCTGCGAGGAAGAACCGGTCATCTGTGGGATGGAAGGCTACTTTGGTCACCACGTCCTTGTGCTTGAACGTGCAGAGGCACTCATCACGGCTGGTATGCCAGAGCCTGACCGACTTGTCCATGCTGGTTGAGAGGAGGAAGTTGTTCTTGCTCCAGCTCAGGTCGAGAATCTCGTTCGTGTGGCCTGAGAGCTCGCGGAACGGGCGTTCGACAAACACCGGCGTCGACAATCGTTCGCCCACAGGACATACAGCAGCCTCTTCCTCCTCTTGTGCCCGTCGCTCTTCTTGAGTAGAAATGACAGCCCATATCCTGACAACCGTGTCCTTACCGGCAGCAGCCAGGTATTTCCCGTCCTTGGAAAACTCGGTAGCCCAGATCGCACCGCCCGTCCGCTCCCTCCTCCTGCCACCGGCACCAGCCACAGACACGGTGACGATGGGGACTTTAGAACCTGCCTGTGCGCCATCGTTACCGGTCAACTTCGGATGGGTCCCTACGAGCTCCTGGGCAAGGAACATGCGGTTGAACTCCCGCTCTTGGTGTTTCTTGTTGTTTGCCTTGGTGCGGATATACCTCGGCGGCTCCTTGTGGCGTGGAATAAAGCCTCCCGCCTCGACAATGTCGGAAAATACCCGGGCATCTGAGCCATCCATCCGAGACTCACCGTTGTACTCGGATTCGCTGTCGTGTATGGAGTCGACATCGGCCCTTGCCTTCCTTGTGGTACGCATTCCGAGCCGACTGAGAAATGATGGGCCTTTCCTATACAAAGCCGACGACAGTCAGCCCCTGAACAATACTGAGACCAGCAATTAGGGATCACGGGGTTTATTGCGTCCCACGGTCCCCTTTCCACAGCCTAAAAGATGGTCTGCCAGGCGGCTGGAGTGCAAACCGACCCGGGCAAGGCAGGGCGAGCCCACTTACTTCTTGTCCTTCGCAACATCACCAAATGGCGTCGTCTGTTTGCCGTTCAGGTCTGAGCTTTGGCGTGGAACAGCTTCGAGTGGCTCTGGACTATCATCTGGCTTTGTAGGAGCCACGCTCCAGTTTCGAGGTTGCCTGGAGAGGGTAGACTCGGTGTTGGTGCGCTGGAAAATATGCTAGAACCAAACATGTTGTCAGCATGACAGTCCTGGAGGATTGGGCTGCTCCACCGGCGCAAGGACAATGGTTGATCGGCAAGAGCAGGCGCAGGACGTACTTGTGACAGCGGATCGACACCCGGATTGCTGGCAGGGGAGTGGGTAGGCTGGGCTATGCTGGTGGCAGATGCCTTTGCAGTGGCGTCGTGGGCATCCTTGGGCGTGGGTGCGGACGCTGCTGTGTCTTGTCGAGTGACGTGGTCGGGCGGCTTCCTCGCAGTGACAGTGACGGCAGAGGTAGGAGTGGGTGGGACTACGGTTGTGGCAGTGGTCGGAGTCGGAGTGGACGACGGAGTCGGTGTGGAACTGTGGTTGCCTGCTTCTTGTGGCGCTGTAAGCTTGGTCGAATCCTACGGAGGAGAGATGCGAAATGCGAGGCAATAGGAAGAGATCTGAGGGACACGGAGTGGTTATGGGATTTGAGAGAGTGTGGCGGTGAGTCCGGGAACGGGGACAGGACGAGGACGGAGACGGGAACGGAGAGACGGCGCATCCAGAGCTTGTATGCCCTACGCATGCGGCGGTTCGTTTCGGTTCGGTTCACATGTGGACCGATGGTGATGAACGACGAGGGGGTTGTGGACCTCAGGGAGGGAGAGGAGCAGATCAGAACAGGACAGGACAGGACAGGGCTTACCTCGTGGGTTTGGTTTGGTGGAGGGCGAGGGCGAGGGTGAAGGCGAGGACACACCGGACGACGACTTGGTGTCGAGGGGCGGGACGAGCACATCGTGGGCAGGGCGAGAGGCAGATGGGGCGTGTCGAGGACCTTGGGAGGTCTTTATGGGGGGAGGGTGAGCCGCCATGTTTCCATCATGTAATGGCACGCACAGCCGTGTGCCCAGCCAGAAAGTCTCGTGGGCGCGCGTCGGTCTGTCGGTCGGTTGATCGATCCGCTGTATGTGGTACTATGTAGTGTAGTCTAGGTGTGTAATGCAGGGAGGTAATGGGTCACACAGGAGTAGATGCAGGCGAGGTGGAGGTCGAGGAGGAGGAGGAGAAGCAGTAGCAGTAGCAGTAGCAGCACAAGCAGTAGCGGCGGCGGCGACGGTGGTAGCAGCAGGAGGAGGAGAAGGAGGAGGAGGAGGACTGGGATGGCCAATACAGTAAGCTTGTGTCTCTGCTTGTGTGTGTGTTTCTGTCCAGGATGGCAGCACCAGCACAATCACAAAAGGGAATCAGACCCACCAGGAGACGCAACGAGGACGGGGATGGACCAGGGTCTGCTCCAGTCTGGGCTCCAGTCTGCTCCAGGGACGGGCGAGATGCGAGATGGCAGATGGCAGATGGAAACAGGGGCCCCCAGGCAGCGTTTCCACGGGCTGGGCTGGCACGGCTTGCCCAGCAGCCCCAGGTGGGCTGGTGCGAGCTGGTGGGAGCCGGCGGGCTGGCATTGGTGGGGCGACGACGTGCAGAGGAATAATAAGGACAATCATTGCCGTAATCTGTGCGGACAAAGGCGACACAAGCCTCGACAAGGTCTCGACATGATGGCGTCGTATCCAGCGTATCCGTACCGTACCGTACCGTAACCGCATGGCACCGTACTCGTCTTCGTAATAATCGTATTATTCGTATTCACCGTATCAATCGTATTAATCGTATTCGACGCATGCAGCACAGCAAAAGGCATCACAAAATAGCCTCAACGGGTAATTCTCAAGACCAGGTCATTGATTGATTGACTGGCTGATTTGCTATCTTGATTTCATTCTTCCTTTCTTCCATCCTGTCCGGTTGCATGGGCGGGGCGTCTGTCTGGAAACAAATGCATGTATCAGTCAGTGCCTCATGCCGATCCCATCCCATCCCATCCTCCATCTTACCCGTACAGCATATCTCTACCGCCACTAGATCCCACTGCTGACAGTCCACGATGAAACCGTGAAACCGTGAAACAGACCTGAGTCCTCCGTTCTGTTTTGTTCTCGGCTCATATGCCGATGGGTGTGGGCACACATTCACACACACACGCACGCCCACACGGAACCCCGGACCCCGCAGCCTCGGAAGATGGGATGAGACCAGGACCAAACCCAAATTCAGGACAGGGACATAACACAGATGACAGGCATGGGCCCAAACTCAATCGCCATAGGGCTGTAATCCCAGCGCCACAATAAGCTTTTCCATTTGGGGGGGTATAAACCTCTGGGGCAACCATCTGCTCAGCAACCACCCACCCTGACCATCCTGACCATTGTCTCTGCATATTTACATTGAAGTCCAATTACGCAGTACGTGCGTGCATGCATGCACCCCATCCATCAATCAATTCTGGCAAATGATGGTGTAGTGTAAATGCCATGTCATTTGAATGCCGAATGCATACGTTGGCATCAACAACGCGAGCAAGGATGCAGTAGGCTTCCGCAGCTTCCGACTGCCACCCGCGTTCTCCCGTCACGTCCCGTCCTGGCTTGTCACGCAACGCAAGCCAAAACTTGGTTGCTCTCGCCAGCGACCATTTTGCAGGCCACGCCCTCGAAGAGCAAGGGCTCGACGTCCCTCGTGTGTCTGGCACGTGGCTCTGTTGCGCGGTACCGGTCAGCCGGGCGCTGATTGACCTCCACTGGTTTGTGTGTGTATGTGTGTGTGTGTGTGTGCGTGCGTCGTTTGTAAAGCAATGACCCTGTATGCTATATCCAGCAGCACATGCTTCGCCGGCTGGGCCGGCCGCCACAGACGCCGGGTTCGCCTGTCATCCCCAACGTGGCGCCTGAACGCATGGACAGGCTGGCCCACAGCTTTGGCCTTTGCACTTGTCGCCGGAGGCTGTTCCCAAGCCTGACGGCGTGGGCGATGAACCTTCATCGTGCTAGTCTACTCGTTGCCGACCGTGCCTGGCCTCATATGATCATGTCGCCGTCCTGTGGCCCACCATCTCCCCCTTCGTCATCCGACTCATCCAGGTCGTGCATGGGGTATGTCAGGATAGCGGCAATGCCGCCCAGGCTCCCAAGCCTCTGCCCACTCTCGTGATCGCTGCTCAGCACCCTGGCCTCACCGCCGTCCTCTTTGACCTTGTCGACCATGGCGACGTACCGCTTCCTCGTCGCGATGTCGTTGCTCCGAAAGAGGTCGTTGTTGACGAGGAGGACGCCACCGCCACGGCCGACGGCTCCCTCCATGACGGCCTTGTGGACGGGCCGGATGCCGTACCACGCCCTGCCGTCGTCCTTGCGTAGCCGCTCGCCGAGCTCATCCAGGAACTTGGTCTCCGAGGCCGACTTGCGCTCCTTCATGAGGCCCAGCACCTCCTTGCTCTTGAGGATCTCGTTGAGCGAGTAGACGTTGCCGCTGCTCGCGTGGGTGATGACGGCGTTCCGGGCCAGGGCCAGAAGCTTCTTATCGGCCAGCCGCGCGCCCTCGTCCAGCACAAACTGGCGGAAGTTGTTTGCGACGAAGCCGGGGCTTGCGATCAGGAGGGGTCGGGGTTGGGAGAAGTCGATGGCGCGCAGCAGCGAGGCGAGGGTCTTGTCGAAGAATCTGCGCATGCCCTTGTCGTCCTTGGTGGAGGCGGAGGCCTTGCGGGAGAGGGGGCTCTGGACGCGCGACTTGATCAGGGTCTGGTACTCGGTGATCAGGCAGATGTTGGCGATGCCCTCGTGCATGACAACCGCAGCGATGGCGCCGTCCCTGTCCTGGTTGAGGGCGTCGCGCAGGGTCTGGACGGCAACCGAGTCCCAGCCGTGCTTCTTCCACAGGGTGAAGGGCCTGTTGAGCTCGAGGTCGAGGGTGTGGTACTGGCCGCGGCTGACAAAGGCATTGTCGGTGGCGACGCGGCCGCTGACGTGCAGGGAGGAGGCGGCGGGGTCGAAGAAGGAGGAGGTGACGGCGATGGTGAGGTCGGTGTGGACGCGCTCGGTGGCGGAGGAGCCCGTGGCAGATTCCTTTGCGACCTTGCGGATGGCGTGGGCGCGGACGATGTCTTCGGGGGAGATGAGGTTGTTGGCGTGCCACATGTCCTCGGGGTCGGTGGGCAGGAGCTGGACCGAGTCCTCGCCGAGGTCCTCGATCTTGTGGATCTTCTTTGCGTTGACGAGCTGCATGCTGGGGCCTTTTGTGTGTGTGTGTGTGCTTGACGAGGCAGGCAGGCAGGGGCTGGGGTGGAGTGGAGGATGCAGAATCCTTAACAAAGATGCCCAGCAAGGCTTTGCAAAGTGGTGAGTGTTTGCAAGGTGGTGAGGGCGGTGAGGGTGGTGATGTTTGCTCAGGTGCTGGCTGGTGAGAGGGTAATCAGTGAATGGCGGGGTTGTGTTGATGTCACCGCAAAAATGAGGTACCCAGGTACTTGGTACGTTGGTAGAAAGTGGGGTTCCCTCTGTGTAGGCACTGTGCAAGCACACAGCTCCCCTCCCCACGTACGCAGGTACTGAGGTACCTATCGCGTACTGCATGTGGGCAGACGCAATCAGCTTCACCAACCCCACCTGTGTCTCTCGCCTCACAGCTCCGAAGACACGAATGTCTCTCTCCAAGGTTGAGAGGCGGGACAGACTTGCAATTTTGCAGCTTTTGAGACCTGCAGACTTGACATGTCACCTCTGCGCCCAGCTTGGAATTACTTACAATAGGTATCCAATCAGCCTGACCAGTGCACTAATGTCTGGGCAGATCCTCCTTTCATCCATCTGTTCCCCTCCCCTGCGTTGGAGGTGGCGCTCCCTACCGTAAATGGTACCTCCATCACAGTACTCTGCTTGCCACCTGCTAGCCTGCCAGGCCAGCCTGCAGTCTTAGATTGCATCTGTCCAGGTTGGAAGGATGGAATACTATGATGAAGAGGCTGGCTTGCTGGTTGGCTGATTGATGGTCTGCGTTACAATCTTTGACCTACATCAAGACCACACTCCATATGTGTTTGTGCTTGTTCACCTATCCTCCATGGTCAGAGGACATCTTGTACTTCTCATGACACAAGCTTCAAGATGAGGAATGCTGTCTTCAGCCTCGCAGCCATCAGCCTCACAGCTCTGTTGGCTCTGTGGCTCATCTTTGACCCCTTCCACACAGACTGGACTGTGCCAGCCTTCCACTTCTCCGTAACCCACACCGTTCTCTTCCAGTTCAAGAAGGACGCAGAACCACAAGCCATCCGAAATGTACGGCCATCCTGGTGGTGTTTTGCCTGTCCTGCCCTGCCCTGCCCTGCTATCTAACATGCACATGCTGACTTGCCCCGTCGAACCAGGCATGTAACCAGATGATGGGCCTCAGCAGTGCCTGTGTCAACCCTTCCACGCTCAAGCCATACATCAAGTCACTCAAGGGTGGCAAGGACAACTCTCCTGAGGGTCTCCAGGTCAGTCAGAACCCATCCTACCGAGCTGGACACCACCACTCGGTGTCATGTGGGCTGTGAGAGGGCAGAGGGGGAGAGAGGCTAATCGATGGCCTGTTGTAATACAGCACGGTGCGACCCATGGCTTTGTGAGTGCTCCCATTGACCTGGGCCTTTTCCTTTTTCATTGATAAACCAGCTAAATTCTGAGCTGTGCAAAGGTGGTTGAGTTTGCCAGCACCCAAGACCGTGACTACTATGTCAGCCAGGACCCCGCCCATGAGAAGGTCAAGAAGACCATGGCCTCGCTGGTCGAGAATGTTGTTGTGGTGGATTGGGAAAATGGCCAGTTCTGAAATGGGAGAGACAGAGGAGAGGTACCTGGGTAAAGGCGGATTGAAGTGGAACCAGCCTCGGATGTCACTGTAGAACTGCTTCTTTATCGCCGATCAGGGGAACAAACAACCCCGCCAGAGCTACATGCATATTCTACATACAGATATAAAACACGCAGTGACTGCTCACACCATAGGTAATGTCCCAATGAGCCGTGCACAGGGACCAGCAAGCCGGCAGAGCTGCCCATTTCTCCCTTCGGGCTCTCTACATAGTCTACTTGAGCATGTAGCACGTAGCAAGCAAGGCGAGCCCAAATACTCCTGAATCAGCCATCCAGCTCCCGGTCCGGCTGTCCGGCTGCATCTTATCAGATCAGGAGCAGGCCCGAAGCCCACCCCTCACCGTGCCGATCTTCGGAAGCCCGAAGCTTTGGCTTACAAAAGAGCTCTACCGGTGCAACGATCGGACAGGTTCCTTATTACCTCAGGAATGGTCCTGGGGTCCAGGGTGTTTCCAGCTAACGGATCTGACGTGACATGGAGCATGGAGCTTGTTTGAGAATATCTGCCTCTCTATAAGAGACAGCGCCTTCCCCCGTCATCCAGATCTAAAACTCTCTGGTCTGTTACACTGAGCCATCGCCATCATCAACTGCTCATCTCACCTCCACGAACCACAGAACAACAACAACTTCCCAACAGCTCCCTCCCAAGCAAGGACATTATGGCTTCCCAGTTGACCCTCCAGACCAAGGTCAAGCTGCCATCAGGCCACGAGATCCCTCAGCTGGGATATGGTGTGAGTGCTATTGTCCCTGGCGTGTACATGTCGATTGCTTTTATTGGGAGCTAGCTAGCTGACATACATGCGCTGCAGCTCTGGCAGACGTGAGAACACTTCGACTCTTGCCCTCGTGCTTGGTCTAAGAACACTCCGCCCGTCTTGCTAACACGCTACTAGCCCTGAAGATGTTGCCGAGGGCGTCTGCATAGATGCCGTCAATGTCGGCTACCGACACGTACGTGAGCCCCACCAAGCTGCCTGTGGGGTGTCTCTGGCCGGGCTTGCTGACCCTTTCTGTCTCACAAAAGATCGACTCTGCATCTGTCTACAAGAACGAGGCCGGCTGTGGTACCGCTATCCGCAAGTTAGCCGCCACCGTCCCCCGCGACCAGATCTTCTTCACCTCCAAGGTGCCCGGCCGGTCCCTGTCCTATGAGAACGCAAAGGCCCAGGTCGACACGACCCTCAAGCTCACCGGGCTCGAATACATCGACCTCATGCTCCTGCACGCCCCCTACGGCGGCTCCAAGGCCCGCAAGGAGGCCTGGCGCGGCCTGGTCGAGTGTGTCGAGGAGGGCAAGGTCCGCAACATCGGCGTCTCCAACTACGGCGTGCACCACCTCGACGAGCTCGAGAAGCACATCAAGGAGCTGGAGGCCGAGAGGGGAGGCCCGGGCAAGGGCGGCGTGCTGAGCGTGGGCCAGTGGGAGATCCACCCCTGGTGCGCCCGCAACGACATCGCCGAGTGGTGCAAGAAGCGAGGTGTCGCCATCGAGGCCTACAGCCCCCTGGTGCGCGGCGAGCGCTGGGGCGAGCCGGTGCTGAAGAAGCTGGCCGACAAGTACGGCAAGACCGAGGCCCAGGTGCTGATCCGGTGGTCTCTGGAGAAGGGCTACGTCCCCCTGCCAAAGAGCGTCACCCCCGAGAGGATCAAGCAAAACACCGAGGTTTACGACTTTTCCCTGACCCCGGATGAGGTCAAGGAGCTGGAGACCACCGAGTACAAGCCTGTCTGCTGGGACCCCAACACCACTCCCCTGGACAACTAGACAGCATTGCCTTTGGCTGTCTGTCTGTCAAGCGACCCGGCGGCTCTGGAATAGAGGCTGCGGCAGTGTGGGTTAGAAACAGAGCTGCGACAAATGAGCACTGCTGTCATGCAGTGGTAACTGTTACCAGCAGCCAATGTCCAAATTACTATAGTGTGCGATTCTGGCAAGAAAGATGAAAGTCTCGCAGCATACTTTTCATTTTATGTGTGCCACTCATAGTGTCGCAACGAGAGCTAAGAAAGGTGGAGCTACCTAGGTAGACTATGTGACTGGGCTGCAGATCCAGTCAACTTCCGAGAGAAAAGAACAGAACTTTTTGACAAAGCATTTGCCGCCAAATGAAGGCCTTTTGCCAGAGGGGTTTTCCAGTACTCCCCCTTCCAATACTCCATCTTGAAAGAAGAGTCAGGTCTTGTTAATCGTTTCCATGCCACCTGGAGCACAAAGTGCATGCCTGCAACAGTTGGAAAAGAGACAACCACATGTTGGTCCTGTGAGTGGCCTGATCTGCCCCGGGCCTCTGTCCATCCGTGCATGTCCATCTGCATGCAAGGCGCCCATGTCCAGCCTCTCCAGCACCTTCTGTCCAGCCAAGTGTAGACACAAGTGGGCTGCATGATGCATCATGAAAGAATCAGCCCTGTGAAATAAGAAGGCGAAATGAAAAATCAGTATCAAAAAATCAAAAAGAAAAAGAAAAAAGAAGAAAAACAACAACACAAGAAAACTCCTGGAGTGTTGAAAAATGTAAGCAGTCGAAAAGAACGAAATCCTTGGCTGGAGAAGGTCGAGAAGTGTTGCCACAACTCAAGCAGACCGTATCTGTAATGCTTGCAGCCTGGTAAGAGGGCTTGAGTCGCCTCCATACACATAGTTGCTAGATGAAACATTGTCAGATACTGGTAAGCGATGCTGATATGGTCTGGCCACTTTACCTCTGCAACGCAAGACACACACCAACCATGGCTTCTCTCGGTTCACTTCTCTTTCTCGGGCTCAGCCTCGTTCAGCAGCTCAGCCGCCTCCGAAAGAGCCACAAGACCCTCCTCGCTCTGCTCCGCACCATGTCCGAACTTAGTGCAGTTGCTGGTAGACTGGCAAAGATTGCTGTACTGAACCTCATCCTGGTCCTGGGTCGCATCGTTCGCCTCTGTAGCCGGTGGAATCTGAGAACGAAGCAAGATCAGGTCGTCGTCGGCAGCAACATCAGCAGCCTGAGTCGAGGTTCCAAGATCCTGAGTAGTCTTCATGATAATACCGGGCTGCTTCTTGGCGGTCGCTCCATCTCCGTGGACCCAGGTGTCAGTGTCCAAGGTGAAGATGCCCCACAGACCAACGGGAATAGGGGAAAAGTCAACAGCAAGAGCAGCCAGCAGGTTGCAAGGGCTGTACATGTACGGGTACGTGGCCCAGAACTTGCGGTAGGTGGGGACCATCGCGTAAATGTAGTAGGCGAGGAAGACCAGTGCAAGGAGGGGCTGGTGCTGGAGGGCATGAACCCAGCCAAGGATGTGGATCAGGCCAACAGGAACCCGGAGGATACGGTTGACAGTGCTGTACAGGATGTACGGGTGGCGGTAAGTCTGGGGGACTTCGGTGAGGAACTTCAGGTAGTTCTGCAGCGTGTTCCGCTCCTAGCGGATACGCTGGTCAAGCATAGTCGAAGTGGTCTTCACAGTACGCCAGACCATAGCGCCCTCGGTGTTCTGGATTGCGATGACATGGCCCTGTTGATGGAGGAAGCGGGTAACCATATTGTCAGATCCGGAGTTAAGGGGGCGACCGGCCCACGTCTCGGTGACGAAGGCATCGAGGAAAACGGGGTCCTGGAAGATGGCTGTGCGAGCCAGCCAGTTACAGCCAGCCAGGCACCATGTCCATTTGTCTGCGACCCAGCTGGCAGTGCTACCACCACGGCCGTTGAAAAGGAACTTGGCACCTGTCAAAAGAGGATGTCAGCTGCAGTGAGCTCTAAGGAAAGTGGTGGTATATAGGGGGTGAAGAGCATTCATACGCACCAGCAACCTCCCAGCCCGTAATGATGTCCTTGGAACGGCGCTCCTCAGGGATGCGAACACCAATTGGACCACCCGCTGCACCGACCTTGGGGTCCTCGAAACAAGGGAGCACTGTGAGTTTTGATACGTGTCAGTTAGCGGGCAAGGCTTGAAATACAGGGCATCGGTTTAGTTCGTTGGGAAGTGTCAACGAGAGGCCGTATGGGGTCAGGCATGGTGCTCAGACTCGATGCTTACTGCTCTTCAACATATCATCAGACCAGAGAATCTGATCATCAGTGACAGCCAGGATCTTGCCACTAGCCTCTTTGAAGCCCATGGCATGCTGGAGGCGGTGGCCCATAACACCCTTGTCAAGGTGGAAGACGTTGATAATCGCACGGTCCTCCGGAGTCAAGTCATAGGACTCAAGAGCTGAGAGGACAGTTTGGACTGCAAAATGTCAGTTCGCTGCAACACAGTGCACAGTGCATGAGGAAATGATTGTTGAGGCCCTTGTAAGATCTGCGTAGTAAAAACAAGACCGGTGCTGAGCAGAATCTTCGGGGTAGTGTACATACAATAGTCAAAGGTGGTGACAAAAATGACCTCATGCGGCTGGTTCTTCAGCCAGGACTTCAGACACAGCTCCATGATCTTGGGAGGAGTCAGGAGGGGAACGATGACAGAGACATCCTTGCTGGTGAAAAGAAGGTCCTCTTGGGTGGGAAAAGGCTTGTACTTGGAGCTGTAGTACGAGGCGACTTTGCTCTCAGCCGCTCCCCAAGCTCTGTGAGAATTCTGGTCAGTTACAGTTGATAAGATCTCCCACTTGCGTTTGGCCTCTCAGCGATGTGTGGATTGTTGGGTGTTTGTGTGTGGGATGAACATGCGTACACATTGCGTGTGCTGTTTGTGAAAAGAGACAAGTGACATAAGACACGTTACGGGACTGTGAGGAGGAATTGCGTTTCTGGATGCGGTTTGCTCGTCGCAATGGCTTGCGCGCGCGTGTCTGACGCGGTTGGGGGGCTGTCGTGATGTGTGTGTGCAAGGTTGACTGGGAAAGGTCACAAGAGGCTTGACTTACCGCATAAGGCCAAGAATGGCCAATCCAGTGTAAGACATCGTGAACAATTCCAGAGATCAGTTGTCTTGGAGTGTGAGAAGCTTGTCACGCTGTGGCTGTGTGGGACAAGATATTGACATCAAACCTTTGAGGGTCGTGGATGCGATCGAGTGGAAAGATGAGAAAGTGAGCGAGGCAGGAAAACAACACCCCGCAAGGCTGCCACGAGGAACGATTTATGCTTGCGGTAGCGCGCTACGATAACCGATAAGCCACTTGAATTGTTCCAATGTCACTGAGGTTGGGGGGAGGGGCCGCAAGCTGGAATAGAAAGAGAAAGAGTATGTGAATACAGAATAGCCTGCATCGGATGAAATCAATCCAGATGAGGTCAAGTTGAGGTCTATTAGAACCAGTAGTTTTCAAACACAACATGAACGGCTTATGATATGCTCACTCTTATTCTTAGGTAGTCTGAGGTGTAGTTGTGTAGAGGGTGTAGGTCACATCCAAAGCATCAAACATGCTGTCAATATTGACCTGCAATTGACAGCACTCGTAAAATCTAGGAACCAGAGTCTAGCTAAATGACCAACTGTTACCTAAGATCTATTACTTGCTTGGAACATTGGTCACTATACCATAGTGAAGTTGATTTCTACATGAATACATGCTTGTGTTCTACTGCACACCTGGCCACATTCACTCAAATCCAGTCCGTGGAAGGCAATAACAAAGAGGGTCCCATACACTTGAACAGGTCAGACACCCGCATTCTGTCCAAGTATCGCAAAAATCCGAATACTAATGCCTGAGATCTAGTTGTGAAGCCTTCTGCAGAATAAGTTATCCTTCCGCTTGTTAAACAGGGCACATGCCCGCAGAGAATTGCACCATGTCCCGCAATAGTGTTTGTATGGTTATATCCTAAAGGGAAGGCAAAAATCCGAACAAACAATCAAATCCCGCCATGAAAAGCTGATTCGCTTTGGTCGTCCATGGGTTCCCGGATGGTTTGGCCACCACCAACAAGACAGTCTGTTTCCCTCCGGACAGCAAACCCATGGGACATGTAAGGTGGCCAGACTACAGCATTTGGAAAGCATTGCCATCCCTAAAAATAACAACTCAAGGAATTTCTGCAGCAATGGAAATGTGATACAGTATACCTTGGCTGCATATGAAGGCTTGAGCTGCAATGACACGTACATAGGTCCTCGTAAACCCGGGAAACACAGATTGACACTTGAGGTGGTCAAAGGCGGAGAAGTTACGACGGAAAATTGAGTCCGGAGTAACACAAGATCTCTGAGCTGAATATTGCAATATGAATCATACTCGCTCATTCTGTATATGTGATGGTGGATCAGGAGCCCGACAGGCATCAGCGAGAAAGGTATATATATGTCAGGCCGCTCCCATGGAATGCACACGAGATGTTCAAAGCAAGTGATGCAACAATTCATCCATAAACAATTGAATCTATGCTGAAGCCTCCACGATGCTGCCAAATGATGCTTGGGACACAAGGGTAAGGTGATGTTCTGTTCCTTCAGCTGTTCAACACCTCCGCCAAGATTACACTCACGTTCCCTATACCGATCGTGCTTCTCATTTAGGAAGATGAGTCTAGCAAGACTGAGAGACAGTACTGGTCAAGAGCCGACATCGTCTGAGCAACCTGTCCAAATCATAGCTCATGTCAGAAGAATACAATTGTACAGATTGCTAACGGATCATCATGATGCTTAGGTAGCCAGGTAGATACGGCTAAAAGCCTGCACTGCATAATATCTAAGTAAAGCGGAGGCATTGTAAAGCGGCAGATGGATGGTCATGTAAATTTGTAGACATAAAGTTGTTTGCGGATGGTTAGCAGCAACAGCAGCAGCACACGCACACAAGCACAGTTTCAGAAGAGAAGCATAGAGCATTTTCAGCGGAACAAAAGAAAATCAATTTCTATCACTGGACTGCCCAGAATTCATCCGCATCATCTCCTTGAGAGCCGCCGTTTCAGCCTCTTGCCTCGCAAGCCGAAGCTTCAAGTCATCCCTCTCACGAGTCACACTGTCCAAGGCGTCCTCCAACTCCTGAATCCGGTCGAGGCGCTTCTGTCGGTACTTGCGCGCCGCGATGGTGTTGCGCTGGCGCTTGAGCACGATGTCAGGGTCTTCAATCGGCCTGGCAGGCTGTCGACCGGCTCCACTGGCGCCGACAGGCCGCGGACTGCCGTCGGACTGAGAGGACGCTGGCGACTTGCTTCCGCTTGAAGTAGCGGCGGTGGCAGTGGCAGTGGCAGTGGGAACAACAGCAGTGGGCGCGATGGTGGCAGTGATGGGGTCGAGGGTTCGAGGTGATGTCAGCATGTGAGGGTGATGGATATTGGCGCTGAGATGGCGTGGAGTATCAACGAAGAAATCTGGGATATTTGTAGACTCAGGGAGGGCGTCTATCAGGGCAGGGTCTGGGTCGCCTGGTCAGAGGGTGCTCGCACTTGTGGTACATATTTATATAGGTTACCACTCACCGAAATTGAAGTTGAGATCGAGGGGGGGCACGGCAGAAGACGGAAACTTCTCGCCCGACGTATCCCAGGCTTGCCCAAACGACAGAGGGTCTTGGGCAGCATATGTACCTCCAGTAGAGTTGCCGGACCAGAGCAGTGGCGACAGGAAGTCTGCATTCGAGGGATCGAGACTGAGCCCTGCCGCCGCCGAGGGGTCTTGGTGGAGACTGTAGTCTAGGAAACTACTGCTGAGATGGTCGGTAGAAGATATCTGCGGTCTGGCGCGCCGCCGCTGCAGAGCTTGCTCCTGCGGCGTCCATTGTTCGATAGTGTGGGACGGCCTCTAGTACCGAGGCCGGGCTCAAGTCTCCTGAGGAGAATCCTATGGGGAGGGGCGATCTGGTTGTGGCTATACCATCAAACCAGTACTTTGACTTGGAGGTCGAGGGTCTATGTGAAGACGAGGGGAGGTGAGGACATGGTCATTTATACTGAAGTACACCAATGCCCATGAGTGAGCATCGCCAAGAGCCAAACCATATCCGGACAGACGCATCCTGCATCTTGTCTGCCCCAGTGCTCAGCCCCTCCCTTTGCACCTGTATTAGGAATAGCCAAAATGACTCATAGTGAGTATGAAGCCGCGGCGCAGACTGAAACCAAGACCAGGCCAATCGGAGATTGCGTGCAATCTTTGTTCACCCACACCGCCCGCACCGTCTCGCGAAACCACTCCAGATCAGCACTCGCATCTACTAAGCACCATGCAGTTGGAATCGCCCGTTCCGATCCGACCTAGACGATGTAACGATCCCGTCTGCCGTACACAATGCCTTGGCGCCACCAGCACACAGCAGCAGCAGTACGGCGTGGGGGAACGATAATCGGCCCATCTGATCGTATCGGCATCTCTTTAGTCTGGCCAAAGATATGGTTGTTTCATCAATTAATAAAGAAGCTGTACCACAGTAGATCGCAGGCCTGACAACGAATGTCAACAGACAAATGTGAATCCATCCATATTTCGCACCGCCGCCCGATGTTTGTCCCTGACAAGAATGATGCTTGTCCGTATTTCCAATGGGAGTCCAGCTCGTCCCTACCCAGATGGTCAAGACGATGAGGCGAGTCTCAGCGACTCGAGCTGCCGAGATGTGGGAGAGATTGGCCTTCAGAAGTCAGCTTCTGGTAAAATAGTAATCCTCAAAGCATGTCATGTTCGCGAGTACGCTCGATTGAACAGCTCTTGTAGTCATGTGTAAAGACGTCTTCAGCACGCAAGCCACGATTATGGATTCAATTGGCCATCAGAGTCGCCAACTCCTTCCCAGTCCAGTCCCACAGCTTCTCCCCGAGCGCACGATCCTGCGATATTGAACTTCCTTTTCCAGCAACACCAACAGCCTTGTAGTACTCGCCGCTGACCACGCCCTTGGCTGTGGCGGTCCACAGCTGGCACTTAGCTCATTCTTGGACGTCGACTACAATAAAAGGGACAACGGTCTTCTAAATCGCTCGGATGAGCCAACTGCCCGCACTGGACTTCTGCAAAACCTTCTTAACTGTTCCGGGGTGGACTGGGACTGTAGTCCACTGAGTGTGCCTCTTTGCTAGTTCTCGGGCGTAAATGAGACTGGCAAGTTTGCTCTGCCCATACAAAGCACGTACGCCTTCACCAGTGTTCTTCAGGCCGCCCAACGTGGGTTGTTCCAAAGTGAATCTCGTAGCCGTCCTTGGTCTGACTCGGAGGACAATTCATGACGGCAGCATCGAGGATAAGGATGTTCAATCTTTGGGCTGACTGGAGCAGGGTCTGGGCCGCCTGTCGGATGGAAGCGGACGACGTGAGGTCTAGTTCTAAGAGTTTCACAGTCGTGGCTTGGGTGAATTTTTTGACAGTTTCAATAACATCATCTGCCCTTGCTGAGCTTCGACCAGTGATTCATATTTCAGATGGGTTGTGTTTTGCAAGAGAAAGGGCAGACTGTCGACTGAGGTTATTTGTGTCTCATGTGATGTGAATGACTTTATTCTCAAGAGAGGGTATGTCTCTTTCAGTATCGTAAGGGAGCTAGGTGGGTGCCATATTGGATTGTAGCAAGGTGTGCATGGAATAAAGGAAGAGGAAGGCAGAGCATAATATGAAATGTGAATAAAGTATTTGTTTGCAGCGTTTTCCAAAAAATTTAATATGAGTTCTTTGCACCCAAATTGAGAGTGAAAAGAGAAATGAGACCTTATCATGGATGGCATGACCCGCCCAGATAGAGCAGGCTGAAAAAGGGACACGCTTATCTGGACGGTTGGATGGTTTCAGCAAGCTGAAGTCAACGAGATGCTGAAAGTCGCCGATAGAGTTGACGAGAAAATCGATTCTGCACTCTACCAAAGCTGGTTGGGACTGAGCCACCTGAGCTTACTGAGCTCATTTGATTGACATTTTGAGATGGCCTTTGTCTAGAATTAACGGATACTTGCATTCTAGCGTAATCTTATTCTGACCCCATGTTCATTCTAGATATAGCGGCAGCTCAATGGGGAGGGGCGACTGCATGGGTAGATGATGCTTTTGCTATGCTCAAATAATGATCACAGGCCCAGGCCTCCACCCACTCCCATCTGGCTGGCCATCGGCAGAACGCCTCCAGCATGTCACGACATACAGGTCGCCGACTCCTTGTACGCCGTCATATGTCGCTCAAGTCATCATCGGCCCATGCAATATCGGCCAGCATGTCAAGTTCAGCCCCGGCTTCGAAGTCAAAGTCTCCGTAGTCTGTCTCCTGTGAAGCCACCATCTCCGTCGTGGTCCCCGCTGCCCAACCTGTGGCTTTGCCCACAGCGTCTATCCTCACCCCATGGGGACTTCGTAGCCTTGTGGCAGCTGGGGACCTGTTGCCGCTGCCGACATTGTCTACAAGTCCGCATGCATCTTCTGTCTGGATGGCCTCAAAATAAGTCTCATCATCGAGGAGGTCGTCTTCCACAATCTCGGCAAGCTCCTGCTGAGCAAGCTCCTCAGCCCGGGTCTGTCTCTCCTGCACGCGAAGTTCTTCCTTGCGCCGGCGCTCCTCGGCCAAATTCTGCTTGTAGCTGCGCTCCATGGCAACAAGGACTTCGGCGCCGGGTCCACTGGAGCCGAACATCCGCTTCTTCGGAGGCGACGCGCCTGGCGCGCGGCCATTTTGCGAACGTTGTGCGGTACCGCCACTGTTCGAGTTTGTGTTCGCTGGTGACAGTCGGGCTGGCGAGTGGGGGCACTGAAATGACGGCGACTGGCGGCCAAAGCCTTCGATTGACTGACTTTGGCCGGTATTGTAGCGTCTGCTGTTCCTCTTCGGCGAGGACAAGGGGTTCTGCGAGGTCGGTCGAGAGGGAGGATGCCCGTTGCTAGAGCCTTGAGGGCGCTGCGATTTTGGGCTATTTAGTGTTTCAGTCGGGCATTGCACAGCTGGCGTGACCTTCTGCCCTGAAAGTTGGCCACGGATTCCAATATCATTTATAGAGGGCGGCAGCAGTCGTCTGCGATCCAACTCAAGGCTTGTCGTTCCTTTGCAAGGGTACATCGTTGCACCTGCGCTGTCTTTGGCTGCCTGGACCTGGAATCCCGTCATAACCTGTCTCTTTGCACCAGAGCACAATGTCGGATCTTTCAAAGGCAAAGCTGTCACGTGCGAAGCCCTGGACGCAGGATCTGTTGGCACTTTGCTCGGGGTCTCCAGTTCTTCCATGTCCTGAGAAGAAAGAATGAAGTCTTGCGTCGCGAGAAAGGGAAGATCGGGCAGCGCATCTCTGTTCAGCTGGTGATGGAGAAGCGGCGAGGCTTGTCGATGGGCCACAGCCGGTGGCCTTCCGTTCTGATCATTAACGGGTATATCAGTGAAAATTGATGGGGTCTGAAGCAGTGACGGCCGGCCTGCTGGTACTTCAGCTGTACCTCCTAGCTCCTGACCCTCGTCGAGCTCCCGTGCTTCCTGGGAAGGGCTTGGAAAGAGCTCGTCCACATGATTCATGACCAAAAACTGAGTGCTCGTGGGAAAAGCCTCGCCTGTGTTGGCGGGCAGTCGCCTCGAGCCTGCATAAGTAGGAGAAGCCTGGACCGGTATAGGTCTTGGTGCCGGCCTCATCTGCTTCGAGAGGAATTTTGGCCGACCGGATTGGAGATGAGCAGCTCCTGCAGGTGGTTTAAATCTAGGAGGAGCGGATGGCTCGGCAGCCACTGCGCACTTGATTGCAGGTCCCTGCTTATCTACAGGGATGAATGGTGACGCTGGCTTCTTGAAGACATCCTCGACTTGTCTAGCACGGCCGTGGCCTGTGGGGGGTAGCTGTTGCAGGGGAAGCCGGTTGTCGACAGGCAGCTGATGGTATCGTAGTTGTTGCGGCCTAGGAGGCTGAGGTCGAGATTGAGGGCGGAGTGGTGGTGATGCTTTGGGAATGGCGGAGGCATGTGAGGTAGGCTGGACACGGGATGGCAGGGGTTCTCTGGCAGGGCTCTGTCTATTCGGGCTTGATTTGGTCGCACTCCTGGAGGAGGCCAGTTCAACATCTGCTATGAGCTGATCCTCCAGCATGACTTCAGTATCCGGGTCATCTGTGTCGATACTGCTCGGTCTTGACCACGACTCCATCTCGATCTCCTGTGCAACCCTTGCTATAGCTCCAGCTGATGTCTGCGAAGGAATGTATATCATCCTGTCGAGTAGGTTCTTATTTGGCTGATCGAGCTTCCGTCTCTTGGATGGCCTTGCCGTGGGATCTTTGAAGGCGTCCGTTGGCTCCTCGTTCTCCTTTTCCGGTGCTCGCTCCCCCTCGTCTTCAGCGGGATGACCTTGCCGCCTCTCGCTTGGCTCATGACGAGCGTCAGTCTCGGATTCGGCTTCTGTTGCGGACTCTGATTCGGCTTCCAGGACTGATTCAAGGTGGGCGTTGGTCTTTGCCCCGGAACCCAGCTTGTTGATGAATCTTGAAATCGTGTCTTGGCTGGGGTGAACCTCAACGAGTGGCAGACCCTTCCTCCTCCTCTCATCTCTCTCCTTTTCCTCCTTTGCCTTCTTTTTGTCTCTTGCGAGCCTTGCCCTTGCCTGGGCCTTTTCCTTCTCGAACTCCTTGCGTATCCGATCCTGTTCCATGAGATCGATGCGACGTTGCTCGGCCTTGGAAAGCTTGGGGCCCTTGCTCTTCTGCCGGTAGAGCTTCTTTGCCTGCTTGGTGGTCATGGGAGGCTTGCTCTGGACAGCGGCAGCGGGCTGTTGTTGTTGGGCATGACCCAGGCCAGGCAGGTCTGGGATCAGCTCGAAGGTCTTCTGTTTTGGTGCCATGGCGGCGGCATGGTTCTCCTGAGACTTAGACTGAGCCTGAGCCTGAGGTTGAGACTGTACAAATCAATGGATTTTTGATGGATGGAATAAATCCAGTCTGTCTGGCAGGTGAATGATTGATTGTGAATACATGGGATCGGAAGACGAGAGCTGACGAGGGGGGTGTAAGCGTGACCGATGGCCCCACGACGCGTCTTGACTTGGAGCTCGACCCCCTGTCATCACGCCAGCACGTGCAGGCTCCAGGCGCAGGCACTCAAGTATCCAAGTACCCAAGTACTCTACTCCTGCTTTTGTTGCCTTTCCATATCTCATCTCGACCTTGTATCTAGACTACACGGTCTCAACAATGCAGTTCGGCACACAGATGTATTTCAGCAATCAATAAGTCTACTGTACATTGTCATGCAGCTGGCCCAAGTCCTCTCATAGCTTCCACCCTGCTTTAATCATCGTGCAAGCTTGTCCTCAAATGGGACTGTTCAGCTCTGGGTGCTCGACATCTCGAGGCTCGATGAGCGTCTCCCTCTTCTCCTCCTTGTCCTCATCCTCCTCTTTCACTCTGATGAGCTGCTAGCACATTTAGTCTTGTCTCGCCGGATCCAGATCGACCTTTCCAACAATGCCGTCGATCTCGGCCAACACCTCTGGTGTCAGCTTGTCCAGTGCTTTCAGAGCTGCGCAGTTCTCCACCACCTGCTCCGGCCTCGACGCTCCCGTGATGACGGCCGACACGTTCTTATTTTTCAGGCACCATGCCAGTGCCAGCTGTGCTCGTGTGATACCCAGCTTGTCCGCGATAGGCTGATGGTCCCCAAGACGGCCTGTCAGCTATGCTGTTGCAAAGATACGCACAGTACAGGCTCGGTGTATTCGAATTCGAAACTCAACACAACTGGGCTCATCGGAATGGCTTGACACTCACCTTCAGCTGCCTCGCCTTTGCAATCGTGTCCTGCCACTCTGCATTCGCGAATGAGTCTCGGACGGAGCTCACAAACTTGTCATCTCCCTTGGCAAACCTTGACCCAGCTGGTGGCTTGTCCGGGCTGTCGTCGTACTTGCCACTCAGCAGCCCAAACTTGATCGGGCTGAACGTCGTCAGGCCAATGCCGAATCGGCTGTACAGTCGCTGGAACTCGCCCTCAACCTTCTTCCTCGAGAGCATGTTGTAAAATGGTTGCTCCACCACCGGCGCGATCAGTCCCAGCTGCTTCGCAATCCCGCAAGCCTCTGCAATCTCATCCGCCGACCACTCACTCGTCCCCCAGTACATTGCCCAGCCCTTCTGCTCGATGACGTGATTGAAGGCCCGAACAGTCTCCTCCATCGGCGTCAGACGATCCGGTCGGTGAGCGTACACGATGTCGACATACTCGAGGTCCAGGCGCCTGAGCGACTCCCTGAGGCCCTCAATGATGTGTTTACGTGACAGGCCATGGTTGTTGACCAGCACCTCCCCATTGGCACCTCCCCAGTTGAGTTTGGTGCTCACGACAATGTCATTGCGCTTCCACCCGAATTTCTTGATCGCCTGGCCCATCGCCACTTCGGACTGGCCCCCGGCGTAGCTGCGGCATTTTCAGAACGCAGCCCCTAGGTCTTGGTAGCCCTCAGCACTCACCTCTCAGCCGTGTCGAAGAAGTTGATGCCCAGGTCATATGCCTGCTTCATGCACGCAAAGGTGCCCTCTGACCAGAATGTTAGTGGCCAACAGCATTAGAAATATCCCGGGCCAGTTCAGACACACCGTTCTCAAGCTGTCCACCGAAGCTGCGCAAGTCGTCAGCACATTCCGGACCTAACTTCCATCCGGTCCAACGGTCGAGAACACGTACGTGAGCCATCCACCCAGCCCCAGCACGGACACATGTAACCCCGAATTGCCTATGCTGCGTCAGAATATAAATGTCTTGCCAGCTGTGGGCGTTCAGTCCACCATACCTAGCCTCCTGTAGGCCATTCCCGTCTTCCGAGGCTCTTCCCAAGCCATCTTGAGAGTCTCAATTGAAGCGATTACTGATGGCTGATGTTTAGAACAAGGCAATGGCAACCTGTCGATTTGGTTCTCGAGCTGATGATTTTTCAGGAAGTCATGCCAACTTCGGTTGCCGTCTCCAAAAGCTTTCTCTCAGTCAAGCGGCCTGGTCCGTCATCAACTGATGGGCGGAGAAATTCTCGGCACTGCTGGACCGGTGGACCGGCGGCTCAATGCAGTAGTCCGGACCGGCGCTTTTCGACGTCTGCATCGCGAACCCACATTCCAGGAGATCAACCCGCGCATATTTCTCCTGCTGCTCACCCTCGGCATCGAGCATCAGGCATCCAATTCATTTCACTCGTCATTCATTCATCCAGAGCTCCAAGTGCTGTGGTATGCTATCGATTAGATTCTATTACATTGCACAATGACTCATGTCCGCGAAATCCGCAGCCCATCCGTCCCACGACTCATCTGCCGACTGCGTGAGGAACATGGAGGCTATGCTTTCCTCAGTGCCAGTATCCAGCGCACGTTGGCTCGGCTCTGGTCGAAGATTGGTCCACACTGGTAGCTGCACACGCAGAGGATCGTTCAGCCTCATCATTGCGGCCATATTCAGGTATGCCGAGTTTGATGGCGTCCTAACAGCCGGCAGACTCATCTCGCAAGTACCGTCATCGACGTTGTCCTCGTCGGCTTCATATGTCTCTACGTTCGGGTTCCACGCCAGCTCAGCCGAGCCAACACTCTCCACCTCCGCTATCCTCGCGCATAACAAAGTCAGAAGAGTCTTATTGCCCCCGCGTGAAGAGGCAAGGAGCCTCTGTAGCTTGATGAGCATCTCGACAGGCCGTACGTCCGTATTTGTGAGGCTCCGGGCCATGTCCGAACCGGCTGTCAACGTGTATATGTACTCCGTGAGTGCACTGGCAATCTCGAAAATCTTGAGCTCTATGGTCGGACCGTGAGCTTCAAGTGCCGTCTTGGAGCAATGGCAGATGTGTGACAAGAAGTCAGCCACGATGCGGTATGGCTGTGAAAGAAGACTCTGCTGCTCTGAGGATACGCCTGCCCTGGACCTCCGTAACGATGCCCGCCAGACTACCGCCTGCATCCAACATTTTGTGACGTATATGTCGGCCCTCTGCACATCGTTGCTCTCGAACTCGTCTGACGAGATCTCTTGCAGGCGGTGCTGAAGATACTCTAGGCGACTTTCCTCATACGTCCCAGTATCATCATCAGCCTGTGTAAGCAGGTCGAAGGCACCGCTCTGATCAAACAGCCAAAAGAGATCGACCAGCTTCTTGAAAGCCGGCAGAATGTGCGCTTCATCTAGCTCGATGTTGGTCCTGTCCACCAGCAGTGGAAAGCTGGCCTGCCATTTCAAGACAATAGGGAGTTTGTGCAGCATGGCCACTCCTCTCTCTGTGACAAAAAGTAACCATAGAATGCGGCGTCTCATCTGCTGCTCCTCTGGCGATAGCAAGACATAGGTTGACTTCCGGTGGAGTCCCATGATCTGTGCCATCGTGATTGCCTCCCGGAGAAACATCAGGCTCTTGGTCCCCCCCGGACTTTGGTTCTCGTGATAAATATGTTGGAAGAAGGCTATCCGAACCATGTTGAGCCCCGCATCTGGGCCGTCATCTCCATTTGCATCCTGAAGAAGCAGCTTCGCTCTTTGACACTCGGCAGTCATGGATGCAGCTGTCGCTGGATCATTGTCGTCTGTTCTTCCGTCGAATGGCAGCTTGAGCTGTACAATCACTGCTGCGCACACGGCGTTTGCAAGTGTGTAGGTGCCAAGGTCTGGGGAGTCCCTGAGGAGTGACGCTATGATGTCTTCAGCAGCGAGGATGGGCCAAACTGGGAAGAGACGGAGGCGATAAATGCACAGTCGAACGATTAGGGATGACACAGGAGTCCTTTCAAAGCTGCTGGATATGCCGTCATTGCCTCTCACAAGGGACGGTTCTCCGCCAGGACAACTGTCGGTAGAAACACCATCCACCGGGCGACCAGCATTACTGTTCTGCGCACATGGGCTTTGCCTCTTCTGGGTGTTCTGTATCTCCTGCAGGGTCTTCGCTCTTAGACTTCGAGGGCCCCTTGTTGCCTGGCGTTTATTGAAGGTACATTCGATCCCGATGGAGGAGCACCTCGTGCATGGTGGCTCTTCCGTACATCTCACCTTGCGAATCTTGCAGCCATCGCAAGCCCGGCTGCCGATCTTGCGTCGTGGCAACGCGGACATGATGTCTTGACCTTTCAGCGTACAGACCCACTTGTCGGGCTCGTTTTAAGGATGGCGAGCACGCCACGCAGCATTCGATCACGGTGCAATGCAGGGACCAAAGGATCTACTGCATCATTACCCAGCGGGCCGTCCCTTTGTTTCGTCCGGCCTGCCAGTACCACTCAGTCGGGCTCGATAGCAATGTCGTGATCCGGTGCAGCGATGAGATGCCTGGGCAATGGTCGGCTCGCTGAGAGGTTGAACAAACACAAAAGGGTGGTAGCCACCACCAGCACCTGGAGAGCGGGAGGGGGTCCCTGGGGCCCTTCGATAATGACCCGCTGGACCCGGTTACCCCAGATTCCAATGCGGGTCCAGTCCTTGCGCCATTCCGCTCCACAATAGACTCATGCATTAGTGTGGTTCTATCATGGCTCACCCTTGGACCCGCCATGCGACCTTGGCGAGGTAATCCCCACCGACAGAACGCAGTCCTCAGTGTAAGGCTCTCTCTACCTAACTTCATGATGGAACACAAGGCTCAAAAACAAAAGTCAGAAGATATGTATATCCGTATATCTTGTAGCATTTGCTATACTCTTGAGCAGCAAGCAAACACGGACACAGAAGACCGTTTTGCCACGGCATTTTCGATCGCGACCTATTTCGGCCACAGGAATAATGCAGACAATATCGGGCGATTAATACTTCATAAGTGTGCATTGCCTATTGCGGGCTTAGTACACAAAACGAAAGTCTAGTCTTTTGTTTCCTTCTTTCTCCCTCGCCTCCGTGTCGTTCTGGTACGCAGCTTTCTCTGCAACGCTCATTGCCTGCCACTGCCTCTCCTTCTTTCTGTTCAAGTACACCAATACCTGTCGCTGTACCAAGATTGCCGCCAGTGATAACACGCAAATGGCCAGCAGAACTGCGTTGCCGTGCTTGTAGTATGGCGAGTCCCATGATCTATAGATCTGTGACCCGATAAGACTTCCGATCTGGACGATCACGTTATAAGTTGCCGCGGTAATGGCCCGCTTCTTGACGTCGAAGGTGTTCTCTGAAAGCCAACTTGAGATGATGGGGTGGAAATATGGGTATCCGGAAATCAAAGTGACCAGCGAGAAGCGGCCCCAATCCCGGCCACCATTTGGAAGCGTCAGCATCGCAATCAGCAGCGGCATGATCCAGAACTCGCCGAAGAATGCGTGGAACGCTCGTTCGTTGAAGTAGTCGCTGCTGAAGGCTAGAGACAGCATGGTGATGATCTGGAGGACTGCTGAAGGGATCGTCAACATATTCGAATTGAAAGTGGAGAACCCGAGTCTCTTGAGGGTCAAGGTCAAGTATGCCTGCACAGGAGTGGCAGGAATGTAAGCGACCAAGCCAACAAAGTACAGTCCCCACATGGATTTATCGGCCCAGGCTCCTCGCACATCCTTCCAGGTCACGGGCTCCTTGATCGCCGTGAGGCCCTTTGCTGGGTCATCACGCAGAATGCGCTGTGTCGGCCTCGTGTCAGCCTGGTCTCTTGATCGGGGTAATAGTACGATGGGCGGCGCGACTTACGTTGACCATAATGACCTCCTCCCTCTCGGTGTACCAGGGCTTCCGCCAGAGAGGCCCCTTCGTCGACACAGGAGATACTGGGAGGTACAGGAACGCCACGACGGCGATGACGCAGGTAAGTAAACCCTCGAGCAAGAAGAGCCAGAACCACCCTGGCCTTCCGCTAATGCCTCGCATCTCTAGAATGCCAGCTGCAAGCAAAGCAGATATGACCCGCGCAACATTGAGGGTGGACCAGAAGGCGGCCAGGCGCAGCGATAGCTCTTTCGACTTGTAAAAATACGTGGCAAAGAGGATTGTGCCCGCTGGTTAACGACAATTAGAGTCAGCGATTGTCAGACCAGGGAAGTTAAGCCTGCGAGAGGAGCGTGGCCCACGAAACAAGGGGCGCAAGAAACGGCATCCAGGCTTTCACTTACGTATGAAACCACCTTCGCACAACCCAATGAAGGCGCGAGTGATATAGAATGATGTGCGGTTTGTCATCCACGCCTGGGCCCATGAGACTGTTCCCCAGAGGAACATCATGGTGGGCAGGATGTATTTGAAACCGTACCGCTTGATGAGGATCTGGGCAGGGAATTCGGCGGCCAGGAAGCACAGAAGCTGGATCGTGGTGCCGTTGTTGTAGTCATCCGTCGACAATTTGAGGTCTTTCAGCAGGTTGTCGGCCAGAGCGTTGGACAGGTTACCACGGTCAAGCTGGAGGCCGAAGAACATGACACACAGCGCCGAGAGCAGGTACATATCCGTCTTGCGAACCACCCGGCGCTCCTCGGCCTCGGTCCATTTTGCCGTTGGATCAAAGCGGTGCCTGCCTTCGTAGCTCTCGTGCGGCGGAGTCACGTCGGCGAGGGCGTCGCGGCCAACATTGGCAGTCGAGACGGAGTCGCCAGCACTGACTGTCCTAGTTGGAAAGGATTCAACGTCCTTGGTGTCCATGGTGACGGTTGACGTGCGGGCAATGGCAATATTATCTATCACCGTGGGCTGTCTTGCTGACAGTTGTGCCCCTTCTGGGGGAAGGGCGACGTCGTCTCGGGCCGCGTCAACTGCACTTGGAGCGAGGATATCAGAGCACTTGCCCAAGACTTACTCAAGGCCCAGAGCGATGCTTATGTAGGTATGGAGCGTGTGATGTAGGATCCCGTCGGGTTACGGATTCTTAGCTACATGCTGGCTCCCGGAGATGCCAGAGCCAACGACATGGGCGAGGCATAGCACATCTGTCAAATTTGACCCGCCAGGATACAATAGCCATGTACCTTGGCGAAGATACGGAGAGAGCCGAGGCGTCTAGGCTTTCTTTTACAGAGAGGAGCATGATGAGGATTGCGAGGAAAGGTGGCCGACTACGTCGAGGCTTGTTGTCCTAGGCTTCTTTGGTCCAGTCCATGCCCAGCTCGGCGGACTGACATGGGTGACCCGGAACTTTCAACGAATGCAACGTCGGGGCACTTGGCTTGTTTTGTGGGGGGTCGCCGCATGCACTCACTCCGGAGCCAGATGGCGCGATCACTCCCACCCTCTGCAGCTCCGATATTTTCTCCGCCCTCGCCGCGGGCATCACAATGTAGCCGTGTCGTGCCGATCTGTCTGGCTTCCCTTGGCCCTCTCTGTGTCGAGTCATCTGCGAATCGAGATTGGCCGCCTGATGCTAGTAGACAAGGGCAACATGCCCATGTTCTCTTTGCTGCACTGTCCCAGAGTACATGCCCACTACAGCAGCACCCTTATTCTCCCGGTCTTCCAAGCGGATGCTCTGATCAGCCGATTATCCCGGGTGTCAAACCGGACCTGCGAACCATCGGCCGTTGACGATTAATTAGTGTGAGAATAAGTACCCAGCCGACGCCTGTCGAGTCCGCCGGGATATTCAAGCGAAGTTCTCGGGATACTTTCCAGCGTCGACATTTGGTTGCCTCACATCGCCTCAAATTACCCCTAACACCGCTCAGCTGTGTCATACCTATTAGGAAGCCTCTGACAGCCGACCGACCAACATCATGCCTTCTGTAGAGTTGCCCACGAGTGAGCAACAGCCTGACGGCCAGTTTTTTGGTGGCAATGCCCAAGCTCGTCCTCGTCTGCTGCAACCGTTGCGGTACACTGGCACATTGGACAAATTCACCAACCAAGATATTACCCCAGTGATTGGGCGCGAGTACGAAGGCCTCCAAGTCAGAGATCTCCTCAAATGGGGCGATGATATGATAAGGGATCTTGCTGTTACGAGTGAGCCTCACCAAATGCCACAATCTCTCAGGGTGTTCCGAGCTAGGCTGACCAAGTGAATTCATCTTCTTCAGTCTCTGAGCGTGGTGTCGTCTTCCTGCGCGACCAAGACGTCACTCCCACAGAAATGAAGGATCTGATGCTGAGAATAACAGAGCTGGCTGGCTGTGTAAGTCCCTCACCCACCCTTGCAGGCACACATGGCAAATATCACATCATGTGGACTGACACCGAGACAAGCCCGAGTCATCTGGCCTTCATGTACATCCTCTGACGGAGGAGGGCAGCGAGCTTGGTGACCAGATCTCTGTCATCAGTAGTGAGAAGCAGAAGAAGGGGGGCGGCCTCACGCACCAGCTCTCAGACGTGAGCAGGCTCGCTTCTGCAGGTTGGCACAGCGACATTACTTTTGAGCCAGTGCCCTCAGACTATGCAATGCTCAAGATTCACACGCTGCCGCCTACGGGCGGTGACACCCTCTGGGCTTCAGGTTACGAAATTTATGACAGGCTGTCCCCCCCAATGCAGAAGATGCTCGAGGGCTTGACAGCCACACATGATGCCAAATTCTTCCTCGAGGAGGCTGAGAGGTTAGGCAACCCATTGAGGAAAGGCATCAGGGGGAATCCTCTGAACCAGGGTGATGGACTGATAGCGGTGCACCCGGTCGTCCGCACAAATCGTACGTTTCCCCCCATTTAGCCCTCTTCCGGCCAGAATGTCACAGGCTTGTTTGACTCTCAATCCGGGCTTGGAAACGGGTATGAAATGCAACACTGAGGCTGTGACTGACATGATCCCATGTAGCTGTGACGGGCTGGAAATCTGTCTATGTCAACAGAGGATTCACCAAACGCATCAACGGCGTCACCAAGGACGAATCCGACGTACTACTTAACTACCTTTTCAACCTCGTCACGCAAAATCACGATGCGCAGGTCCGATTCAGGTGGCGGAAAAATGACCTGGCAATATGGGATAACAGGAGCATGTGGCACTGCGCTACCTACGACTATGTCGAGGCTCGTGCAGGTGACCGAGTGTGCTCTCTGGGAGAGGCTCCATATCTAGACCTAGCCTCCAAGGGCAGGCGGGAGGACCTTGGGCTCCTGTAAGAATGCGTGGTGGTCACTAGTGAAGCTATGAACATTTCCGGTCCCGTGCTTGAGCTGAAGCGATAAGCTCTGCCTGCTTGAATATAAATGTTTTTATTCGTGTGGAAGCTTCGTTTTTGTGACCGCTCACCATTCAATTTTGTTGGCTGCGCTCAGCGTGTCATTAAGGCCCTCGGATTGCGCAGCTACGGGAATCTGGCGCCAAACGAAGTGTCTGCTGATTGAATTTAATGGCTCCGTCTAAGTCACCCAGTCAGTGACTTGTGGCCTCGAGACCGTCAAGGTATAAACCAAACCGCCGCCGTTTATTTTCGTTCTGCCATGGGTCCGGTGAAAATTCACATACAAATAATTATTTTCATTGCATCCGAGTGCGGACACCAGTTCTGGCTCCTGATTGAAGTAATTTCGAACAACATTGAAGCACAACCAGAACACTGTTCGGAATATCACGATGGTGCATCCAACCCTCGCGCAGCCCGAAGCAGGGTATGTCTTAAATGGCCTTTCTGATATCGGGCCAAGCCAAGCAGAGACAGGCCCTATACAACCTGTAAAAGACACAACAGCACCAGCTGAGCGGCCTTCAACCTTGGAGATGAAGGCGTACGCCTTGTCACGCGTGTACAACAATCCTCTAACCGGGAGGAGGCAGAGCGAAGGTCCTGCCCCAAATGATCGTCACAATTGCAGACTTGAAAACTCAAAATTGAGAAGGAGTCGCTCTTTGCTTGACACACAAAATTTACGCCAGGTCTCGCACCATAAGCATCGGCCACGGCGATGGTCGATGTGTAACTCGGACAGGAAGGAATCGCAATACTCGGCAAACAAAGCCTGGACACGGACTCCCACAGCGGAGATCCATACTGCCACCGTCAAACGATGGTGCGAGGAGTTTCACGAGACAAGTGTTGCAAACTGGCACCAGACAGAATCGAATTTTGGCCAGGTGTGGAAAGGAATGTGTTTTGCGCGGAGGAAGAACCGGTTCTGGCAAGATGATCTCGTCAAGGATAACATCGAAAAGCTTTGGCAACCACTTGCAGACTTTGATTACGTCTTGAGCGTGTACTCATTTCTCGAAGGAGTGCGGATTCAAACCCTACAGCCGCAGTTACGAAGTCGTTACATGAGCTGGAGATCAGCGGCACAAATCAGGCTACATGCGACCCTTGACCTCATGGATGAAGAGCATGAGCCATCAGCGAAGATATCGAGCGATAGAATGTCGTGCGACGATGACCTCAGAGCCACGGCAAGCAAGTATCCGCTCACGCTCTATCAGCATCTCAGCATTGCCCGAGTCTGTAACGATGTGGACAGGGCATTAAAGGTCCTCTGGTGTTGGCTTAACGAGGTCCGGAATCGCCGGCTGATCTGCATAGGGGCCATTAGGGAGGCTGGTATCCCGTGGGTCATTATGCAGGAATCTCTGTCAAACCTGACCGAGGGTGCTAAGAGGTGCTCGAGTGTTGCGCAAGCTGTGACTCAACAACTCGAAGGCGCTCGCACCCGTCTCTGCGAGGCATTAGGGCTGGATCCCAAACAAGTCCCTGGTGGCGAAAACACATCGAATCCAAGCATGACCGCCATGAAGTACGACAAGGACCCCGATGCGCCTGGTAGTCCCGACTCCGGTCAGAGTAGAGCGGAACTTCCCCGACATTTCTGTCTCAGGAAGGCCTCCCTCCAGGCCAGCCGCATCGCCCTGAAGCTCAATATCCACATGACGCTACTTCCTACCAAGACAGCACAGAAGATCCTTGACCGAATGATGCTTAGATCGATGGAGATGGCTGTTGAGGCTAGGGAGGCGGGTGACTACAAGGCAGAGATCTCGATGCGCAGCCTGAATAAGAAGATCAGGAAGGTTTCCAAGAGGACAAACCAGGAGATTACGAGCATGAAGCCCAGAATGACGCTGTTGGACTCGGAAACGTGGCCGGCAGTCCTCAACCCACGTCAGGACATGGTGGTGGAAGTACATGGTCACAGATCGATGCCCGTTGAGACTTTAATTGACATGCTACACGCAATGCCGAACCCACCACCGACAGAAGGCACAGGGGAAAATCCTAATGGAAGTAACAACCATACTTTCGCCGATCCCGCCTCAACGTCGCCGAACTGCTCACCTGTTCAGGAAACGGGCGAAGACTGCCGGCGGTCGTGCAAGCCGAGTTTAACCGTGGCTGCGCCAGAGACTGAATCGAACGAAGCTTGACAGGTCAGATGGTTGTGGCAGCCTCGATCTCGCAGATGTATGGACTTTCCCTTACTGCATATGGCCCTAATCCGGTAAAACAGCACCCATGTCAATGCCCATGAGCTCGTGTGCACCGTGGGATTACATCAAGCTGTGTATCATCTGTGCTAGTTGTCTGGCTGAAACGTAGTGTTGGGGTTTTCAAGGTTCCCAGTTCCCAATCTGTCAAATGAAATTGTGTGACAAGTCTCACAAGGCTTCAGAGTTCCATAGCTTACAAATAAAACAAAAGAGTAGTCCAATATGTTACCCTTATTTTGCATTTGCGCAACAGCTTGAAAGATGTGACAGTGAAGAACGCCACCTCAATTTGTATAAAGGTTGTTTTTTTCTACCCAGAGCTGTTTTCAATTTAATCCATAAATCAACGTCGTGTCCTTTGAGACCGCGCATCATATGCATATGTGGCGTTCGATGACTTGCGTTATGAAGTTGGAATGAATGTCTTTTGTTGTACACAATACCAACAGTAAAATTGGCCAAAGACCAATTTCAGAGACATGCTGAAAAGTAGTAAACATGAAAATAGCCAGTAGGCAGTCTAGCGGCTCCTCACAAGCAAATCAGTTTATGTCTGGTGGTGATGACTTTAGCCCGGTGATGAATGATGTAGTCGTGCTCCTTGGTGTAATCACGACAATTTGACACTCTGTAACACGCTCATGCTAAGATGTAAGTCCTAGTGGAGGCCAATGCAGTAATATGCTTTAATATACTCTGATAGCTGTGAGGGCCCTATCGATAGGCTTATCTTATCAGCCCACTACGCGTAAATAGCTCCGACATCCAGAGCGCGCCCCAGCTGCATTAACTCTGGTATTCTTTTCGATGGGCAACCCTCAACGAAAATCGACAGATTTCTACTGTCGAATTGAGCTTTCGCGCCTTGACCCGTGATGGAGCAGTGACCATCTCAATGGCAAATATAAGAACGGAAGCGATAATCGCGAGCGCCAAGGCAGACCTGGCGGTGGTGCTCACAAAACAGTTCCAGGACGACATCAACCAGCTCCGCGACGCCCTGGACAGCGCGAACCAGCTGGTGGCACTGCTCAAGACGGAGAACGCGAGCCTCAAGGGGGCGCTCAAGGAATGCGCCGAGGGCTACGACTTCGACGCCAACATCCCGCCCATCACGCGCGCCAGGAATGGCAGCGCCGGGGTCCCGGAGTCGGAGCGAGCGGGCCTGCAGCGGCCGCCGCCCGAGGGCACCATCTTCTCCAACGGCGGCGCCTACGGGCAGCAGGCCGGCAAGGGCAACAGGCAGCTCATGCAGGAGCTCAACCGCTGGACCCAGGCCCACGGCTACAAGGTCAAGATCTACCGCAGCAAGCTCTCCGGCACCAAGAGGAAGCTCGTCATCAGCTGCATCTACGGCGGGAACCCCAAGGACCTCGCCGCCCGGCGCTGCACCGCTGAGGAGGAAGCTGAGAGGGCCAGGGCGATGGGTTTCCACACCTACGTCCTCCAAGAGGAGCCTGCGCCCGAACCACAGCCCCAACCCGAGCCCCAGCCCGAGCCCCAGCCCGAGGGTGACCCCCAGGTGCCGGCCAAGAAACCGAGGAAGAAGATGACCCCGCGGCGCAAGGACTGCCCGATGAGGTTCATCCTGCAGGAGCTCGTCGCGGGGAGCGGGACCTTTGTCACCAGGCACAGCAACCTACCGTCGAACCAGCGATGCAACCACGAGCCCGAGGTCAAGTTCGCAGCTGACGGCGCGGCCTCTGCTCAGAGCCCGGGGTCGGGGCCCGGGCCGGAGCAGGAGCCGGATGCGGACTGGGAGATGGAAGCGGAAGAGTCTGCGGCCGAGGCGTGATGACTCGCTCGGGGGCGATGATGGACGACGATGTGCACAGGAGCTAGGCATTTCTGGTCTCCGCACATGTACGAAAATCACACCATAGGTCTTCCCTTTGCGTCGTATGCGCTATCATACTTGCAAGGATCGCTGAGGACGTGATACTTCGCCAGCCCCGTTGCAGATGAGCTCACCGGGTACAAAACAGCCGCCGTGTGAGCAACATGCTTTATCTCATCGGCATGGAATTCAAGCAGAAGCCGGGGACAGCTTCAGGTGTGTGTATGAAGTTGAGAAACCGACTTCAGGAGTGACTGCCTAGGTATCTCCAGGAATATGTCACCATTGCGTAAGCCTACATGCCCTTGAACATTACGTCTGAGAGGTAGTGCTAATAGTACTAGAAGGATCATTATAATCCACAACGGGCAATACTAGAAACATTGTGGCGCAAAGTCATCCAACCAGTCTTAGCAAAGCAGCTGTATAAGCGCCCCCCCCCGCCCCCAAGGGCCGAGGGACGGAGTGCCCACTAACAAGAGACCTTCTTTTGGTTCTTGTGCAAAAATCCTTGGCTGCATCTCGACAGCCTTGTCAACTTTAAGAAAGGGGATGCTGAAAAGCAGATCTGGTGTCACAACAAGCGGAAATCACATGCACTAAGTCTGGAGCCAGAGGGCACGCAGCGAAGAATCTGGCCTAGCATATCACTAAACAGGGAGGACGCTCTATTGAAGTTTCATCTTCCACACACATCACATGACGCATGACATGCACCAGCTCTTGAAAGTACCGCACGTGAATTACTCTTGTTTGTCTGCGGATACGGAAAGCCCTATTAAAGTCTGGCTGTGATGCAGCAGTTGTAAGGTGGCGCATAGGCTGTATCTCATGCAAGTGAGTAGACGTAAAGGCTGGGCCATGATATCCCTTCTATCGTTTGTTGTTTGTGAGGATTCTTCTTTTTGCGAAACCATGGGACATGCCTTCTCCGTGGTGCAAGCTGCACGCAGCAGTGCCCGGTGGCATGGCTGAAGCCATGCATGTAGACGCCGATGCTGACGCTGACCGAGCGCCGAGTGCCCCTCCTTGCCACCTGTCTGGTGGCTCAAATGCAAAGTGCAATGTTTCGGTTTCCCCAACGCCGTGCAGGTGAGTGAATCATGATAAGTTGTGTGAATATACAGGTAGTCAAACAAACAGAAAAATGGTAGAGTCATGGAGTTGTTGATGGTGTGTGCCGCAGCTCCGTGGCTCCGCCGTGCCCTCGGGGTGGGCGCCTATGAGCTAGCTGCTCACATGAAGATGCCGACCCAGGCATTGTTGGGAGACACCTCGGACTGGCAGTCCTCCACGGCGCAGAAGATCTTGATCGACTTGGAGGTCTCGCTGGGCTGGAAGCGGAAGCCTGTCTTGGCAGCTGCCGACTCCTTGCCCTTGCTGTGCTTCTTGCGGTTGTCATAGCAGCTCTTGCAGTAAACCTAGACGAGGGGAGGGGAAGCAAGTCAGCAAGTGTCTCGTGGTTAAGTGGGGTAGGAGGAGGGGGGAAGGGTTGCGAATAGATGAGATGAAAGCAAACAAGAAGGCATGGTAAACATACATGGCCACAGTTCTTGACAGCCCAGAAGTGATGCTCCTCCTGACCCTTCTTGCCACGAGGCTTCTTTGCGGGACGTGGGTTGTCGTCCTCGTCATCCGGAGAGTACTTCAGCTCGTTGTCACAGCTGGGGCAGACGACGACCAGGTCCTCGTCGTCGCCGCTTTCAGCGCGTGTGTCACGGGTGAAGCCTGCCCGGGGGGCAGGTGGGGCCTGAAAGTCAGGCTTGGGCGTGGGCTGCCGTCCGCCGTAACCACCAAAGCCATTAGCCTGGTAGTTGAACTCGGGAGGGTTGCCTGCGAGAGGATTGGGATTCATTGGGAAGGCGGGCACGGGAACGGCTCCAACGAACTGAACGTCGGCTTCGCGGGGGTTGTTGACGGCTTGTGCGAGCAGGCCGGGGAGTAGACCACGGATCGATCCTATCAGGTGGCGGCCGAAGTCCTGGTACTGGACGCGAGGAGGAGCAGCAGCAGCCGGAGCAGGAGATGCAGCAGCGGGGCCGGGCAAGCGGCGGTTGCGGTTGACACGCTGACCGAAATGTGCCACAACGGCAGCAGGAGGTGGAGGCAGACGGCGGTCGGCGGGGATGTTGTCGTCTGGTGAGTCGAGGGTGAGGTCGATGACGGCGGCGGCATTCCCGTTGAGGATGCTGCCGTCACTGCGGTTGAGTGACGGCATGCGCCCATTCTGCGACATGTGTCTCCGCGGGTTTCGAGGTGCCTGGTACAGGGGGCTGTCGTCGTCGTCCTCCTCGTCGTCAGATATGTGGATGTGATTATGGCCGTGGTTCTGGCCGTGGTTGTGACGAAGGATATTGACGGGTCGGTGGCGCTGGAGGACAGGGCTGTCGGGCTCTTCTGTCAGGTCAATCACTGGGACTTGCTGATCAAGGCCCAGGCCCAAGTCCAATTCCTGGTCCAGCTCCATCAGTTCCTGGCCTTGGAAGTTGTTGTGATTGTGTTCATGGTTCTGTTGGCGCTGCTGCCTATGAGCCCTCAGGTGCCTTTGTTGTTGATGTTGTCTGCGTGGGGGTGTTGGAGGGGCAGGCGCTCGGCCCTGATACACCACCTCAATGAGCTCATCGTCTTGATCCATGCTGCCAGTGTAGTCTGAGTCCTCCTGGCCTGAGTCCCCGGGCTCTTGTTCTGCCACTGCCCTCCTTGCTGGCCTGTGGGGCCTCCAGTTGCCTCTGCCTGGGCGCTGGCGTCCAGCCTCCCTGGCTGCCCGTGCAGCCCTGCGAGCCCTCCGAAGGCGTAGGTGATCTAGCAGCGATAAATCGTCCTGATGGTCGTAATCGCCGATGTCCAGGTCGTCGTCCTCGTGCTGGTCCTCGAGATCTTGGACTTCCACCAAGGCCGACTGCTGTGGGTGGTGGCGATGAGGACGCTGTGGTTGACGCTGTGGTTGTCGCTCGTGGCTTGCGAGTTCGGCGTGGTGTGAGTTTCGAGACGGATGGCGGGGTTGAGAAACCGGTGAGGGCTGAGGGCGAGGGTGGGGGCGAGGTTGGTAATCGAGGTCAGGTCTGCTGCCGCCGAAGTGGTAATTGCCTAGTGGTAGAGCAGGAGGAGGATGAGATCGGTTGCTGGATCGGTCGGGGTGGCGTGTTGGGCGAGGAGAAGAAGCGCTGTCGTCGGAGTCGGAGTCGTAATCGAAGGCGCGACCGTGGTGGTGTGAGTGGTGGTGATGGTGTTGGTGTTGGTGCTGGTGGTTATTCTGGTTCAGGGTTGGAGGAGGCCCTGGCAGTCGACGGTTCGGGTGGATGTCTGGTGTCTGGCTCGCACGGGCAGGACGGGGCGGACGGGGCAGACGGGGTGGCGACCCGTAGAGTCCAAGATTGTGGTTAATGCTGTTAGCCTGCAAGTGGTGACGGGGCCGATCTCGAAGTGGGTCTGGGTTAGGTGAAGAAGAGGGCCCCGAACCAGGGCCTAAGCCTAAGTCTACTGGGTCTTGGTCTTGGTCTTGGTCTGAGTCTGGGTCTGGGTCTGGGTCTGAGTCGGATGGGGAAGCAGATGCAGCCGTGGAATCAGACACGACCAGGGGAGAGCCACGCAGCCTTGGGTCTGCGTCCAGATCTGCATCCAGATCTGCCGCCGAGTCCGAGTCCGAGTCGTTGAGGAGGAGCGAATCGGGTGAGGCTGACGGGGACGGCGAAAGGGAGAGGGGGGCGGAAAGCGAAGGGGAGCGTGATGAGGCTATCAAGGGCTGCTGTGGTGGACTGTCGTAATCGTGGTCGTAGTTGTAGTCCTCGTCGTATTCAGAATCAGGGTCGAGGTCAGGGTCGAGGTCAGAGTCGAGTTCGAGATGCTCGTCGTCGTCGTTGTCGCTATCATCGTCTGAGATTGCGAGGTTGATATCATCACCATCACCAGAGGCAGAAGGGACAGAAGAGACAGATCCGACAGAGGGCGACTGTGGCGAGCCAAGAGGCAGCAGAGCAGGGTCTCGGCCCTCGAAGTCGAGCTCGAGCAGCTCCAGCTCGTGCTCGTGCTCGTGGCCGCCGTCACCGCCGCCGTCGACTTGCTGCAGGAAGTAGTAGTCTGCTGGCAACACGGCAAGATATGGCTCAGGGTCCACAAGGTCGTGGGCTGGCCGGAATCTATTCATACTGGGCAGCAACCGGAATCAGAAGCATCCTTTTTGCTGGTCCTCGTTCTCCTTTGTCCGGATGTGTGTGCCGGAGATTGCGGGACAGGGTGTCTGTCTTTCTTGTGTGTGATTCAGGAGGGAAGAAAAGCAGAATCCAGCTGCCAAGAGGAGGGAGAGGGAGGTCGAGATCTAGGTCTGGGTCTGGGTCTGGGCCGGGTTCTGGCTGCCGGAAGCTTGAGAGTCAGGAGGGGAGAAGAGCAAGTCAATTCAATTCACTCGGGGGAAGTGTGGGTGAATGTGATGGCCATGGCAAGAAAATCTAGGTAATACAGACAAACGAACAATTAGACACGCGGGACACACTGTCTGAGCCAGGAGCTGGAGCTGGAGCTGGGGCTGGGGTTATCACAGCAGATAGAGCTGGACCCGGGATCTGGATGAGGATTGGGATGGGATGGGATGGGAGAGGTGTATATCGCAACTAGGACAATGGAGGCAAAAAGGGCACAGGGGGAAAAAAAAAATGAGAGCACACCATGGTGCAGCTAGACTACCTAATCAGCTTCTTTCTACTCTTTCTTCTAACCTGACCTCTGTCAGTTGTGAGACCTCAAGAAGAGAGGTCAAGGCTGTCGTGAGAAATGGCCTGGTCACCCTGTGTCAGGCTGTCAGCCACAATCCACAGCAGCATGAACCTAGCTCTGAACCATGACCAGCTTCAATTCTCCATTCATTGACTTCGCTCCCTTCTGTTTTGTTCGTAATCTATTGCATTTCGTAACTGTTGTCCCCCTACTGTAAGAGAAAGTCAGCACGGACCAAGAGGGGCGGGGGCCCTTGGAATTGGGGGTACATCCTCAGAAGTACCTGTCCTTAGGTACTTCACACGTACAGCAGCACATTAAGTTATCGTGGCCATCATACACAAAGAATGCCCATGACAGCTTCAGCATGCAGATAGTGGAAGCTCTTTTCGGCCAATGTATTTCCAGCTAGATATTATGTCAACCAACCATGGGCCTGTCTGTGGCTTCGTTCGCTTTTCGCTCTTCACTTTTCGCTCCCTTCCCTTTCCCCAGGAGAAAGCAATTCTCTCTCATGATATACAGTATACAACCCAGCTCTGCCCGTAGAATGGTCCCCACGTCCGAACCTCAGATACACTCTTCTTTGATCTCAGCAGGCTGCTCTTCCCTGAGCTCATGGGCAACGGATGACCCTCTCTAAGCCTCATCCGGAGCCCCCAAGACCGAGATGACACCGTCCCCGTTCACCGTCACCAGTTGCTTCGCCTGCTCACCCCAGCCCAGACCGACCGCTGGCGTCGCGCTCTGCAGGAGCTCGCTCCACTTCTTGCTGCTCTTGGCGTACTGCTGCACCGTCACCCCCGACGGCCCGGCCGTCGCCAGGAACTGGCCCGTGTAGTCCCACGCCAGCCGCTGCACCGAGCTGCCCACCTGCAGCACCTTGGCCGTCGCCGCCGCCCCCTCCTTGCGCAGGTCAAACACCGTCACCGTCGTCTGGCCCTTGGCCGTCGCCGCGATCCAGTACCCGTTCTCCGAGAACGCGAGGCCCTCCACCGGCGCCCCCAGCTCGAACGTCGCCGCCTCCTCGCCCGTCTTGGTCAGGAGCATCTTGATCTCCCCTGTGCTCGTCCCTGCTGCGAACAGGTGTCCGTCGGGGTGGAATGCGCATCTCGTCAGCGCCGCGTTGGTGTACACCCGGCTGACCCGCTGCAGCGCCGTCAGGTCGTACAGCACGAAGCTCTTGTCCGTGCCCACCGACGCCAGGATGTTGCCGCCTGGGTGCAGCGACAGTGCCGTCGCCGCTCCGGCGTGTTCCGTAAACGAGGCCACCTCGCTGCCGTTCTCAAACACCTTGACCGACCCCTTTGCTGTGGCGAACATGACCTTGGACCCGCTCCACAGCGTGTCTGTAATGGGCTCGTCCACCTTGAGCGACCGCTCCAGCGTGCCTGCCGTGGTCGAGAAGATGGCCACATCCCCCTTCAGGCCACCAACGGCGGCGTAGCCGCCTTCCAACCCGATGGACGATGTCTGCGGCGTGGGCAGCGACTCGGACAGCCGTGGCGCAAAGGTTGCAATCTCGTCGGGGCTGGCCCAGCCACTGGGCACTGGTCTCTTCTTGCGGCTCTTGGATAACCTGCAGAGAAACGGTCAAGTTAGAATCAAGGAAGGCGCGTAGCTATCACTCCAACAAAAGGGAAGGGGTGGGACATACTTGGCTTGGGTCTCATCCACGTGCGCGGCCAACTCCTCGGGCAGGGTCTCGTTGTCGACAGCCATCGCGTCGCCGTTTGCGCCGGCGCCGGAGCCGGCAGACACGGTCACCCTAGACAGTGCGGCCCTGGCCTCGTCGCGCTCCCTGGTCAGGCGGGCGATGACCCTGACGGCGGCATCGTGCTGGTAGAGGGCGTTGGCCAGCTCATCGCGTGTTTGTGAAAGCTGCTGCTTCAGCTTGAAGGTCTCGAGGGCGAGGGCGTCCCACTCGTTCTGGAAGGTGGACAGGAGGGCGGGGATGGAGGTCAGGTTGGGGGCTCGTGGCCGCACGACGCGGGCAGACTGGATGGGCAGCAGGTCTTCGGGGTCGAGCTCGTCGCCGGTGATGGGGTCCTTGCCATTCTCCTCGATGTACTTCTCGATCAGCCGCTTCTCGAAAACAGTGCCGGTCTTCTTGGAAACGACGGGCTCCTCGGGAGCCTCACCTGAGACTGTTGTTTGTCGCTTGTGTCAGTTGATGATCGACCAGGACGGCCAGACACATAGACTGGCTGGCTGTCTGGCAGGCTGGCTGGCCCGAGGGCAGGGAAAGAGCTGATCAGGATTTACTTACTGGCACAAAGCATCTTGACCTCTCTTGATGCGCTGGTTGTTCAATGGCAAGGCCAGCTGTGGGATTTGGGGCGGGCGATGCGCGGCGGTGGATGTTCTTTTTCTTGAAAGCTCGAGGCTGGACTTTGGCCTGGCACGGTTTTGCAGCCGCGTTTACTGGCTGAGCAAGGTTAGACTACGGAACAGTAGACCAGACCCTGGCAGGTACTTGGCAGAAGGTACTTTGGCCTATGCACACAGTCTGGCAGGCTGGCAGCCTGAGGACAGAAAGCTGCGGCAGGCTGGAGTTCACAGCTGGCGCCAGATGTCATGCGCTGGGTGCTACGTACCTGAACGGCCATTCAATCCTGACTCGCGTGCAGCTTGCGGCCAAAACAGTACCTAGGTACAGAGAAGGGAGCCCGTATTCTGAAGTGCCCTGGTACCTGCCATGACGACATTGGCTATCGGCAGCTAGCAAGCAAGCAAGGCTTAGCTTCCAAGGTCACTACTATAAGATAAGAAGCCTACCAGATATCTACCTCAGGTGTGCAAATACACACCATGCACCACGAACACTCACTCATACATACGCATACACGCATACAGCACGGCACATCATGGCTCCAACACTCCCAGATGTTACTAGTCTTGCGATTCTGCCCGAGGCAGAAGTGCTAGCCATCCTCGACCTTCTCTTCGAGCCCAGCGATGACTTACACACCCTCGCCCTCCCAACCCTGCGCGCCATCACCTTCGCCTCCTACCCCGAGCTCATTGACACCATTCGTGATCAGCTCCTCGTCATTGCCCAGAGCGTCCACTCTGACCCCAATGCCCGGAAGCCCCTTCACTCCATCCTGGGATCCCACCCTCGCCTGGGCGAGAAGAAGGTCCACAGCGCCCAGAGCGCCGCCGAGCAGGCCCAGCTGCAGACTGGACCCGAGGGCGAGGCCGAGAGGCTGGCTGCGCTCAACAGCGAATACGAGGCCAAGTTCCCCGGACTGCGCTACGTGGTCTTCGTCAATGGGCGCAGCAGGGACATCATCATGAACGACATGCGGAAGCGTATCGATCGGGCTGACCTCGCAGAGGAGGAGAAGGAGGCTATTAATGTGAGTCCAGGCCAGCTATTGCCATGTCAGCCCATGCTCTAACGGCTTCGCGCAGGCTATGGCGGCCATCGCCAAGGACAGAGCCAGCAAGCTTAACAAAGAATCCGACGAGTCCACTGTTGGACGCTCTGCTATCCCCTCAGAAAGCTGAGAGCGGCCTTTCAACACTTCGGCCAACAAGTCACGGCCGATCTGATGATGAAGGTCCATTCGCAAGCTCTCAAGCGACCAGCATCCTTGTGCCCAACCCTGTCTTAGACTATTCGTCCCTAGATTTATCCTATCTAGCACAACCCACTCCTGTATCGCCATGTTCGCGCCGAAGCCAAGCCGGTGTTGTTTAGGTTGGGACAGCATCCAGGCCGGTGTCCCACGCACGCGGGAAAGAATTGATGCGCTTCTGCTGAGTGGTCGTTATTACTGCTATGGGGAAACTATACAGGTCACGAGGAATGCCGTGGGTGTCGCGTAATACTCGACGGTCAAACTTACCTACCCTGCCGAGGACAAACTCGAGCCCATAGCAATCACTTTTGCGCGTTCGACTTCCGCTCTCCGAGTCGGAATTTGCAGCCTCCCTCGAGATATTTCGAATCTGCCCATCTCCTCGCTACCGAACCAAGTGTCTGGATGTCACGCTGTCCGCCAGGCCGGCGTCTCCTGATGGCGACCGCGACAGAATTAATTCTGAGCAGTTCACTCACATTTACTCACCAGTGGCGAACAAAGACATAAATGCTTGATCAATTACCCGCTTATTGTAACTATGTGGCGCCGAGGTACTAATGTTGCCGAGTAACGAGACCGCAGCGTGGACATGGTAAGTATCACGGGGGAGATTTAACTATGGCCCAATTACTTAGAGTCACATCGTGGCCGACGCATCCTGAGTCGTCTCATCCAATGCGAGTGATGAGATAGGACAGATCTATGCGGCTCACCCAGCGGGCAAAGTGGCTTTGAAACCGACTTTTCTGCAATGATTGGAAAAAAGGCAGGATAGCTCCTGGACATAGTTGCCAGACCTCCCGAGGTTTGTCCTCTGCGTCCACAACGCATCGCACGCAGCCACACCTGGAGCACTATCAGCACATGTAGTCCAACATAGATCCAACGGAGATGGCCATAAACCAGAGCGCATGTCTGCACAGGGAAGTATCCAGATATCTCGTTAGAGATCTGAAGTTGGCCGTGCAACCGCCATCAGCACATTTCAACTGTCGAGCTGGGACCATCGAGCTTGCACTTGTACAGGATGCGACTCAGGCAGGTTCAGGTCGCGGCAAACCCTCTCGCGCACAAGTATAGAAGACGTTCACATGTCAGCCGACCTGTATCCACCGTGGGCCGGCTTCAGGCGACAACGAAGCCTCATTGTTGCCGCTTTAGTGACATTCTTCCACTGTTCCGTCACAACGTCCTGTTGTGTTGTCCCGAATCATCGATCCACTCTAGATTTGGCGGCGTCCAGATCAAGCAGGTCTCATCAACGGGCAATGCCGCGGATATCCGGTCGCCGGTTGTGGGACAGGCAAACAACGGTAGTAAGCCTGCAGCGTGCTTGGTCAGACGTCGGAACAGGAACCGCGCGCAGGACGACTCTGGCGGGCTTGCACTGGAGAAATGATTGATCGCACACGCTACACCCCAAGGGCAATGTCACCTAACGATTTGGGTTCAGACAAGCATTTGCTATCTGCATTGGGATTGTCTCATCTCAGCTAAGCAGGGCGACTGGAGCGAGGAATATTCGCTCCCTCTGTCTCTACTTCGCGACGTGAGTGCGCGTGTCGACCGATATGCTGTGCTCTGTGTACAGAATTAGCCTGCGGGAATCGCAGCGGCTAATTGCAGGTGTCAAGCCCAGAATCCAGGGATCTGCCTGTTGAGTAGCATGGCTTGAAGTATCAAGTACTGCATACGGGAATGTCCGCACCATGCTACAATGTGTTACACACAATCGTTATTACAAGCCTCGGCGACAACCCATCAGCATTCCCACACCTGAAAAGGGCCACCACGAGTGCAAGTGGACAAAGGCGAAGCTGCCCGCTTCTTCACCTGCATGGAAGCGGCCCAAGATGCATGGATTCTTCCATACATGGACTCCAGACATGGGCTTATGCACACCCTGCAGTAAGGCTCATCCAGACCTGGCAGCCCAAACAGCTAGACAGCCCAACGAGGTCGACGGCGGGGACCTTGGTTGGCATAGCCGTCTTTCTCTTGAGCACCGCGTGACCAGCTCCCGCCGGATTGGAACACATGATTTGGCCTGACCGAGCAGAGGGGGAGCTGGGAGGGAAAACACCTCCCGCTACTGCTGTAGCAGCCTGCAGCTTGCGCCGACTACGATCTGGACTAGCCAGGCTAGTCGCCAGCTCTTCCGTTAAACCCTGTCAATAACTTTGCTTGGTATTCTCCCTCATCACCCTGACCTGAAAACCCCAAAACCGCTCACTGCATGCGGCATGAGGACATGATTACAGCATTGAATCATGAGCGGCGCACCAATGGGCTGACTTGGGACTCAATTGGACTCACGGACCCGGTTTTGTGGTGGCAGCACCACCATCCGCGATGCTCCGTCTACCTACTCGTGCGCACATAGCTGCATATATTATCTCGTCAGCGCCAGTCAGCTCCGTCGTCAAGCGAGCTGACTGAACATAGGACTGGTTCCCAATCACAGGTGAGCACCTGGCACGACGGCGCACATGTGGTCTAGCCTCCACGTCTCAACCGCGTGGCCTCTGGGTGGCTTTTCCGGTGCAGCTGGCGGTGCGGTACAGTAGTATGCGTAGGCTAATGGGCAAGGTAAAGTGCCAGCCATCCTGCGTCTCTCGTGTTCCTGGTCCCGACCACTCACGTCGCCGTCTTGACTACCCCGACTTTTTGTCATGTCACCCTCCCTTTCCTGTACATGGGCTTGGGGTGGTGGGGGACGCACATTGACATGCAGCCTCTCCGGATTTTCGCATGATCTATTCTCATTAGTTGGAAAGCAATGGTACCTGTGCACTCTCTGACATCCTTGTCACGTCCATCCCGTCCCATTTCCTCCTGGACACTTGCAGGAGAGAGATCCAGGGCCTCTAAGCAAGCACCTCCTTCCCCCTCCCCACTTCCATGGGCAACTGCTAGGTTGTGCTTAGTTGGGTGTGTTGTGTTCGTCGGATCGTGCTGAGCTGAGTAGTCATCTCTCTCTCTCTCTCTCTCTTCTCTCTATTTTTGCCACTTGCTTTCTCAGCCATTGGGCATTCTCATTCACCTTGTGTACTCCGTCTCCGGGACAAGGCAAGGCATATTAGCGCGTCCTTCCCAAGCTTTCCTCACTCACACCTGTTCGGACGGGGCCGATCGACGTGCAAGAAAACGAGTTTGACTAACGCCTCTTTTTGTGCACCTGACCTGCGTGCCGAAGGTCAGGTATCCCCAAGGATTTTCTGTCCTGAACAATCTATTGTCTCGCTTGGGTTCAGAACGGCCTGCTTACCTGACGCCTTGGGACATGGGCGTGGGCAACACCGTCTTACAATGATGTTCCACCGCACTTGATGAACCCGGGCTCTACTTCCTGGACGACATCGAGCCAGCAGTCCGACTCGATCACACGAGCACTCGGGTCTTCGGCTCTCCCAATGCCAGCCAAGCGCCGAGGGCTGAGTCCATCGCTGAACTTACAGAAACGTGTGCCTGCCTGTCACGACGAGGAAGGGGTGCACGTTGCGGCATCGGCCAAGGGCTTTTAGCGCCGATATCTACGTGTATGCGCCGCGTTTGGTGAAGGTGTTTCCGCGGAACCAAGACATGGCTGTCTCCGTTCATGGTCGGATCCAGCAAACCTCCTACCAAGCCCATCATCATCACCACCACAGGCAGACTGGATTCCGCACCAGGGCAGTCTCGCCCATCCGTTGCGACAGCAACCCCTTGAAGGACCACCAGCCGTCACAGCGAACCTCGTCTATGGCAATACACGCCGACTTCCAAGGTCGCCACGATCCTAATTCTGCTGTCAAGACGTCTTCATCGGGGCACACAGGCCGCCCTCCACCGGAGGGTGCTTCGCCCCTGTTCTTGTCAGCACCCTCGTCCCCTCTGCCCTCGCCGGGCACACAGGGACACCATGCATTCACGCCGCCAGAGCGACCACCAGACTTGACTCGTACCGCCCCCAAAAGACGAAGAGCCCTTCACGATGTTGACGGCCCTTTTACCGGATCTCTGGGCTGCAAAAAACGCCGACTTCGCCGCGACCTCATCACTTCCAGGCTGTCACGACCGTACTCGTCCCCGGCCACCCACATATTGAACCGTGAGGCGGCAGCCGGGGCCAAACGCTTCCTCAAGATGGCGGCGGCGGCGGCGGCCAAGAAGCTTACGACCGTAGTGGTACCCACACCACCCACGGGCGACTGGAACTCGGGCCGGGCGGTGGCAGCGGCCCAGGTGGCCACCGTCGTTCCCGCGAACAGCATCCACCACCTTGCGCCGGCCGAGATGGTGCGGCGGGCAGCCATCATGAACAGATTCAGAATCCGGGTGTGTGACGAGGCGAGGGAACGAGGAGACCGAACTGATCTCGAGCTGACGGCTGGTGCTGCTCTCCTGAGGGCCGGGCCGGGTTCGCATGGGGTGGGGTTTGTGACAACTTCGAAGGTCGTGACGGCGCCCAGGCCTCCGGACCCACCAGCACAGGAGCAAAGCAGCAGGCACATCGGCGCCGCAGCACACTGGGCCACCGCAGCACCCCCCTCGAGGGCTGCTCAGCTGACGGCCACACCCAGTGTCGCCGAATCTTCCTCAGCAGTCCACCCCGCTGGGCCGGCTGTCCGCTGGTCACCGCCGAGCAATCTCAGCAAGCATGCAAGGCCTTGCGATGCTGGGCGAGTGTCGCCGCGCCTGAGGCCTCTGAGATCACCCGAGCTGACAGCACAGCGCAGCCATGCCGATTTCGGTGGGTTGGACGAAGACGAGCTCAGCTTCCCGGCGACGGACTACTCGGATGACTTCCTGGAGAACGAGTCAGACGAGGTATACACTGACTTCGGGGCCATCTTCGGTGGCGGTCGTTGTGGTGATGCGGCGGATGGGAGTGAAACCATTGGCGAGGGTAAAGGACCTGCCAGCGAGGATGGGCACGGTGGTGGCGAGCACTTTGAGGATTATATGGATGACTTGGATGGTATCCCATGGGGCGCGAGATGAGAATTACCCTGTTCATTGTCTCAAGTCCAGGCCATCTGGTTGTACGAAAATGTGAGCATCATGTCTAGCATATCGGGGTCTCCAAAAAGAAAAAAAAGCGGCCAAAAGGGTAGGGAGCTTACCACATGTAACCATCTAGCCCAAGCCAGTGTGTGCATTGTGACTGACTGGTATTGAATTGAACATATTCGTTACATCTGTGCCTTCGGCTGTCTCTTTTTCAACAGCCACTGAGAAAATGAAGATGAAGATGAAGTGACATGAAGGCCTGGGCATGTCGTGCTGGAATTTACCATCTGGGTAGTAAGTGAGGTCCAGTTGTCAAGAAACAGCAAATATGGGTTCGTGCGTGCGCTTGTATGTGTGTTCACAGAAGAGTCTTACCAAACGCAACCTCCGGGGAAAGAATTGAATTGGACTTGAGAGAAGGGCCAGTGGTGTTGAGGTCGAACTTGGAGGCTTCTTGAAGCGCCACAGAGCAGTTTCTTACCTTCCAACCCAGCCTGAATCCAGATGATCACGTCCAAATCAGGCACCTTGGTCCCCAACCTGCACCCTCCACTTTCACCTTCACTTGCACTTTCACTTTCACTTTCACTTTCACCTTGACCTCGCCTTCCTGCACTTACCCCTCCACCCCTGGGACCTTCCTTCACAAAACTGGCGCTGGTTGGCCTACTCGTGGCCTCACTTTCCATCCCTCGACCTCACCCTCGACTTCCCTCAATTGACTCACCTCATGCACACATAGAAGCTCAGGCTCTACTCGCCCATCCACTTTTGGCTCATCACAACCGCCTTGGGTAAACAACAGCGCCGCTCACTTGATTGCACCAACCCAATAATCCATGCATTGGGCCTGCCAGAATGGCGCCTGATGTCAATTCCAAGCGGTGCAGGAGCAAACAACCTCCTACCACCCTAAACTCGTGCTGGGTCGACGACCTCCTCAGCTCCAATTCCACGGTGGGATTATCCCAAGAAAACGGAGACGGCCCAGGCATTGAGAACACCAAGACCACCGAGAAGATGGGCTCCTATTTCCGCGACGCCTTCTACAACCACTCTAACGAGCCGAGGCAACAAGGTGATAACAAGACCGACGGTGACGGCGAAAGTGAACGCGAAAGCGAAAGCAACCGCCTCGATGGCGACGCCATCCTCCCAGAGCTGATCAAGCTCACCATCGCCCAGCAACGCATGATCCTCTCCCTGCGCGACGCCAACAAGGAGGCCGACGTGCAGCTCCGAATCAACAACGCTCGTCTCGACCTTGTCGAGGAGGAACTCAGTCTTATGCGCAGTAGCCTTGCCGAGCAGGCCCACCCCAGCCTGTTCTCGGGAGTCCGCATGAATAGCAACTTCGGAGGCACAGGGCGCGACATAGCTGGTGACTACGTTCCCGCCTTCGACCTGAGCGACATTGCTGCCACACTTGCGGCTGGGCCAGGCCCTGTGGACTATTGTTTTCGTCCCAGACACTTGTCTCGTGACAGTAGCCCCAGCTCAAGATCTTCCAAGCAGCGCAACCCCCGACCCGAACGGTATGTTCAAGTCCCGGAATTGCCTGACCACCCCCCCACCCCCAATTACTGCATAGCTAAACCAAAACCCACAGTGAGGAGCACGTCAAGCGCACCAGGATATCGTACGATGGTGTGGGTGGCCAAGATCCCAAGATCCCCCCATCGACCTACGTATTCTCCTCCGCAACCCACGCCCACGAGTGGTCCATCACTGTCACGGACGATGCTTCATTGTCCGAGGTAGTCGAGCTGGACTTTCCGAGAGAGTCCAGCACGGATACTGTACCCGACCTCGGAGTCCTGCCTCAGCCTTCTTTGCTCAGCAAGCTGTGTGGCAAGATGGCGAGGCTGCTCCTCGGAACGTGAAGGAAGCGTATGCGAGGAAGGGAGGCAACGGCGTTTTGGCACAGAAATGAAACATAGGAAAATGAGAAGGGGAACAAGACCTCTAAGATTATCTTGCCGAGGTTAAGAAAAACACAGGATGAATTCGTTTACAAAAGTCAGGAAGAGTTCAAACAAGTTGGCCTTAAAGAGAGGGCCGACGCAGTCATAGAGGGGACTGGGTTGGCGGTCAAAAACGGAAGCGCTCGGCTTGTGGACTGGTGGCTCTGCCAAAAGTACGAATCGATCACCTTGGATCATGCCGAAATGAGAGGATAGCCAGAAATGGTGTCATTGAGACACATGGAGATGGGAAAGAGACTGAGATGCATGGACCATGTTCAGACAGACAATGAGCTTTAGATACGGATGAGGAAGCATTCCCACGAATCACGTGCAATGTATGTAGCTCTGCTCGCTGTTTTGTCGAACCCCCCCCCCCCTTAACTCTGACACAACCCCAACCCCAGTGCCTGCAGCAGGAAGCAAGCAGAGCTGGGAGCTGGCAGCTGGCAGCTGGTTGGGCCTTGGCTTTGGCTCTGATTTGGCTGGCTGATGATTTGACAGTTGCCGGTGCAGACTGGGGCCCGCCCATCCATCAGACCATACGATTCGTGCCGAAATCCCTCTCCTCCGAGCCTTGACGAGCCCTCGACAAAACCATTACCACCTCACCACCACCACCACCATAACAACAAGCTCGACGAGGCACTCTCCACTCCACCCACCCACCCCCGAGCCCTCGACTGCCGAACGACCGACCGTCATGTTTCTGCAACGCTCTGCCGTGGCCGTCGCCCGACGGGCCGCCGTCGCACCAGCTCTGCGACGCACCTTTGCGACCTCGATGATCCGCCGTGAGTCCGCCCGCCCTGCTGCGATTGCGAGTCTGGAGCTCCGCAATTGGCACCATGCGTCACCGCACCCAGCTGGCTGGGTGACTTGCCTGGTCTGGCCTTGCCTTGACTTGCATTGGGCTGCCAGCAATACCAAGTTGCGACCGTGGAGATAGCTGCTGACATGACATGATCATCCACAGAAAACGCCCACAACACTCCTGCCAAGTCTGAGAAGCCCGCGCAGTCGCTGTCTGGTACGATGCCACAAACTCCCTTACCTCCCACTGCTTGTCACGCACCCGGCACCATCCAATTGGCTTGCCCACGGCCTGCGAGCCATCATGGGGTGGCAGGAAAAGCGGTTGAGAGGAGCCAAGGGCACCCGAGCTGATTTACATGCAACTGCAGACATCAAGACCATCGACGACCTCGTCGGACCCGGTGCCCAGCCCGGTACCGTCCCCACCGACCTGGAGCAGTCCACTGGTGTCGAGCGTCTGGAGATCCTGGGAAAGATGGAGGGTGTTGACATCTTCGACATGAAGCCCCTGGATGCCTCGCGGAAGGGAACCCTGAAGGAGCCAATCCTGGTCCGCTCCGCCGGCGAAGAGCAGTACGCTGGTTGCACCGGCTACCCTGTCGACTCCCACGGAGTCATCTGGCTGACTGTACGTCTACGGCTGCTACCTTTACGACACTACTGAGATGCGCACGAGAGAGCAACGTGTGCAGCCCGGGGAAAGGAAAAAGTACTGACGCGAAGCCACTACCATCTAGATCACCCGTGACCGCCCCATCGAGCGCTGCCCCGAGTGCGGCAGCGTCTACAAGATGGAGTACGTCGGCGCCCAGGACGACCACCACGGCCACGGCCACGACCACCACGGCTACGAGGAGCCCAAGAACTTCTCCGACTTTATCAAGCCCGAGTACTACTAGGCGTGGCCTGATGATCTGGTGGTGCCGCCGGCGGTCCGATGGACAGCGGGCGACTGACGCCTTTTCACGAGACGAGATGCATAGAAGGAAGGAGACGAGCGATCTAGGGGATATTCAGCAGGCCAAGGAGCGGAGAGGAAGGCCTTGTAGAATACATAGTCTTTGCGGGAGGTGTATAGAAGTCTTTTATTTCTGCAGAGGCCATGCGTATGGTCCACCCTGCGTGAACGGCGGCTTTGCCCGGTCTGGGCCGGTATGCTCACACAGGGAGCTCTGAATTACTATGCCTGGAGGGAAGTCGTCGGCTCCGTTCAACCAGGTGCGGGTATGTTACTTCCGGAGGCCTAGTCAGGGCACATGGAGCGGGCCGAAGCTCCATGCTGGGGGTGAGAGGGAGATCTCGAGTCTCATTGCTCGAGCTCAGAGCTCAGGAGCTGCCTCGGGCCTGCCTTCTGTGGGCTCCTGTCTCTGGTGTCTCCCAGCTATGCCTTACTTGATGTGCTGTGACTCGATGTGGTGCGATGCTCAGTGACACTCCATCGGCATACCGGCAGCTCTCAGTCGCCGTCGTCGTCCCCGAAGCTCAGCTTGATCTTCTTTGCCTTCTTCTTGGCCTTGGCTGGGGCCTTGGTCTTGTCATCTGCAGCAGCTTTCTTGTCTTGTCCCTTTGCGCTGGCCTTCTCTTCCTTGGCGGGGCCATGGTTCCCATGCTCCTCGTCGTCGTCGACATCAGCGCCGACCACCTTTCCCACCTTCCTCTTCTTGGAGCCCCCAATGGTGGCGACCTTGTCCTCCCGCCCAGCACTGGCACCCTCCTTCCCCGTTACACCGGCGTCCTTGCCCCCGTCAGCCCCCTTGCTGTCGCCATCTTCCCCCCCTGCGCCCGCCTCCTCCGGGTTGGCGGTGACGGTGCCGTCGGCGGCGACCTCGACGCCCGCTACGACATTGCCGTCGTCGTCGACGATGAGGGGCGCGTCCTCGGCGTCCTCGCTGGCGGACCGCGGCTTGGCCTGGCGGCGGCGCGAGGCCAGGATCGGGTCCGGCGAGTCGGCGTCCGCGGCGTGCTGGCCCTTGAGGCGCGCGAGGAACGGCGGCAGGGTCTGGTCGTAGTGCAGGTTCTTGCCCGTGATCTTGTTGGACATGGTCGGCTTGGCGGTTGCACGGCGAGGGGCACCGTCTCGTACTGTAGGGTGCATAGAGAGTGGATAGTCTATGTACTTATATTGTGTAGAGACCTGTAGCGATAATCTCTTGTATCACAGGGTTAGGGTTGTATCCAAGCATGGTGACATCCTTTCTGTGACGGCGCGATGGGCGCAAGTGTGTGAGGTGGCTGCGCACAGATCACCTACGCCCTGAGGCCTCTTGCTCTTTCAAGCTTGATAGCAATCGGAGGCAACCTGCCCTCCTGCTCTTTTCCTGCAAGGCAAGGTCTTAATCAGATTTCTACAATAATGAGCAAGACTTGAGAGCATTGCCTCTTCTAGGGTCCTCTCGTGACACTTTCCCCCTACAGCCTTGCGCAATTCTTTCCTGTGATAAGGGCTTTGATAACTTGATATTATGTATAAAATTATATAATTAAATAACTCACATTCAAATAATAAGTATAATGATAAATAAGCCATAGTGCTTCGGGCTGTACGATATGATGGAAAGAAGCGCTCAATTCCAAGGTTACTCTTAAATCTAAGCTTCAGGTTTGCACCACATTCCAGTCAGATATCGTGCTTGGGGGATAATTAGCTGTCTCTTTCTCCTCGCCCCAGATACAAATCACACGGCACATCGAATATCTCATTATGTGATACTCCCTACCGTCCTGTTCCGCATAGGTGACTTCCATTGGGAACCTGCCACTGACACCATGCTACCCAGAGCTGTAAAGCTCCCAGAACGACGGACAGTGCACCGAAAACAGCAGCAAGGCCAAGCGCGATGACGGCAATCCAGTATGTTCGCCAGGTGGCCCGTTTCCCTTCGGCCAGTTTCTCCAATGCCGATCTTGGAGTGGGCTCATCAGCTTCCTCGTAGAGCGCTTGCAATCGTCTCGCCCAGTGCGGGTAAAGCTCATGAAGCTCCCTGGTATTGGTAAGAGGCCTGCCCACGTCAGCATCAATGATAGCATCGAATGGCGCGGCAAGGCGTGGATCCAATTCAGCTGTCTTGAGCCAGGCCCATCCAGACCAACAGAAGTGCGGTTTGATCTGTGACTTCAACCATCCTTTATCCTTGCCTTGTGGGAAGATAAGCGTGAGAGTCATTAATGTCTCCGCGAGAAAGTCGTAGGGAAGGCATCCTCTGAATATATCATTAGCGACTATGTCTTCAAAGTTGACCTCAAAACTTCAGTGTAGCCTCGCTTACTGCTGCAAGCAATCTGCTAATTCTGTCTTGGATTTGTCCACGACATTGATTGACATCTCCAAGAGCGACGCAAGTTGAAAGACGCGCAATACCTTTCCATCCAACTCAAGATGGTCCGGTAGATGTTTCGTCCATACCACCTCGATCTTGGCGTAGTTCCTCAAATGTCTCGCCCGCAACTTCTTCTTATTGAATGGCATCACTGCTGAGGTCGTTTGGGAAGAAAGGCTTCTCCCGGGTAACGTGGGGTGACGAAAGCCGGGGAGGCTCTGTTCCACTATGTCTTGCAACGACTTCGCGTCGTCCCAAATTATCATGGAATTCCCGATGATCTCCGACGAATTTGCCGCGACGTCAATTCCGAGCATGATGCGCACTGCCCTTGTGATGGCAATATCCTCTACTTTGAATGTAGGGAGGGTCAAGATTTGCTTGGATCTCTCCAGAGCGTGGTGGTGCTGGTTCTTGTCCTTGCCAGAGAATTCAGAGGGCATCGACCTCCTCGACGACCAGGCCTGGTGCATGTTTCCGACCATAGCCTTCAAAGACATTTTAGAGGCCTCGGGTTTACTCTTGAGCAGCACAACGAAGAACAAGGCTTCGTCTGTCACATCAACCTCCTCATCGTCACAATACCGGAAGTATGCGGCGAGCTTCTTATCAATATCGGCGGTCAAATCGACCCCCCATATTGTCTGCACCAGGGCTTCTTTGGTTGCGGTGTCCATAGATAATGTCGGTCCTTGGAGTTCCTCGCTACAGGCCGTTGTGCTTCGATAAGTGTCCAGCCCTGAGTGACTCGTCCGCTTATTTATTTTCGATTCCGGGTTATGTAGACGTCTGGTCACTTCCTGCAGACTCAGCCTACGCGAGGTTCCATGATTCGTCCGTCGGACGCCACATTAGCGGTCAACGGAGGCTGCCTCATGCAAGGGCACGTTTGTGCTGATTCCCGGCATTTGAATTCTCTTCACCCCGCTTTGCTTGCCTCACATTCAATAAATCATCGACGAAGCCTTGATAAGCGGAGCATTCCAGACAGAGGGTCAAGATGGCCCCTGAGGTTGAGGTGCAAGGGGCACGTTCTGACGCTTCCATGTTAGAAGTCTTCCGCAAAACACCACAAACCATCCAAAATAAGCAGCAGACCGAGCCAGATCTGCGATTGCGACATTCTTTTGAACTAAATGGGGATAAAAGAGCCCATCGCTTTACCAACTTGCACGCGCCGCCCATTGCTGGGCACGGTTCCTCCCTCCCGTGTCCCAACTTCGAGCAATCTTCGAGACAACCCGCTGGTTCTGACGAATCCAATGCATATCCCGAAACAAGGCCATCAGACTCCCATGACGCAATTATCGTATCTACCAACCCAGAAAGTCCGAATCATTTACTCTCGACAGAAGCTGCCGAGGGACCTCTTCTCACACCAACAACCGTAGAATCCCCCAAGAGGGTTCAAGAACAACAAGAGACAATCACAGCGAGAGAAAAAATTCTTGAAATCCTTAGACACGTGGAATGGACGAGGATAATGGAAGGGACAATTGAGGAGGTCGAGTCTTTTACGAACGTCGACAACGCCGAGACAAGATACAAAGAATTCAAGTCTTTCATATTGGAAAAGGGGCGAAGTCTAGGTTTCCCACATGGTTGTAAACCATACGACCGGGTACTACTTCGGCCTGGAGGTCCCAACTCAACTCCATTCCCATATATTCGCTTCACTGGATTCCGGAGTCAAGAACACGTCAAGAAATACCATGCGGTGTTGTCGAGAAGCTCGTTGAAGAAAGTCTACAAACCTCCTTTGCGGCTGTGCTACGAAATCCGCAGATTAAAGTATCTGGCAGGCCCCATCCAGACCCTATCTATCGAGTCGCTTACGAAGTGCTCTTTCAGCGGCTCGCTCGCTACGATCGGAGATGGAGAGAATGCACGTAAAGTCACAATCGGTGGGATACTTAAGACTGGAGAGAGCTACTCCATAATCACTGCGGGGCATCACTCTCAAGACGACGACGAAAGCCTGGATGACAGTTCATCTGAATATTCATTTGAGCATTCCATAAATCCTGACGACTATGACGATGATATATATGCACCTGTCATTCTTAGTGACTCTGCCAGCCATCCACCCCTGGACGACCTTACAGATGATTCTCAGCTCTATCAGGCCTTCCCGACTCCAGCGTCGGTCGTGGACATCTCCAGACATTCAACTGAATCCCCGTCACCGTTTCATCCAGTGAATGTGACCCAGCCTTCGAATGCATCGACGCTGGCCTGGCACAGCCCGAAACTCAGTGGCGACGATTGGTCTCTGTTCCCCATCGACGGGGCGCAATTAGCTCTACCTAACTGCTTTTGCCCAAAAAACAGTACGAGACCGATCTACCTGACACATCCAACACGCAGACCGCGATCAGCCAGAGCATGGCTACTCGCCGGGGTGACTGGCCAAAAGCATGTGACCATTACCCCAAGCGAAACGCAGCTTCCCTTGCCTTCGGGTGCTTGGGTCGCAGCATGGAAGGTTCGCTTAGACGATGGAAGCTGTGAGTATGTACCACGTGCCGTTGTACGCGAATACTTAACTGATCCCTGTAACCTGCAACAGCTCTGCGACCCGGAGATTCGGGCTCATGGGTCGTCGACTTCGACGGCGAGATTCTGGGTCATGTGATTGCGCAAATAGGCGACTGCGCATACATCATGCCTTTGAAGGATGTGTTGCGAGACATTGAAACAGGGCCTCACAGTTTCCACCCAGTAGAGCTCCCCTCTCCGTTCGAGCTCCTGATCCATCTGTCAAGGTCGCAGCCTGATTGGAGATCGGATGTCCGCTACACAAGCCACTCGTGGGCTTTCGATATCGTCAGGTTCCTCCTGGACAAGCCAAAGCAGATACAAAATGGAATGGTTACCATTTTAACAGATGTATTGGTGAACTCGCATTCGGACGTGCCGTCTGGACTCATAGAGATGTGGCAGAAGGAGATAGATTGGTCAAGTGATGTGGTCAGAGAGATGGCCAAGCTCAGTCAGGCCTGTGGTATCCAGCCCCCTGGTCGCTTTCTAGACGGCCACGAGAGTCTCAGAGAGAATTACCACGCAGAATCTCTTCATGTTAAGTATGAGAGCTCACAGGAGGTGATCCAAAAGGAACCTCTATCCGCAAAGAAGAGTGGTCAGGCCATACCTGATTGTTTGGCCATGTCAACTCAAAGTGACCCCTTGGCCTTCCAAACAGAGCTTCAGCAATTCAAAGATGGTCTGGACCACGCAGAAAAGGAGGCATTCAAACTGGTGGACTTGAACGACCTGCTCAGAGCAATCAATGATATCCAGGCACGGTTGTTCTGGCAGAGGCGTGGCAGGAATCTGGCATGTCTCAAACCGTTCCTCGAGGCAATGGATCAGCTCGGTAAAGTGGTCGAGGTCTTTGCCAACAGCAGCGAGTTTTTGGCTTTCGTCTGGGTATGACACCTCCCGCATAACCCCAATTCACCCGGAACGTGATCGCTGAGTAATATCAGGGCCCGATGAAATTTCTATTGCAGGTGAGTCTCTGGCCACGAGCCAAAAGAAATTTTGGTCTGATAGGATGTCATTAAATTCCCTTCAGGTCTCCAGTTCGTGGTCGGATGCATTTTATGATCTTGTCGACATGTATGAAAAAATTGGTGAGAGTCTGCCGCAGCTGCTGCAGACCGAACCTCTCTTTCGCGAGAACACAGCAATGTGCAGAGTTCTCTCATTGATGTACAAAGATATTCTCGAATTCCACCGCCTGGCCATGAAATATTTCAAGCAGCCAAGTACGTGAAAATCTGTCTCGTTGCTGCTGCATTCTTAGTCTTCTTTTTTCCCTGCCATATGTTGCGCTGACACAAGCATGGGGACAAATAGTGTTGAAGCAACTGTTCCAAGCCACTTGGAAGGTATACAAGACGCGCTTCGATCCGGTAATAGCCAATATACACGAACACGGGATGTTGGTTCAGAACCAAGCCACTCTAGCCCAGATGGAAGAGTCTCGAAGAGAGCATGAGGTCCAGAGACTTCGCGAGATCTACACCTGGCTGAAATCCCCTAATTATGACCAGGCTAGCAACGCTGAAAATGACCAAAACGAGTATTCAAGGCTCCGCAAAGACTGTCCGGGCAGTGGACGTTGGTTGTTAAGCAAGCAGGCCTTCAGCGAGTGGATGGACCCGGCCTATCCAGCCATTCCACCTCTTCTATGGATTAATGGAGTTCCTGGAGCTGGTAGGTCCCGGCGGAGCTGTTGCCGTTTATTTTGAATCCGTTCTCTGACGTTCCGGTCGCTAGGCAAGAGTGTCTTGACGTCCCTCATCGTCGAGCAAGTGAGACTCTTATCTCCTGCTCCGACACTGCTCTTTTTCTACTGCAAAGGTAGAGACAATAACCGAGACGACTTTATATCTATTGCTCGCAGCTTTTTGTCCGAGCTCCTTAGGTGTCATCCGGATATTCTATCTCCCTTCTTCTACTACAAGTTCTCTAAGAGCAACGAGGCAGTTCTAAGCAACGTACAAGACATTGAGGAGCTCCTGAGGGTGTCGCTGCTAAACTGCGCCAAGGTATATATCGTTATTGACGGCATCGATGCGTGTGGGAGAGAAGAGCGCAAGAGAATCACCTCGTGGTTCCGAGATATCGTTGAAAATCTAGAGCCTCCGAACCTGGACCGTGTAAGGTGCCTTTTCGTCAGCCAGGATGACGGTGTCGCTCGTAAGGATTTCGATGGGATCACGACTCTCAAGATCGAGCCCGCGGATGTGAAGGATGACATTGAGAAGTACAGCTTGCATGAAGCGGCCCAGATCCAGTCGTTGTTTCAGCTTTCTGATGACATGAGAGAGGATATCGCTTCCAAGATGAGGGAAGCCGCAGATGGTACGTTGTCGGCACGACTATGTCAAATCGTTGGGACTACTAACAATAAAGTGTAGGGATGATACTCATTGTGCAGCTAATGGCATCTAACCTGAAACACCAGACGACAGTGGAAGAGATCGAGGACGAGCTGCGAGACGAGATGCTGCCCAAGCAGCTTGGTGATGTGTAAGTGCAGGCTGGTTAATGTCGTAGTCACGCGAGATGTCTGACAGATGCGTGCCTAGATATGATAGAATAATGGCCAGGCTGTTTGAGAGGGCCTCGAGCAAGGAGAAGGAGGCCTCAAGAACAGTTTTCCGTTGGCTGTTATACGCAAAGCGGCCGCTGAAATGGCATGAGATCCAAGCTGCCCAGGCCATCAATTTGGACGGCCAGTGTGTAGAATGGGAACGGCGACGCTTCCGGGTTGAGCCCAAAGACCTCTGTGGCTCGCTGGTGGCTCTTTCGAGGGACGGAACGGTTGGCTTCGTGCATTCAACCGCGAGATCGTAAGGCCCTCTATTCCCCAGTCTTTCCACGTCTTAGCATTTACAGAACTGACGCTGGGAACAAGCTATCTTGCAACGTGCAAACACCTTGATCTGTCGTCAGGTGAATTGGACCTGGCAAATCTTTGCGTGGACTACCTAAATATGCCGGGCTTTCATCAGGACACCCCGAACCTGTCAAGTCTAGTCTCTAGGGGCTATTATGGTTTCATGGATTACGCGGTGGCCCATTGGGTTAGACATGTTGAGGAGGCGGCATCGGTCGCCGATGAAGAAGACGCCATGATCAAGGACCTGGCTGAGTCGTTGATGGCTCTGCTTGATACCCATTTCACGACGCCAAGGAAGCGATTGCCCGTCTCGCAAGGCAGTAAAAAGAGGCTCCAGGTGTTTGAAGGCCTCCCACGATTCCATGACCTGGAACAGGCTGTCGTATCGACTCGCAAAGAGCTCACTTTCTTCGGTGAGACCAGAGAGTCGGACAGGGCACTGGATCTTGCCTTAGTAGTCGGCAACATACGCTCTGAGCTTGAACATGCTCTTGATGGCGCCCAAAATGGGCCAGCCGGAGAAGCTGAAAGCCTGGAAGTAATGTATGGGCCGAGGCCGTTCAAGTGCGGCAGAATCAGCTGCCGCTACTTTTACGACGGCTTCACAACAGCACAGCAAAGAGACCAGCACAATGACAAGCATCTGCGCCCGTTCCGGTGTACCGTTGTGGGCTGCCCCAGGTCTTCCCTCGGCATGGCGTCCGGTAGAGAGCTGGAAAGGCATACAAGAGACGCACATGGGCACCCAGGAGATGGTGACTTTCCAGACCTGGACGAGCTCAAGAGGGATGCACAAGATGATGGTGAGCATAGTGACCAAGAGCGCACTATAAGGCCAGCAGGAAGTCAGATGAGCACAAAAATGCCAAGAGCCAAGCGACCCCGGATCAGCGAGTGGACATGTGATGTGTGCTCCAAGGTATTCAGGAAGAAGTTTAACCTGACGTTGCACATGGCCACGCACACCGAAGAACGGGGGTCCTGCTGCAGCGTGTGCGAACTGGAATTTGATAGGCCTAGTGACCGGAACAGACACAAGAAGACGCATGAGGATCCGCGGTTCGTATGTGAAGGCGAGTTCCCAGACGGGCAGAGGTGGGGATGTGGCCAAAAGTTTGTGAGGGCGGACATGCTGCGCAATCACTATAGGACAGTAGCCGGTCAGAAGTGTATAAGTGCTGCTCGTCGTCTCGGCGGCAGTTGATGCCTGGCGGTTGAAGGCTCAGAATTCATCTATAATGTTGCCTGTTTCGAGTTTGCAAGTCCAAAACCATGGAGAGTTGACGGCGAGGACTTGCCTTTGGCTCTCCTTGTGCATCGTATATTAGTGCTGACCTGCAGAATTCAGTTTCGCTGTCGAGTTGCCTGGAATATCTTGCATGTCTTTCATGTCCTGTCTTTTCCGCTCGGGGTGAACATTCGCAAAAGCAAGCCTTTGCAACACAACGTTGTTTCTATACATGTACCTGCTTCAAAGTTAGTTTAACAGGGAATTGATCATACGTTCAGAACGGTTATGCAGTGTGCCGTAAGTGTCGCTGCTCAACATAACAACCATCAGTCCTGTCGCCCTTATCTGTCCGAATTTGAAGAGAAGAGCTTTGCCCAGACCGCGGGCCACTGGAATGGACAAGATGGTATGCGGAGCCTCAAATGTGGTCTAGAATGGTGAGCCTCTGAGATGGACGGATGCCACAATTTTCTATGGCTTAGCCGAGCCCACGCAATACTCCCTTGCGTAGGAAGCATCCACAGATACTGCATTCATGTGAGAGGCTGCTTGCATACTCGTCGGTTGTCAACAACAGCTTCCCTCTTGCAACGGCTCTCTGCCTCTCCACGGGGCCATAGGCCATGCTAAACCGGCATCTGGTTCATCACTGTGCATCAGGGCTCAGCATATGTGTGTGCAGGCCACACTTAATCCTGAGAATACTTATCAGGTGATGTCGAAGCCTGTCAATTGGCCTCGATTATTGGCCAGAAGATGAGAGGCAGCTAACGAATCATCTCTCTTCATACACGAGGGGTCAGCAAAGGTGTCAGTCCGGACAATCTTGTATGCAGAAAGCCGAGCACGTAGTAGTGTGAATGTGATGAGCCTGTTGTGCGTAAGAGCAGGTCTGCAGAAGCAGCTCAGCCCCCAATAATAATCTCATGTTCAACGACTTGGCTGCCTGCTCGGGTGATACAGCCGGGGCTTACTCTACCGGGATTTTCCAAGGCTCAGCCAGTTGCAATCTGACCTGCTTCCTCTGCTTCACCCGCTCAATCCAATTGCTCAGAACACATTTCCAGTTGCTATGGTGTTGTCATACTCCTTGCGTTCTGTTCGGGCCAATGTGAAGGCCAAACTGCGTTGTATTTTGTGATGCCGCCTCTTCTAATTTGCGTTCATACCAATGCGGATGCAATTTGAAGGGAACCCAAGGATCTGCTACGCACTCTGACGAGCAGACAGAACGTGAAGAGGGGAAACAGAAAGAACATTTGTCTTTCAGCCAAACCACACAGACACTATTGGGATAACACCGCCACAGTCTCAAGATCTATTACGGAGCGCCCTGCGGCTTAGTTACTTCCTTATCTAGAAGGTTGTCCCACAGGACGCAAACTCACAGGAAAGCAAGTCATTCGGATATTCCATATAAAATATGCTACTGAATCGTGATGGATATTCATAATAAATCACACAAGCGCAAGCGATTGTCGATATCAGGTGGGGATAATGAAGAAGATTCTCCTGTGGCCCCTTCAGAGCCTACTTTCTCAACGACGTTGACCTCATCCACATGCTATGGGACGGTAAGTTGAGTTCTACTAAGCTGTTGAAAGCCCGATGACTGAAACGAGGCAACAGATAGTCGACGTGACTATCCAAATACGACAATGGCCTCAAGCTCAAATTGAGAGCAGTGGCTCATCATTCTGCCCTTACGCTGTTGTTGCACATGGCCAATTCTACGGGCTTGGTGTACACAGTGAAATATTTGCTGTTTTCAACAAAACAACCTCTCAATACATGCATCAGCTTGTCAAGGTGGATGGGGTACGCCTTGAAGGGTTCATTAGCCAGAGACTCTTTCTCACAGCCCGCGAAAAAGGCGCCAACACCATGCCCGTGGACATCAACGTCTACGGAAAGAGAGAAAATGCCTTCTCCGTCGGAAATGTTCTCTCCTCGTTTGGGGTAGATTTACAACAGCCAGTTTGTGGCTTGGAAGACGCTGCTTACTACAATCCTCACTTCTTTCATGTGGAGGAGTTATTGGGCCTGGGTCCGGTCCATCGAACTCCGCTTTTCCAAATCAGCGCGAAGGTTGACATGAATACTCATGGGGTTGAATCTAGCGGTCCTGCAACGCCTGAGCAAGACCGAAATCTGGACATATCTACTGAGATAAACAGTGTACTCCGCTCATTGTCCCATCATGCTATACTGAGCAAAAAGGCTGGGGCTGTCGCGCTTAAATCGCAACTCAAGGAGTAAGATGGTGGACTGTTCATGTGCAACGCATTCCGATCAGAGGAGGCTGACCATTGGAAAATTCTTGTAGGTACCAGATGGAAGGGCTGGATTTTATGTGCAGGCGTGAGACTGGAGAGCTTCCGCCTGAGTTGACTCTATGGAAACCGGTTGTGAATGATAATGGAGACCTGGTGTAAGAGAATATGTCCACCTATTCTAACTTGCCGGAAGAAGTATGTGGCATTGACTAGAAATCAGTTATCAACACACCATCATCGGCGCAAGGCGACCGCAACCGTCGGACATCAAGGGTGGAATCCTGGCCGATGAAATGGGAGTTGGGAAGACGATGGTTGCATTGGCAACCATAGCTGCATCGCTTGATCGAGCTTCAGACTTTGCATCGAGCAGCCCGGCAGACAAGGCAAACAATACTCTGCGACGAAGGTCAAAGGCTACTCTCGTCATTGCTCCCTCATCTCGTAAGTCAATCAATACGTACACTACCAGGTCATCGTAACTATTGTTATCACAAAAAACTAACCACAGTCTTATACTATGTCTATAGTTGTGATAGATGGATGGGTTGATCAAATACGAGAGTGAGATATTTCACGCAGCTTGGGTCGAATATTTACTGAGTATGATCGCAGGCACATATACCCCGGCGGTTTGACATTCTATAAGTATCACGGCCGACAACGACAACAAGACGCAAATCTATTGTTTGAGCGAGACCTGGTCTTCTCAACTTATGCCACGTTAGCGAGTGAGCCGGACAGGGGTATAGGTATTCTGGATAGTGTTGAATGGTTCAGGTTAGTCCTAGACGAAGGTGAGCAACGTCTGGTCTCAAGCTCATCACCTTTGGAATCAACTTGAAGTCCTGACTCCAGAAATCAAACTCATCTCTAGCCCACGAAATTCGCAACACCACGACCAAACAATTCCAGGCGGCATCCAGGCTTTCTGCTGAACACCGCTGGTGTCTGACCGGCACGCCAATCCAAAACTCAGTCGAGGATCTCGGCGCGCTCGTTGCTTTCTTACGTGTTCCTCTCTTCGAAACAGCCTCGACCTTTCGCAGGTACACCCTCAATCAAGCCAAGCACGGCAACAGAAGTCCATTCAAGAACCTGCAGATCCTCTTAAACTCGATATGCCTTCGGCGGACCAAGGATGTGGCCGGGATGTCCGATCCCGTCGTTCAGACGCAGGTGTTGTCGTTCGACCCATCAGAGAGACGAGACTACACGAGACTGGTGGACCAACTTCGAACACACTTCGACATGGATATCAGTGGGCACACAGCAGGAGGAGGGAGCGCGCGAATGCTGCAGGGTATCCTCAAGCTGCGGCTGTTCTGCAATAACGGCTTTATGGGCCGGGACGCTTCCAATATGGCGTTCGACGCGGACGAGGTGCTGAGCTGCTTGCAGCAAACCGGCCAGGCGTCATGCGTCTTGTGCTCACGCACCATCTACTCCATCAGTAGTGTCGCCGACACGGACGGAGGCTGTCCACTGGAGCCGTGTTGGCATCTCGCCTGCAGGGAATGCGCCAAGGGGCCGAGCAAGAAGAAATCATGCCCTCGATGCGTCGAAGGAGATACGGGCTCCAGCATCCGTGGAGTCTTGCAGAGCATGAAGGATCTACAAGCACAAGATACAACCTCCGTTGATGAGCCGTCACACACACCACAGTACCCGTCAAAGCTTCGGGCCTTTGTAGAAGACATCCAGGTGCAGCTGGCTGCCAAAAGGTGAGTGAGCAATCCCTAGCGTCTTAGTCTGCAGACAGATGCGTCTAGAACTTCAAGCTGACACCGTGGTTGCGACCAGTATTGTCTTCTCCTTTTGGAAGACGACTCTGGATCTCATCGGCCAACTTCTGACAGCCAGGGGCTTGGGTTTCTATATGATCCACGGCTCACTCCCACTCAGCGAGCGACGGCGCATCCTGGATGGTTTTCGTTCGGCTGGGAATGCCCACATACTCTTGATGACGCTGGGTACTGGGGCAGTTGGGTGAGTTGTGAATGCCTCTTGTCGGCTTGGCACCATCGACGAAACCAAAAATAATCTGAACTGACACTTGATACCTTTTCTCAGACTGAACCTGGCAGTTGCGTCGAGGATCTACCTCCTCGAGCCGCAGTGGAACCCGCAACTTGAGCAACAGGCATTCGGACGAGCCCAGAGACTGGGGCAGATGGAACAGGTCACGATCGTCCGCTACGTCATGAAGGACACCGTAGAAGATGTAAGTGCGGCGTGGAGTCCCACTCTGTGTTTACTTATTCGTGCGTGAGACGCTCTAACGCAACATCGCAGAGTAATGTCTGGCCGAGACAGGCCAAGAAGCTGCGAGATGCGGCACGGGGCTTCGAGAAGTCGGGTCGGAAGCCACGATCTGGAAATGAGCAGGATCTCCGTGTAAGACATAATGAACATTGGCTTTATTTCGTCTTAGTAGTGATGCTAACAAGAACACATTGAACAGGATGTCTTCACCCACGCGAGTCCGGCTGTGATGCCAACAGGAATGCCGTCGATCTCAGACTTGTGCAGTTAGACTCACTGCATTTGAGTCTTCTTAGACATTGGATAAAGTATCTTGCATGATCGGCCAACGCCTCGAGTTCTGTGACATCGGATTGTCGAAGAGAATATGAATGTCAGTAGCTGCGCTGCGTGTGAGCATACTAAACTCTCCTTGTACGCGCCTTTTCGCCACATTCCATCAACAACAGCGTATACAGCACAACGTTGGAGTATTCATATGTCCGCTTCAAGTATCTGTCCAGACGAGAATCTCTTGCATAGAGTGCCTCGCCCAATTGATGTTGTATCGTGCCGTGCTCTGGTTTTTCACCGGCGCATAAAAGCAAGACTTGTCTCTTTCTATTCACGCTCAGGATATCATGTATGACTGGCAACTTATTTGGCCCCCGGGGCGAACAGGACCTGCTTGGGATCGTAGTGATACTTGACCTCGCCGTGCCAGTACGGTACGGTATCAACCTTTGAGATCTTCCAGGCCTCGTCGAGGCTCTTGACCACTTCCTCCGGTAGGGGCCCCTTCTCGATATTGTCGAGGTTGTTGGCCAGCTGGTCGATGTTGGAGATGCCGATGATGATGCCGTCGTTGCCGTCCTTGATCTTCAGCTGGGAGTGGTGGACAACCCAGCGCAGGGCGGTCTCGATGAGGGTCAGGTTGTGCTTCTCGACGGCCTTCTCGATGAGCTGCAGGGCGTCAAAGGTCGAGTCCCTGAAGTAGCGGCCGCGGTACATCTTGCCGCTGTTGGCGGTGTCGCTGAAGCGGCCCTCGGCCGGGGTGAAGTCCTTGCTCTTGATCTTGCCCGAGAAGAGCCCGCCGGCGATGGGGTTGTAGACGACAATGTCCAGGCCGTAGCGGCGGCAGGCCTGGATCAGCTCGGTCTCGATGGAGCGGGTGATGGCGTTGTACATCCCCTGGTAGACCGTGGGGCGCACCCAGTTATTGTACTTTGCCGTCAGACATATCTCGGCGACCTCAAAGGCGGTGAAGTTGGAGATGCCCAGGCGCACGAACTTGCCCTGCTTGTGGAGCTTGTCGAGGGCCTCCAGGGTCTCGGCGAAGGGTGTGGCGCGGTCCTGATGAAAAGGAGCAGAAAGTCAGTGAGTGTGCATAGCATAGCAAAGCATAGCTGTGCAGGCAGACATACGGCTGCGTGTAGGTACAGCAGGTCGACACAGTCGGTGCCTAGCTCTTTCAGGCTGGTCTCGACACTGGCGGTGACCTTGTCGGCAGTGTTCTCGCCGGGAGCGTTGGGATACTTGACCTTTGTGGCCAGGGTGAGGCCCCTCTCCTTCCAGCCGGCCTCGCGGGTGAAGGCCTCCTGCTGGCCGCCAACGTAGACGCGAGCGGTGTCGACCTCGCTGTAGCCCCGCTGCTGGTAGAGGTCGAGGATCTTGGCGAACTCAGGAACTGTAGTAATGCGGGCGCCGGTGGCCTCGTCGGTGCCGAATGTCATCAACCCCAGGATGACGCGCGGGGTAGGTGCTGCTGCAACGAGAGGCATGGTGGGTGGGTGGTACAGACTCCTGAGTGGATGTATGAATGCTTGATGGAGGGGTTGAGGTAATACGAGCAGCAAGGTTGTCACGGAAACAACTAGATGTATGGAATTATGTGTACATAGGTGTAAATATATCGTATATATAGTATCGTGAGAAAGAGAGAAATAGACAGAGAGAGGGGCCGAAGGGAGGGGTGACGCAGCGACACTACGGAGATATGCCCAAGGCGATATTCTTATCGCCTAACTACTTCACATTGGTGCTGCTACAACATGTTTATCGAGACGATGAAGACCATGGAGGGCGGGCTTAAGTCCGAATGACCGTCATCGGCATCGTCTCGATGGCGACATTGGCCGGTTGCCCCTCCAGTCCCGGGCCCCCAGTTTCGTGAGGATGAGAGTGGGGGTTCTGTCTGGGAATGTAATAAGGAAGCTTGAGTTTGAGCTTGAGCTTGAGCTCGAGCTAAGCTGAGGTACTTGCTGTGCCCGTATGGAGCATGGAGTGAAGTGGGGCATGAAATGTTTGTGTGCAGTGCGCAAGAGCAGTCTACTTGTCCATCTTGCATGATCCACAGCAGACTAAGTTATCTATTGCTAGCATGTATGGGCTTGCTATGGACATAGACTATGTAGTTCAAGCTTGTTGGAACTGTCATTCGTTCCTGAATATATACAAGATACATCTACGTATGCGTGTATGTATATATGCATATCAATATGGTTAACTCGCACAGCATCCAAGCTGTAATTTGTGCCCGCAAAAAAGCAATGACGCTGGCATGTGGAGGAGGCTGGCGTTAACATTAGCTTCAGTCATGTCGTAGCAGATCTCCAGCCAAGACCAGACAATCGGGCGACCGTGTAGCAAGGAGTCTCCATGGACTCGCGAGTACTTGATTGTCAGTCAGATAAGTAGTCCAACGGTTTTTAACGGCCACTACCTACCCACGACCCGTTTATAGCCTTTGTTTTTCCACTGTGGTCCTCATATCTAGTTTAGAGGCAGCCATGGACACCTGGAGGCTCCCCTCGCTGTCTCGAGGAGACAGTCTCGCAGCAGTTGTGTTCTCATGGGTCGGCATCTTGTCCTGTCTCAGCGTTATCTACAGCGCGGTCAGCTTCGTCTCGCCATACTTCAGGCCCTCCAAGCTCAACCGCTACCTCCACGAGACCGACGGAAAGCCGGCCTGGGCCCTTGTCACGGGAGCTTCAGACGGTATAGGGAAACAGTTCTGCCACCAGCTCGCCGCCCACGGCTTCAACGTCGTCCTGCACGGCCGCAACCCAACTAAGCTAGCCCGGGTCCACGATGAGCTCGTCAAGGCCTTCCCCCAGCGCCAGTTCCGCTCCCTGATCGCAGATGCCTCGGCCATTCACTGCAACAACTGCCGCCCGTCGCTGGCTGCTTCGCCGGCCAAGTCCACGCGGAGCCACACTACCAATACCCAGCCAAGCAACATCGACTTCGACGCCATCGCCACGTCGCTGGCAGACATCAACCTCACCGTGCTCGTCAACAACGCCGGCGGCGGCGTCGTGAACCCGGTCTACCAGTTCCTCCAGGACTCCCCCGAGGCCCGGCTCGTGGGCAACATCAACGTCAACGCCATCTTCCCGCTCGTCCTGCAGTCCAAGCTGCTGCCCCAGCTGCTGCGCAGCAGCCCCTCGCTCATCCTGAACATCGGCTCCATGTCCGACATGGGGCTGCCCATGCTGGCGTCGTACGCCTCGAGCAAGAAGTTCGGCGACACCGCCTCGCACATCATCGCCCGCGAGCTGGCCCTCCAGGGCCGCCAGCGCGACGTCGAGGTCCTGGCCGTGCGCGTCGGCGAGGTCACGGCCACCTCGTACAACTCCCACCCCGTGTCCTTCTTCGAGCCCGATGCTGCTACCATGGCGCGGGCTGCTCTGGCGAGGGTCGGCTGTGGGCGCGTCGGCATCGTGGGCTACTTTCCTCATGCGCTGCAGCAGCTTGGATTGGATCTGGCCCCGGCGTTTATAATGGAGAAGTCCATGCAAAATGTCATCCGAGAGCGATGGAGGCAGGACCAGGAGATGATGAAGAATGCTTGAGCGCTGGATTATCGCTGCTGGCTCAGCATCTCATCCAGGGACATGCCATCTTGTGGGAAATTTCACACACGCGAGGAAGACACATGTCGTAGTCAAAATCCTTAAATGTTATGCATGATATGATTACTATGTTTCCCATGTGGGAGGGTATCTTCTAATTTTTTCAAAAAGCCCCCAACGCCTCTGTTGTCATACACCACCAACGCGGTGATGACTATGCGGTCAATCCACCAACCTGCTCCGTCATGTTTCACCTTTTCTTCCCACAGGATTCCGGCCACCCCAGAACGCCTACAGTCATTGATGCTAGACCCTCGGCCACGATATCCCACCGGCGACATGTTCGGACAGCTGAGCCGAAACCTCATAGAGACCGCTAGCGAGTGAGACGGGCTCGACTATTGCCCGGACCAACGGTCTCGACGCTGCGTCTGCGTTACCATGCATCCCTCCTGATGGCTTCAATTCATCAGGGCCAGTCTGCTTTCCGGTGGCCAGTGCCACTTATTCATCCTTCCAACAGCGAGCGCGAGCTTTTCAGGATGTGTGTGAGTGCACCATATCCAGTTCGCCGTCGACATCACTGCCCTCATCCATCTGTGCAGTGTCGGGGGTGGCGGGTTGGTCGTCTAATGAACTGTCGGACTCCATGTCGTCCGAGCTGGTGGATGAGTAGGCGTCCTCGTCCTCGTCGAGGCCCCCCTCGCTGCAGCAGCCGGCGGCGTGGTGCATGGCCCTGGAGGCCGCCAGGCTGGGGTCACTGTCGGCCACGCGCTGAGGGAACATATCCCCGAGCAGCCTGCCCGTGGCGGAAGCCGGGGTGTCCATCTTCGCGTAGAGCCCTTGGAGGTTGTTGATGGAAAGCTTCAACATTTGCTCCCAGTCGCCGGCGGACTTGGCCTTGTCGGCAGGACTGAGTGGCTTGTTGATGATTGTTGGTCTGTCGACTCTTCTGCGCTTGCTGACGCCAACCGGGCCATTCTCTGGGCGATGCCTCACATCGCTGCTCGCCCTTCGCTTCAGGGTGACAACAGATCTCCTCCTCAGTGGCAAGAGCCCAGACCCCTTCGACGAGTCTGCCATGTGTATTTGTTCGGCGACATGTTGACGGCTCCAGTCCTGCTCGGAGCCAACGTCGGCGATAAAGGGTGCGGATGAGTGGTGTGCGAACTCCATGACCAGATGGAGGGATGGTTTCAAGATGAAGAAACAAACGAGTATTGGGTATATTGAGGGTAAGGCTGAGCACACTTTCTCTTTTTAGTTTTTGCAAACAAATGGAAGACGAATTCTAGGAAACAACAGAAGGGGGGAAAGGGAGATCAACAGGCATGACGGGAAGAGATGAGGGCGGACAGGGGCGCATGAATATATAACTCTGGGAAGGAAGAGCTATTAATCGCAGGATGGCAGGAATATCGATCATGAATGAGAGAATGCAGTACGTTCCCCGAGCTTGTGCCCCATGCTCGTGCCCACGGGCGTGGGTTGGGGTGGGGACCTCAAAGGCTCTCATACAAGGAGCAAAAGCTTGGATGCGACGTCCGTTGGTGCCGCCCGCCGTCAATGGCAGGCGAGCAGGGGTGGTCGGGCGCGGTGATGCGGGCCAATCTGGATGTGAAACGTGAGACTCAACGTGCGTCTGCAGGAGCTCACAGGGTGGCTTGTTTCGAGTGAGCTCCCCAGGCTCCCCTTTGGTTTCCTTCCCCTTGGGTTGTGTCCAGACTGCAGACTGCCGACACAACAGAGACACACATGATCATACACACAGGCACACACACACACACACATACCGAAAGATAGAGTAATAGATAGAGAGGGGAAGAGTGTGTATGTGCTCTGCAGATACAAGCACAAGCAGCAAGCGCCGTTGCGGGTCTTGTTGGGAGCATGCACACAGCCTTCGGGCGCTCCGCATCTCACGCACACACATCCAGCGCCCAGCGCCCAGCAAGCTGACGTCCTGACATTCCTGATCTCTGGAGGGCACCCACGGCGCAGTACTGCGTACACGAAAGGGAACGTGACCCCCCGGCGGCCCCCGAGCTTGAGGGTTCCAAATTTAGCAGCGCGGGGACGAGACCGGAGATTCGGCCGATGGCACAGCAGATCCACAACGCCCAATGCCACTGCCGATAGTGGGTAGACAGCCATGCTATGGGCATAATTTTGTAGCCTAGGGCTGGGTCTTCCATGCAGGCCAGGACAGTCTCGTCTGTACACGCCGTTCACGGTACAGAATTTGGCTGCCTTGCTCTGCAGTTACATTGCTGAGGATGCAGGTTGGTGAGATGTTGGCGGGCCGCGAGCATTTCTATAGCGTCTATTCGAGCCCTGCGCGCGCAAGATAGAGGGAATGCCTAGAATAGCATCTCTTGTCTCGGTTGGCAGCATAGAGGCCGACCGCGATGCTGGCCGTGTTGGTTGGTGGGGGTTTGACTAGATGGCCCGCAGGATGGAGCCTTGGTCAACATGCCCGTGGCTGTTGAACTTCCTGTTGCAGTTGTCGTCTCTGCTGCTTGGTGGGCTGCCCTATTGGCTGGTTGATCGAGTCGCACACCGAGGCAGACCATGATTTTGCTTGCATGAATCTTGGATCTTGACTCTTGACCGAGCTCTGCAAGGTTGAGAGCGAGCAGGACGAGGACTGAGCGGGGTCGGTCCAAGTCGGTCCATTTGAGGGACACGACGCCGTGCTCTTGGGCGGCATTGGTGTCATGGCACATGGAGGCAGCACTTGTATTATATGTGAGCTATATCATCAACATCACGAAGTGGGGATGAGAGGAGAAGAGACGAGATGGCCATGGCAGCCGTGCAGCTCTCCTGTGTCCAAGCCAGGCGCGAGCGAGGCTTGTCTCCAATATCCTGCAGCGGATGTTGACGAATAGAAGGCCAGAAGCAGCCAGTGGGACTCGAACAGGCCAGAATTGAGTGGCACGTCATGGCCAAGGTCACGATCACGGTTTCGATGATGAATTCGATGCAGAAAGATGGTCAAATACGAGAGGAAGCTCGTGATGGCATTTTGACGCCAGGGGTTCGGGTTGATTCGTTGAGGTACATGGGGGGAAGGGGGGGTAGTTGATTAAATGGCGGGAGACACTGCCCAATTCGCCACGAAGTTCAGTGTTCATCTCCGACAGCAGCAGGTGATGAATGCAGGTAGCAGAACCTAGCGGTGCCAAGCTGGCAATTCTCATACTATTGAATGCAACAGCAGAGTACCTCGTATGCCAGCTGCAGTAATAGACCATCCGGGTGGTCATTGAGTAGACTGCGCAGTCTGCTTTGAACGACTGTGCAATGGATCTCGAGCAGAACCAGCGCCAGCAACAATACCAATGCCAGAAGCAGCTGGCCAGCACTACAGTAGAACTAGACCTTCTAGAAGCAGCAGCAGAAGCATCAGAAATCAGTCAATCACATCATCCTGGCTAGCCTCCAGATTTTTTCTCTTGACGCGTCCGGTCAGCTAATATTGGCCAGTCCCATTGTGGCAAAGGCGAAAAGGGGGTGCTTGCGTGGAAGGGTCAGGGATGGGAGGAGAGAAAATAGGGATGGATTGGACGGTGGACGGGCTGGCTGGATGGGCTGGATGAATTGACTGAATGAATTGGATGGACGGACGAATTGGAAGCGTTGAAGATGATGAGACAAGCGACACAGACACACACACACACACAGAGGAGAGAGAGAGAGAGTAAGCCAGCTTGTAGTCTACTATGGTAGAGACTGTGCCTAGCAATAAAATAGGGTCGGGGTACGTACCGTACGACCCACTATTCAACCCGCTTATCTCGCCTATCCACCAACCAGAAGCCTCCGTTTCCCACCCGCTAGCCCCGTTCCAACATCCGACCAATGACTGTCCCCGTCTCCCTCCGTCTCTAGTGTCCCGTTTCCCCCGTGCCCGTCCCCCCAGATCGGGAGAAGGCCAGACAGGCAGGCAGGCCCAGGCGAGCACTGCGCTGCACTACACTTTGGCCAGATAACGGACACCAACACTTTTCCAAAAGCAAGCTCACCTCACCTAACAACAACCTCGCCGCACCAGAGTGCAATACGACACGACAAGACACGACACGATACCATACGACACACCTCAACACACCACCAGCTCGCTCTTGATCAGGCTCGACTCGGCTCGATCATCACCCACTGCCCTCCCTCCTCGATGCCCCCGACCAAGGGCTCTGCATAGGGCAGTCCTGACGAGCAAACACGTGCGTGCAGAGAGTGTGGTCTGGTCCTGGTCTGGTCTGGTCTGGTCTAGTCCGGTCCTCTGCCCTGCCTTGCTTCGCCTTGCCTACTGCTTTCTTGCTTTGCTCGACCATCTTTCCCGTCACGCCTTTCCGTTGTAACACCACAACCATCCACACACACAACCAGAGAGGGATCATTTTTCCCTTGCCGCTCGTTAGCACCATCGCTCGCCTCGTCGCCGACGGCTTAATCGTACGCGCCTCAAGGCGAGGTATTCCAGCCACAGGCGACCAGTCGAGCTGGCTGCTGTAGTGGATCGCGTCTCGCTCCGAAACGCCAACCCTGTCCCGTACTAGACATCATTTCCAGCTTCAACCTCTACATATCTGTCCTTCGGCCTTGCGACTTATAGACTGCTTCTCTCGGCGAATCGTCCTTCAACACCCCTCCCAAGGCGCATTTTGCCCGAGCCGGGCTTCGCTTCGCATCGCATTACAGTCGCATAAAATCACAGCATCTCAGACGCCACCTCTCACCCGCCATGGATCTGATCCGTAGGGCTGGGAAAGCCCTCTCCGGCCCTCCGCCACTCCCAACAGCAGACGAGAAGCTCCACAAGTCAAAAGCACAACCGGGGAGGATATGGTCCCGCTTGGCCTTCTTCCGGAGACCACTCCGCCTGAGAGGCAATTCCGCCATCTCGATACCTCTCGGCGTCGTCATACTCTTTCCTCTCATAGTCGTCATCCTCATCCTCGTCCTCTTTGTGAGGCACCCCAACTCTGCTGGGAGGATATTGATGCCCGCTGGTGCTCCTCCGGCCATAAGGTGAGAACAAGCACCCAGGACACGCCTTCCACACGACATCCCCTTCGCACCTGTCCCTGCTGCTAACCCTGCCGGCCCACACAGGAAAATCAGCGAGAAATACGACAAGGTCTTCGTCGAGGGCTGCCTGGAGCCCGATACGTCCAAGCCTAGAGCCAACGGTGCTTTTGTCGTTCTGGCCAGGAACAAGGAGTTGGACGGTGTCATCCAGTCCGTCAAGTCCATCGAGCGCCACTTCAACCGCTGGTACCACTACCCCTACGTCTTCCTCAACGACGGGGACTTCAACCAGACCTTCAAGGACACCATCAAGAACTACACGTCTGCCCCAGTCGAGTTCGGCAAGGTCGGTCCTGACATGTGGGGCTTCCCCGAATGGATCGACCCCAAGGTCGCCAAGGAGGGTATTGCAAAGCAGGGTGACGCTGCCGTCATGTACGGCGGTCTCGAAAGCTACCATGCCATGTGCAGGTTCTACTCTGGGTCAGTCCAGCCCTACAAGACGCGATATGGACAAATGTCGATGGCTAACATCCCAACCAGCTTCTTCTACAAGCACCCTCTCCTTGCCAAGTATGAGTGGTACTGGCGCCTGGAGCCCGAGATCAGCTACTTCTGTGACATCACATAGTATGATAACCCGGCCCCCCTGTGCCCACTGCCCTCTGTTTCCTTTGGTTTGTCGGTCTTCTGACAGTCTCTTCCCGCAGTGACCCCTTCCTGGCCATGATCGAGGCCAACAAGACATATGGCTTTACCATTGCCGTTAAGGAGCTTCGAGAGACCGTTCCCAACATCTGGCGCTACGCCTCCGCCTACAAGCGCATGAACAACCTGACCTCCAAGGGTCTGTGGGAGATGTTTGTCGAGCCCAAGCCAGAACCTGAGCGCAACGAACCCCCGCAAGACCCGGAGACGCCCCCCCTGCCCGAAGAAATCTTGCGTTCCGAGCCTGGTCGCAACGGCCTGCCGGAAATCGATCCCGAGGCCATGGAGGGCGAAAGCTACAACATGTGTCACTTCTGGTCCAACTTTGAGATTGCTCGCCTGAGCTTCTTCAGGAGCAAGGAGTATGAGGACTTCTTCGAAATGATGGACCGCAGCGGTGGATTCTGGATGGAGCGTGTAAGTCTTCGAACCGTGCAATCCCTACTCGTCTTTTGTTCCCCGCCCTCCAATCTCGAGATACTGACCTTTGCCGCAGTGGGGTGATGCGCCCATCCACTCCCTTGCCGCCGGTGCTCTGCTCTCCCCGCGCGATATCCATTACTTCCGTGACTTTGGATACCGACACACGACCATCCAGCACTGCCCTGCCAACGCGCCTCTTGGGCGGCAACTGCCCCGGCAACCCTTCCTTGAGAAAACGACGTTGGACGAGCGCAAGCGATTCGAGGAGGACGACTACTGGGAGCACTGGGACCCGCCAAAGGAGAACGGCGTGGGCTGCCGGTGTCGCTGCGATACCGATATTGTCGACGTAGAAGGCAAGGAGGGTAGCTGTATGGCCGAGTGGGTCGACGTCGCCGGTGGATGGGCCAGCCCTTAGAAGGGGTAAAGTTTGTCTGGTAGGGGTGGAAGCCTAGTACGGGGGAAGTGGGGAGATGTACAAAATTACCAACATCGGGCTTGGCCTGGTCACGACGTGAACGGACGCTGACACGAGATAGGAGTTGGCATGACTTACAGCTGGGAATGATGGGCGGCAAAGCGCCAGGGCGGCGGCTGGGAAGGGCAGGCGGGCTTGGGAAACCTGTGCATCACGATTCATGTCGGAATTTTGTCTATATTCGGTCGCAAAAGAGCCGCAGAGCAGCGAGCACTGTGCGTGGGAGGTTTTAAAGGCGTCTTTGCTGAACGTATACCACACACACACACACCCACACACCAGAGGCGCGCTCGTGAAATTACACTCAGTCATAACTTGCATCTTGTTCTGCATGAAGTCAGGGAAGGAAGGCGAGAAGGAAGAGGGCTTGGAAGCCCAGAGCCAGCAGGACGAGACGGCGGCGGGTCGCTGGTCTGGGCTGGGTCGGACTGACTGAGGCAGAGGATACGGTCGTCCTGCGTGCCTCTCTATTCTGTTTGTGCGCGGCTGCTGGGCATAGGCTTGAGCCTGCTTGTCAAATATACAACGATACCATATACTTAATTGGAACGAACTGGCATAGGATTTAGCATCAGCTTTCGGGAATGTGTGTGTGTGTGTGTGTGTGTGCCTTCGTGTGTACCGCACGATGGTGGCGAGCGTCTCGATTTGGACCACCGAGGATAAAGCGCAAAATGCCGACCCATTGCGTCTCTCAAGAAACCTCAAGAGTTGGCAGAGGCTCTATGTAGGTCAAGCACAATGTGCAGAAGTGAATGATGGGGAGCACAAGCTCGTTATGGATGGATGGATCACTTCTACGCCGGGGACATATACGCATCACCGCAGGCCTACCACCACAGATTCAATACTGCTCTTTAGTCCCTGGATGTTTGCACAAAGAAGACGGCGTCAGGATAACAAGACTGCTTAGACACCCGTCAAGTCCGAGTATGGGACCACTGCGCGCCAGGAACTCAGATGGAAATGCAGGATGACGTTCCCGACCCCTTTTGCCAATACCCACGTCTCTCGCACCAAAACCAGGAGTGATGCCGTTGATAACACAAGCCAACCATGATATTTCTTTCACATCACTTGGGAATAGACGGTGAAGACAGTATAATTCAATGCGCCATCATTCCTCGCTGGGCATTTCTAGCTGGCCCGCTTTCCACGAGGAAACGTGGCGGTCGTGATACCACGATTATTTACACCTCCGTGTTAGATATCTGGCAACCTGTATCAATGACCCCCCCGAAACAGCCGACTGTAGGGCCCTCACGGTCTCAGTTTCCCTCACCACTCCGTGCTGCCCATTGGCTCGGCCGAATCAGTGACGGCACCGTGGCTCGCATCGCCCACCAGCCGCGCATACTTGGCCAGCGTGCCCCTGAGAGGCTTCTGGACCGGCGGCCGCCATTCCTTCTTCCTCTCCCTCAGCTCCTCCACCGTCGCGTTGAGGACATCGATGCGGTTCTCCACCGCGTCGATCCGGACCTCGTCGCCGTCCCTCACCAGCGCGATGGGCCCTCCCACCGCCGCCTCGGGGCACACGTGGCCCACGATGAAGCCGTGGCTGGCCCCGGAGTACCGCCCGTCCGTGACGAGTGCGACGTTGGTGAGGCCGGCGCCCATGATGGCTGCCGAGGCTGTGAGCTGCTCCGGCATGCCTGGTCCGCCGCGCGGCCCCTCGTACCGCACGATCAAGACGAGGTTGCCGTCCGTCACCTTGATGTCCCCGCGCTGCAGTGCGCTGTTGAGCTCGTGCTCCTTGTTGAAGACCCTCACCTTTCCCGTGAACGAGAGGCCTTCTTTGCCCGTAATCTTGGCCACGGCGCCCTGCGGCGCGAGGTTCCCCTTGAGCACCCGAAGATGGCCCGTCTTCTTGATTGGGTTGTCGAGCGGCCTGATGATCTTCTGGCCAGGGTCGAGGGAAGGCCATGAGCTGCAGTTCTCCGCCAGTGTCTTGCCCGTGACGGTCATGAGGGACCCGTCGATGAGGCCGGCCGCGATGAGCACCTTGAGCACCGAAGGCGTGCCGCCGATCTTGTACAGGTCCTCCATGAAGTGCTTACCACTCGGCGCCAGGTCGGCCAGGAAAGGGACCCGGTTGCTGGTCCTGTCGATGTCGTCCAGGGTCAGGGGGACGTCGGCACTATTGGCCATCGCGAGGAAGTGCAGGACACCGTTGGTGCTCCCTCCCAGGACCATGGTCAGCACCAGGGCGTTCTCGAATGCGGCGCGGGTGAGCAGGTCCCGAGGACGGATATCCTTGGCCATGACGACCTTGATGGCCTCGGCGACACGCTCGCACTCGCGGGCCTTCTCCGGGGACGTAGCAGGATACGAGGAACTCCCTGGTAGGGAGAGGCCCATGACCTCGATGGCCGTGGCAAGTGTGTTTGCGGTATACATGCCGCCGCATGCGCCAACACTGGGGCAGGCGTGCTGAGCGATATCCTCTAGCACGTCCTCGGGGGTGGCGGCATCGCCATTTGCTTTGGGACACTTGGCGTGTAACCTGCCGTAGGTGTATGCCCCGGTTGACTCGTAACACGTCGAGATGTTGATCTCGCGGTCGAGCAGGGAGGAGTGGCCCTTGTTGATGGTACCACCGTAGACCATGATGAAGGGCCGGTTGTGGCGCGCTGCGGCCATGATGACACCAGGCATGTTCTTGTCGCAACCTGGGATGGAGATGTTGGCGTCGTGCCGTTGCGCGCATGTCACTGTCTCGATGGAGTCGGCTATGATTTCCCTTGACTGAAGAGAGTAGCGCATTCCTGGTGTGAGAAATTGGTCAGGCTGCGAGGTTTGCCCAGATTGAGTGACGGAAGGGTAAGACCATCCCGGGAGGGAGACTCTGTGATAACCTACCCTCGCTCCCCATCGTGATGCCATCCGACACTCCAATGGTGTTAAATTGCCAAGCAAGCATGTCCTGCTTCTCGACAGCCCTCTTGACAATCTTGCCCATGTCCATCACTGCTGAGTGTTAGTCCGGCCATGGAGTAATGCTTCTCGCTGCAAGCCTCATGTCAAGTGCTTACGGTGTGTGCTGGTACGCCATGTCAGAACTTGATAAATGATATAATCGACGACGTGAGAAGGACTGGCTGGCTCACTTGCAAGGGTTGCCCTCCCACCAAACAGTGGAAATCCCAACGTGTGGGGCGTTCCTCATCGCCTGGCCATCAAGAACCCCAGCAGCGTAAAGCATGGCCTGGCGCGGTGGCAAGATTAGCACGATATCCTCTCATTGCCGCCCCCCCCCCCCAATAGTCCTCCTCTTGCTCCCCATGGAGACGTATCCACTGGCTTCCTCGGTGCGCCTCGCAGGACAAGATCCAGCCACATGCTCGGGAATATGAGTCCATTTCTGGCTCTGGGCCTTGGGGTTGGAATTTTGTACTGACCTGAGCTCCGACAAAGTCGTGTCCCTTGGTCATACTGTGACTCCATCGGTTGAGTGGCCCTCCGGGCGGTAGAGAATCCCATTGGATGTAGTCGCCGTCCTTGGGGACATTCCTGGTCCCCTCGCCATTGCTTGCTGTTGTGCTCATCTTCTCTTTTCTCTCTTGCGAGGTCTTCTCTTGCCGCCAGTAAATGTGTAATATGTATACTGTTGATGGACTCTATTGGCAACACTCTCGCTTCAAGAGTGTACGCAACACGACTAGACGCAACGGAGCAGGACAAAAGTCCAAAGAGGAAAGGCGATCGAAAGGAATAATGAGGATCAAATCGGGGCGAGGAAAGTCATAAGCATGCGCAATTGCCGATGCAATTGCCTTCAGTTGGCCCCTCTCCTGACAAGACCAGGTGAGAGGGAATCAAATATAAGGCGTGCACTAACACACACACAATATGACAAGAAGAGGGGGGAGAGAGATGGGGGCAGCCGGTGAGGTGTGGGTGTTGGAAAGGAGAGTCAAGAGAGCCGAGAGTGGTATGTCTTGAGTCCGAGCTTGCAAGAGAGAAAAGCACATGAGAGACGGAAGCAAGCCGGCTTTGTACATGAAATTTGTACCGTTCATCGGAAGAGAGACAGGCGACATGCGGCCGCCAGAGCCACGAGAACCACAGACCAGAGGGCCGAGGGACCAAGCCAACGGCGGCCCAGCGCACTGGTTCTGTCCTCCTGTGGGGGGGAATTTTGGGGGAACAACTTGGAAAGGTACGGGTACATACTCTACCTACTGTAGGTACAGCACTGTGCTGTGCATGATGTGGTGTGCTGCGCGGAAGCATGATCCATGCTGGCAGTGCCGGCTAACAAGGGGAAAGGTAGCTCGATGGACGGACGCATCTTGGTTGCTGTTCACTGGACCGTAGTAGTCGGCAGAGGGACGGAGGCCAAGGCAGGACAGGGAATTATGCCAGATCCCGGGCCGCGGGGGATTTAGTCGACCATCCTAGCGTGGACCCGGTCGACGTCTGGAGCAGGTAGACAGGCCTGACAAGCAGACAGCAGACTAATGAGAAAGCAGACTAATACTAATACATGTGAGCACGGTGGAGGAGCATGAGGAGGTGTGTGGGGGAATACCAGTACTATACCCGTAAGACGCCCAGGTTCTCCATATTTGGTTGGATGGCTGGCTGGCTGCTTGGTTTGTTGTGTGACAAAAGGACGACGTGACGAGGGGCCTGATGCGATGGACCGAGAGACTTGTGGGGTGAGGCGGAGACGGGGGCGGAGACGGAGAGAGCTTCTTTTTTCTTATATCCATTCTCAGTCCCAATCTCAGGCCTCATTCTCCTGGTCCAGCTCACCTCGTCTCGTCTCGCCCCACCACTGACAGCCACAATCAGAGCAGAATCAGGTATGGCCAATGCTGTGTAGTACGAGAGATTACGGTACAGGACCAAGGTTGTCCCACACCAGCAGTGGACGACGAGACGAGAGCTGGAGAGTTGACGAGACGGAAAAAGCGGACAAAGAGCGGAGAGGCGGATCGTGATGTACCCACTCGCGTGCATGGCCGTGGTCATGGTCATGATCCAGGTTCAGGCTCGGCCATCGGTCGAATCATCTGGTCGCCATTGGCAATTGTCCTTGTTCCTGTGTGTTCTGGCATCACAAGCCTCTGAGGCCAGAAGGAATGGATAGATGTCTTCAACAACATGGACAGCAAGCATTGATGGCGTGCAGAGAAGCAACAGTCCCATGAACGCCTGGCCTGTACTGTGCTCTGCTCGGTTGGGCTGACATGTGCTGACATGTGCTGTCACTCTGGATGACACGCTGCAGGTTCATCTTGACCATCGCCAGGGCCGTCCGTCATGGTACATGGAGGGAGCAGGTAGACAGATGGTGTAGTATACAGTACAGAGATGTGGTGGTGGAGGCTGGATGCATGTGGATTCATTCCGATTGACTTCTCCCTCCCCCAAGGTTGGCTTGTCCTTGGAAAAGGTTGTCTGGCACCCCGCATTGCATGTGGGGGAGGAGGGAGGAGGGGGGCAGGGCACCTGTTGAGGCTAAAGGATACGTACCTTTCTCCAGCTTCTACCCCTCCTTTTCCCTGCTCAACCTCGTTGTCGTCTTTCCTCATCGTCCTCTCTTTCTCCTTCTCAACGCCTCTAATCTCTGTATAACCGTACTTAGTCTGTGGTCTGAACTGCATGGTCCAACCACTATATGACCCAGGTAGATAGATACGTCTTTGTCCAGTAACGTGCGAGGTACCTCAGTGAGGCATGCCGTCTCGCTTAATTCCCTGCTCTGTCCTATCCCTCCTCTGTTCCTGTATCTTTCAAGTATCCAGGGTAAAGACTATATGGGAACTGCCGGACTATATAGGTACACACAGAATACATCCAGGAATGTGTCATCGGTTTACCACTTTCGGCCACCTGCCCATCTGCCCACACTCAGTCTACATGTACTCGTGCTCCAAGTACTGGTTCAGTACAATAGTCTCCCACGCCTGCATCCCTCCCACAGGTTCCAACGGCATACCCATTCATCACAGACTATCTATCTACATTAGACGACATACACCCCACGCTGCACCTTTCTGCGCTGTACTGCATAGCAAGCGAGACGCATGCAGAGCCTCCTGCTGCTGTCAACAGCCACCGACCTCGGCCCCAATGTTTGTCAGTGCCCATGCCCGCGGGATCCAAAGTGGCGTCTCAAGCTTGCTTGGTATGGCTACACACAAAGTATCTCGTAGTCCTGACTACTAATGCAGCTAATCTGACTCGTTTGATTTGATCTCTATGTATATACAATACATATAGGTATACACATATGCATATATATATGTATGTACACGAACGGAACGGTGTCTGCGGTAAGAGTGCCTGCACTCTCTGTCTCACCCAGAAAACAATATATCGACACATACATTGTCGAAACACTTTGACACGCTCGCTCACTCACAGAAAATGGACACAACAATATCAACAGTGGGTCTTCAAGACAGGATGTTTTCAAAATCAAAAACAATCAATGGTATTGCTCTCCCTTCGACCCCTGCCGCCTCCTTCGCTACTGAATGAACCGAAGTAGGCCAGATAGATACACCGACCCATCCCGTCCCAAGGCGGCCGGCACGTTCCTCTTGTTGAGCTACCAATGCCAGGCCGCCTGTCCCCATGTCCCAGATACAAAATGCACATGCCCATGCTTGTGCACATGCACATGCTCGTGCATTCCATGAGGCTTCCCAGATCCGCATGACTCCATGCAATCGTTTCAAAATGATGCCAACCAAGGAAATTCCCACCACATCAAAACCACCACCCGCCCGCTCTCCAACACAAACCCATACACACACACGCTGTTTCTCTCACGTACACAGACACATAGACAGAGATACAGCAAAGCCACCAGCTTTTGGTCCCTTACAAAACGCTCGCCCACTGGCCCGCTGACCCGCTTTATGCCTTTCACACCAAGCCGCCAGGTTCTCAAAAAAGTTGGTCAATGTAACGGGTCGAAGAGAAGAATTTTGTTCCACACGTTGGTGCGTGTGATGTCCGATTCCCCAGGCCGTAAAGGCTATAAGGAGAGATCAGGCGAGGTCTTGGTACAGAATGCCCATCATGTCGAGGAGGAAGGCTTCGTGGCTTTTTCTTTTTGAAGTAGAAATCCCCATCGTGTCCATCGTCATCTCATGGTTCGTCATCGTACAGGACAAAGGGAAGGAGAGGAAAAGAAGAAAAAAGAAAAGGAGACAAAGGAAATGGTTGATATCAGTAATGTGTGCCCAAAGCTCTAACGCATGAGGGCTCCCTGCATTGGGTGGGTGTTGTGTGAGTCCACTCCCAAGGGGAAACTCTTCAGGTTAGAGAGGCTTTAGGCACCGACACCAACCATGACCCTCTCCTCCTCCATCCTCCTCACCATCTCCCTCTCCTTGGGGCTGCGCGGGTTGGCATCAATTCCCAAGATGGCCGAGATCCTCGTCTTGTCCTGAGAGTGCTTGCCGTAGACGTCCCTCTCATCGGGGCTGCCGATCGGGGTGATGGGCGTCTGCGCGGCGTAGCCGTGGCTCGACACCGCACCGGCGGTGGTGCCGGCGTTGCCTGTCCTCCAGGCCTGCTCCAGCGCGACGGGGTGCGCCCCGTTGCCGTAGTCCGCCGCCACGGCGGACCAGAAGCTATTCCGGTGCGCGCTGTACACGGCCTGCAGCCGGCCCATGTCGACGGGCTGTGCGACACCGGCAGACGGCGAGGGCGCGGGCAGCCCAGAGCAGTCCAGGCGGAGCGGTGCCATGGTCGCGCTGCCCATCGTGGGCGTCGGAGCCCGGGCGTGCGCGGCAGCGGAGAAGCTGGCAGACGGAAGGAGGGGCGCGCTGTGCTGCTGCTGCTGCGAGTGCTCCTGCAGGGAGTTATACCTGGAGGTGCTCAGGGCCAGAGTCATACCAGCCGGCTTGGGCAGGATGGCAGGCAGGCGCGGGGACGAGCCGGAGCCCACGCTGGCGTTCATGATGCTGGGGAGCTGGACGCTGCCTGGGGAGCTCGGGTGGCCATAGCTGATGACGGACCCAGGGGGCGACACGCTGCGGCTGGGCGACTCGTGAATTGGGCTCGGGATCGTGGCCTGCATCAGGGGGGAGTGTCCATTGGACGACGAGCTTGAGGACATGGACGTCGTCCTCTTGCGGCGGTTGCTTCCGTGGCTCAGCTGGTGGTAGTGCAAGCGGCATGCCAGCTCCGTCTTCTTCAGATGGGCGGCAATGTGCTTATACGGCATCTTCTGCAGGCGGGTCTGAAGCAGATATACTTCCTGTTATGGACACGATTTGTTAGTAAGATAATCCTCATTGTTCAGAAACACCACAGTCGTCTCTCTAGACCCCAGACACGCCCTGGCTCCTCATACCACTATCCCCCCTACACAAACAAGTTGAGACCACGGTGCAAGTCACATACCTCATCCTCGCTCCAAGCTCTGCCTCCTCCGGTCGATGAGCTCTTGCGGCTCTTGGTGATGCCATACTCGTGGCGGTCCATAACGTCAGACGTTGGGGCATAGATCGCCGCCGGCATTGTCATAGCCATGGTTGGAGACATGATGTTATCGTGTCGATGTGAGTGTCCAAGAATCGAATACGTTCCAAATTGTTTCGTGTAAATAAAATGTCACAGGCCAAGCTGCGTTCTGAATCGAAAAAAAAGGGTAGCTGAAACCGAGATTATGGGCCTTTCCCTGGTGTGCTCTTGTTTCCGTCGAGAGGTGTGTTGATGATGATGATGATCGTCGTCGTCGTCGAGAAGGGTTGAGCAAGAATTGAATGTCGAGTGAACCGACGGGCGATAATAAACCAGATTACACCGTTGACTAAAAGTGTGTGTATTTCTAAAGAGGGAGGGGCAGCCAATCCAGTTGGTCTCCTTCGTAGAAGACAAATGAGCGTCAGGGTTTAGCCGCAGCAAAATGAATAACTATTAAAGAAAGGGACACACACACGCAACTGCGTTGTGATGAGGTCAGTAGTGTGAATATCAGGGTCAACCGTGATGAGAAGAAGAAGTAAACAAGACCAAACGATCTCCGGGAGGGAGGGGGCCATTAATAATAGTTGCTCGAGCGTATTGCTTGCTTGCCTGCTCGCCGATGCCCATGCCAGCAGGCCAGGATCGACCGCACCATCCAGGGAAGGGGGGTGGGAGACAGAGAGAGACACAGAGTGTGAAGAGAATACCCCAGTACCGTGGAGGCATATCAGCCTTGGGATGACGGCAGGGGTGCTCGGTCTGGCAGTCCAGGTAGGCTCTAGCCTTGTTACAGACCTTCTCTTGGAAACCCTGGGCCCCAAAAAAAGGTTGTGTACCGACTAGGTTGAAGGTCGGAAGTGTGTGGCAGCAGAGTAAAGCATAACAACGTGCGGCTCCACCCAGCCCATTCTTGGCCTGGTGTGGCCCTGCCCTTGTCAAGGCTCCCCACACATCAAGCAAGAGCCGCAGAGTTTGAAGTCTCATCCAGACATGAGCATCCCGGACACCCGCAAGGTCCATACGCTTCGAGTCAAGGGTCACGAACAGACAGTTGTGCGCGGCAGCGTCTGGGCATGGCGTCAGTATCCCGGCCAGAAACCACTTGATCGGTATCGCTCGTCGTCACTGGGGGGATGGACACAGCCCTACCACTCGACAGGGCGGCACACGCATCATGCGTGTTGGAGTTGTTGTCTTGGGCGACTACTGCCGGACACTAAATTCGTCCCAACCGCTCACGAACGCCTCTCGCTGCAGGCCTCGACTAGAAACAATCCTGCAGCTCTAGACGTGGGGCAGAAACCAATGATGATGCTCGCCGGGTCTCCTGAGAGGGGGTGGGGAGGGGTTTGGCGCTCGCACTTGACAGACAGACGGACTGACAGATTGACAGAGGCGGAGACAGAGGCAATAGAGAGTGTATGCGTGTATGTGCGTGTGTGTGTGTGTGTGTGTGTGTACATAGTATGCATGTGGCGGCTGGAAGCTATGGCATCCGGCAGCGAGGCACCAGGCAGGAGGCGAAAGGGCGGTAAACACAACAGATCCAAGACAACAGCCAGGCCTGGGCAGGGCGAAAATCTGGGTCCCGCGTTACATCGATCAGATCTGTTCTGTTTGATGTGATTCGTTTCGGACAGCGCGACCGAAGGAGAGGGCCCTTTTTGGGCCGGTCGTCGCAGCAAACACGAAGGAAAGGGAAAAAGACAGGACAAGGGAGCGCTACGCGAGCCAGGCATGGACTTGGCTCTATGGGGCAGGTAGTGGATTGTCTGTCTCAGGGATGTAACCGCAGCTCTGGATATCGCTATAGTATTAGTGTCGTATAGTGCCGTGCCGGGCCGTATAGGACCTCAGTCTACAGCCACATGTATCACATGCAGCGTGTGCAGAGCTCGCAGTGTACGCATTACAGGCGATGTGCGCAAGATTCAGAGCATGAATTGTTACATTCTCGGCCTTTGTTCAACGACCAACCGTGGGCACCATCAAGCGTCCCCATCGGTCGTCTATCGTCACACGTCGAGGGCGGATGGGCGATCGATGGGACCCTGTGAGCGAGCAGCATGATTGAGCCCGCATTTCTCGTGTGCCATCCGGGGTGGACGTGATGTTTGGAGTAGCAGTAGCCTACTTTGGGTTTCTGATGGATGGGGACAGCGTGCATGGCAGCGGGGTAGGAGGAAGAGGGGGAGGATAGGAAAGGACGAGTAACGAGAGAGAGAGAGATGGCGATAGAGAGGGGATCGGCAGCACCAGCAATTCGGCATCAGAGTCCAGCATCGGCATCAGAGTCCAGCATCAGCATCAGCATCAGCATCAGCGTCAGCATCACCATCATCTGCAGCCGAGGGGAGAGCACAAAGAGAATGATTGTCGAGAGTCGAGGCGAGGTGAGGTGAGGTCAGGGCCCGGCCCTAATCGGGTCTCGTCTGACTTCTGCCGTGTCCTGCATGTTTGAAAGGGTGGGGCCTGTGGCCGGTCTCTTGCTTCAGATCGTTACAGAGCCGCGCTGGTCCAGGAGCTGCCGCACCGTTGTGATTGGACACCACCGCCGGTTCCTGTCTCGTGGGCTGGGTCCTTCAGGGAGCACCCCAGGCCGTCTGTTGCCAATACTGCATATAATGCACACAATATAGTCTTGGGGGCCTAGCAAGGGCTGTGCCTGCGCGCGTGCCTGTGCTCTCTGGGTTGAGGCTCAGCCGCCCAGTCATCCTTAATAGGACCTCTGTTGATTGGTACAGCACGCCTGTTTGTTTTGGCACTCGAGGGACCCCTCCTCCTCCCTCGTCCCTCAACCCCCGTTGAAACAAGAGGCTGTTTCTATACTCCAGCCTGATACTGACGATTGGTTAATCATGACGCTGGTCGGATGGACGCGCGAGAGCCGAGGACGCTGCCATGCAGTATCTGCTCATCCCGAAACTCGACAGTCACTGGACGGGTTTCCAAACACAACCTGTAGGGGGCCACATGAGAGCGGGCTGTGGGAAACACAACATCAACTCAACGCGCACAACAAAGTCGAGGATCAACAAGCCTGGCGGGTTGCCTGCGGCCCTGTCGGCCAGCAAACGTCGACAAGCGCCCGGCTTCGGTCTTGATGCCAGCGCGCCAGAGACTAGTGCTGGGCAGCCCGTCCCGGTTGGGTTGGTCTGACAGCCTTGACGTGTTGCACCACGGTAGCCGATCGCTGGCACGGTTTGGACTTGCCCATTTGTCGCTGTGTCTTGCTGTGCTGTGATGTGCTGTGGCAGCTTGGGTCTTGGCCCAGCCAATTGACCAACCGGCCGGCCAGCCAGCCAGCCAGCCAGTCTGTTTGGTTTTTAATTTCGCATAAGGCAGTCTCCGGTCGTGCTATGTGGATCTCCGCCTTCTCCCTTCTCCTTGGCCCCACGTCGGCTCCGGGCAACAGAGCTCCGAGGCAGATTGACATGGAGATTGACCAAGATGCAGCAGCTCGTATGGCAAAGTCGGCTGCGGGCTGGGCTCGGCGGTTTCTTGCCAGACACCCTGCAGAACAAGAGAGGCGACCCCAGAAGCTGCCCGCAGGCTGGCACGGCTCTTGGGGCTGGCAACGAAATACTGGGCACCCGTCGGGGTGTGGCCGCAAGGCTCCGGTCCCTTGAAACTCGCTAGGTGGTAGCCACAATTTCACCCTTGTGTCAGCCTTTTACCACACCACACCAGTGCAGTTGAGAGTCCAATTCACTTCAGCTCGCTTGAGTTCACTTCATATTTTCCTCCCAGGGTCGGTTCAGTCCAGTCCAGCCCAGCCCAGTCGCCCCGTGCTGCCAGTACTGCTTGCTGGCCCGCAGCAAAGCACCTCATCTGGAGTAGCATCCTTGTCGAAATTCGACGCTCCTGGCCTGGCCTCGCCTGGCCTGCCACAGGGCACCCCCGTAACGTCTCCATCCATTCGTCTCTTCTGCCCCTACGGTCAAGGCTCAGAAACAAGATTCTCCTGTGAGAACTTTGCTTACCCGTCCCCGCGTCCCACTAATGCAGCCAAACCTTAATGCATCTTGTCCCGTCGCCGTTGGGTCCGCATTTTTGGCAGCCAACCGTGCGTTGCGGCTCAACACTCGACGTCCAGACCTGGCTCGACATACAGAGCATATTGCCCTGCCTGGTACAACACGTAGGCAGCATTGAGTGGTCTTTCATCCCCTGCTCTCTTGCCGTCTCTCAACCTCTTTTCAATTCTGAAAGAGGGCTTTCCACTACTGGTCGGGTATCGATAAGAGTTGGGAACCCCCCGACCCTCTCAGGTCGACCGGCTGTTCTGCGGATTGACAAGAAACAGAAGACGAGATGAAAACAGAACTGCTTGTGCCTGCGAATGTGGCGATCACAAACACCGCCAGCAGGCACGCCCTTGACCGCCAGTCTGTCCCATGATCGGCCATGTCTCGTCTCGACTTTCTGCACATCAGTGGACCCAATCAAGCCACCTCCATACTTGAGGCCAGTTTCGAGGCCGTTTGGCATGTTTTCAAGAACATTTTCTTCAACCTTGGACCACCCTTCCCCCCAAGAGGGGTTTGTCGAGTTACTTCGTGGTAGCCGAGTCAGTCTGACGCCTGGAATAGACCAGCATTATCGGGAGACGCCGTTCGTGATCGTAAACTAAGGCAGTTCCACCTCGCGTCGTCCAGGATCCGAGGTTTTCGCGACGGCGAGGGACACCCTCAGCATGCCTCACTGCCGCGTGGCGACTTGGCCCTCGTTCGTTTTGCTCGACAACGCTGGCGGTGATCATACAGGAGCGCATATCAAAGCATGCACCTCTCCAACTCACTGGTATAGCGCCCTTTTGCAATGTTCATAGCAGTGGCTCAACCTTCACTCTTGATCCACCATTTTCCTTTTCAAGTGTACGGGTTCTTGGGCCGACCTGTTGTTGTCTTGGAAAGAGCGCATTGGCAAGAACAATGATAATGATGAGAATACAGTCGAGTCTTCATCGTAAACTCGAGCCTGAGACCGAGCCGCGACCTCGAATGGGTGACTTAGTGTGTGGCTGCCGGCAATAGCTGCGACAGCGTCAGCACGCACCTAGAGGATCGAGCGTCGACAAGTTCAACGGGCTCCTTGGCATCCCATCATCTCTAGCAAATGAGCATGGCTCGTTAGTATGTCAGAGAACCTTGAGCGATAGACGATGGAGCGCAGACTCCATCGCGCGCGGTTGCCGTGGTGTGTCCGCTGGGATGCTGGGTGACCACTATTACACCAAGCACTTGAGAAACAAAAAAAAACCTCAATAGGGCCTGTCCTGTGATCGTCATCCCATGAACCCCTGAAAGGAGAGAAATCGGATGCTTGCTGGCCACCACATCTATCAGTGAAGATTCACAAGGGGGTCGAGAGTCTTCGAGTTGGTGGTTTTGCGAAATTGCAGTCCCCGGAAGCTTGGTGTGCCGCGGTACGTGGATCGTGGAGGAGGTTATGCCGAGACCGAGAAAGCCGGCGGCGAGTCTTTGTCCATTTTTGGAAGACCCGACACAGGGGTAGAAACTTGACAGGTGGCCCATCCCATCTGCCCGAGCCAGGCTAGGAAGGGTTGGCATGCGTCGCAGTTGTGGGTGGTTGAGGCTCAAAATTGGATCAAAAATGATGTCAAACATGCTGCCAGGTGCGCATATCTGCTCCTTTGGGCTATGTGACTTTTTGCTTTGCAAATTTGCTTTGCAAATGAAAGTGAAGCCGGCCGCAACGTACCTTATCAAGCGCTACAATGAATCAGCGTAAGAGCGGCTGTCCATCTTGAAGTTATTCCACAGGCGCCCACGAGGACTTCTCAGGGCTCGACGTTGGGTGAACGGCCTCGTCTTTTCGGCCAGCTTTCACGCACATGCTCCTTTGGAAAATGCGCAAGGGCCGTAGATTTAGGACGAATGGATCGCCGACTCCCAGTCGAAGGCCACAGGCGCTCAATAGAAAGAGTGAAAGACGATGACTGAAAACCTCGGCTGCACATCATCCAAGTGGTGTACTGCGCAGTAGAGGATGGACCAGTGCGATAGTTGCACTCCATTGCTTCGGGCATTTGACGGAGAAACCCTGGTTAAGGTTATCTTGATCATGGCCCACTTGGTCGGGCCCCTGGAAGCGCTTGGAACACCCTTGATGCATGAACTAGGGGGCTTATGTTCCTGCAGGGGCTGGGGGTCTCCACCTCCGACGCTTGCGGGCTCTTCATCAATTGTGGCCGGCGGTGCAGCTGTCAGTGGGCTTGCCGACCGGCAGAGGCCTTTATTCCGGCGGTGGACGACACCGCAGGTCCTCAAACGCCACTTGTCGAGGAGACTGACAGCTCTGCAACAGGCGCAGTTTCAGCACCGGGGTCGCCGTTGGATGACGAGGGTGGAGGTCGGTCAAGCACCAGAGACGTCGGCAGACAGGCATCTGCATAACAAGCGCTTGGTCTTGTCGTCTGAGCATCGCCAAGGATGATTGGGATGTTTAGGCTGGTTGGGATGGCTGTTCAACCCTAAGGTTCAACGGTCGGCCGCGAGCCTGGCGGCAACGGTGTGTTCTCGCGAAACGACGGGCTTCTTGAGGCCGGCAAGACCGTCTCAAACACAGCGAAGTGCGTGTCGAGCGTGCCGACGGGCCGAGTGAGAAAGAACAAGAGAGATTGTGTGCGTGTGACAGCGAGGCAGAGCGCGCGAAGCAGGCCGGGCGACCGTTGAGCACGGGTTAGTACGTGGCGGCACCTTCTCCCATTTCGTCCGAACTCGAGACGGGGATGACGACTTGAGGGTATGCATGAAGATGTGCATGATGGACAGTGGTCTGTCCCGCCTTGTTCTATTCGAGTCCGTTGTCGATGTTTCGGTTGAGCCGCGCGTTTCGATTCGATGTTGAGCATGTTTGGGATTTGCGCTTCTGCTGATGATGTCGACGTCGGACGGGAAACTTGCGAGGGTGGGTTTATCACCCTCCCAGGTTACGATGCTCTTGTCTGTCCCGTCATTTATGCGAAACAACTGTCCGCTTGGGTTATGTTCTGGCTTTGCCTTGTCATGGCCGAATGTCATCTGGTTTTGGATAGGTCGTGATCGCCCGCCTACCCAGACTTTCTTCCTGCGCCGGCAGACTGCAGCCTGGGTTTATTTCGACTTGCATCTTAGCCTGTCCTGCAGACGATTTCAATAACGAGCGATGGTATGTTCCATCGCATGCGGTGAAGTCATGTTGATATCGCTCTCCCTTTCTGCAGCACCACAGCGCCTAGTGAACCATCCTCAGTAGGATGAACGCACATGGCCACGTCGACAAGCCAAAGCTGATTCAATGTCAGTGCTGTCCTTCTGTCTTTGGGGTGCGCGGTATACTCAACACGTCGGGGTACTGAGCACCGCGGAATGATGTTTTGAGGATCAAGCAAGCAAATGTTCAAGCGAACATAACAGGATGATGCTGTTGATCGCCCGCCCGCCGTCACAGACAGATATGGATACTTTATGAATGCTTATCATGTCGGGATCCGGAGTCTCTGCCATGTCAAGCAGGAGCCCAACCGGCCGTGGTCGTGCCGCGTGGAAGGATCCGGACAGCCATGCTACCCTTCTCGCTGATTTTGGCACCGCGGCTGTCGTCATGGCTGGTAGGCAAAGAACGCTCCTGTCTGAATCGCCTGGGACGGCATTATCGCGGCGAACGTTGTGAGGGGGGTAGTGGAGAAGAGGCTGGCTTCTCATGATCCTTGTGCTATGCTGTGGCCAGAGGACAAGTCGTTGGTCTGGGATCTCATGGAGTACATGCACTCTAAATGGCACAGATTCGGCCATGACGAAGAGTACCGGAGTTTCTACGGCGCAACTTTGCTCTGGGCGGCACTGCCGGTGGCCGTTGCATTTCGTCCGTTCGCGGTGGTCCCGCAGAGGTCCCAGCCTCAACACTACCTGGCTGTGTTGCCAATGTGACGGTGCCATGCAAACTGCTGGGAGGTCGGCCCTTCACCATCGACCTCGTGTCGCGCAAAAGAAGGACCCACGAGAGTTGGTGTCGGATAAGGCTAGGGTCGCGCGGCAGCTCCGGCCAACAACAACGGCAAGTTGGGCCTGTACGCGATCAGTCGCACGCGCAGGTTGGGACCGCGTTTTCAAAATTGAGAAGATAATACGGCGCTGGCATTATCAATTTCATCGTCCAAAGCAGACCATCGTAACCGAGGGGCCATCAATGGTTTGCACAGATGACGTCTATACCTCCAGCTTAGTCACAAGTAAAGCAACATGCACAACGGCCGGCCAGACTGCTCTGGTGGCCAATCCTAACACTGAAGTCTTAAGTAAAGATCTCTTTTCCGAGTGGCCTCGAGGTGCCCCTGAGATGGCATTCAAGCTGATGTGAGTTCTGCCAGCGTGGATCTAGTGTTGGCAACATCCAAGTCCGAGGTGACGGGCTCCTCCGGTCCTCACTTCCGGAAGGCGGAGCTCAAGCCGGATTCGGGGCCGGGTGAAGTGGATGCCAAGCAAGTTCTCCCCGCCGCGCTTCCTATCGTGCTTCAAGCGGAGTGAACGGTCAGGTGTGGTTCGGGATACCCTGAGACAACGTATAGCTAAAATTTGCACGCAGAACCTTTGTCTAGAGAGGCCTTGGCACAGGGAACTATCCATGTCGGCGTGAACCTCGCGGATCGATGGCCTCGTGGAGCGGACAAAGTTTGACCGCGGCTTGGACCACGTCTTCGGCCGCGGTGTGCGCTTGACAAAAGAAAAGCAACCTCCCAAACAATTCTTGAGCCTGCATGCCGGTCGTTCCAACAACCTGGAAAGTCGCGTCTATCGTGGCGCGGGAAAAAGGACTTGGGGGCTAGTTTTGCCTTTCGACATATCCGACGCCGGTGAAGGCCGCCGCCGCACTGGCCTCTGTGTTTGATTTGACGAGGGTATTGATTGGCTCGTCCGCCTGGACGGGTTTCGAAATTGTGCCTGCAGGTAAGTTGCAATCGACTGGGTGTCTATTTGGTTCCTAAATTTGGGTTTCGCTGATACAAAGTCAATTTCGTTTCCTCTGCACCGCCTGCCCGCCCGCCGCCCGCCCGCATCCATGCCAATATGCAGCGAGTGTAGCGAACTTTTGTGACGAACGCAAGGACGACTCGTGAGACGACCAGACGGCCAGACACCGTGAGTCTTGAGTGTGGTCATTGACAGTCAGGGCATGTTGGGATATCAGGGTCTGGTGGCGATGCTCGAGCCTGACTGAAACGAAACATTGGCGAGGACATCTGACCCTGAGACAGCAATCCGTGCCAAACAGGTATCCAAATTCGGTCGTCGGTCTATGTGGATGTGCAGGATTGCGAGGCAGCACTCTCCTGCGGCAGCGATCAGGCGAAGGATCAACTCAGTCGATCCGACTCTGAAGGTTCGCCTAGACTGAACAGTAGCGCCATCTCGTGAGGCCTAGGCCGGTGGGCGACACGAGGGTGCTGTGAATTCAGGACGGCGATTACTCTACCACTGTGCTGACGTGCTTTTGTTCAGAATCCCGGGCCTAGGACAGCAAGAAAGTGAATTACTGGTGGTTTGGCCGTGAAGCCTGCTGGTGGATCGATCCTCTTCACGGCCAAGGCGATCGCAATACAACAGATCGAGTGAGGAATCCCGTAGTTCATCTTTGCCGACTCAACTGAAGTCGAGGTCAGCCTCGACGACAAAACGAACAACATAAGATTTTGTGCAGATGAGGTGTTGGTATGAACAGGCGATCAGTGTCTTCGCCAGCATGCAATACATGCAAGCAAGCAAGCATTGTTTACATATATGGTTGGGGCTCTCGACGGAGTTTCTCTGGATGCTTCGCTGACAGGGACAAACAGCACGATGGCCATAAATCAGCCTGCGATTCGGGGGTCGTGTGGCTTAGCGTCGAGCTCCACACTGCGATGGAAGCCGAGCGTGGGACCCTTGTAGGTAACGGGCAACATGACGGTGACCTCAGCTGGATGTACTGGAATCCAGAGTGTGTTTTTGGGTGACCTCAGCCGAGCAGGCGGTACCTCGTGTACTCGACGCGGAGCTAGCAGATTGTTTGGCCCCCACAAAAGTAGTCTGTGACCTTCCCAAGCTTCCAGAACGGTGTTCCTGGTTCTGGATTCAAGCATGCGCCCATGGACATGGACCATCACCCATAACGCGGAGCCGAGATGTGAAGGTCGACAAAATGGTGCGAGGACTGGACGTGTTTGTTCTGCCTGCCTACCTGCCTGCCGTGCCGTCCCGTGTTGTGCCGTGCATTGGCTTGCTCTTCTGAAGAAGGGTGGCTGGGCCAGCAGTCAGATAGCCATCGTCGATTTCCACCGAGTTGAATGAATTTGCAACTGACAGATGCTCCTGACGGGCGACGTCGTGGCCCAGCCACCAACCACCGACCATACCACCCCACCGATGGCAGGATCACCCATTACCCCCGTTCCTCAGTGTCACCAGAGGCTGGACCGAGATTGACTGACTGATTAACGGCTGGCTGACTGGTTGACTGTCTGACTGCTCAGGGATCGTCTCGGCCATACCTGATCGATGCATACAGCGAGCGGTATACAAATATTTGCACATGCGTGTGTTGCACATGCGTGTGAAAGGCTGGGTTCGAATACAGGCGCTTCAGTTGAAGAACATAAGGTGGACTGTGGGTGCGCCTGTCTGCGGTCCAAGAAGAGGTAGATCCTTAGATTGGGGGACCAAAGTGCTTGGTAGGTACTACGTAGGTATCCGTCTGAGGACAACGGTCCATAAGGCCGAACGGGCGTCCCGCGTACTTACGTACCGTGGCCGCGTGGGCAGCACCTGCCCCCGACTACCTTGCAACCTCAGGTAAGCTCACTCACTGCCTTGCTACAGCAGGTACGGTACTGCTGCATGTTACGGTGTGGTACAGAACGGTACTGTACACAGGCTGAAATTCTGCCGCCGCTGACCCCATATTTGGGGCTAGCAGGGACTGCTCTGTACAGGGCTGCGTTGTACTGTACTGTACGCACAACGGTGAATGATGATAATGGTGTCGTAAGGCGGGCTGTTCCCTGCCGTTTGGACCAGCTCTCTGTACTTTCCCGGTGCTGTGGCTTGTACCTGGGCAGGCAAAGGCAACCTGCCCTCCTGCAAGGCTGCTCGAGCTATGCTTAGTGCGCAATGCTCAGTCCTAAGAGACTGTCTGCCCATGTCCTTCTCAAGTACCTAAATCACCTGGGCAGTCAGTCCATCATGTCAAAGAGCCAGCGGATACCTAGGTAGACACTGAAGAAGCTGGACGTTGAACCGCTGAATTGTTGAATCATTGACCTGTTCAAAGACCTCTGAACGGAGCAGGGTGGAAAGGACAAAGAATGGAGAGGAAGGAGGAGGCAGTGATGAGGCATGTACCGTTCAATACCGTTAATGTGGCGCGCAGTCGCCGTGTACCTGACACTGAGGGCTTAAGGCGGCTGGATTGACCACCTGGGCACTTCATACTGTACCTGCAATCTACACAAGCCCTCTGTAGTTACCCAGATCTATGTACCGGATCAGACCTCTTCAGACCCTCCGTGCAGAGTGGAGAGTACAAACACTTCAAAGTCTGGGAGATCCTTGATATCATTATGATAGAAGGCTTACTACTCACATAGCAGAGTCCAGTCAAGAGAAAGTCTAAACACTAATGTAATTGATTATTTTCCCTCATCGGGTGCAGAGCTTTCTTTGACAGATGTAGATACATGGAAGACCTGCAGTGACAAGAGAGGAGAGGGAGGGAGGAAGCTGCCTCTGATCCTGACCTGACCCTGACCCTGACCCTGAGCGTTTGTCTACCCGTTTCTTGAGTTGAGCTAAGAAGGCGCCCGTGCCATATTCTGCCACTTGCCCAGCTGGGAGCCTGCCCTGTCCTCCTGGCTGCCCGTGCGGTAGAGTTGAAAGTGGGGAATGGGGAGAGAATGGGGAGAGCTGCAGCGAAAGTGAGAAGGGAAGAATGACGCAGACACACACACAGAGAGAGAGAGAGAAAGAAAAAAAGATTGCAGAGTAGCTCCATCCCTCCCACCTGCCGCCACCAGCAAAGGCAAAGGTAAGGAAGTCACTCCCCCCCCCCGGCCCACCGTTCCTGTTCCTGTTTCCTGTTCCTGCCGTGGACCTTGGGCCCTTGCTGTCACTCGCCGGTACCTACCTCCTACCTCGTCCCTCCCTCTCCGCATCTCACCTCAGTCAGTGACCTCAGTCAGCGAGTCCCCTTCGTCACTCAGGTCAACCTGAATCTTTCGGCCGACAGACTGAAAATTGTCCGTATCCATCCAGCTGGGTACACGCTCAAGCTGCACACTTATCCCACACACAAGTACCTGCGACAAGCTCACGACCCATCCACCTCCTCCTGTCCACCAACACACTACCTGGGTGGACTTTACTTACATACACATTCCCATACTCTGCTGCGACTGCTGCACGACACTAGATACATACATTTCACTACAATCCGACCACACTCGCCACACGGCATTGTCACTATCACGGCCGTCAAGTACCGGGTCAGACCAGAGGAACAACAAGAACTACATGCACGTAAGTACACCATATATTCATTCATTCCATTTCGACGTCGTGGCTGCGCCTGGCGTGCGTGTGCATGTGTCTGCACCAACGTCGCGGGCGCGTCAATCCATTCGCAATGTTCCCTTTCCTGCCCTCCTCCTCCTACTTCATCCTGCCTTGGACCTGGCACCTGGCACTTGGCACCTTGCATCTGCAGAGCCGCATCTGCTATGTACCAAGTACATCTTCAACGTCCGACATCAATTCCGTCAACATCAACATCAACCTCCTTGGACCTCGGCCTGGACCTCGACCTGACCTTGGACCTCGACCGTGACCGTGGACATGGTCATGGATTTGGATTTGATGCGTTTCTGGGTGGCCCTCGGCAGTGCCAGTCGCAATCGCAGTCGCCCACTACCGCCTAGACATTTACCCCAGCAGGCCCCGAGACGGATTGATGGCCTGCGTCCCAAGGCTGCTTGCTGCTGCGTTGCCTCGCCTTGAGGATGGACACCTTGGGAGCCTTCCCTCTGGTCCTGCCTGGGGGCATAGTCCAGCTCCAAGACGCACGCCCATCAACAACCAAGCAGCAGCCAGCAAGCAGCCAACAGCCGCCACGGTGCGCACGCACGTCTTGCATCAGCTCGTCCAGACAAGCCAGAGCAAAACGGCGTCACCTCAGCGCCTGCGCTAGTCGTCATTGCCCTCATCTGATTCGAAGACCGATAAACTTTGGGGGCCAACGCCGGCAAAATAGTACTCGAGCTAAGCCCCCGCGACACCACACCACAACACCACGCCGATCTCTAGCTGCGCCGCGTCCTACATCCGTCTGTCCCATCTCTATCAAGGCGAAAAGATCGGGCCACACATGTCTTTCTGATGGCTGACGGCACCGGTATTGCTTCACACAACGCAAGCCAACACAAAACAACACATTTCAGATCAAGATAACCCTGCACGGCACGACACGACGCGACACGTCCTTCCCGACCACCTGCCTCGGCTTGTCTTTCGCTTTTTGAAATCTGCCTTTTCTTCTTTCTCCCCCGGTCGCGCCAGGGCCAGCCAGAGCCAACCATAACCCATTTGGTCTCCACAAAAAAGTCTGCTGTCGCCACTTTCTTTTTTTTTTCCTTCCTACAGTCGTCTCTCCCCTCTCTTCTATTTCCGTTCTGCCCGCCCACGGAGCTGATCCCTGCCGCTCTACCTGCAGCCGCGCTCAATCCCAACCCGTGTTGGAACAGGGCTATGCACACCCAGCAGGCCCCTGTTCCCGTGAGTTGGGGGGTGTGGTGAGAGGGAGAGGTCGAGGTTGAGGCCCTGCGACGGTCGAACGAGGAGAAGAGAGACAAGGCAGGCAGAGCAGACAGACATACACACAGAGGCAGAGAGACAGGGCAGACAGAGAGACAGACAAACAGACAGACAGGCGTGAGGATTGATTGCATCGAATACGGCATACGATATCGTGCCACACCAGTATTGCCAGATACTACATTTACATCACCTGCAATTGGATCGTCCTTCGTCTGCGCCCTCATGCAGCAGACCCAGGAGCCAGCGACACCCAGGCGTGCCAGGGCCTACCGGGCCTACCGTGGCCGCCATGCTGGGTTTCGGCCTGCGCTTATGTTGCAGAACCACCAGCAGCTTGCGGCAGCACCACCACCACCACCAGCCCCAGGACCAGGACCAGGACCAGGACCAGGACCAGCACAGGAGCAGCACCAGAACCAGACGCAGTCGGACGCGGGCCAGCCTGCGCAGGCCGTCGTCTTCCACGGCGCACTTGATGAATTTCATAATCCCGATCCCGATCTGGGTGCCCTGGGTCCTTTCGCCTACCCGTCCTTTCCATTTCTATTTTCCGTGACACAAGAAGAAGAAGTACTTTGCCCTCTCACCACATCGCACCGCACCGCCCCACACTACACTCAATTCTCCATTATCCATTCCCTTGTGTCTCTCTCTCTCTTTGCCGCTCAACCTCTGTCTCTCTCACTCTCCCACCCACCTCTCTGCCCCCCTCTCTCTCTACCTATCACTCCCTCCCTACCTCTCTTTGCGTGTTCGTGCGAGCATCTGGCTGGCAATCGGCGGCACGACACTAGCTGACAATCTGCGCGACGCGCAACGACTATTTAGGAGATGCAGCAGTGGCAGGTCGGCCCCATGCCGGGCAACTACGCCCAGGCGTACCAACAGCCCAACTCCACCAACCACCCAGATGGTTTCAAGTGAGTGTCTACCCGCGTCTCTTGTACCTCGCTCGTATCGAGCACTCCCCGGCAGACGAGGGCCAGGTGCCAGTTCAATCTTCAACCCCAACCAAACCCCCCTCCCCCCTGGTCAGTCGCCCTTTCAGAGCTCGAATCCGCCAAGCTCCAGCTCCAGCTCCAGCTCCAGCTATCGCAGCTCTTTGCAGCTCTCGCAGCTCCAGCTCTTCCAGCTACAGAGCTTGTCTCCCCTACCGCAGTTGCTCGTATTCCGCTTGTTACTTCTTCGACTCTTCTTTCCCACACCCCCCTCCTCTCTTTCTCCCTGCTTCTGTCAAGGCTGGCTGTGTCCATCATCCCACCTGAGAGAATCCAAATTTCTTTCCTCTCCCAATTGGCGACAGACTTCAGCCAAACCTGCCAATCGGTCGGCGCGAACGTGTTCAAACTCGGAACAGGCGAGCCTCGATGATGTCCGGACGAGAAATGCAGTCATGATTTGGTCTTGGACGGCTCCCCAGGTCACAAAGTTTGCTTGCTGGTATCCCATCCCCTGCAAATGAAATAATGGGACGGGGCTTACGCAATGAAACCCTTCCCCGGAGGGAACCTGATCAGTCGGTGGCTTGCCAACGGGCCAGGTCTAACAGGTCTTGTCTTGGGTACTTTGGAGCCTCGCGCAGGGTCTAGGCTTGACCGCCTGCCGTGCTCGCCCTAGCGGGCTGCCCCGATTCTGTCCTAGACCTGTCCGGTCCTGTCCTGATCTGTGTTCTGTTCTGGTCCTGGCCTGTCCTGTCGTGTCCCGTCCCGTCTGATCTGAGATATGTACCCCATGTACCCCCGTCACATATCTTGTTTGTCGCAGTCCTGGTCCCTCTCCTTCTTCTCAATCTCCCTCCTCCCTCCTACTCCTCCTCCTGCTCCTCCTCCTTCCTTGCCGTGTCACTCTCCCTATCTCCCACCCCTCCACCCGGGGCAGCCCCCAGAACGCCATCCTGAACGAGAATGGGCATGACACCAGACCATGGGCGACGTTGCAAAGCACTCATCGCCACATAATTCTTGAGAAACAAGAACAAAAGAAAAGAGGAACAAGAACAAGAAGCTTGTTCTCTTTTTCCCAGTCTCCCTGCCGCTTACCAAGGTCACTGGCGCCCGCCGGCTTAGCCAGGTATCGGTGTCTGGTCTGTGTCGGTACAGTCGGTAGACTCGGTACTGGGGCGCTACGTACTTGGAATCTTTATTGGGATCACTGACTGGAACCTTCCCATTGTCGGGATAGTCTCCACAGCCCCAAGGTCCAGTACCCACACCTTACGGTGAACGAGCCCAGGTCGCGCCCAAGCTCCCTGCTCATCCGCCCGCCATCGACAACAAGACATCCCTCCCCCCAGCCTCCAAGCCCCAGCCCCCCCAGCCCAAGCCCCAAGCCTAAGCCCAAGAAGCCGCAAGCCCAAGCCAAGAGCTGTTTGTTCCCGCGTTCGCGCCTGCTCCACCATTCCACACACGGGTCTGGTTTGTCGACCCACGGGTTCCCAAAGGTCGAGCGAGGTTGCGGTTGGCCCTGCCTTGCTGCTTTGCTGCTTTGCTGCTTGCTGCTTTCTTCTTGCTGCTTGGGTGCTCCGTGCTGCGTGTGGTGCCTGGGTGCTGCTTGCCCCCCCCCTTCCCACAAACCCTGTGTACCGGATCCCGACCAAGGCTCTGCATCTACGTCTCTACATCTACATCCAAATCTACATCCACATCTACCTCACCACGCTACCACCTCTCTACCTCCACCTCTTGTCTCGCTACCTGACTCTACACTCATCCTTCTCTACCGCCCCGCCATTATTCAAGACCTCGACTGGCAATTGCTGTCTGTCTGTCTTGTCTGTCTGTCTAGTCTAGTCTATTGTTCACGTCATCTTCCGCGTCTCGCGTCTGTCTTTTTCCCTCTCTCCCCACCCACACAACGCATCAACCACGCACACACGCTACGCATTTCTGTTTGCTACCTTGCCTTGCGTTTGCGCCTGCTTTGTCTCGTGTGCACTCGACGCGACAATCCCCACACCCTCGGGGCCCTTCCTCGTCCCAAGCTCCTGAACTGCATCTTGCCCTCGTCTCGTCACGTCACGTCAAGCCTTCTCGATGAAGAAGCAGCGGGGCGACCTCCAGCCATCATGGCCTCCCCAACCCCAACAAGCGATGCCGATGCAGACGCAACAACAATCGCCTTTTGCTAACACGCCTGCTTGGGGTTACAGCACCCAGCATGGATACGGCCAGCCCGACATGAACCGTCGCAATGACTCCATGGACTACAGGGCATATGCCGCCGCCCAACCACATGCTCAGGCCGCCCAGGCTCAGGCCCAGGCACAGGCCCAGCACCATCAGCAGCAGCAGCAACAACACCACCCGAGCGCCATTCAGCCCCCGATCCCCGTGTCGCAGCACGCTGCCCAGCAGCAACAGCATGTGCCGCAGCATGTGCAACACCCCCAACATGTCCAACAACATCCCCAGCAGCAGCAGCAGCAACAGCACGCGCAGCACCTAGCGCAGCAGTCCCAGCAGGGATCGCCCGCCCAGCAGCACGTCCAGCAACAACACGTCCAGCCTCAGCATGTCCAGCCGCAACATGTGCAGCACGCGCCGCAGTCCACCTCGGTCCAGCCCCAACAAGTCCACCAGCAGCCTCCCCAGCAGTCCACCCCCCAGCCGGCCCCGGCCCCGGCCCCGGCCCCCAGAGGTCGTAAGCGCGCCGCGCCACCCGCCGCCGCCGCCACTCCAACGGCCCCCGTTTCGGCACCTCCGCAGCCTGTCCAGACCCCCGTTCAGCAGGCCCCCCAGATTGCGACTCCCGTACCCGTGCCGACCCCTCCAGCTCCCATAGCTGCCCCGACCCAGCCCGCTACCCCTGTCGACAACGCCCAACCCGCCGCGCAAGCCCCTCCGGCCAAGAAGAGCCGCACAAATACGCCGTGGACGCCGGCGGAGGAGTTGCGCCTGAAACAGATGAGGGATAATGGCTCTAGCTGGGCAGAGATTGCCAAGGTATGCCCATTGAGCAAAAGGCGGGGGACTTGTCGGCCATGGGCGTCAAGACTGATGACTTTGTCTTATAGACCTTTCCCGCGAGGACGGAGGGCAGCGTCAAGAAACACTGGTACAAGGACATGCATTATGCAGAGTTTGCCGAGGACGAGGTACGCATCACAAGCGCTCCGATGGCGGCATTCGCCAATGTTGTCAGCCTGCTAACAGTCGACTCCCTCCAGAGCGCGGCCTTGATGAGTGCGATAAAAGAGTACGAAAACAACAAGTGGAAGGTCATCGGACAGAAGGTTGGCAAGCCTGCAAAGGCTTGTGAGCAGTACGCCAAGGAGCATTTTCCAGGTAAGCAACCCCCCCCCCCCCGGACAACGCTTGACGAGCCTCGATACAGCTCATTTTCCCCAGCCTGCGACCCCGTTCTGAGAAGTGGCCTCAGATTGACCCGTCTCCTCACAGATCTGTTCAACCCTGCGAAGCGCGGCTAGGAGCCGCCACCACGAAAACAAGCCGTGGCGAAGAACTGCGAACAGGCCGAGGAGCAATCTTCAGCCGTCAGCGCATACCCGAACCCGATTGCGAATCCGCCTCTACCACCTCCTCGACCTGTCGAGCCACCTCCTCCTCTCCCTGCCTTTTCAAGTCCGTATAGCCAGCGCCCAGTGAGCACCACGCATCGGGGCTCAAGTCCCATCCCTCTGCCTCCAAACCTGGACAATCAGCACTAGAACTATTGAATTGTGATGGAGGACCTGGACAGTCGCTCCTAGCCTTGTGATGACAGCACTCGGAGGCTGTGGCTGATCAGACATGGAGGTCTTGTCAGCTGGGTGTGTGGGCGGGCGATGTTTCGATGGGTTCCGAACATTCTGATCGTTTTGATTTCTGAACATGGACGTGTGCCTTTCCGGGAATAGCATGGGCTGGGGGAATTGCGGAAAACGGTGACGACATGCCCCTTTAATGCCTCAATGATTTGTGTGTGTGCAGCTTGGGCACTTCTTTTTTTTTTCTATTTACCCTCTCTCTCTGCTCTCGGCGTCGACTCCATGGGGCGAGTTTTCCTTATTACGATTGGTCCTTGGTCTTTGGTCAACATCATAGCCCATCCTGTTTGGGAACGGAATCCATGTGCTTCTATTCTCCAACATATTCGAAGCAATGCTTGGTCGGCACGGCAAGGCGCGTGGGTGCAACACGCTTACGCACACACGCACGCACGCACACACACCTCTCTATACACACACATTCGCACGCATGACGTTCTCTACGGCACGGACACAGGAAGACGACAGTCTGCGCCGTCGTAAAACCCCCGCCCCGTCTTCTTCCCATATGAGCAGGATGAGGAGGTAATCATGGATGAGTGGTAGTGAGCTGGCAGGAGCAGAGGCTGTGGATGGAGTGGTAATCTTGGCCGGTGACAGATGGTTTCTCTGTTGGACGGCGATAAGGGAGGTTTTAGTATTGCTTATGTTTTGATGTCCAAAGGGGGCACAGGTCGCGGGGAGATTGTGATGACTTGACTTATCTTTTCGAGGGGTGGACAAGGTGGTCATTTGATGATGGGAATCGTTATACCCCCACCAATATATTGCTTTACATCTGTCTGGCAACAATGTCTTGGGATCGCCTCGTCGTCAACGGTGGTGGCCCGACGTGTCTCGCACGTGACGGGGCATGCAGTAATTTGATCATGGACTCCGCCAGGTGAAGCAGACCTCCGAATATGAATGAACCGAACGTACACTTGCTCCGACGCACACAAAAACACTGCACCATAGTGTAGGATACCTCTGTATTGTCGATGTACGCCCGCAGGTGCTTGCCACTGTGTTGGCTGACTGTCGACGGCCAGGGTACCTTCCCCGGTCTTTGGTGGTGGCAATACACCCGAGAGTCCATGCAGGTGACCGAGTGCTGAATGCTTCATAGGAGAGGGGGCTTATCTGGTATGACGGCGCGCTCTGCGTATGTGTACGGTACTGTGGGTGGCTCGACCAATTGATACCGACATGTTCAGACTTGATGGGGTTTCATCAAGGCATCCCTGCTGGGCGGGAAGGTATAGCACAAGATTCTAGCGTATATGGCTGACTTGAAGAAGATATGGCTGATGCTCGGGTGCGTAGGATGCGATAGGTTGGGATAGGGAAGCTGTTGTGTATGGGCTGGGCCAGGCCAGGCCAGGTAAGTTCAAGTCAGATGTGATATTTATAATAATAATGACGATGATGATCGATGTTTCATTTGGGAATGATGCGCCTAAGTGCACTGCAGGCCAGACCTCGAAGAAGCACACAATCCTTGCCTGCTTGCTTACTTATAGCCTCGGGTTATACGTGTATGGAAAGCCTGGATGGCAAGCTGGATCTGTACAATTGATGGTTGTACAGTACAGTACAGTACATCCCTATGTACTCGTTTATGTTCACTGGCGGTACGGTTCAAGGCCTGAGGATGGAGCTGTAGTGGAGAGAGAGGGGGGTATATCTTGGTACGGCGTCGGGATAAGGAACCAGGACATCCCTAGACAGGCGGCACGCACATGCACAAGGACTGCTGCGGACGTTCAGAGGTCGAAGCGGAGATGGGTGAGGTGATGATGGGTAGACCCCAGGAGACCAAGCTAAATCATAACATACCATACCATACCATACCATATAGAATACTACACCAACCCAAGAGAGGGCAGGCCGGGAGACCGGCAGCGGACAGCAGACACAGCAGACAGCCACCTGGATGGCAGGATGATTATTGATTGGGACGACTCGTGTAATGTCGGCCGAGTGTTCCGCTTGCCGTCAAAGCTCCCAGAGCTGGGGCAAACAAGCTCAAGAAGGTTTCGGCTGTTGGTGATCTGGGGCCGCGAATTGAGTTTGCGGGCACGACAATTGAGGTCATGGCATACAATGATTGATTCATTGATTGTACATGAACCGGCTGTGTGGCTGGAATGGCCCTGCTTGAAGCTGTAATCATCATATACTCTCAATGCAGAGAAGAGGCAAGCAGGATTGAGTGCATCCATCCAACGGGTACTGTAAGCAGAGTAGTATCTATCTCATGTACATCTCCCCCTCCCCCCTTCTCCTTCTCCTTAGCCTTACATGGTATGGCCCTCTGGGAGCCTGGAGGCTGCCCACCTTCTCCGTGCCCCCTTGCTTGATCGAGTTAAGCTCCCATTCGTATCGAGTCCGGGTGTGTGGGTCGCCAGGGTCGATCCTCGATCCCACCCAATCCAAATCCAATTTTTGTCTGGGGGAAACTGGGCCTGGTGGAGCTCGCCCGCTCACTCCCTCCCACTCTCGCCCGCTATTCCCTCAGGCATTTCCCCCCCTTGCTATCGGATGTTTTTTTTCTCTCACTCGCTCTGTGCCTGTCTATACCGTCACACACCGTATATACCCTGTGTGCTATATAGATTTGTTTTCCCCTTGATGGCTGTCTGACCGCGCGTGATTTGACAGGACCAGGTGGGGAGGACGGGGGACGTTCTCATTTTCTCCCTCGGCCCAGGCCCCCTTTGTGAAAGGATGGATGAATGGGTGAATGGAAGGATGGATGGTTGGATGGTTGGATGGATGAATGAAGGAGAGGACAGGATGGGGCTGATCGTCTCCTGTCTATCTAGTCTACTCTTCCGTTTCTTGCCTGCTTCGCGTGTGCATTGTGCTCGTCTCCCTTCGTTCACTCTCAAAACTCACCCTCACCCTTCAACCATCGCCCTCGCCTCACCCTCGCTCTCGTTACGGTTAGGTGTTTATTGTACGGCGTGGCAAGTGGCAAACAACCATTAATTTAATTTAATTGGTTAATCGGCTCTGTCTGTTCATTCAGGAGGCCATAATCACCCTCGACCTCGATCTCGACGTCGACACAAAGCACAGTCACAGCACAACCGCCTTTGACTGCACATCGTCACTCTCACTCGCTTGAGTCGTCGACCTGTGTTTTCTCAACCCCTTCGGCCGTGCAATTCGACGACTTTCGATCGCCCGCTCGCTCGTTCTGAGTCTGTCTGACCTGCCTGAGCCGAGTGCCTTCCCAGCCTGGTCCCCCTCCATTCCAGCGGCACCAAAAACAGTCGCACCTGCTATTGCGCTGTTTTTATTTATTTGTCTCGCGAATCATTACCACGCCAGAGGCCACGCGACTTGACTTTCCCAGATCGTGAAGCACCACGGTCTCGTTCAGTCAGCCTGGTCTTCCCGCTCAACAAAGCAATCGAGCATCGTCCATCCGTCTCCGTGTCTCTGACAGCAGACGTATTCTACCAAGATGCAGCCCTCGCTTCTTTTCCCTGTAGGGACCGCAGTCCTCGCTGCCTCCTCCGTCCTCGCCGCCAAGTGTGGCAGCGGCAGTCAATGCGCTGAAGATGAGCCCTGCTGCTCGCGTGAGTCCAACCTCCCAACATTCAACGTGCTTGCTGCCTTGAACATTGACTCCTCGTCCCCCCCATGCACCTACCACACCACGCCACACCACACCACATCGCACACTTTCCTTTTCGACGTGACACCAAACGTCTTCTCGTACCACGCTACACGTCGTATACCAACCTAGCACCCAGAACTCTTGGCTGACACCGGCGTCCTGCAGAATATGGCGAGTGTGGAGTAGGCGCCTACTGCCTCGGTGGCTGCGACCCTCGCTTCTCCTTCAGCCTCGACAGCTGCGTTCCCGAGCCCGTCTGCCAGTCACGCTCCCTGTCCATGGACTCGCTCGACCGTGTCCAGTCCATCGAGAAGTACCTCGGCGACTCCTCCGAGGCTGACTGGGTCTCGTCCGGCGACCCCCTCGTCTACAAGGACAATGTCCTTCTGACCATGCCTGCCTACAAGGCCGGCACCGTCCTGGCCTCCACCGTCTACATGTGGTACGGAAACGTCAAGGCAAGGATGAAGTCCTCGCGCGGCAACGGAGTCGTCTCGGCTTTCATCCTGCTGTCTGACGTCAAGGACGAGATCGATTTCGAGTTCATTGGAGCCGACCTCGAGACCGTCCAGACAAACTACTACTACCAGGCCAACCCTGTTTGTAAGTAGCCCTGAAGCCCTGGGGCAGCGAGATACCATGAGATCGCGCACGCACATGCTGAACAATCTTCTCTTAGGGACCAACTCCAAGAACATCACTGACCTCTCCGACACGTACGAAAACTTCCACGACTACGAGATCCAGTGGACCCCCGACCAGGTCGTCTGGCTCGTCGACGGCAAGGCCGGCCGAACCCTCAAGAAGTCCGACACGTGGAACGCCACCACCAACCAGTACGATTTCCCCCAGACTCCAGCCCGCGTCCAGCTGTCCATCTGGCCCGGTGGTAATTCCACCAACTCCGAGTACACCATCGAATGGGCCGGCGGTGCGATCGACTGGAACTCCGAGGATATCAAGAACTACGGCTACGACTTTGCCACCTTCAGCTCGGTCTCCATCGAGTGCTACAACGCCACCTCGGCCCCGGGCACCAACAAGGGCAAGTCTTACTACTACAACGATGCCGCCGGGACCAACAACACCGTGGTCGACAGCGACAAGCCGACCATCCTGGCGAGCTTGCAGGGCACGGGCACCGATATGGAGGCAGGCGCCAGCTCCGCCTCGGCTAGCAGCTCGGCCTCCACGGCCAACACCGTGCCTGGCGGCTCCAGCGGCAGCGGCGTGGGCAATGTTGTCGGCGGCGACACGAGCGGGTCCGGCAGCGGCAGCTCCAGCGGCAGCTCCACGACGAGCAGCTCCGACTGCGCCGCCACCGGCTTCACAGTGGACTGCAACAACAGCGGCTCTGACAGCAAGAGCGGAGCTGCAGGCGGCAACGACAAGGTGTTTGGCGCGAGCGCCTTCGCCGCCATTGTTGCGTTCGTCTTCTTGGCGTGGCTGTAAAGAGTGGAAATGTCCACACAGCACAGCACAGCGAGGCACGACACGACACAAAACCCGACATAACGCTCACGACTCCTGCTCAGTATTTCTCATGCCATCAATCTCCAAGACGACGAAACGCAGCCTTGTTCTTTCTTCTTCTTTTAATACCGTTTTTTCGTGTACAGGGTTTCCCCTATCTTCGATATAGCTTTTTAGTCTATCAGCATTGCGGCCCGAGATTCGCAAGGGACGTATCCTCTTCTCAAAGACCAACAAGGCAAAAGAGAGCAAGGTACATGGAGGCAGCCAGCAGTAATGAAGGAGGACGTTTGGTTACACTGCCTCGTGTCCGGGTACAAGAGCATCTAGGAGAGATAGAAACCGCGGAAGTAATGGCCTCCCAACCGGCCGCCCGCTCCTTTTCAGTGCGCTTCAGGGAATCGAGCACTTCACAATGAGATAAAGGGGCCCCCGAAGAGGGGGCGCACTGTACATAGTGTGTGAGCGGGTCAAGAAGAATCCAAGATCTCGTCATGAGCGAGTTTGACTTGAACCTCAGTCTGAGTTCTGCCTTTTTTATTTTGGCGTGATATAACTTGTTGATTTTCGGGTGTTTCCGTACTCGACTGCAACTCCACACACGCTTTGGACGCTGTGAAGGCCCTACTGCTATCGAGCCCTGCCACGCGTGCTTGGCACAAAGTGACTTAGTGGTCCATTGCCAGAGCACTCGTTTTGTAAGAGAGCCGGCGTGGTCGCCCTACTTTTATGTCTGGTGACGCTGCTGTAGCTGCGTTTCACGCCACCCGTGAAGACGATAGAGAAGCATATCCAACTTCTCAACTGGTCAAGAAACCAAGGGGCCATCTCATATATTCATTCTTGGAGCCAGTGATCCAGCCGGCATATTTTTCTCTCACACAACCCTACAGAAACGCTTCTATGTATTATTCCGGGCTTTTCCCTCCTTTGCTGTTTTCAGTGAAGGGCCAGCAGGTGAGATCTGCTTTTTTCTTTCTCGGCGCAGATGAGGCGTAGTGAGGAGCAGCCGCCAGTCGTTGGCGTGACTACATTATTTCGAAATCGAAAGAAAATTTAAAAATGGCTGCTGCTGCTGTTCTTTTCTTGATGACTGTGAGCAGTTGTAGATGCGCCGTACACGCCACAAAGCGACGTAATATTTGTGACGAGAGAGTTGTGGCTAGATAATTGTGACTAGATAATCGTGACTAGATAATCGTGACTAGAGAAAAGTAACTAGATAATCGTGACTAGATAATCGTGACTAGATAATCGTGACTAGATAATCGTGACTAGATAATCGTGACTAGATAATCGTGACTAGAGAAAAGTGACGAGAGAAACTTCATTACTTTCAACTCCAAGCAACATCATTTTCGTCTTGGAGTCCAATGATTGACTGGGGACAAGCGAATGTAAACCAATACCGAAAGTTCCCTGCCTGGGAATTGCTATTCCTTGTTCAGATTCTTCAACGAAAGGCCGCCCCTATCCCCCAAGCTCACACCAAGTTGCTGCTGTGTCATGCCTTGATTTTTGTCAACGAGGAGGCACTCTGACAACTAGATTTCATAGTTGGTGAGCCGACACGGGCAATGGAAAGTTTTCCTTGACACATCTTTTCCAACTTGTGCGCATATCCACCCAAGCCCCTCTAGCATATACGAATTGTTCGAGACACCTTTTGTGTTCGACACTTCTTGAAGCGTCTGCCCTTGCAATATTCCCATCCTTGGGTCAAGTCCTATGGAAAAGTATAGGTACAAGCCAGTCCGCGCGCAAAAGGGATCGCTTTTGTCATGCATTATATAGTCGACAACTTTCCCAATTTATGCGTGTAGTGTCCCTCAAAACGATTCCACCAGCACCAGGAAAGTATTTAATTCCTTCCAAAATGCTATTGTGCAATTTTTCTTCTTCTTTGCGTTGAAGAAGGTTGCCTACTTATTTCTTCCTCTCACCCAAGCGTGGCAATCTGATAGGTAATAACAACATGAGACTCCCTAGAGCGATGATGATACAGGACAAGAAAGCCGCCCTAATGGAAGCCTCATAACTTCTCACAACCTGCTCCAGGACGAGACCTCGCAAGTTTCCAATAGCCTCAACACTTTCTCTGACTCTTTCAATCACCTCGCCCTTCCCGCCGGGAATCCCAGCATCTCGTGCTGCGGTGTCGGTGACGTATGTCTCAAGATAACTCCAGAGTGAGTTCTGGACGATGAGACTGCTTCCCGCTATGCCGAGGACCGTACCCATGCTGCGCCAGAGAATCAAAGTGCTGGTGACGACGGCCTGATCAGCCTGCTCGCTTGCCGCGAGTACAGCCATGAACGTACCAGGGAATGTGAATCCCTAATAAAAGCACAATTGTTATTTTCCGTGCAGAACAGTAATGACATGAGAGAGCATGATTAATGTGGTAACTAACCTGTCCCATCGAAAGAGGCACTAGAAATATGAGGTAGACGAAAAGCGGCCAACCCCGCTGCAAGCACGATAGGACAACCGTGCCGATGAGAAACAAAACCGCGCCGAGCACGAGGGGCCACTTCAAGCGTTTAGTCCACTATAGAAGGCGAGTTAGTAAGTGGGGCGGGAAAGCTGATGAACCATGAAACACGGAGGATCTGCTCGGGACGTTGAGTCCAATGTTTACTTACGGTTACCAAGAAGCCTGTGGCAGTGCCACAGGTGCTAGCAGCGATTGTGGGAACCATCTGAAGGCCGAATGATTAGCTTTGCGTCTTGAAAGGCCTACTGAGAATTCAACGACAAGGGCATCTTGAACTTACAAGACACAGCCCGCTCGTGGTAGCAGACGTGAGAAGTACAGCTTGGAAGTATAAGGGCATGTTGAAAAGGATGGCGTTCATTATGAAGGCGGCGAGGAAGTTGGAGAATATCATGTTGGCGTGTGGGGAATGATGGATGAGGCGAAGAGGCATGATGGGCCGTGATGCAGACCGTTCGATCCAGAGGAATGACGGGAAGCTCACGGCAAAGATGGCCAGCGATGTGAGGACGAATGGATGTGTCCAGGCGAGGACGTTTCCGCCAAGGTTCAGACCAAGGATTAAAAACGTGATAGCGGTCGTCATGAAGAAAGAACCCCTGAAGTCAAACTGCTTCATTGCCTGCATCACCGTCTCCTTGTGCGCCTGGAAGCCCAGTCCGAGGTCTCCTGGGATGGTAATGACCGCAATGCCAACGCAGAGAAACAATGGAGGCACTTGAATGCCGAATTCGGCGCGCCAGCCGAGATGCTCTGCAAGAAAGCCGCCCAGAGCAGCCCCGGATGTCGAGGCGACTCCGTAGACCATGTTGATATAAGACTGGTAGGCTGGACATGGTTGCATCTGTCAGTACACAGTTCGGCAGGACCTGGACGGCAGCTTGGGCACTCACCACCTCTCCTCTCGATAGGCACCAGATCTGAGACGATGATGCTGCCCAGGGTCATGACCCCACCGGCTCCCAGGCCACAAACGGCTCGAGCCGCGATGAAGCTCGTCATGCTCTGCGCGAGTGCACACCAAAGAGTCGCCAGCGCGAAGATGGTCCCTGTGACGATGTAGGGACCTTTACGCCCGACCGTGTCGGACAATCTGCCCAAAAGCGGCTGGAACGCGGTCGAGGTCAGGAGGAAGGCCGTCGACAACCATGACGCCGAGTTAGAGCTCTGGAAGTAAGACGTGATGACCGGGTGCGACGAGGCCATGATGGTCCCGTCGAAGCAAGAAACGAAGTGGAGAGCCAGGACGTTGCCGAAGATCCACCAGAATCGGCCGCGAGAAATGCCTCCCAGGAAGAGCGTCGGCTTGTCTGTGCCATGGTCGGCTCTGTCCAGCTCAGAGGCCACTTCATCCTCGATGGCTTCGCTTGTCACGGATGGCCGCCGGCTGGAAAAAGTCGTTGCATGGCCTATCCTGCTGTTGGTGCTGTATTTGCGGTCCCCTCTCAGAAGCGGGGTCTCGTTGGTCTCTGGGCCCAGCAGGCCGGTCGTATAAGATGAGGAGCGAGTAAGCAGTAAGTCAAAGTCGTCGGGGTCGATCTCCTCGTCTTCTCCGTCTGCCGATTCATCGTAGGGCTCCAAATAGGACGACCTGGTATTTCCAATCAAGGGTGTCTGCTCGTCCGGGATGGTTGGCAGATGCTCAGGCCCATGCCCAGGCCGATGGTTGTGGGCATTGCTCATGATGCTGGAGTAGATTCTGGCATGTGGTTCTCTAGTAACAAGTCAGCAAGTGCGTTGGCGTCTGGCACATCACAGTCCGTTGTTGACAGGCGCGGGTGAATTTTGGAGTCGAGGGAATGGATTAGAAGTCGACCAGTAGCAGAACAGAGAGTATTAACGAGGTGCACACCGGGGTAAGAAATCGCTCACACTGGAGGGGACCTGAAAAAAAAAGCAACAACAGGGAGAGAGAGAGAGAGAGAAAGTCGCACTTGAGAAGACTAGTTCTGCAGTTATGCGATCAAGGAGTCATGCCGATGTATACACACTCTCTTGGTCTCTCTGTCTGTGACTCAGTCTCACTCAGTCTCCTCATTCTTTTTTCTTTCTCTCTCTCTCTCCCTCTTCCTCTCACGACGCACACACACAATCTCTCACTCAAACTAGAGATCCAGGCAACAATTGCGCGGAGGACTCCGTCCTGCGTACGCGCGCCATTGGCAAATCTGGAGCGCTGCTGGGGTGCGAAAATCGGGGCAACCGGTCACGACATCGGCCAAGAAACTAAACCCCGTCCTCGGCCCCTTGCCCTCCCCTCTCTGCACCAGCTGACCATGTACATAAGAAGCAATCCCGTGCAGACGCAAGCATTGAAACATAACTGGTCGACAACATCAAGCCTCCGATTCCGAGCCCGGGTCTTAGCTGCCGGGGCTGCAACACGCCCTCCGGCCCGGTAAGTAGTCTCTGCGGTGCCGAATCTCTAGTGACACTAAGTAGACCGAATGATTACCAGTGATCGGTCTGGCTACATTGGTCTATGCATGCAAAAAGAAAGTGCAGACAGCCGAGATCCACATACGGAAAATATCCGTGAGCTTGAGTGCCTGATGGCCCCCGGGACGATGTTTCATTTCGCCAACTGCCCACATTTGCATGCATGTCGTCAGTCAGTCAGTCAGTCAGTCAACCATTAGCTTCGAGGATTTCACGAGATGGGTGGGTCCTGCTTGGCAATTTTCTGGCATCAGGCAAACCACAAGCATGCACAGTAGACGGATTATTTCAAAGTATCGACAGTGAGTTCCATAATCGCGATGGCTTATGCTTTGCTAGGCAGAGAGTATCTACAAGATTCAAAAATAAATATTTCGACACGAACATGAACCATTCTCTTCACATCAACCACCCCCCCCCTTGCCTGTCCAACATGTGTTCGACTCCTCCCCTCGACCTGGAAGGTGTGGACTGCTTAGACTTAGGAATCATAAGTCACGACCACAGTGGATCCAGAGACCTTGGAGGAAGTGAGGATGTTGTTGTCGGTGTCCTGGATGTCCATAATCACAGCATCGCTGATGGAGGAGGTGGCCGCTCCACCCACGGTCGCCGAGATGCCGGAGAATGTGACGGAGCCGAAGTTGGCCAGGCCGGTGTTGGAGTCTTGGAAAGTCACGTCCTCGAGAATCCACTCAGCGGCGGTGCCGCACAGCGCATCGGAAGAGGTGACGGTCTTGGTGAACTTCTTGCCATTTGTCTTGTTCTCCAGGACCACAGAGGCCTCAGTGGTGCTGGCCGCGGTGAGCTCAACGTTGATGACCTAGAAAATGATACATTAGAACCCCGAGCCTTTCGTAAGTCGGACATGTGGAGGCATGTTTCGAAGACGGGAAAAGGAAGCTTACATCGCCAGCCGCGATTTCTCCCAGGTCGACAACCTGCGTATCGGCGGGATACCTATTTCATATGGTTAGAACTCAAAGTACAATACCAGCCTCGTGTAATGCACCCCGGCACAATGTTGCTTGCAAGTACTCACCACTCGTACCACGCATAGAACGAGGTCTCGCCCGAAGACTCGACAATAGAGTCAACACCAGCCTGCCAGAGCCCATTGCAGTCGTAGCCGTCGAGGCCCACCCACGCAGACGCCGTGTACTCCTTCTCGCCGGCCTCCTTTGAGGTGGGAACGGCCGCCTTGAGGACAGGGAAGCTGCCAGAAGCCGCCGTGACGCTCTTCCCGGTCAGCACGGCTCCAGCCCAGTTCTCATTGTAGTCGTCCGCGGCAGCGGCGAGGACGCGAGGCTTGCTGTGCTGGGCCCGCTGGGCCCTTGCGGCCTTGCGGCGAGCAAGCGAACGTGCCACAGCGTCCGGGCTGGGGGCAGCAAGTGCCGCGGCAAAAAGAGCGCTGAGGATGACGGCCGACTTCATGGTGCTAAGCGATCGGGGCTATATTGAGAGTCTGGGAGTGAAAGGACGGGAGAGGGTCTACCGGAGACTCTAGGTGAATGAAAGAATGACTAGTTGTGTTTGTAGAAACGAGAGAATGGTACTGGTTGCGAGAGTATCTCACAACGAAACACTGGAAAATGCATCGTGACGGTCCCTTTTATTCTTTATATGTAGAAGTAGGAATCAAACAATCCGCAGCCCTGGGCCTTGCTCATACGCGGTGATAGGTGGAAACTAGTGGAAACAAGCTTCGTGAAAGAAGCATTCTCCACTCCGATCCGCCCCAGTTCTCCGCAGCCGCCCCTGCAATGATCCCCTGAATGACTCGGTTTTACATTAAGTACACACACCCTCACAATGATTATGGAAATAAGCCGGCATGAATCGATTCTAGTGGCCGAGAATGACAAGAATGCAAGAAACCGACCACTGGGTTTGCTGTCATTGTTACACATTATGCACTGACTAACTCCTTTGGTAGTTCCGAAGCTGCGAAGTCCTCAAGTAGATGCTCGAGCGACGTGGACAATAGTAGAAAAGAGGCTGCGTCGAATACTAGATGGGGATGGTCATCCGCTGCGCGACTCTCATCACAATGGGGCTGATTACGATGCAAGTGAAACTCGAGTAATGAAAAAGTGGCTGTCAACGTCGAATCTATTTCGAGCATTCATATGGCTTACTCCTCCCGACCTACGAGCTCCACAGCCCATGGGTCGTGGGCAAGGAACATGCCATAGTGCATGCCGTAGTGATTGAAATAGGCAAAAAATCGGCGTAACTACTGGCCTGTCACTGTGACCTGCCGTATGGAGATGGTTATTACAACGGGCCATCTTTGTGGAAAGTCTAGATCCCGATGGCATGATAACGCACGGAAAATGTTCTACCAGTAATCTCTCGGGATTGTGATATCGTACACCTGTGCCCAGGACAGTTCCTCTCTCCCTCCGCTCCGATCATGTCGACGATCGACCGGTCGATCTCTAGGGTACTTTCTTAATTTTAACGACTCGTGGCCCTACAAAGTATCGTGGAGACCACGCTGACAAACCCTTCCCGTACCAGTCCTTAAAGGCACACGGATCCAGGAGCAGCTCAAGCTATGCGTGATCATCTCGTCTAAGGGAGCCGTCTACCCGAGTAAGATTTTTCGCACTGTCCTACATACGACGAGAGGCCGACCATCAGGTTTCTAGCTATAAGAGGCCTGGAATGAACAACACGAAACAACATTGAGGGTAAGGGAGCTCAAAAAGGGGCACAGACGCAGACGATCACTTCATACACACACAAGCCTAGCCCGTCTATACAGGTCAGCTTGAAACCGCCTGCTTAACTTGAACATAGCCTGTGAATATAGCAGTCTATTATAAGGAATTGAGCACACAAGGACATTGTATAAACTTCGTCTCCAGCAGGTTGTCCAGACGACGCCTTAGGCATAGTTGTCTGGCACAGACAGCACACGGATGCACCCTAACCACACAAAGAGCCTGTTGACAGCGAACTTATGCTGGCTTCTGATTTTGATTTTGATTTTCATGTAGACGGAGTTTTTATCAACGATAGAACTTGTTAATCATGTATTTGTTGAGTTGCATGCGCTCCAAAGTTAAGAACTATGTCTTGGAGTCAATTGGCCTAGAAACACGGCTAACATTGGCCGAAGCCTCTCTATCGCATAGTCAAAAGACTTCGCAAGATGTCGAGTAGTCGGGCTTTACTTGAGGACTGTAGACGCTGTGCCTAAGGTGTTCAAAGTACAGCCGAGTGTCAAGTCAGGGATGTGCGTGAAGTCCGATCAGATGTGCGCGTAGCTCAATTCTGAGGCGCTGATATCTAAAAACCGCATATGAACAGAGGATGTATATTGAGTTGTATCTTAAGGGGTGCCGTAAGGTCAGAGAACGAGGCCTCGCGTAAGAATGAAACTACACTACAGCATCCTGAGCCGCGCGCAATCGGATACGAAAACGGCAAAGCCGGCTCGACTGTTTGGTTTCAACCATTTCCAGGCTGAACCGCCGCGTCAGACGTAATGGCGGATCACGGGGTCAAGATAGCCGCGGCCCTTTCGATGGCGGCAATGGTCCTCTGCAGCTCTGATGATGCCAGCGAACTATTCCCAGCGTCAACAGCCTCGGTAATTCCTGGGTAGATGACAGGCGCATAACCTGTAATGCCTGTTAGCATGCGCTTCAACTTGAGTTTGAGAGAGCATGCTACTTGAGCCATACCAGTGTCAACGCCCGGGGCGAAGATAACATGTTTGAAAAAGCCTCGATCCGGCAAGCCGCCTTGCGAGGTGAAGCCACGCTGAAAATCACGATATTTTGAATTCACTCGGTCGATAAGAATCTTGTCCTCGGTAATGGCCGCCTCGGCTGCAAGAGCAGCTATTTCATTTGCCGAAGCTTCGAAGGTATCGATAGCAGTTGCCAGTGGCTCAACATCAAGTTCTATACCGGCATCAAGAATCGTGGCACGCAGCTCCTCAAGATAAGCACGGAGTTGCGTTGTATAATTAGGAAGGTCGAAGGGGATGATAGGGTCGTCCGCAAGATGGTAAGCCAGTAATGTGAGAAACTGGCCCATAGCCTTGTGGACGACGAAGCCAGGATCGCCGTAAGTGATCATCCAGTGATAACTGTCGTAATTGGAGCTGTATACACATCAGCCGCGCGGTCCTCCCACGATCCTGGAGTTTTCAGCTCACTGATAGTGATAAATGGGGTCATTGGGGCCTCCGCCGGCCCCTATGTCGATCGAGCTGATACCGTTGTGCAAAAATGCTGTGTAGTCCGAACCGCTGCCCAGGACGCCGACTTCGCCATCGGAACTGTCGAACCAGGCTTCGTAAAGGGTGCCATTGAGCTCCCCCGTACCTACCTGAGGCCAAAGAACCTTCTTCATCACGTCTTGGGTGATCGTATGCAATTCTGGTGTGGCGGAGAAATCCGGACGGGGTCCTGAAGTGCCGACGTCGATGTTCAGGTAGGCCACGCTCGTCTCGACAAGCCAAGGGGCGTATTCCTCGACCCATTCGGTTGAGCCGTATAGCCCGTATTCTTCTGCGTCCCAACTGCAGAGGACGATATTCCTCTTGGGCCTCCAGCCAGTGGACAGGAGCTTGCCAAATGCCTTCGACAGCTCCACCATGATTGCCGATCCTGAGTTTGGGTCGGCCGCGCCGCCAACGATCCATGCCTGTGACAAGTCAGCTGAGCGCCTGAAGTTGACAGTTGAAGCTATATCCTCGATACAGGCCTAGAGGGCCGAATATTGGGCGTGTTTGAGGCTTTGCTTACATCTCTATGGTTTCCAATTACTACAGTATAGTCTGGGTCGGTACCATTGATAATACCGACAGCATCCCAGATTGGGGTGACGGTGTCCTCCATCTGATTAGACAGGGAAAGTATTGCGTCAGGAGCAGGGCCGGTACTATACGAAACATTTAGTCCGCCAACCCATCCCGACCGGTTGACTTCGGTTCCAGGCACCCCGGACCCGTCCAATGCCGCAAGAATCGGCACAGCATCTTTCCAAGATATGGGCACCGAGGGGATGCGCGGAGTAACGTCTGATGTGTCAGCCCTAGGCGAGTCTTGCTTTGATGGATACCCCGGAGTAGTTGGATCACCGGGACGCTGTGAGAGGAACTGCACGGAGCCACGCTGTATAGACGTGGGATTCCGCGCAGGGCCTGCAGGATAGGCCGCATAACCGTTGGCTTCTGTAACATTGCCATCGTCTCCTGTATCTGTGAAGATCACGACGGCCTTCATGCCGTTGATCTGGGCATTCTTCACCTTTAGTCCACGGAAAGGGCCGCCGTATTTCGCAACGGCGATCTTTCCGGCCAAAGGAACACCCAAAGCCTTCAAACGATCAAAATCTACCTGCTGGCCTCGTCCGACGTAGACATATTCGGCCGACTCTTCCCCATTCCAGGAAAGCCCATGGAAAGCTGGGACACTATTGGGATATGAGGTCGTTTCGTCCTCGCTCAACGACTCCTCGATGAGGACCGCGGAGTAGCTGCTGCCGTTTGAGAGCTCGAGTGAGACCGACTGTGAGACTGGATAGTTGAGGAACACCCAGTACTCGGCTAGAGTCGAGGGAATACCGAACGATGACCATCGGTCCGCTGTCCACTGAGCCATGGTCTTGTTGCTGCCTGCAACGTGATAGCCATGCGTGTAGTAATAGGACCAGCTATCAATGGATGTGTTATCGAATGAATTGACCAGTAGACTCTCCGCCTCTGTCAAGACGGGCAGGGGAACATCCTGGCGGCTCTTGAGGACAGGCCGAGTATGGCGTAAGTGATTGATCCCACGGGGATCGTCAAAGTCTTTCTGACATGCCAGAGCACCGGTGATAGCCATGAGGAAGCCGACGCCAGGCAGTACCTCATTCGCCTTGATTGGCCACATGGTCACTGACACCTGGTTTGGCTCGCTATTGCGTTTATTGCTTGACTGCCCAAGGGTGAACCCGAAGCTAAAAAAACGGGGTATTGGATGATTTCGAAGTTGAGGACACTGAGGGCTCGGATGTGAGAGGTTCTTGTCTAAAGCAGACCGATTGAATGTATATGCAGGCAGAATATTCTATGTGTAGATGTTTAGACGTGCCTAGCAGGCGTTTCTTTCTTCGGATAATGTATAGAGGTCTTGTGCAGGCTTGCTCGTCTTAAAACTGCTATGTAGCCATGACATGCCCTACCTACCTGTGGACTGCTGTGTGCCCCCCATATATTCAAATATAGATAGCCACCCACATCTCTTTTTCTTCAAAGCCTTGGGCAGATCTTCGAGATTTTGTGCAATGTAACACTCCATAATGACAACATCACGCCTCGGTCAACACCAGTGATCCCACTCCCCGCACCGTACTAGACTGCAGTCCCAATCGGCTAAGTCTGTGGCCGACATACGCCAAGCCCGTGGGGTAATCATATACCTGTATTGGGCATTTGAGGAGGGGATGCAGAATCCTTATCGACGCCCACAACCGACGGCCACAGCCGAGTCTGGTTGAGCTTTCTTGCAGGAAGACTGTCTGCCCATCGGATGCGTCCGCTGGCTGATGGCACTCTGAAGAATGTTACCTATCTAGGCATGTCTTTGTGTTAGCGGCTTTGTGACGAAAAATTTGTACCTAGGGAGATATAGTGTAGTTGACGATGTCCGGCATCTTTGGTCGGTTCTATTCTACTGTAAATGTCCGGAGCATTCAGCCCTAGCCCTTCCTGAGAAAGCCAAGACATCCCTTGGCCACAAATGGCCCCGAGACATCAACCCACGTGAAGGGCTGGAGAATTCCGTGGAAAATTCCTTGGAAGGAAGTGGAAGCTTTGAGGCGCATCTGACCCGCCACTCACAATGAGATGATGCGGCTGTCTCAGCAAGCGCCTCATGACCCTTCCAATTTAAGATTTGCATCGAGTGGGCGGTTGGTCGCGGAACGTCAGCGGCAGCCTTTGCGCTGTGGATTGAAATTTGGTCCACGCACGCCTGTGGGCCCATGCCAGGGTGGCGGAAGCCATTCGACTTCTCAGGTTGCTTGGCCCTTGAAGGGGCTGACATTCCATATGCAAATGCAGCGAGCACACCCACTTGGAGTCGCCCAGGAGCATGAGTTGCAAGCGCAGAGCCGGCCGTGACATGGCCAAACTCTCTAGACTTTGTACTGTACCTGCCATGACTCCCAGGCGGATCCCGAAGTCGAACCCCGGATATTAAATTGTGATTGAACAATGGAGTTTTTAAGGCAAAGCAAACACACGCAACAGCACGTCACTTGCCTGCGCCTTTTGTCTCAACGGTTCATTGCCTTCTTGACTACGCAAGTACATACAAGGCAAACACCACCTAGCATCATGGGCTTGTTTCTCGACTAAGCATACTGCCCGCGCCGGTCCTTTCCATTTCTCTTTCCATTCTGAGGTTGATCTTGTATAAATAGACTGTACGGCTCCAGCGGCAAGCCGTCGAAGACACTCTTTTCTCACAAACAGCTCAAGCCTGCTGGCGCAGACGACCCGTGGAACCCCAGCTCTTATTGCGATGAAGCCGTCGCTCTCGCTCGCTCTTGTCGCTCTGGGAGCGGCACTTTCAGACGCTCGGTGTATTCGCAAGTCAACCACTTCGACAGCAGCCGTGTCCAAGATGGCCGCCTCTACGAGTGCCGAGTCCAGTCAGGCTGACGCACAAACAAAGGCGCCGCTGGCAACTTGGATATGGAACACGACCTTGATCACAGATGCCTCCCAGATGACTTACTTCTTCACGTTTGCCAAGGGCCAGGGCCTGCAGAGGGCGTATCTACACGTCGACGCGGACATAGACAACTCCTATTTTGAAAGTTTTATTCAACAATGCAACACCAGCGGGATCGTGGTGGAAGCACTCATGGGCAACGCCGAGTGGATCTTGGGGGGCGGCACGCCCAGTCTGCAATCCAACCTGGATTGGATCGCGCAGTACCAGGGCAATGCGTCTGCCAGCGCTAGATTCTCCGGGATTCACATGGATATCGAGGTAAGGATGATTTACATCCGGCCACCCCAACTGAGCTGGGGAGTACTTGAGACAGAAGGCGCTGACAGGAATGTATTCAGCTGTGGTCCCTAAGCGACTGGCAGTCGATGCTGGGTACATATATTCCCGCGTGGGAGAGCATCGTTACGTACGTGTCCTCGTTCGCAAGGTCACTCGGAATCACCACTGCAGCCGACCTGCCTTTTTGGACATATACCATGTCCGATCCCACGACCGGTGAGGCCATGGACTCGTGGATGCTGAATGCTCTGGACTCGGTCACCTTCATGACGTACCGCAACACGGTCAACGAGCTGTTCCAAGTGGCAGAGAAGCCGCTGACGGCCGCTGACGCAGCTGGGAAGCCAGTCTACGTGGCTGTCGAGACAGTGGCCAGCACTGAGGCAAGCGTCAGCTTCAAGGGCCTGGCAACGGTGACGTCGCTCTCCACGAGCCTCCAAAACATCACGATGGAGTGCTCCAACCACACGAGCTTTGCGGGCGTTGCCGTTCATGATTATGCCGGGTGGGTGGCTTTGGGCTAGAGAGACAGCGCATGCGCATGTGTCAGGCCCACTAAATGCCTGCTCAGAAGGGGGGAGGGGGATTTATCTCTGGGGGCAATTCTACAGCTTGCCTGAAGAGTCGCTTGCCCAGAGCATTCAATTCAACAATAAACCTGAAGGACGAATCGGGATATGTATCAAAGGTCTTCACCGAAGGCTCCGGTCATACTGTACTGTAGGTATTCTATCTTTGACGATGATTTTGAAAATAAGCGGGATAGTCCGTGATTTTCTCTACGTATTTTCTTGTATTGTAGGTGACGAGAATCTTTGGTAACCACTGGCATGTACCTTGAAACGACCCATTTCTTGTCCGCCCGCCTTTCGCTACTTCATTGGCACAATGTCTCACAACGAAGCCCTTGGCACCATTGGTTTAGGGCCAGACAAATAGTCTAGTTTGTTTCCATCCTCTTCCATCTTTTTCTTTCCCCCTTCCTTGTTTTGCCGCAGCCCACCACAAGTCTGTGCATGGGATCAGCGTGGTGATGCCGCATACAACTCAGGCAACTCAGGGGGAAAGACAGGGAGGCAACAAGAAGAGGCGCTTAAGGCTTTATACACCCCGTCTGACAAGGTACATGGGATCCGCACGTGCCCGGAACTAGTATTGATTCAAAGACTTCCCTGCCTCCAATGCTCAAGGCACATATGTACTCTACCATAGCTCGGTCTAGTCATCCTATACAGATTAGAAAGGTGTGACTTACAGATTACCTCGCGCAGAAGGATCTCCTCCATCTTATCTTATCTCACCACACCACCTCTACTGCGGGGTATTGTACTGTGTTGGTAGATGTCCGTTGAGAGTAGACCCGTTGTCGATCTGTCAGCAGCATTCATGGGTCCAAAGGCCATCATAACCCGATGAGACAATGCAACCCTCTCCTCACCCTCCCACCAACAGAGCTCTGACGAAATTCGATGGGAAACATTGGAGAAGGCACTCAACTCTTGTCCCGTATGCGATGCGTTATCGCTGAGCGCTGTCCAGGTCGAGTCTGCATATGCACAATCAAATGTATGCAAAGTGCTCTTTCCCTCGTCACCCTCGAGTGCTTGCACATGGGTGGCTATCAATCAGACAGGCAAAGAATCAGTCGACTGATTGAATTTTCGACAGTTTGAATACTTGAAGATTGTGATTCCCCTCTTCTATTTTACACATCTAGTTTGACTAGCCTCCTTCCTATCCCAATTGGCAGAGTCTCGCCACTCCACCATCGCTGGCTTTCACGCATCATTCAACGGAAGAGAGAAAGAGAGATATGATGAGCAGCACAATTGGTGTTTCCGACATGGACACCTCGGTTTGCGATCCCGTCAAGACCAAGCGCATAGCTCCCTACGAGCCATGGCACGAGATCGCAGCTGCCAAAAAAAGGGAGCAGCTCTCGCGTATCCCTGAGCACTGGTTACTCGACAATATACATATAGCTGCGCGGGAGCATCCGAACACAGGAGCAGATGCAGATAAGCACAGCCATCATGGAACTCACCTTCCCGTGGACGCTGTGGACCTTCGTCCCATCGCCGCCAGCTCCGGCGTCCTGTCTGAACGTGAGCTCCACATCACTGGTGATACTCTCGACGCCACTGCCCTGCTGGCCAAAATCGCAGACGGAACATACACGAGCGTTGAGGTCGTCTCGGCCTTCTGCAAGCGCGCTGCCCTGGCCCACCAGCTCTGCAATTGTCTGACCGAGATCATGTTCGCCGACGCCATCGCTACCGCAAGCGAGCTGGACAAGCATTACGGCCAGACGGGAAAGACTGTTGGTCCTCTGCATGGCCTTCCCATGTCATTCAAGGTGGGCTGTTCCGTATCCACACGAGCGATGAATTCCACGCGTGAGGGAGAAGTAGAGATAGAGTAAAGGCAGAGGGAGAGGGGAAAGGATAGTGTCAACCAGATCTGTGCCTAAAATCACAGTAATTGGCGGACACGTGTAGAAAAACATCTGTTGACCAGAGATAAACTTACACAAATGCAGGAATGCTTCCACATCAAAGGTTACGACGCCTCGGATGGCTACGTCTCCAGAGCATTCGACCCGTCCACCACCAACTCCTATCTCGTCTCCCTGGTCCAGGCCGCCGGAGCTGTCATAATTGCAAAGACCAACACTCCTCAAACCATGCTCGTCGCCGAGGCCCACAACAACCTCTTCGGCCGTACCAAGAACCCTGTCGTCTCTCATCTTACCTGTGGCGGAAGCAGCGGCGGCGAGGGTAGTCTCCTGGCCTTCAGGGGAAGCTCCCTTGGCATAGGTACGGACGTCGGAGGTTCCATACGTATCCCCGCAGCCGCCAATGGCATCTACGGCTACAAGCCCTCGTTTGGGATCTTGCCTATGCTCGGGTACGCCGCAAGCGGCTGGACAGGAATGAACACCGGTGTTCCCGCCGTCTGCGGGCCACTCGGCCACTCTGTGAGGGACTTGAGACTCCTGACAGAGGTTGTCAGGGGCGCCAAGCCCTGGATGGATGACCCAGCACTAATACCCCATGTCTGCGAAAGGGGAATTTCCGATAGATTGCCCATCGTTGGTGTCATCGAGAAATCTAGTCTCACGCCTCATCCGCCCATCTTGAGGGCAGTGCGCGCGGCGAGCGAGAAACTTCGACAGGCCGGCTTCACAGTGAAGCCCTTTGAGCCTGTCGACTTTGGTGACATTCGCAAAGTCACCCGGCAGCTCTTCACCCTTGACGGGCTTTCTTACGCTAAACGCGAGCTTTCAAAGACCGGTGAGCCGCCCGTGCCAAGTGTCAAGAATATCAACTTCTGGGGTATGCAGCCCAAGATGCCAGAGGAGATGTGGGTCTGGAACACCAAGAAGCTGGGTCTGCAGAAGGAGATGCTTGACCGCTGGACAGCAGCTGGCATTGATGTGGTGCTGTGTCCAGCCGGGCCGCACACAGCGGTCAAGCCCGATGAGTGGATATACGACACTTATACTGTTGCTTGGAACGCTACGGATGTGAGTTGAGAACTGTGCTCGGGTCGAAAACACATACATCATGTCTTGAATGTTAGGCAACGACAGGCTGACTTGCGTCTCTAGTATCCGGCAGTGATAATACCGTACACCCAAGTGATTCCCGAATTAGACCCCCAAGACGATACATTTGTGCCTCTGTCAGAGGAAGACAAGGAGGTCCAATCTTGGTGTAAGCAACCCGTGAATCCATTTTTGCCAGTGTCTCACATGTCGTCTTTGGCTATCTTTGGGACACAGAGTGCTGATCATGATCTCGACCTTAACAGATGACCCGGACCTCATGAATGGGGCACCTGTCAACCTCCAGTTGGTTGCGCAGAGACTATGTGATGAGCAGCTATTGCGGGATGTGGAGATTATCGATCAAGTTCTGAACTTGGGAGAAAAGCCATCTGAGTGCTGAAATGAGGAAGCAAGCAATTTGACGCCCACCTAGATAGGTTCCTGAAGTCCAGATTGATCTACACAGGACCTAGGGCGTCATTGTCCTGGTGTGGTGGTTAGAGCCTCACGGTGGAAGAATGGCACCTGCATCAACCTGGGCTTTGTCTGGACTATGAGTACGACACATGGAGCATGCTCCTACTCTACCATATCACATTACTCGATAATGATGGAACAGCTGCCTGCTACAAGTGGACACAGGAAACCGAATAACTTGGCACTATAAGCCTGTATCCTCGTATCTTTCAGCCCCGAAGAAGATCAGGCTATACCCACAGAAAAAACATACCCAAGAAGTTTGCCCTTTTTCCTCCAGTCGATGTCACTGGCAAAACAACGCAGCTACGGGGGGCTCATGCAGCTGAAGAAGCTGTATCAACTAGGAATGAAGACATTTGTAGATTGACGCGGGAACAATCGTTCGAGTCCCACAAGATACCTAGGTAGTCCATTCATCAGTTTATCGTGTAGCCCGCCTTTATCGTGGGCATTGTCTATACTGAGGTAGCCATAATGGTTGCACATGACACAACGTTTATCCATGTTCCGCAAAAGTTCGAATATCAAGAGGCTGGAAGCACGTCATTGCAAGCATATCTGAGCTACGTGCTAGTACTGGAATTACTGTTGAATGCTCTCCAAGTCCATGACTGAGCGGCCGAAAGGAATGTTACCAAACGATATGTACTTGTGAAAGCTGACCACGGCGCTCGGAGGCTGTGCACTAGAAACAAGGGGTCGGTAGGGTGGCTTACACATGTGTAAAGACAGGGCGCAGTGCAACACAGCATCATGCAATATAATTCCGCCCTCATGTATGCAGGAGGTGGCTGCCATGTCCAGAGATCCTGACGTATGTTGCGTGGAACTATCAGAGAAAAGAAGAGCAAGTAGGTGCGCATGCCTGCCTATAAACACGTGCAGTCCAGTTCCATCCCCATATTTGGTCTTGTGTGAGATGGCCGATTTCAAGATGAGTTCCACCTCGTTCATTCATAGTCACCGCCATTCGTCACTACAGGTCCTACGCATGTGAACTCTTCAATGTTCGCGTCTCTAGTCTCTGCCTAGCTATGCCCAGATCTGGCTGTATGGGGCCAAGCACCCACTGTCAGCTCTCGCCTGTACCACAGGCGTGGCATGCATGATATGCATGCAAAGTGGAAGCACGGCCACAATTTATAAAATTATGGGCGGCACGACGCACCTGGGCATAAGGCACCTGTCCTGGTATCCAATGAGGCCCATAAGCCACACGTGCCTGCCTCCTAATCCCTCAGGAATGTGTTGTGGACCAGTTTCGCCATGGCCGGAAGCCACCGCCCACCCTGCCGGTTATCCGGCTTTGTTTTTCTTGATGCTCGGCCTCCAAGGCTGTCTTATGTTGTGACCAAGGCATCTGCTGATGACATCCTTCGACTCCGTTTATCGTCCTGCAGCACGACGTCCCACAGCAACATCCAAACGACCATTGCTACGGTACTCCGTTTATTCTGCTCCACTCCACATATGCTGTTATACAACAGCACCAAATGCCGAAACGTCGTTGGGCGTGGTATTAATACGTGACCACCGACGACAAGAGACGTATGGAATTCAACCCACCATCTGGTGCATGCTGTTGGAGCGCCTCCATTGCATCCCTTCGGGCCTTCGGGGGGCCCCGGCATCTGTCCATTTCATCCAAAAAAAAGCGGTTAGCCCAATAAAAGTACTGACCTGGTTCTGATAAGACCTAATATTGCTAACCGAGGCGTGCATCGACAGAAAAGGCAGCCGTCAAACTCACCCGTGGCTTGGCACCACCGTTTCCGCGCGCGAGTGTGCATATCTCTTGGGAGCTCGGAAACGGCACGACGGCTGGACGGCCGCTTTGCCCTTGGTGGTCTTGGGATCGGCACAGGAACATTCCATCAGGCCTAGTGTTGGTTGCCCAGCCAGGGCTAAGAAGCAGAGCAAGCCACCAAGCCTGACAAGCTGCGGACTGCACCAGTGACGTGCCCAGGAGCTTTCACAAGCGCGCCGCACTACACACCAACACACCATTCGTTGCTGGCTCCTCGGTACGAATACGCCACTAATAGTCCTCGTTGCATTTTCCCTACCTGCTGCCTGCAGTCACTTGTGGAGCAGGGGTCAGTCTGTGGCTGGTTTTTGCTTGGTCGAGACGGCAAAAAGCCCTGCTTCAGAACGGGAATAAGGCCTTGGCTCTTACCTATCTGTTTCTCCGGAAGCTTGGCAAAGGATCCTGCGCCGTCCCAGAAACGGAATCGCTTAGGACTCTGGCTGGAGCAGACCGCAAGCGCTTTGCTTCTTTTATTTGGCTGCTTCCCGCACCTCTGAGAGGGTGGCGTTGCGTTACATTTTCCTACTTATCATCCACCTGTCAGCCCGTTTGCTCGGACCGGACCGCGCGAGGGAGAGAGAGACAGAGTGAGACTGACATAATCTACTAACGAACGCACGACTGACTTGCCTTGCTCAACACACAAGTCTGTATCAAGTGCGCCTGCCTATTCGTTCGGAGTGAGACGAGACAGGACGCGACGAGGCGAAACGAGACGAGACGAGACGCCTCTTGCCGGTGCGACCTAATTCACTTTCAGGTGTCCCAACAACTCACACGCGACAGTGGAAACTCGTGTGCTATTTTATCGCCAGCAGTATCCAACTTCTTCCAGAGGACTCACAGCTCACAAGCTGCCAGACTGACCTACGGCGCCAACACCAAGTCGGTCATCGGTGCGCCTTTGGAGCCGATTCCCCCGCCTTATCCAGACGATTGCCCGCAAAAGAACAAATGCTATGCTGAGACGTCTGTTAAAATCTGGAACTCGTCTTGATAGCCGGGCTGCGCCCACCTCGAGGAAGCGCTTTCTCTTCTCCAGCTTCACATAACTAGCTAGCAGCCTCGAGCTCGTCAACCGCCGCCATGGCGGCTCACCAGTCCGCGAAGAACGTAAAATGGGTCGAGGGACTCAGAGGCATCGCTTCGGTCATGGTCATCATGACCCATGTTGCTCGCGCCTTCGACTTTGCCCTCTTCTTTCCCAGGGACAGGCCAGACGTGCCACCGCGTTTCTGGCAGCTCCCCATCATCCGCGTTCCGGCGCAGGGCAGGATAGGCGTGCCCATTTTCGCCTTCCTCACAGGCTTCGTCTGCGCGCTCAAGCCGCTCAAGCTCGGCCGGAACCGCCACCAACAGGGCGAGGCCCTAATGGCCGTGGCGAAGAGTGCCTTTCGACGGCCGCCTCGTCTGGTCTTGCCGGCCGCCATCGCGACCCTTATCAGCTTCTGTCTCACTGCCATTGGCGGCTACGAGACTGCGCACTTCTGCGATTCCTTCTGGGTCCGATTCGACGCCCCCGGCATGGAGCCCACCTTCAGGCGTGAGTTGACGCGTCTGTTCCGCTCCCTGCTGACGACCTGGACGAGCACCGACAACGCATACGATCGCCATCAGTGGGCCATGCGGCCGCTGTTGGTGGGCGCATTCCAGGTGTACATCTTGCTGGCTGCTACTATGGGCATGAGGCTGAAGTATCGCATGGTTGTTCATGTTCTGCTGATGGCATACTGGTGGCTGAACAGACAAGCAAACACCGAGACGTTCGGCTCTTTGGTATCCCTCGGTACATTACTGGCCGACCTGTCTCTGCACCGTCCAACACAGAACTTCATCGCCTCCAACCATCGAATCCTGTCTCTGGTCATAGCTCCTCTACTCATCCTCAGCGGGCTGTTTCTGGGCTCCTATCCTCAGGAGCACGAAGACTGGTCCCGCTGGTCGCTCGGGCTTCAGCAAACCTTTGTCAACATGGACCCTCCTACGCCAGGTGCGTCTCGTGGCAGCTTCCTTGTGCCCGAGGGCACAGATGCTCGGCGCCGATTCTCCTCAGTGGCGATACAGTTCTGTGCGGTCGCCGTCTTCATCAGTCCTGTCCTTCGCGAATTCCTCAGCAACAGATACTTCCTGTGGCTCGGCCGCCACTCCTTCGCGGTGTACTTGGTTCATGGCACGATATTGAGAACCGTCGGGATGTGGATTGCGTATGGGTTGACGCCCAGATTCGAACAGCACGAAGATGGGTCATACGAGGAGTTCCTGCACATTCGAAGCGACACGAGTAAAAACGTGGCAATTCTGGTTTTCGTAGTATTGACGTACTCTGCGGCGTGGGCTTGGATGCGTTGGGTCGATACCGCATGCGCACGCGCGACACAATGGCTGGAGAGCAAAGTCTTTCAGGCTGAGGACGACGAGGAGGCCGAGGAAACCGAGAAGGGCTTTGGAGGTGGCCTCATCGACAAACACGGCAAAGACTACCAGCGGATGGCCAGTATCGCGGACTCAGGGGTCGAAGCCACCCCCGAGGGGCCTTACCCGTCAGCTGTTCCTTTTCAGAACCATCGTCGCTCAGTAAGCCAGGCGACCTTCAAGAGTTTGGGCACACCACTTAGGACGGGTTCGATGGACCACGGAGGGCGACCACCATGAGAATAGGACAGAGAACTCTGCCGGCGATGGATAATACAAGAAGTGCTTGTATCACAGTCCATTTGCACCATAATTGTCATGTCGCATGGAGCTTTAGGGCCGCTGCGAAGAGAAGGAGAAGCGTCTCCTGCCCTCGACGCTCGCACGCAGCGAGGCATATCGTGCATCTCCGCTGAGGATGCTTTGAATTTCGTATCGTATTTAATTACACGAGTAACATGAGCCGAGATACCAATACATGAGGGTAGTAGAGAGTCAAGGGGAAGGAAGGGGTTTTTGTTGTACATAGATACATGCATACGTACGTGGCGCAAGATGGCCAACGTGTAAGAGCCCATACATAGCCTTTGTTAGAGCGGACTCTTCGTCTGGCTTATATAATAATTCTTTTAAACCAATCAATCATGTTTCGAGAACGGTGGTTGTAGAGTTCAGGGGCTCGCGGCCGACCTAGGTCATGTTTCAGAAAATAGTGTCGGCACGGGCCAAGCCTGTCACAGACCGCGCCCCGAACCGCGACCACATTGCGATAAATCAAACGGCAGCTCAGGTTGCTCTCTTTTTCACTCGGGCTTATCTAAGAAGATTCTGCAGATATGGTCTTGTTCCAAATCTCGACGCGGCGATTCAGCATGTGGCTGGCTGCATTGATGCTGCTGCCCCGGGCCTTGTCACTGCAAGACTTTGTGTTCAGAGAGAAGAGTAACTTTGTGTTGCCTCTTTCCGCGCTGCAATTGACTGTGCGTAGCGTCAAGACTCGGTATTCCCTCGCGTTGAGTGAAATGATGAAATATCTGACTATGACGCAGTGTCCTGCTGGTTCACAACAGCAATCAACATCAAACGAGCAAGAGAATACATTACCGATATGGGAAATGAAGCTCTCCCCTGGCAAAGGTCGCGGTTTATTTGCTCTTGAAGACATCCAGAAAGGAACCCACATCCTGATCGAGGCGCCTCTTTTAGCCGTAAATCCCCCAGCTCTTGTCCCAGGCATGGGCTACTCTCTGTCTGCAATGGCTGCAGATGTGGAGCACGAGTACTCGCAACTCAGCCCTGAGCAGCAAGAAGAATATCTCTCATGCCATGAGCAACGACTCGAGGGAGATAGTCAGAGTGAATCAGGCCGGCTCATGGCGATCCTTCGAAGCAATGCCTACAACCTACAAGACGGCAGAGTTGCTATTTATCCCAAAGTCGCACTCATCAACCATTCATGTCAGCCAAACGTGCTCAATGCAGATAATGACGGAACAAGAGTCATTGTAGCCACACGGAATATTGAAAAGGGAGAAGAGGTATGCAACAGTGATACCAGCTGACGGACACTCCATGTATATTCTCAAGTTTCTAACCCCTTATCCACACACAGATACTTACAACATATATACCACTACTTATGGATACGGAAAGCCGCAATCAGAGGTTGCATCCGTATGGATTCCGCTGCGACTGTCAGGCCTGCCGGACTGGATCTTCGGATAAAAGACGAGTCCGGGCCGGAAATGACCTAAGGGAGTTGGAGAGCGCGCTTCAGAGCTCGGGCAAGAAGACGAAATTTGCAAGGAATAAGCTCATGTCAACGGCTCAAGCTCTGGCAGAATACGTTGAGGAGGAAGGGCTCGCGGATTACTACGTGAAGACAAGCCGACTGGCTCTAGACCACGCCGCCATGGCCCAAAACAAGAGCAATGCCAGAAAGTGGGGCAAGAGACACCTTGAGCATCATGAGATGGTTGACGGAAACTCATACGGGGCCCAACAGGCTCAAAGGCTCCTGGATTCACTGTGAGACATGTGCATTTCTGAAACTTGAATACCTGTGAAACTGCACTTTTCACCGCTACTTTGTAGGCTATTATTTCGAGAAATGCAATACTCCAAGACGTCCGGGGAGGCCGGGGCAAATGTTGTTCTCCGGTGCGGAAAGACTGGGAACGACGATATACAAAGATGACATGGCAATGATACTATGCCCGAAGTCTATACCCATACCATGAATCCTTGATTGCATTAATACTAGCCATTTAAGCTTCATTACCAATAGCCTTTCCATAGCTTTCGAGCTCACAGTTGGCTCGGCGTTGTACTCCTTGTTTCGTTCTTATTTGTTGCTGGGGAGAAGGGCGCTGGTAGGCACTAGATGGACAGGTCTCTGCATTCTCTCTGCAGTACTTTGCCGCGCAATCTTCATGTGTTGTAAAAGCCTGACGTCGAAAGCAGTATGTAGTCTCTTGGCTGTTATCCTATAGTTATGTTGGCTACGATGCGCGTGGAATTGGCTGGCTACCGCAAAGCAAGCGGTGTAAGCGCGGATGTTGTTAGTGACCTTCCGAGCTTCCGTTCGTATTGAACTGGCCGAGTGCTAAAGGTTCTAGTCGGCACTGAGGAGCATCAAGAGTAGACTCAAATTCCTGAGACAGTCCGAAGAACTTTCAATGATAACCTCAATACTATTTAGGCGCAAATTTCTATTTAATCTAATGGTTGTATCTCAGCTGTATAGTACTTCGCCTCGCATCTAGAAATTGTGCAAGGGAATGCTCTGTGCTTATAGCAACAGGCACCAGACCACAGCAGAAATTCACTCCTTGCGCCACGTTGCCCAAAACAAGGGTCCCTGTTTGCCCATGACCGAGACAAAGAAAACCCATGAACCCTAACTCCTAACAGCTGCATGCGTGTTTTCACGGAATCTATCTCGGCAGTGCTCATCGCTTTGCTATGGCAGTTTCCCGCACGAGTTGCCCAGCCTCCAGAGTATCATCCCTTGCCTGCTTCAGGAATGGCAACAGTGCCGTGCCTCCTGTTCCGGTCAGCTCCTTATCAGCTCCATTCTTCCCGGCGTCCTTCTTCTCATTCTGCTGCCTTGTCGACAGGGTCGCCAGGTTGACAGCCTTTTTGCCTGCGTCCCCCGTCCATGGTTTCCTGGATGGAATGACAATGTACGTGGTCACGATGCCCAGGTGTTTGTTCCTGAACTCGGTCAGTGTCTTGGTCGCCGCGGCATATGCCTCCTGCATCCTCGCATGCTTTTCTCCACTCGTCGGCATCATCGCTAGCGAGCGTATGCTGCCCGACCGCCCGATGTGCTCAAGGAAACGCCGGTGCCCGCCGGGCATATACTCCCTCACCTCCTGGTGGAAGCTCTTCTCCTCGGGTTTTCCGCCCTTGGAGTGCGGGTTATTGCTCCCATCGGATGTGTGCGTCACGCCCAGCACAACATCCCAGAACTGAATTAGTGATGATTGCCCGTTGCTTCCGCCGCGCCACTGCTGCCATGACCCCTGACCGTTGCCCTCGTCGTAAAAGAGGCCCTTTGGCAGGCCCGACGCGGCCATATTCATAGATCCGGCGAGGAATGGCCTGATCTTGTGGTAAAAGACCATGGGGTCGCACCTCTCGCGCATGCGGTCGAGGAGCACGCCGACCTTCCTAATGCAGACAGATAATTCGTCCAGGGCTGCAGCGATGGTGTCATAATCGCGCGTGTGGATGGCTCGTAGAGCCTTGAGCATCATGGGCATGATGTAGGCGCCCTGAGCCTCCATAGCGACCGAGACACAAAGAAACCAGGACTCATCTTCGGTGCCCGTGAAGGTGTGTGGCGACTTGAGGCTATCGAGGTCGGTGAAGCAGTCTGTGGACGAACTGAAATTCCAGAGGTTAAGGGCGGCGTATGTCGCTACTGGAGGCACTTCAAGGTGCTGGGAGATAGCGAGGAGAGGAACAGATAGTGTGGGAGGGAGGATCTGCCACGATATGATGATCAGTACAGGCCCATGTCGAGACACATCTGGCTTTCTCGGCTGTGCGAATGGGTTGTGAGCGTACCTCTGCAGCCTTGTCACCGCCCCAAACATACGAGTGTGTCAGGAGGGTCAAGATAACATATGCCCTCCTCCATTCAGGCTCCGTCCTGAGACCTTCGGTTGACAGCACCGGTAACTGGTCTACCTTTTGTCTCAGTGTGCCATTACCAAGATGACTCTGGAGGTTATGAATTAAGAGCTCCCATGGCTCATAGTATGAGTTCGGAAGGAACTTGAGGGGCTCCTCTGAAGGAAGGAAGCCATTGCTTGTGACATTAAAAGATGCGAGAAGCTCTTCGTCCTGAAACTGCTCAGTGACGGCGTGAGGCGACATGTTGCGTACGGGATGACTTGGGAGGAGTACAATCAGGGAGCAAGGGCAAGGAAGAACACGGGAGAAAGTACTATGTGGTCCGAATTGCTGTTGACAAGGTGATGAACAGAGTTTTGGAAGGGATGAAGATGGATTCAGAAGGATGTGTAAATGAGTCTTAAGCGCCAGAACAATTTTGGTACAGAGTTGCACGTCGGTATGAATAGTTGGTATTTCTATAAGAGACCCATCTTTCGTGATCGAACCAGACCTCTAGAATTACTGTAGACGTTTACTTCTTGCCAGGTTTCCGGGCAAAGGGGGAGGTGGGAGGATGCCCATCCGCTGGTATAGCCTTTTGGGGGGGGGGGGGCACAGAAGATCCTACATTGCTGCCACTTCTTCCGCAATCGAACCATAATGTCTACTTCCGTGGATGTTTGGCACTTCCGTGAGCAACACAGCATGGGCAAGGCACTGATTGCCTGAGACGTATGCTGGTTAGAAATAATGGACCCGGAGGATAGGCCAAGGCGTCGGTGCTTTGCGACGAAAATGACATCCGGACGGCGGCTAGACGCGGAAGAGAGAAGAAACGATTCGGAAAGGCGGATGTTCGGATGTCATCTCCCGCCACTACAACCCGTCGAGAGCTTTGCTTGGCTTGGCTTTGGCCCGGCCCTTTTTCTCTGCGTACGTCCGTCTCGCTCTGACCCCCAAACCCCACCCCTGATTCCCTGACTGACGGACTACTGGTGGCTAAACGCCGCTCTCGGGGCGAGCCGAAAAGCTTTCTCGTCTCTGGGATCCATTACATCAGCATCTTGGGCGTTGAGCGACTTCATTCGAGCTTGAGGGGCTATTACTCATTGCTTGGACTGCTGTCTACAAAGAGAAGCCGATCAGTCACTACCCAGTAGAGACGAGAAGGATCATCTCAACAGCCTGTCGCATAGACGTGTCTTCTCACCATCCGGGCACCAACCATACCCTCTTTACGTGTTATTAGTCATATCAAAGATGGACTTCAGTGCCACTGCTGGTCAGATACGGTCTGGCAAGAAGCCGGTGTTCAGCGACTTTTCACTGCAGCACGCCCAGTCGCTCGACAACTCTGACCCGATTAAGCATTTGCGGAATGAATACTTCTTCCCGACCAAGGCCTCACTAAAGAGCAAGGCGCTCAAGCCCGCAACATCACCTTCTGTCAACGGGCAAGAGAAGGATGGGCACGGCGCCATCTACTTCTGCGGCAACTCTCTGGGCCTGCAGTCTCAAGCTACACGCCGATACATCAACGCGCAGCTCGACACGTGGGGATCCATAGGGGTCAATGGCCACTTCGTAGACCTCGAGGACTCGCCCCTTGTAAACTGGCAAGACATGGCCGCCCAGTGTGCCACTCAGTCAGCAGATTTCATGGGCGCGCTTCCAAGCGAGATTGTCTACATGAATACCCTGACGACCAACATCCATCTGCTGTTGGCTGCCTTCTACAGGCCGACGGAGAAACGCCACAAGATCATCCTGGAATGGAAACCCTTCCCAAGCGACTACTATGCCATTCACTCGCACATCCAGTGGCACAACCTGGACCCGGCCAAGTCCATGGTGGAGATCTGGCCCAAGGATGAAGGCTTGTACATCCCCACGAGCCAGATCCTCGCCACCATCGACGAGCACGCCAATGACACGGCTCTCATCCTCCTCCCGGGAATCCAATACTATAGCGGACAGCTGTTCGACATTCCGACCATCACCAGATACGCACAGGACAGAGGCATCGTAGTGGGCTGGGACCTGGCCCACGCAGCAGGGAACGTCGACCTCCAGCTCCACGAATGGAATGTGGACTTTGCCATGTGGTGCACATACAAGTACATCAACTCTGGTCCGGGATCTATCGCCGGCGCGTTCGTGCACGAGCGCCACGGCAAGGTGGAGTGGACCTCGGGTGCTGACAGCGAAGACGGGCAGCCCAAGCCCGTGTTCCGCCCACGCCTGAGTGGCTGGTACGGTGGTGACAAGAGTGTGCGCTTCCAGATGGCCAAGCAGTTCCAGCCGACGCCCGGCGCGGGTGGGTTCCAGATCGGTAACCCTTCAGCACTGGACCTCGCAGCCCTGAGTGGGGCGTTGAGCATGTTCAACGAGGCGGGCTTCACAAACCTGAGGAACAAGAGCCTTGTCCTGACATGCTATGCCGAGGCCCTACTCAATCAAATTCTGGCGGATGAGCAGCGTGCCGAGAAGCCCGCATTTACCATCGTGACCCCAGCTAATATCGCTGAGCGGGGCGCACAGTTGAGCATCCTGCTGAGAGATGGCCTGCTGGACAAGGTGCTGGAGGAGTTCGCGGATGAGGGCATTGTGTGCGACAAGCGCAAGCCGGATGTCCTCCGTGTGGCGCCAGTGCCAATGTACAATAACTTCGTCGACGTCTGGAGATTCATGGAGGTCCTGAGGAGGGCCGTAGGTATCCCTCGGAGATAGGACACGTCCCTGCCACGGACAGCCAGGGACCGGATGTGAGGAGCTCATCCCAGAGCCGACGGTGAAATATCCAAATTTGGCCAGCGAGAAGACTCATCATACCTAGACCTAGTTCAATTCTAATTCCTAACGCTGCCTCGAAAGCATCAGAGAAGTCTTATCACCGATTGTGACCATTTTGGTTCCAAAAAATTGTTCTGCAAGCAGAAAGGCTGCATGAACGTATAGACCTATAAAGAGATAAACAATTATGACAATATGCAGGAAGCTTGAAACGAGGTTTGAAAACGGTAGATAGTCGGGAATCTACAGATATCGGGAGAGATGGATGATTCTCCAAGTAACAAGAGTGATGAGAAAGGAGATTGAAAGAAAACCCACCAAGTAACAAAGCATGGCTGGAGAAAAAACCCGAGATAGTAGTCAACCACAGCTGACGATGACGACTCCTTGTCACCTGCGTCTTGTCGGTAGCCAGACCTTCCGGACGTTGGGCGACTCGCAAGTGTAAAAGACATGAATTACCGACTTGATGAATACACACAGAACACTGAACCTTGTTCATAAATGGTAAGGGAGGTTTGAAAATGTTCTGGATCGTTGCCCGACTTCCTCGGCTATCTTCCAGGTGGTGGGACGAGTTTGATTGAGACCAGAACCGGGGGCGGGGGCGGGCGAAGACTACGTCCAGTGCTGATCTCGAAGTCTTTTTTTTGTTGAATCGGGACTGTGTATGTCTAGAACAATAACACCTGTTCCATGCCACCCCTTCCCTCCCAGGGTAAAGGCATCGAGGCTAGATTGGCACCATCTCTGTCACGCGTTTGGAGTGAGCCAGTTGCGAAGTTCAGGTCACAAGCTTCCGCCCAAGTAGTCTGATCTGCGCCCAGGCTCCGCCAGAGTCGGTCTACATGATAAGATCATATAGCCAATGAGATGGAAGTCACGTTCGGGGAGAAATTAGGGTGGCATGGCCCCGAGCCCTCTGTTCATCATAGTAGAATCTGCAAGCCACAAACACTTTCACCATGAAGAGCAGCCGAGAGTACAAGTCAACTACCCGTCGCGAGCTCAGCAACATAGCTAGACGTAAATCTAAACTCCTTCACTACTGAGGTATTTCTTATGTTGTGCTATTTGAACAACATGCTTGCGGAAATGAATTGAGACAAAGATCAAGGCGATATACCACGGCTACTTGGTAGGATTCCAATGAACACGTCAGCAAATAAATCCATTGAATCGAAGTGCTCCTTATTTTACCCGATGCCACACTTTTGTGGCCACTGCTTCGGTGAAACTGGAAGAGGAAGCGAAATGGTCGTTGGGCGGGAAAAAAAAAATAAACAGACACGCAGTGCCAAACAGCAGGGTATGAGAAGGACGATGTAGTACTGCTCACGCAATCCCACAGCGTCCTGCAAAATTCTTCAATTTCGTCTTTATCCCTAATGCCTGACACTTACACCTGTTCAGGCGCCTCCTATCATATTCGAAGAATACCTCATACCCCTGAAGTCTGTTGTAGCTCGAGTCCCAATGGTGGTGATACACCCAGTTCGGATTCACCGGTCCTATTGTAGCTTCAGATATCTCACAAAGACACCAAGTGATCCCCTCTTTTGTTCTGCGGAGTGCAAAGCAGTAGCATACATCCATATGTAGCGCAGGAGCATCTTCACCTTCACTGTCAATCCCGACTGTATGTACCAAAGTAGTATGAATCCGAATGGGAATATCCCTATTATGAGAGCCACTGAGCGATTTCGTAACCTGCTGTAGATGGGAGACCTTCGAATAGAAACAGTTTGGGCTGCCTACGCGTAGCCTTCGCCTTCGATTCCGCCTAAATTGAAAGCAAACTTACTACCAGCTTCCAGTCGCCCGAGTCAAGCAATCTGAGAGCCTGCATGTGATAAAATAGGTCCAAGACACAAGCTCTCATCTCATTTTGTCTGTGCAGGACCAGCTGCCGTCATCTGAATGGCCCGAACGCGCATCGAGAGACGGCATGTGAGTGTCCAGGAAAGCTTGGTCTGGAGCCTGTCTGTACAACCTTCGGCCGTGTTCAGCCGCATTTCCTATCTTGGGGTCAAGGCCAAGAGGCTTTTGGGGGGCACTTATGATACCAAGACGGTGCCAAGAAGGCTAGCCCCCGGATGTTGACATTGTGGATGTGAAATGTGCGAGCAAGCCACGTTGCATTCAGCCTGAATGCCCTTGTCCAGGGGCTTGGGCGTGAACCAAGGGAATGACATCCGTCGACGTCTGTACAGGTAAAATCAAGTAGTTGTAGATCTATGTACAGAATCAAGGCTGAGAGAAGCAACCTCAGAGATTTGAGCCTCTGATGATTCGTGGGTGCATCCTGCTAAGGTCTCGGGCATGTCTTGAACACGACGCGGTCATCAGATCATCTTCGCCCTTTTCCCGGCAGGGATTCATTTATTTCATTTGGTGTGCTTTTTAGTTACATCCGGCGATACGAACAGAATTGGCCAAGACGCCTAGAGTAGATGGAGTTCCCAAGATTCAACGATATGGGTCTGGTCTTGGGAGTATAAGTGCAAAGCTTGAACCCGCCGACAAACTACAATGCCCCTTTCTCACATCGCTTGAGGACAGGACTGTTCGACTCCATTCATCATACCCAACACAGCAAATTAAATCAAGATGATCGCTTTGCCAAGTCTTCTCGTCTCCCTGTTCGCCGCAAGCTCAGTGCTTGCAGTGCCTACGGAGCGCGGGCCAGCCTTCCATGAACTCCTCTTTGCGGAGCGTGATGCCAACGTGACTGAGTTCTCCGATCTGGTTGCACGTCAGTCTCAGAGCCAGACGGGAACCAACAACGGCTATTACTATTCGTTCTGGACCGACGGCGGCTCTCAGGTCACCTACACAAACGGACCTGGTGGCCAGTACAGTATAACTTGGGGCAGCGGTGGGAATTTTGTTGGAGGCAAAGGCAAGAGAAAACGTTCCGGTCTTCCTCGCAGGCAGACATCTATTCGGCGATTACTATACCTACGTATCTTAATGCTGACGGTTGGCTTGGCGTCTAGGTTGGAACCCGGGCAGCGCCCGCGAGATTACCTACTCGGGTACATACTCTCCCAATGGCAACTCGTATCTTGCCGTCTATGGCTGGACGAGAAACCCCTTGATCGAGTACTACATTGTCGAGAACTTTGGCACCTACAACCCCAGCACGGGGGCCACCCGCCTCGGGTCTGTGACGTCGGATGGCGGGACGTACGACATCTACCGAACGCAGCGAGTCAACCAGCCAAGCATTGACGGCACGGCGACCTTCTACCAGTACTGGTCCGTCCGGCAGTCCAAGAGAACTGGAGGGACCGTGAACACGGCCACCCACTTCAATGCATGGACTCAGTCTGGCCTTACGCTAGGCACGCACAATTACCAGATTGTCGCCACCGAAGGGGTGAGTCAAGAAACTGCCTGTAGCTTCATAATTAGATATTTTCTTGGTCCTGGCACCTGACTGACGATATTCTTCATTAAACAGTATTTCAGCACCGGCTCGTCGACAATCACTGTTGGATCTTCCGCCGGCGGAAACAGCGGAGGTGGTACCACTTCATCAGCTCCTGCGACCTCGCCGACTCCCCCTGCAAGCAGTTGTGCCGCCTTGTATGGACAGTGCGGTGGCCAAGGATGGACGGGGTCTACGTGCTGCTCGTCAGGGACATGCAAGGCCGCCAACACGTACTATTCTCAGTGCTTGTAATTTGGATGACTTGTAGCTTGAGGGGGATCGTCCGCGTCGAAGTTGGGAAAGCGAAACACGTGTCCGGGAGAGAAGAGACCGTTTACCGGAGAATTGTCAGCATTTCCCCGCGTTGTTGAGGACTGTACATAGCGAATGAGACAAAAACAGGTCATGCAGATTGGTGGTAATGCAGATGCTGTTGAGTGTTTGAAGAACCTATAAAGCAAGTGACTAAGTCTAGATGGATGCCAGGGCTGGGGCCACTGTGCAGGTGTGGTCGAGTCGTCCCGGATCTTGGACCGCTTGAGCGCGATGGATGTCATGAACCAGTAGGACTAGAAGATTGTTCCTGGATGAGACATTCTCGAAGCCCACCAGTGGAGCATTATTGGAACGATTGACACCATAGCTCACGTTCGCATTGACCCATCATTGATGCGGGAATAGAACCTCCATTGTTGTGGGGTGTCATAATTATGTTGACTATGCACCGACGGGAACGAAGACACTCAGTGGTCATTTCTCTCTGACCAGGGCTCGACAGCCTTCAGCAATGCCTCATGCAGGGCAGGGTCGCCAGTCCTCTTGAGAATCTCGCTGAACTTGTCATCCCCGATGCGTCGCCAGAAGATCAAGAAGCCAGCCCAGACAAAGTCTGCATAGCTGACAGTCTTGCCGGCAAAGAAGGGGCCGTAGGGGTTCTCCTTGAGGGCGTCGGTGACTTGCTTGAGCAAGGGCTCAGCCTTGGACCAGCTGGGGTCTCCGGCCTCGGACGCCTCCAGCTCATCCAGCTTCATACCTAGCTTGGCCTCGCGAGTCTGATACCAGTAAGGGACGCTGGCTTCGTTGAGCAGTCGCTTGGGGATGAAAGGGATGTAGTTGCCGCGCAGGGAGGGCATGAGGTTTGGCAGGATCTCCTCGAGCTTGGTGAGGTAGGGCGAATCGAGGTGCAGAGGTGGCTGTGGGTGGTCCTTCTCGATGGTCTGGGCGATGACCTTGGAGTCCATGATATACTTGCCATCGGTGTAGCGGATGGTGGGGCTGGTGTAGGCCTCGAGCGGGGCGTCGAAGTGAGGGGCCAGGCGTGGCTTGAGATCCGGGTACTCGACGAACTCGGTGTCGTAGTCGAGGCCCTTGAAGTTGAGGACGAAGCGTGCCTTCCACGGGTTGAGAGACCAGCACTTATTGCCATCCTTGCTGGCGAGGTCGAAAAGCGTGATCTTGTTGGCAGCCATGATGCTTGTCTTGTGTCTGTCTAGGAGCGCAGCCCTCTCTTTCTCTCTCTATATCTCTCTCTCCTCCCTGCGATTCTCAATTGAGTGAGTTTCCCAGAACGATGGAAACAATTTGTGCTTCTGATGCAAATTGAAAAAGGGCGAGAGCTCCAATGTAATGGATTTGTGGTCGAGATATGAGCTTGAAAGTTGAAGGGAGAGAAAGGAGAGGGAGAGGAGAAGAAGATTACAAATAATGTGAGAGATGACGTTTTCGAAGAGGATGTCCGGAGGGGGAGGTCGGCCTGCGCGCCAATTCAGGGTTAGGACCTGGGCAAAGGGAGGGGAGAGATGAAGAGGGGGAGGGAGGGTATCCTTTGCTTTTGTTCTTGTCCAGGTTAGGGTCGAGAATGTTTGAGTGAGGCAAGTGCTGATGTACCTAGGTAGACTACTGCCTCTCCACCGAGGCGGGGTACTTAAGCCAAAGTACTTCTATCATCTATCACAATAGACTACCTTCATTAGGAAGACTATCCCGAGGCCGCAGGAGGTGCTGCTGCGACTCGAGCTGCTGCACCATCCAGACTCATTCTGCGCCACGGTGCACCGTGTTCGTGTTCGCAAGAACATCGGCCAGGGAAAACAACTCCAGTTGGCATCCATCACATCATATCACATCACATCACTCAACAACAGCGACAACAACCACCACAATGGCTGACCAAGACACCAATGCCGTGCGTGCGGACGGCCGCGACAAGCAGCCCTGTGTGGCCAAGCCACTCCTCACAAGAGTCCTGTACACACTGGCTGTCAATGCCATGCAGCTCGTGGTCGTCGGCCCTGCCATGGCGATGCGGCACTGGAAGCAGCGCCGCAGCCCGCCCGACGACTACCCGACCCTCATCAAGACATACCCATCGCGCCCTCGCCTGCCCGTCCGCATCTTCTTTCCAGCCGCCTACGATCGCCAGTCGCAGTCACCGCTTCCTCTCCTGCTCAGCATCCACGGCGGCGGCTTCGTCGTCGGTGACCCCTCCGACAACGATGCCTGGAACCACCTCTTTGCCAACCAGCATAACGCCCTGGTGGTCGCCGTCAACTACGCCAAGGCCCCGGCGAACCCTTTCCCTGGCCCACTCTCAGACCTCGAGGCCCAGATCAACGCCGTCTTCGCCGACGAGGAGCTCAAGCCCCACATCGACCCCGCCAAGGTCGGCCTTGTGGGCTTCTCGGCCGGTGGGAACTTGTGCCTCACCATCAGCCAGTTCCCCTCCATCAGGGAGAGGATCACCGCCGGCATCGTCCCCATCTACCCCGTTACTGACCTCAGCATCACTCCCCAGCAAAAGGCTACCACGAGGCACTACAAGACAGCCCTGCATGGTGCCCGTGGCACGACCAGGGACCCCCTGCTGGCCCTTGCGGATGCTTTCGACTGGTCCTATATCCCCGTCGGCCAGAACCTCCGCGATCCGTTGCTGTCGCCCGTCTACGCGGATCGGAGTGCGCTTCCCGAGCGCGTCTGGATCATCGGTTGCGAGCTGGATATGCTTGGCCATGAGGCCTGGCGCCTGGCGTGTCGGCTGACTGGGAGGCAGGTCCCAGGGCTGGACCAGCGGATTGGCCAGGAGGCGCCTGAGGCGAGCGGCAAGCTGGGAGCGCTGATCACCACGGGTGACCAGAGGTTCGCGTGGGAGGAGAAGAACCGGGATGGGGAGGTCAAGTGGCTGTGTATTGCCGATGCTGGCCATGGGTTCGACATGCCGGGGGCCATGGGAGCGGATGAGAAGACGAGCGAGGATGGGTTGCTGAAGAGGGACGAGATCATCAGGCTGGCTGGGGAGTGGCTCTTCCGTCAGTGATCAGCCCATCTGAGGTCGTCTGTCTCTCCATCGAGCGCGAGAGCTGTCTCGTCTTGCATGTTTTGGAAATCGTTCTTTGGCCAAATAGCTCTTGGCTGAAATGTGCGCCTCTTGATGTTTGTGTGACTATCGCTCTAGGTGCCGGTTGTATATAATTATGCTTGCATTTTGCGATTCTGCGATTTTTTTGCCGATTCCAAAAACCGATCATGATAACTTCGAGACCTTGACTCTCGGGGACCAGTGACGCATGCATCCTAGTCACCACCGTGGCGACGGGCTCATGCTGATGATCCAGTACCGGCGCACTGCATGATACCTGGGCACCTTGGGACAGGAGCCATCATCGATGCAGGCCTCGGCTTACAACGTTGGAGCATTGCTGCTCACTATGGTAGTCGGGTTCAAATAATAATTCACTTGGGTGTGTTTGGTGCACGACACAGCGCTGTATAGGTCGATGTTGTACAGCTTCTAAGTTGCATTTGAAAGGCGCGTGAAAACATACCTTTCTTGCTATATTGATGAATAAAGTATCTGACAACCGATTGACGTATATGTGCTGCGATCCACCGCCCAGGTGTGGCATCTGAGTTCAGAAAGAAAGAATATACTACAAACGTTTCCAAATAACTAGCAGAAAACAGCTGCAGTCTTTGAAGATTGGGGTACTAAGGTACATTAGTAGCGGACAAGGCTAGACAATTAGACAGTAATTAATGACGCGGTGGGCGGGCCGTTGAGTGGTTCGATGTCACGCGACTCGAACATGAACCGAGACTCGACATAGACTGCATCGTCCCGTCCCGTCCCCCCTTCCCCAACGTCTGTGTCCATGCCCGATTCCTCTCCTCTCTGTCAACTCCCTTTCCCAGCCTCTCTGCGCCGATCTTGACACACGCCGACGTCTGCACAGGCAAGCTTGGCAAGCTGGAAAAAGAAGAGGACCAGGTTGGGCGAGGTTGTTGTGAGCTGCTTTGATGAGGGGAAGCCTGTCTTGCTTGAATGCGGCCACACCAAGGCCCTGCGTGTCTATCTAAAGCCTCCTAGAGCGCCCTTGAATCCTCACGACCTCTTTTACAGACACAGCATATAAAAAATGGAGAACGAGAACGACTGGCAGGATGCAGCTTTCAACACGCGTCACTTGCACAACCGAAACGACCGAGGTGGCCGTGGACAAAAGCGCCATGAATTCCAGGTCAGCAACATGTTTGGCACCCATCTGATCAAGTGTCCCGCCATCGACCGGCTGCAGGCAGATGGCGCAAATGCCGCGGCGAGCGCGGGGAACTCCAACAAGGCTAAGAGGCGGAGGAGCAGCGCAAGCGGCGAGGTCGTACTCGAGATCTACCGGCTGACAGACGACGAGGACGGGCTCCTCGGCTCGCTCAAGTCTGCCGGGGTCATGGACGCCACTGTTGTTTTCGCGGGCAGCAGAAAGCTGCTGTGGAGGATTTGGAGCCAGCTCGGGGGCACTGGAGCAGCCGACTCGGGGGAAGCTGAGTCCAAGGGGAAGAAGACAGCCGAGCGAATGGCAGGTATCCCCAATGGCAAGAAGGCATCCGGACGCAGCGGCAAAGGCGGCAGAAAGGCTTTTGTAGGAGACGAGGGTCAGGAGGACGAGGATGATGGAGAAGGTGATGATGACGATGACGACGACGACGATGATCTGCAGTCCTTGTCTAGCTCTATCGACTCGGAAGAGCGTCAGCGCCGTCGCACCTCGACCTTTGAGAAGAACTCATTCCGTCACCCCAAGTTTTGGTTTCGCTGGCAGGGGCAGATATCCGATGAGGCCTCGGTGCCAGATGACGCGGTCGACAACAACGGCAATGTCCATGGCTCTGGGTACATCGTCTTCTCCGGGAACGACTGCAAGCGTTTTCAAGGCACAATGACCTCGGAGCAGCTGGCCTGGAACAATGTCAAGATGAGCGGGTGGAAGGCAAAGCCCCAGCCGGAGCGAGACTTTGAGGTTGAATGGTGAATAGTGAATGGTGAATGATGATGGGCGAAGCTGATGACTCGCGAGAGGGAATCTTGGCCGAGGCACCTCACATCGTGGGTACGGGCGAAGGGCATGGCGGAGGCAGATCTCTAGAGAAAGACTCAGCAAGCCTGGCACATGTAGGCCAAAAGAGTGCTAGGAATTGAAAACCTGGAGACTTTGTTTCCTGTGCCTATTATACATCCTCTACAAACTGACGTGATTTCAAAAATCGGCTCTATGCCCTATCTGTTTGCCACCTAGGTAGTAGGCATGTTCGCAGTCACTGGCCTGCACCTACGGCACAACCCAGACCAGGCGTACCAAGAGGCGTTTTCTCCATGTTTCTTTTTCGACCAGATTTGAGTTCCTGAGGCATCTAGGTATCAGGCTTTATGTGTACCTAGCTGTTATGAAGACAAGCTGTGGGCTTCCTCTTGCGAACCGAATTGTCTTATGGTCAAACCCTTAAACAACGGGCATCACCATCTCTTTATCCTCGAAACTGGCCATTTCAAATATTGCAATATTGAAGTCCGTTGCACCCAGAGACAGCAGCGGCATAGTGGACGCGGGGTTTAAGGGCTGTGAGCATCATTCTTTGACTGAAGGCCTGCCTCGTGTGACAACCTTGCACAAACGCATCACAGACTTCACTTTTGTCCACATCATGTTTTCGTCTGATCTTTTAAACCCTAGATCACTCTCACTATCGACCTTCCCGCCATGGTTACTAATTTCAGCATCACAGCCAGCGCCACCACCAGCGGAAATGGACCGCCTACGCGACCTGGCAACTCAAAGACGCGTCGATTTTCACTTGCGAATCCCCAAGTCCCTCTCCACCACGTCGCTCATGCCCCACAAAGCTACTGATGGTGATGACGGTGGCGATACGAACTCAGCAGTCAGCTCAACCAGTGCCAATGCTGTCTTGGAACCAACAACCTGTCTGACTGGCAACTCACACCCTGCCATGCCCTCACTTCACCTCGACAAACCTCCCGTCCATTCCCTTCCTTCTTCTGACACCAAAATCGCCCAGTCCCAGTCCAAAGCTGGAAACGGTATGCCCTTTGATACCAGCCTGCAGACCTCCAGCATCAAGAAGCCCGACAAGAAGCCCAAGATGAAGGGGAAAACAAAGGGAAAGACAGCACTGAAGGGAAGTGAGCCTTTAGTGGCTCGCCGCGAAGCTGATCAAAGACTTTTCGACGCAGCCCAAGCTGTCATTGCCCAAGACAACGTCATCGCAAATAGCGGCCTTGAGGTCTCACGTCGCATGAATGAGTGCGCTCGTGATGTCCTAGAGGCCAACCAGATCATCAAGCGAAAGGAGCACGAGATAGCTGCCATCTCCACAAAGATCGACTCGATCAAGGCCAACTTTGAAAACGCCAGCAAGCACCTGCAGAAGGCCCAGGCGATCGCCGCCGAAGCCATTGACAACAGTGTTTCCGAGCAATTCAGGCGCAAGGAGGAGGCCAATCTGGTCAACATCCTCATGGGCATGACGGAAGCTATCGCAAAAGGAAATTCCCACAATTGGTCCAGGGCGAAGGTCAACAAGTCCCTTGAGGTATGTTTCTCTGTTATGTCTACATTGCCATGACCCAGACCATTCGCTCCATCGGCCCCTTGGTATCGATTGAATAAGCCTATAGCATTGCCTGGCCTCAATGTCTTATAACCCAGCCCCATGATTGGGTTACAACACTTGCTAATCATTTACGCGCCTTCAGGATTTAGAACTGGTCTACAGCAGGAACAAACACTATTGCCAGTCGCCCATGGTCAGCAGTGGGATCGCACATGTGGCGAAGCACTTCATGTTCCACACAGACTACGAGGACCAGTTCCAACCGATGCTCTTCCACCTAGCTAATCAAAACGACTACAGTGCCTTTGTGGAACGCTCTCGCAGGGAGGACCAGCAGTTTGCCACACAGCATCACGTCGACTATAGCACTCGGCCGAGCACTGCTCCGAAGCCAAAGACCAGTAAGACCACCTTGAACGGCGAGGTGCTCGCTGAAAATGCCAAAGGCAAGCGGAACGTTGACATGCCCTCATTTGGAGAGTTGGATGGCGCAGCAGATGTCGCTCGGGCCACGTTTAACAAATTGAAGCTGGAGCCCACTGAGAAGGCTACGGCCCTGCCGCCTCGATCCTCCTCCCTGTCGTCGTCAATTAACCCAATCCCGGCATGTGTGTTTCCCCAGACAGATGTTCATCAGACACCAGGAGCAGCTGCACCCCCCAACCCCTGCGGTGACGCCGCCTGCTCTTTCAAGCGTTTTGACGAGTTGAAGACCCACGACGACCTGATCGAGTTTGCGAATGGGCTCTGCTCTAAGCCAGAGCCACGGCCCGAAGTGAGACCCAACCTGATGGCCGCAGCCGTCCTCGAGTCCATCGCTGGTGTGGAGGCCACATACAAGGATGGAATGGCGGAATGTTACCCGGAGGTCAAGAAGGAGGTCGCGTCGGTAAGTCTACCAATACGATACTGGCGTAATTGGGTCCCCACTCCAAGCAAAGCGAGACTTTTGCACATTGCTGAGTCACAACGTGCGCAGGCGATCAAGATCATGCACCAGCTGAATAAAGAGCATGTCAAGTCTGAGGAGGTCGCCCAAAAGCTCAGCACCGTCGGTGAGAAGCACGGCTACTGCTTCATCCAGCCTTCCAGGGTCATTGACGGACGAGTGCGTGTTGAGGTGACGACGAGCTGCTGTTGCCCGGACTGCACGAGCGACATGGCAACACGCAAGGAAAGTGGCCACGAGAGCAAGGCTACTCATGACGAGGTGACGCCCCAGGGAGAGACTGCGCGTGGGAACGAGGACGTGGACCTGCTGTGGAAGGCTTTTGTCTCGGATGCCAGCAATACTGAGCGCTAAGCTTATGGGCGGGAAAATCTGCTTGTGTGGCCTTGATGCTTTAGGCAATCGGTTCGGAGCCTCGGTGTATGAGCCTAGCCGTCTAGGTTCCTACAGCCTTCAAGAAACTTCATTTACGATCTCTAATGACTGGCGGGCTGCTGGAACAACGATGGCTTGCCGCCCTAATCTTCAAACATGGAGGGCTTTCGATGGATATCTCTATCCGTACAGAGCGGATGGTTATATCGGAATGGACGCCATTGAAAGCGGAATCTCATATATTTGATATTGAAAGGACGCAAGGAAGCAGTTGGGACAATGTCCTGTCTGTGTTGAGCTCTTCCTAGAAATTCCAGAGTCTTATTTCTCGTGTCAATGACCCAAACTTCAATACCGGCTCTAATCCCAGGCAGTCTTAAGATGCCACACGTTGCATAGATTAATTAATGGTCATGATGCAGCATCTTTCGTTTGGCACAGATATCTTTTCTCCCTTGGATCAGATAATAGACCTTTCATGAGATCCTCCATCATCAAGAGCAGTCCTTGGACGGAAAATGCGCCGTATTTATGGTGAATCTCATCCTTGAAGTAGCCTAGCATACAGTAATACTTCCTGGGAATCCTGAAATCATGTATTGCCTTTTTTTCTTTGACGACTGTGCATGTATTAGAAGTACCAGATGCAGAGTCATCAATATGGACGTAAGAGCGTGGGCTAATTTCCAGGACATTTGTTGTATGCGAGTTCAACATTAATTTATTGATAACCCTGCTGGTTTGATCACACGAGAGACCTTATAAATCCGACGGGACCTGAGCCCTCAATATTGAGATGCCATGACTGCAGATATTACTACTCGTCGCACAGATTCAAGAATCTGAATTGTTTCCACATCCAAACGCTCAGCATCGTGTGAAGCCTGACCAGCCTATGCGCCAATGAACACCAGAAACCCAGTTTTGGATGTAGCCATCCGTCTTAAGGTGGATTAATTTTCTTGTGCCGCAGACCACGCAGTTGCCCACAAGCACGTCTTATTTTGGCGGTGACGATGAACGACTATGATTAAGGCAAAGTATATCATCATCGGTCATTGAGGCGGAACGATTTAAGGTCATGCCGTGACATCATGTCCAGGACAGATAAATGAAGCAAGATAAAGTCTGGCGAACGCCTGCCGGACTGATGCTGACAGGTCTGTGCGTGCAGGAAGTGAAATGGCCCAGAGCTGCTGCTGTCTGTGGCAAGCGAAATGCAGCCCCCCCCCCTGTTGCTTGAGCCGCTGCCGCAAAAACGACACAAATTTGCTAGCAACATCGGCAACTCATAAATATCCTCCATAACACGCTGCGTACACGTTCAATCGAGATGCAATCAATTGGAATTGATTCTATACCTCTAGAGCATTCTAAAGACTTATAAAATAGGATTGATGATAATGCACAATAAGATGTTAATATAACTATATAGAATTTAAGTTAAAGGTTGTAAATTTGATTAGTAATCAAGTTCTGCTCAGTATGGAGATGTTTGTGAATGAGCTGTGGCGCAAAAACAATGCAAATCGGCGTTCAACGTCGACAAAGCAACAGGGGGGAGGGGGCTGCAATGTCGCTTGCCACAGACGTCGGAGCTGGCTTCCCCAGACGAAAACAGTGGAGGACGGCAAGAAGACCGAGAAGAAGAGGGAAAAAAATTACAACACTGCGAGGGTGACATTCCATTAGCCATTCTGAAGAAAAATAGCAGGTCAGGGCGTCACATCGATGAACTGGTGTATTTCGATGGACATGACTGACACTAAATTTTAACTTGAACAGGTGCAGGCCGTTCAAATAAGCAACACCGCAGGATTCCGCAGGAGTCTTTCATCCCGTCATGCGACCTGTAATGGCCGAATATCAGCTAACTCCTCCCGTGCCATCGGAATTGACACCCAAAATCAGCTGAAGCTGAAGGAGGCACCTCGATTGCAAGGAAGAAAATTGAGCAGCCCAAATTTGGTATCATGACTAGGCTCTCGAAGTGTGCGGTAGACCTGCACGTCAACTAGCGCTCTTGGGTTGAATTAAGCTCGAGTCTGGTCTCTCGTGCGTAGCGATTCCTTGATCCCATGGAAGGAATTGGTATTTATTCCCAAGCTTGGTGGCTGGTAACGAAGGAGGCTGGGTACCTAAAGCATGGAGGTTGCAGTGCATGCTTCTCAGTCTCCCACTCCCCGGCTGGTGGGCTGCCAGTATAAGACCACGCGACATTATCAGCGGCAAAACCCGAGATCTTGGTTTGTTTGAAGGAACGTGCGTTGGGTTTCGTCTTGATTCAGAGGCACAGTATTTCCCAGTTGAACGAGAGGAAAAATGGCAAAAATTGCTGAGAATACAGTCAACAAATATCGTCAGTCCCAACAGTCAAAGGGACGGTCTACCCGTGGACGACAATTTGTCAAGCACCGTCTATATGGCTGTCATGGGCTGCGATCCGTCCAAATCATGGTCGTTGATGTCGAGATTGGCAACTGAAAGCGCAACGTGGCGTCTGTGTAAAATTTCAATGGTTCATAACGGGTGATGTAGATTGTAATTAGTCACTGTATTTGCCTTGTTGCAAATTGTTCAATCCACTGGGCTTGACCATCAAATCCATCCTCCCGAGGACAAGCAGTGTGTTCCGAGATGACAGCGGACACTGATGCGATCCCTCAACCTGCCGTCCCCATCAGGCTTGCCTCTTGACCTGTATGAAACACAAGGCAGTGACATGTGAAGTATCCCAGAACATATGCAGCAGTTGGGCAGGGCTCAAATTGAAAGTGATCACACCGTGGGGGTTATCCCGCAACGGACAGGATCATCTCAAACCAGCCATCTTCGGAACCACGCAACCGCCTGCTCAAGGGCCATGTCTGCCCCTTCGTTCTCATCGATCTTTCTCGGGTCTGCCCGCAATGCAAAGCCATGCCCACACCTCTCGTATATCCTAACTTCCAATCTGTCGAGATCGTTCCTGTAGACCTCCCTTAGGTTCGTCTCCAATTCGTGCGCCTGGTCGATCGGTAAGGCGACGTCCCTGTCCCCGAGCGCCAGACTCTGTGGTACTTTAAACCTCTCCGCAAACTTGGCGAGCTCACTGGGGTCGACATTTGATGGGTGGGCGGTGAAATGTGCGCCGACTAGGTGCGAACCTCCTCCCTCGGTAGCATGTTCAGCGCAGAGCCTTGACGACCAGTGTCCTCCCAAGCAAAAGCCGGCGATGCCAAGTTTGGCCCCCAATGGCAGCGAGGCTCGGACGGCGCGGACATAGCCTAGAACAATGGGGAAAGTCCTCCGCACCCGGAAGGAGAAGGCGGCGAGGATGACGCAGATCTTCAGAGCAGCCCACGCGCGTTTTGCGTGGCCAAGGATATTGTACCAATGTACGGATGTGGCCAACTTCTCAGAAAGACCTATCGTCGACAGCGGGACGCCTCCATTTGGGAGGAGGTTGGGCACGAGAACGCGCAGGCCCGTCTTGGAGGCGTACTGGTCGGCAAGGAGCTTGTTGTTGACAAGGTTCAAGCCGAAGTCGTCGGTCAAGAAAATGATGGTCGAGTTGGACGTCGCGGTCCCGCGTGTGACATAGGTCTGCACATCGAAGAGGGTCTCGAGATGGCCGAGCGGCTGAGCCGTGTGGACAGAGCCACTGAAGCAGTCGGCGCGGGCTTGCAGGCTGGTGGTTGTGGTGGCAGAGGGCATGTCGGGCCACGCTGATGGTGGTGGCGCTGGCCGTGATGTCGGGGCGAGCGTCTCAAGCTCCATGCATGTCCCTGACTCATTCCACACACGGCTTGCTTGGGACGAGATCGAACACACCCACTGACTGCAGGCCGTGGGGAGCAACAGCAGGTGGACAAGGCTCGTGGCGTTGCACTAGGCTAATTTACTGCTCGCGGCGGCATTGGCCTGACCTTTTGAACGAGTCAGCCGTTGCGGTTGTCGACAATCACAGCCTCGTCGTCCTTCCATTATGGCTGCGTTCTGTGGCAACCCTGATGCCCAAATACTTCCCGGCCCAGGGCACACACACATGGGCCCTCTTCCCGTGCGTGCGGGGGACAAATTTAGACCCGTTTCATTGACGCCATAATATACGAGGAGGCGGCAGCTGGAGTTACTCCGACTTGAGTCCCAGGTGCTGTTGCTACCGGGTAGCAGTCCGCTTCCGCCATGGACTCGGCCTTGGACGCGCCGCCCCTACGGGCCCATCCACCGGTCTTGCGTGGGCCTGCTCGTTCTTGCAAGCCTGCCCAAGGGGTTCCGGTTCTTTACTCCCACATCCTTGGCTCGCAGGAACGTTGAGCATGGCCTTCTGTGACACTGTTTTGGCTACAAGTACCCCATTCCGTCATGGCCCAGCAGGGGACGGACATTGGCCCCGTTCCGTCCGCAAGTAGCGGGAGCTTAAATTTCTCCCCATGCTGCTGTTTGCTGATTTCACGACCAACAAAGCCAGCTTTGCAAAGCCGGGAGCGATCCCGAAATCCAATCACACAGCTTCGGAGATCTCACCGTCTTTTTGGCACTGACAACTCACCAACTGATGCTTGTCTTGGCACTTCTCGGCGATAATCTGGCACGAAAGCACCAATCCTAGTGGCAGCCCCCGAGGAATTGGCGAAGCTTTTCTGGATTTTCCGATGAAAGCTGCACTCTCAGCCTACCGCTTATCCCAGTCCCGGTGTGACAGCCACTGTGGTGAACTAAATTGAAGCTGATATTGTGTCGCCGATGGTTTTGGGCCCCTAGATATCCAAGGTGCCTGTAAGTCACGATCTTGACGTGCAATGCCTCACATTGCCTGGTTTTGCCATCTTGGAACTGCCGCTATGCTACCGTCACATTCCTGATCTTTCCAGGGAGTGATCTGCGAAAGCGCAAAGTTTAGCGATCGGTGAGAACCTTTAGCCTACCGATACAACACAATCCAACGTGGAGACAGATACACGTGTAGGCTGAAGATTGGGACACAGATTTTGACCCTCTGGAGATGGTTAAAGTGATAACAGCAGGGCAGTTTCCTAGAACACTACATGGGTGAAATTTTCCTAGTCTCATATTTGGTAGAAAATGAGAATTTGGTCAGAGATACGATTGAACATTTGAGTATGTTTGCGACCCGTTTTTTATTTGGAACAATTCTCATTTGTTCAGCACCAGCAATTTGTCGTGCTAATGTTGCGCGTGCAGTAGACCTTGATATCTGGAGAGCCTCAATTCGTGGAAATGCAGTGGAATGAACGTAGCCTTTCACTATTGTCTACGTCTCAGAAACCTTTCAAAACAACAGCTTCATTCATGGCGCTCCGCGTAAGAAGAGCCGCATCATGGTCTACACCAGTTCCTTCTGGACAACTGTCTCGTACAGAAGATCAACCTCAAGGACTCAGAATTGTGAATGTGCTCTAAGATAAGAACTGCTTACGCTGCACGATGTTGTTTTAGTTGCTGATATAGCCCCGGTATCCTCCAGTCGTATCAAAGTCGTAGTATCAAGCTGGTGTCATAGATTGACATAATTACTTGTGCAAGCTCTCATCTGAGAAGTATTTAGGGGAATAACGGTGCCTTTTAAGTATGGATGCACACATTGAGAGAGACGGAGGTGCAGCACAAACGGTCATGTGACTTTTGTCCACCTCATACCAAGATGGTCATTGCGAAGAGATTGACAAGTCACAACAAGATGGAAGGGTTTATTTTGAACCCAGATACTTGGCTTTTATATAGAATAGAGAAGTGTACAGACATCAGATTGCGTTGGTGAAATTGCACGTAGGGGTGGGTATGATAGAATTGGATAGGCTGTAGCACAATGAGGGCTTTACGGTGCCCCTACTTAAGTAGCGACTATCAGAGACGACTTATAGGGGAAGAGCCGTCTAATGATCGTTGATGATCACAATTCTTGAAATACTGTTAACCTCACAGTGCGATTAGTTTGGAATCCTTTCACTGTCTGTGGCTACAATGGATACGACAAGGCGGAATGTGAGCAGAAATGATTCCATCCATGAATTGGTTGGCAACGACGTCGATATTATAAACAGATGCTTCTATCTCAAGGAAAATTCCATTCTAAAAGGTCAAATAAACAACACTTAAGCGCACGAATGAGTGCTGATGGTCACAGATGAAGTCGATACGATCATAACTCGTCGAGCACTCGGGTAATCTATACTATTTGTATGGTTTTCAAGCGATGAGTCAAAAACAAGTTCTCCCATCAAAGCAATTGTTTACTCAAGAACACAAAAGGGAGGAAATAGTTGAACCTTCGTCAGCTGGACGCAAGATATCCAACTTTTTCAGAAACAGTTGGCAAAGTATGAATACAAAGCCGTTGAACGAACATTGGAATAAGTCACCATTAGGACCACAGAATGAACGGAGGTTCATTTGAGAGGATACTTTGATCGCAACCGACACCTGTATCCCTGTGATCGTGCAGCGGTTTAGAAAATGGACAGCGAGGTGATGGTGTGAGTGCGACCGACCCTTCGCAGCGGTCAAAGCTCTATATACTAACCCTGCAAGTCAGATTGAAATGGTGCTCGCACGGGAATCATGGTCCATCAGCAAGTAGTGATGGCAAGGGTCAAGTTGAGCATTGAGGCCTGTAAAGATGAGCGTCATCAGCGGCATCATTTGTCCTAACCCATCCCGTCACGCAGCGACTGTCTCTTTAGGATCCGTGCTTCAAGGATCGATGATAGGGATGCGTGTTGTTAACTTCTTTTGACATTGAGGTCAGGCGGCAGATGCTATGTTTCAGAGTTTTTCGGGAATGTAATTGTTCGATAGGTGCGTTAGGCTTTCAACGCGCCCCTCTCACCGTCGTATGTATGTTCCCCAAAGTGCCCATTCACTTTCAAGTCTTTCCTCACCTCGCCGATAATGCCTCTCCAGTTACCAATTTGCGTCGATGTTCTGTGCCGTCTCGAGAAGGCACTCCTTCTAAATTCCACAAACCAGACCATGAACCAGTAAGCACTTGCGACCCAGGCAAGAACAGCCGACACCCAGATGATAGCGAGGTATGCACCGCCCTCCTTCACCTCGAGATTGAAACCTCGCCCAAGGTCTGAGATGCTGTCACTACCGGCAACCACAACTCCGGTTACAATACCAGCCAGACCCAAGAAGATGCCCGCGCCGAGGACTGAAAACCCAGTGTTGACGACACTCAATAAGCGGGATTGTGATCGCAGAATTCCGAGGACTTGAAATTTTGCGTTAGACTTGGTATTCTCGACTATGTTGAAGAGAACTAAGCGGGTTCATAGAAACATCCGCTCTCTGAGGACGCACGGGGTGGGAGTCTTACTGGAGCCGATGGCTGTAATAGCAGTACAGATGCAGCCAATGATCAAAAGCACCATCATGACAGTTGCCGCGGTGGCAGCTAGGTTGACTGTGCTCTGCAGAGATTGCTTGAGTGATGCGATAAGGGGCACGGAGACCTGTGCAGTCCCGACTGTGAGAGAGGACGGGATAGAGTTGGTGATGTTGACCAGGCCTAATCGAAAAGACATTTGTCAGTAATCAGCTATCTATCAGAGCCTCACAAGATGATTTGGGGAATAAAATCCCACGTGTTTTCCACGACTGGGGCGCGCGCGCATACCTTGACCTTGATCACGATACGTGAAGCACGAGTCGACCTCCACGGCACTGTTGGGATCATCTTCATTGCGGAAGCTTCCCTGGCACATCTTTGTAGTGTATAGTCGGTATGTGTCTTTGATTCCCAGCGCCTCTGTTAGGTTCCCCAAAATCGTTCCTGAGAGATCGTTGAGTCCTTGATCAACGCCATTTGTCAAGTTGTCCAGAATGCCACTGAGGCCTGGTATATCGTTGATGATCCCTCCTAAACCTCCAAGAGGGTCGTTGCTCGAGCTGCTCGACTGATCCGTAGGCGTGATCTGAATCAGATCCTGGCCAATTTTCGAGGTATTAAGCTAACGCATTCAGTAGATCAGTATTCAGTGATCCTCAAATGGGTCAAAGCTACACGCCGCCAGTCACATCTGTAGACTTACTGCAATCCAATAGTTATTATTTGCAGTGCCGGTGGAAGATCCGGAAGCCAGTAAGGCTATGCCGAGGGCTGTGGCAGCAATCGAGGCAATGGCAGGAGCTGCGGCGGTAAGACGGAGTCCCATTTTCTTGGTTGGCGCTTTTAAAGCTAGCAGATATTCATGTGTGAGGGCAAATGCGTTGCGCGGTGGTGGAGGTAGAAACCTGGTCTTGCAATGAATGGAGGCATGATGTTTTTAAAGTTGTGCCACTTGAAGCTGCCCGTACTCGTACTTCTTTAATTGCCCCGGATGGTCTAGTTTGTTGCCTTTGATTGACATGCGGTGGATCGCGAAGCGACGTCATGCTATGGATCATATAAGGGTTGTCTGCAACGAAGGAGAGCCTCTCAGCCCTGTATGGTTTCATTCTTTCAGGGTTCTTCCATCTTTTCATGCGCATCGGATGCCTGGCTTGTCATTTGATAATTGGGTGATTGGGGATGCCAACCCCCTTTGCATATGGGACTGGCCAGGGATACCTGGGCTGCCGCAAAGACGCTCATGAAATTGCCCGATATAGACATATCCGGCCGATCTTGTCGATTATCGTCCGAGGCTCGCTCCAGCCCGCCAACCTCCAAAGACTACGCTGACTGACCTCATTTCATCCGGTCAGTCCCAGACAATAAACAATGTTGTAGTCTGCTGTAAGGTCCAGAGATAGTGTTTTGATTTCGATCGGGTATCTGTGGGGTTGATCCGTTCGCGTCATCGTCTTATAATCTGATCTCAAGCCATGTTTCCATCCAAACAACAGCCCTAAGAACGATCACATGCCAGCACCATTGTTCTTCTTTGCCAAGCGTTTGGCCGCCGAGGGGTCAGCATAAGCCTAGGCCATGGGCGACGGGATGAGCCGACCAAATTGCAGATTTTATATGCACAGCCTCCTACCACCACCACCATCATCAGTGGCTTTGTATCTCAACTTACCAAAAGCTCTGTGGCTCTGTCTGAGATGCAAGGAACTGTTATAACTTTTCTGCACCAGCCCGTTGATTTGTGGTCTGCTCCCGGACAACATCATATACTGATTCCTCCCACCTCGGTCAAGTGACAGAGTGTTCAAGTTCCTTGTGACTTCTCCGTGTGCCAGAGCCTAATCAAAATGGTTTAGAGATAAACTGAACAATCGGAACATATCCAAGGTGAACCCAAGGTGAACCCAAGGTGACTCTGTGAAAGAACATGAGAAAAGGTGTTGTATTACACAATCTGCGTGGGGATGTGATCGATCAATCTCTGTTCCCGAGCACAACGGCGCGCTTCCTTATGTTTATCATTGAGACTATCGAGACCTGAGCGTGAAGACAAAAGGCGTCGGGGCAGAGTGAGGCTTTGTTGTCTAGACATGTATATATGGCCGTATGGCATGATTAAAACCGCACATGGTAGCCCTGAAACCATGGGCAATTTTGGCTCGTCTGCGCGTCAAACGATCAATGTTTCCATCTATTTTCCCTCAAATTTCTATGGCAATGGTATATTTCGTATTATTTGTTTTGACCGAGGGCATACGTCCCTAAGATGGAGCTTATTATAACGCCGTATCATCCTGCCAAGAAGATCCCGTGTGTGAGGCTGGTGATATGATCAAATCCCGTAGGTAACCCTATCTCCAGTATTCGACTTTTGACGTCATATACGAGGTGCATGAGATTATTTTCCTACGCCCTAGAGAAGAATAGTCAGAGCATGTATAGGAAGATGCAAGGGAGGAATCAAGCCGTAGAGTATGCGCGATGTTCAGATCAGGGAAATCACTATCATCACCTCTAATAGGCTACGGTCACTCCTTACGCGAACCTTTCCGGGGCAAATTGTGGGGCGAGGTAAGGCGTTGGACTGGGTCTAATCATCTCTACGAGTGAGCTTCCTTCAACATGGCTATCAGAACATTATCGGCCTCAATTGAATTATACCTAGGTAACCATCATCCTGCACTGGCAGTCCTTTGGATCATGCACTTCAAGCTCAAATTGAAATTGCTTGATTTTGCGAAACTGCGATACTGAACTCACTATGTATCTATCCGTCTGTGATGTACTCGCGTGGGAATTTGTTCTTCCCAAGAACACGAAGTCGGCCGATTGAAATAAAGTCCAAGCATAATCACCATGGCGTTCCGGCATATACACTAAGCCGGCAGGTCAAAGATAACAGACAAGGCAATCATACCTAGGTTTTCAATCTAGTGTCGCAACAAAAGTCAAGGGCATCACAAGCTATCCGTGGAGCAAACTCTTTTCTCAGAAGAACTTCAGATGTACGCTTACTCCTTAACAGTACAATATCCATTCTACGACTCGCAGCAAACGAAAACCGACCTGAACTCGTAACAAATCCTCACTTTATGGGAATGAACTATGCAATTATTCTGAAAATGGAGTCTGATCGGTGTAGTAAAAGGTGCTCATCTAATGAAGGCCGATCTCTTCAGGCGGTAGAACTGAAAATCGATGATTAGCTCGTGGGCTTCTTACAATATACAGCCTCCAAGTATGTGAGGACGGCTTGTTAATCATGCAAAGCAGTTCATACCACCCAAAGCGCGCCAACTAAGTATGTGAACTCGACCCGACGACGCAGAGTTTTCATGGGACTCCGGCGAGCAACTGCATCTGTACGATTGGGTCCTTGCTGGAACTTCTGCAGAATCAATGATAAGGACGACATTGTTTGACCCTGTGTGCTTGCGGTGGACTATTATCAATTTACTGCCTGGGCTGATATTTGTTTGCTATCGTAACTCAACAAATGTGTTTGTAGCAAACAGCTATTGCTTATTCGCGGGCCCATACCTGAGATGTGTGAATTCCAGGTTGTAATGTGTAGCGTGGTGTAATTGACAAGATGCTCTAAAGTAGTTGATGTAGTGGATATGATTTTCCTGGTTTGTTATGTTATGATTCAGGCTAAAAATATGAAAAGTAATCACACATGTCTGGCTGTGAGCAATTGGCGAGGGACAGGACGGGACAGAGTTAAATAACCAAAAATGCATTATGCACCTGTCCGGGGTAGTCCCTGTGGTGTGAGTCGGGTAATGTCTTGGCGGTCTGCGAGCACAGTCTTGAAACAGCTTCCCTCAAGAAAAGCTTCCCAGAGGCTTGGAAAGAGATGTCGATCAGACGTCGAGCTCGAGCAGTCCAGATGGTTTCAAACAGTTGAAAAGGGAAGGAGTATAGAATAGCAGATACGATCTATGTCTGAAACACAGCTCGTTGACATAAGTAAGGTTTGAGTGATCTTGCACCGAATTCTTTTTTGATGGTTCGAGAATACCCAGACGTAAGCATCGAAATAGCTACTTATACGTCTATACTCCTTTGATCCGGCTTGGCTCGTTGGGCGGCTCTGTAGCACATGCAGGCATGTCTACCTCCTGGAAAAACGCACATAATTGCCATACCCAACGAGATTTGAGTGGATGATTCTTACATGCATCAATTTCTGCTTCCCACATTTAATGCGCAAGAGTCCTCATTGAAACAGCTTGCCTCCTGGAGATATAAAGCGAGACCCGTATTCAATGTTGATAGTTCAATCCACCCTCCCCACCCGATTGTCCCATGGTAGGTGTCTCGAATAGCAATTATTAGAAGACATAAAGCCTGCAAAATGTTACATGATCCCGCAGAAACGGATTGTCTGTGGTATAATCATAATGCTTCACCTAATCTGATATCGACTGAAAAACAAGACAGCCGGCTTCAAGTTCAGCGACGTCAACTATTATCTATGTAATGAATACATGCTCCAAGAAATCTGAACTGATTATCTCTTTGAATTCCTTTGGCTTCTCCTTCCACTTGATCGTCGAGGACCGCTCCGTACTTGATTGTAATCATACGTCTGGTCTGACCCACTCGCATAACCAGAGTCATAACCTTTCTCATCTCTAATCGGTTTCTTCCACCTGCAAGAAGGGTTGTCGGAGGAGCTATCGTAAGATCTTTGTCGGGATTGGGACGATGTCAATACATGAGAGGCTCGGTTGGACTGGTATTCTTTTGCGCGGCTTCTCTTCCCGGCCGTTGATGAGCTACTTCGGGATGTGTTGGAGCTGGAGACATTGTGAGATTGACGCAGGGGTTGTGGAAGAGATTCAATCTCCCGTCTTCGATCGCTTCTGCTGTTCTTCAAGAGTTTCTTCGACCTCTGAGGATCCTTCCTTGACTGATCCCTGCCCAAGACGAATTTAGATGCCAGGGCAGCAGCGCCAGCAAGAGGGAGCTTTCCTAACAAGGGTTTAGCAACGTTCAACATAACTTCTTCATGTAGGGGCTCGTGATCATCAACTGACCTAGTCCACCGTCTGATGACCATTCTACGTGCGGCAAATGTTTTGTCGTGTTCACTACGAGAGCTGCTGAGCTCCGCGATCCCTGCAAAAGCCTGAGTTGAGTAAATACGCTCGTGTGCAGATGTGGAGGAAAAGCGCACATTGACATTGAACTTCAGATCAAATCGTTCACCCTTCTTCACATCGGGCCCCTTCCCTACCAAAGCAGCAATACTTGACGGATGGAGGCCCCAATAGTTTATGCCACCTCCTGTGTGATCATTCGTTTCGACGCTCAAAGTTGGAAGCGCAAGCCCGGTCCAGTTTTTATGTGGCATACTTGCCGTTATGTACAGGCGAGACATTGTGGGCGATAGGGAGGGCTGACCGGTTCTAACGATAGATGTGTTTGTGCTGGGTTCTGATTTGCACGAAATTTCAAATTTCAACTCCGGAGATGATTTCGAAAGTGATGCTGGCACACTGCTGTAATGTACGGAATATAAAGGAGAACACTTTGCAGGATTGACGTTGGTGATACGTAGGACATCATCGATTGAAGACTACGTGACAGCCCTGGAATCCTCTACTTCAATCTGTCAACCACTCAGTTTTGATCATGAACAATTTCCGATATCAGCATCTGCTGCCTCACGAACAACAGGCGCAAGGTGTGTTGCCGAATCGGAGTGAGCTGTGAGGTTCCTTATCTTGGGCGTCAGGGATGATGCTTCATCCAACGCCTGACCGACTCGCAGGACGTAACCTTAAAGACGCACCACATGTCATGCAGCCAGCATTGTTGTTCAATGACGTTTTGAGTGGAGTTTTCTGGACAGTTGTACACATTCGAATGGCTGGAAAAGTTTCTGATAAGGCGCGCTCTGCGCAGGGCGGGAACAGAAAGTCTTACAGTACCTGAGAGATATCGACGAGCTGTTGAGCGATTCACGCAGGAGCACAGGCCAAGGAATTGAGAAACAACTGATTAAAGAACATGAGTTTGACAGATCAATGCGCTTCTAAGTTAGTCTATACCTAAATGTTTTACAAATGTCTCTAAATAATCTACTCATGCCTTCGCCTCCAAGTACTCCTTGCTGAATGGATAGGTGATGTACCCGTCCGGTTTTCCAGGGTTGTAGAAGGTGCCTCTATCATAACCGGTAAGCTCGATGCCCCGGCGCACCCTGAACACCAAGTCTGGATTGGATATAAAATATCGACCAAAGACCACAATGACGTCCCTGTTCGGGAAATCCTCATCCACCGTAGACACAGCCGAAGCCGGTCTGAACCCTCCTGCCAGCAGCACAGGGCTCTGGTTATCCCAGATATCGACCAGGAAGTTGACCTTCTTAGTAGCTTCGATGTCCGCACTCCCCGAGACGCGTGACTCGACGAGGTGAATGTATGCGAGGTTGTACTTTTTCAGCTCCTTGACGAGGTACGAAAACTGAGGTTCTGGGTCGGCCATTTTCATGCTCTGGAAATCAGAAAATGGACTCAGCCTGATGGCTGTCCTGTCAGAGCCCACAGCCTCCGTCACGGCCTTTACTATCTCGAGCGCGAAGCGAGCCCTGTTCTCGATGCTGCCGCCCCATCGGTCGGTGCGCTGGTTGGAGACATCCTGGATGAACTGGTCTACAAGGTAACCATTCGCACCGTGGATCTCGACGCCATCGAAGCCTGCCTCGATGGCATTCTTGGCTGCTTGGGCATACTGCTTGACATACCAATGGATCTCGTCCTCGGTCAGTGGCGTCGGCTTCTCGCCGCCTTCCAAGGGGATATCACTGGCAGACACGACCTTGGCGTCTGGGCCGGCCACCTTCTTAAGGCCATCGAGATGCGAGGCCCGGCCCAGAGCCCAGAGCTGCATGTAGATGAAGCTCTTCTTCTCGTGCACGGCTTTGGTGACGGCTTTCCAGCCGTCAATCTGTGCCTGTGACCAGATACCAGGGGCCAGAGGATATCCTGCTGCTTGCGGCGCGATGTACGTGGCTTCTGTGATGAGCAGGGTGCCTGGTACGGAGGCACGTTGAGCGTAATACTCGGGTACAAGGTCTTGCAAGGGAACATTGTCGTCGTCGGCGCGGAAGCGGGTCAAGGGCGCCAGAGCGATGCGGTTGAGCAGCTCGGAGCGGCCAACCCTGAGAGGCTTAAATAGCGCGGATTCGTTGGTCATCTTGCAGTCCTTACCAATGATGGAGAAGGGCTGCACGTAATTTGTTGATGGCAAGCACGATAGATAAAAGTGGATGAGATACTCGAAAGACGGGAGTGAATAGATATCGAGTTGGACGCGCTGAACCTGGACTATCAGGGGCAGATAGCCGCAGACCATAGACGAATTCTTCTCTATTTAAGTGCGCTACCTAGGTTCAATAATTTGCAATACCGTTTGTGATTGCTAAGCATGGTGGTGTGTCTACAGACAGGCGGAGAAGCGTAGGGAAAGTGAGGATGATGGTTCCGAAACGCTAGTCGATTGCCTAACTCCCGCTGTCTCTTTTGTGACCGCTGGCTGGGTGGCATTGATCAGTCAGTGTCGAGGGCCCTCTGACCAGGTCCAGCATACTTGCTGCGATGGTGTGATGGTGCCATGTGGGCAGCATTGAGTGCAGTAGACAAAACCAGACGGGAGACAGGGCGGCCCGAGAGCCCTGACCGAACATGTGGACAAACGCCGACTGGAGTATTCGCGATGTGGACGCCGGGATGTGTATTTCTCAGCTCTCGGTGTCTGGTGTTTGAAATCACGAAGCTTTCTGCCGAGGTTGTTGAGGGGCTGGGTTGACTAGTCTTCTCCCTAGGAGAAAGCCGCGGACCACCTGGCCATGTCCAACGAGTCAGCCAGACCGCCCTACGCCCTGGACGCCCTGCAGGCTGACACTTGTATTATTAATACTTCGACGTCACTCCCTAGTCGATGAACGTAGGTGGAGGGGTAGAGGGGTTGGTGAGTGGACGAGAAATGTATTGCTCATTGCCCACTTCGGCACTGCAGATCCGGCACCGATGACCGCGGACTGTTGCATGGACCTCCACTAAGCTCACAGGGCGGCGGTTGGAGAATAAAACTTCTTGCTCCATTCACCGTCACGCCAGGACGAAAAACGGAATCGATAGCATTTGCAGACTCGGAGCATGCGCCTGCCCCTGAACGCGCTCAGAACATCACCAGCTGTAATCTTCAAACGCCACCCTCGAGCTCACAGTCTCACCAGAACATCCTCCACCATGACGACAGGCGTATTCCGGGTATGTACATATGCCATCTCGCGCCGAACAAGCTTCAGTGCGCCCGAACAGACCCCGTCTTGCGCCAACCAGTCGTGCCCAATTCTTGTAATCAAGAGGTCTGACTCGGCAGCATTATGCATCTAGTACATCGATCCCGCCACCATCACGCAGTCCGAGGAGCCCTTCATCAAGCCATGGGCTAAAGTCGATACCGACTCCACCTCCTTCGAGCGCACAGAGAGGAAGCGGTCCGTCGCCAACATCCGCGAGGCGGCTACCAACGGCACAGAGTTTGGCGTCAATGTCTCCGGGTTCGCAGTATACAATTACCCATCCAGAGTCCAGCCTGGCGCCTTCTTCGCATCCGACGACAGCGAGGTGCGCTCAAGCTACTATGCCGAGGTCGAGCAACTTCTGGTGGAAAAACTCGGACCAGGCGTTAAGAAAGTTGTCATTTTTGACCACACCATTAGGAAGCATGATCCTACATCGCCCAGGCAGCCTGTCCAACAGGTCCACGTCGACCAGACACCAAAAGCCGCTGAGACGAGGGTCCGGCGCCACGTGCCCGAGGGCGAGGCCGATGAACTTCTCAAGGGGAGGTATCAGCTGATAAATGTCTGGAGGCCCATAGGGCACTCGGCTAGTGATTTCCCCCTTGCGGTCGTTGACTGGAGAACAACTGCACCGGAGGACCTGGTTAAGGTGGACTTGCTCTACCCCACAAGGAACAGGGGTATTGGGGACGAGAAAGACGACAGAGGCAAAGAGATACTGCCGGACCCGGAGAAAGCAAAAGATACCACGGGATACGAAGTCAGAGGTAAGGGACCAGTGTGACTCTCCCAAAAGCCGCAAATGGCCGGGTTGGGACCAGGTCGCTAACAAGCACGGATAATATAGGCGAGACTTACTCGATCGCGCCTAACGAAAAACACAAGTTCTGGGTAAGATACTCCTTGCGCTGGTTTCACACCAGTCTAGCACATTATGCTCCCATCTCTGGCCCCTTTTTCATCTGTGGGACGTTACGAAAGACTGAACTCAATGTGCCAAACAGTATATGAAAGATATGACGCCCGACGAGGCTATGTTTATTAAATGCTTTGACTCGGGAAGCCAGGGACAGCCGAATGGACAGCACGGTGTTGCAGCTCTCACGCCACACACAGCATTCATAGACCCGAACACGCCCAGCGACGCCAAGGGAAGACAGAGCATAGAGGTCAGGTGTCTGGTCTTTTACGGGTCATAAGACGCGATTGGTCAGACTGAGCGAATCAGATGCCTGCGACTGTGATGTGTCCAAAGACTCGACCCCTAGCTGAGTTTGCGAGGCGCAACCCGGCCCCGGGGAAATGGACCCTTCGAACTTGTGGTCAACAGGAATTGATATACTGCCGCTGATCTATCTATGTGCAAACACCGATCAGCCGCTCCCACCTGGCTATTCTGCTTGGTGGTTGTCAGGCTATGGGCCGAATGAGCCCAGACCGTGTGAATGATGAACATACCCGCTCATGTCTGTCCGTCTTTACCTGCAAATCTTTACCAGTCGGACATTCTGTAAAAATTCATCTACGACTCCCGTAGAGATAATTTCTAACGCTGCTTTCCTTGGTAACACCATCTCGCAAACCACTGGTCCGTTACCGCGAAACTTTTTCGACATAGCCCTGCAGTGTGATCCTAAGGAAGGCTTCGGTGTTAATCCCCTGGGCACCGACGCACTGCATAAAAGGGTGGCATAGTCCACGTACTGCCAAGTGGCCTTCTCGAGGTGTGCAATCACCTGCATCAGCACACTTTTTAGTCACACATCCGAATCTGTGATGTGGAATCGCCTCATTTTGAAGTCTAAATATACATTTATACAAATGCATTATTAATTGTCTTCGAGCTCACTTGACGTGATAACGTCTCAAAATCACTGCTAATGGACGCAAAGTAGACAACCCGTCCACGCAGCCCACCGTCCACACCATTTTCGAGACCTATGATGGATGGGATCGAACATTGTCCAGCGCTGGCGCCCGGAGCTATCAATAGGTCAAGCGGTACATTTATCTTGGTCGCTTCATTGTTGAACCCGAAGACAATACACGTGGAGGCGAGACTGCAGGGGACATCCCTCAGCAAGACGGCACTTTTATCATTTCGAGTCTCTACGCCCAGCGCTTGGGCCATTCCTCGGACTGCATCTGCGGGAAGGTAAAGCTCAGGGTTGCCCATATCGAGAAGTAAGGGCTGTGTGTCGTTAAGTAGGTTTGCTGAGGCTCGTTTCTTGGTCTGTCCCTGCTGCCCATTTCCACCGACCGTGTCATGAAGCTGAAGCTTACGACGAATTCACACCTGGGCATTGGCAAGCAGTGGAACCGCTTGAAGATCACCGTTGAATTCGGCCCTGTCCATGCCGTCAAAAGCGGTGGATCCCGATATACCTCCTGTAGAGTAGGTTAGACCTGAATCGGGACCGATAAAGCTCACTCAACGTCACGAGTAGCACAAAGTGGTGTCCTACGGTGCAGTATTGAGGCGGCGCACCCCAACTGAGTCTCGGGCGGAACGGAACCTCGGATCTTGAGACAAAACATTGGGAGCCGAGAGGGATGGCGTGCACAGGTATGGTTAGCATGCTGTCGACCGAGCACCCATCTATAGACTCGGACCATTTGTTGTACGAAATTGGACAACATGGCGCGTTATTTACTGCGCAGGTGTCTTGTGGCTGCATGTCCAATTAGAGGGAGGTATACTGCACGCAGGAGTTTACCAGATGTATCGTGAAATGTGGAGCCAGACCAGCCCTCGAACTTGGGTTGGTTTCGTCAAACGTCCCTACATGTATGCAGTAAGTCGACGAGTGTAGACTTTTAATGGTTACGAGCCTCTGCCATATAGTTCTTTTCTCATTACACTCCAGATCGGTCGAATAGGTGTTATCGGCAGCCCGTGCCTCCACGACTGGCACAGAGGGATACGATGGGCAGTGATACAAGGTTGTGCACCTATCAAGGTCTTGACCTCTGTGAGGCTCAGTTGCACTTGTGTGCTTCCCAAGCGGGTGCTAAGACGGTGAAAGTGACGATGAATATGTCATGCCACTATGACAAGAGTAAGTGGGTAAACAAACAACTTGCTCGTGCAGCAAAGGGACGGCATGGATCATTACACATAGGAGGATGACGGCTTGCAACTAAACATTGAAAGTGACGAGATGAAAAGGAGATGGATGCACGCACTCACTCACTGGTTTGGCTGATGGGATCGAGTGCTGCAGCGCCCATGCGACTTATCTTATCGAGGCTTATCTTATCGCCGCCCAAAATTCTTCTATTTTTTTTTTTTTTTTGGGGTTCAAGGCCAAGAGCTGCACCAATCCGTCACCTCGGTCGCCTCACTCGCCTAGCCCGATTCCACCTCACCTCAACTACAAGCCGCTGCACCTGCACTTGACTTCCACTTAACTCCTACCAATTCAATATCAGTGTCCTTATATCTGGATACGATTGAGGCACATACGCTATGTCCAAGCGTGCGGGAGACCACGATCATGGCCCTCTGAAGGGCGGCCATCGCCCTGACGCAATGGACATCGACGACAAGGTCGAAGACGGGATGGGCGAGTTCGAGGACGAGTTCGAAGATGAATTTGAGAGCGAGGACGAGATCTTTGAGGCAGGTGTCGATGGCAGGCCAGACGCTGAGAGGGAAGCCGAGGAGAAAGCAGGTAGGTTGATCGGATCGCCCCAACCATCCCATCGCGGAGGAAGCACGTCGAGAGAGGCTACGATGGGGCGAGGCAAGACGAGAAAACAAAACTTTGGGGCCAGCATGGCTAATGATAGTCCGAATGAGTAGCTGCAGGTGAAATGGATGTCGACAGCACCACCACGGGCCCAGGCACGTTCATCGTCGGCCGCACAAAACTCGAGCCAGGCCAAACTCTTGCTCCGGACCCAAGCACTTACCACATGCTCCACAACCTCTCTACCCCGTGGCCCTGCCTCTCTTTCGACATCATTCGCGACTCCCTCGGCGACAACCGCAAGGTCTATCCTGCCACTATGTACACTGTCTCGGGCACGCAGGCTGAAGGCCAACGTGCCAACGAGAACGCGCTTATGGTGATGAAGTTCGCCGGCTTGAGCAAGATGGACAAGCAAGGCGAGGACAGTGATGACGACGAAGACGACGACGACGACGAGGACGCCGACCCCATTCTAGAGTCTAAGAGCATCCCCCTCTCCTCGACAACGAACCGGATACGGGCCCACCAGACTCCCAACTCCGACCCCTCCAAACCTCCAACAACCCTCGTCGCTACCATGACCGAGTCCTCCAACGTTTATATTCACGACATCACACCGCATCTCGCGACTTTTGATACCCCTGGGACAACCATTTCCGACAAGCAGAACAAACCCCTCTCTACGATCCGCGCTCACAAGTCAGAGGGCTATGCTGTCGACTGGTCGCCCTTATCTCCGGCGGGAAAGCTTGCGACCGGTGATAACGATGGTGTTATATATGTAACAACTCGTACGGATGGAGGTGGCTGGGTCACAGATACAAGACCTTTTACTGGACATACCGGCAGCGTGGAGGAAATTCAATGGAGTCCGAGCGAGGACAAGGTATTTGCCTCGGCATCGTCTGACGGCTCCATCCGCATATGGGATGTCAGGAGCAAGAGCCGGCAGGCCATGATCACTATGCAAATCAGCAAGACCGATGTCAACGTCATGAGTTGGAGCAAACAGAGGTCCAACCTGTTGGCCTCCGGAGACGACGATGGTGTCTGGGGTGTCTGGGACCTGCGTCAGTGGAAGCCCAACGCCACTGAGAAGCCCACCCCTGTCGCAAGCTTCGACTACCATAAGGAGCAGATTACGAGTGTGGAGTGGCACCCTACCGACGACAGCATTGTGGCCGTCGCTGCCGGCGACAACACGGTTACGCTGTGGGACCTTGCCGTGGAGCTGGACGACGAGGAGAGCAAGGACACCGCAGGCGTGAATGATGTGCCGCCCCAGCTGCTATTTGTGCACTATCACGAGCAGGCGAAGGAGCTGCACTGGCACCCTCAGATACCCGGCACCCTGGTGGCCACGGGCCAGGAGTTCAGCGTCTTCAAGACAATTAGCGTCTAGGCGAGCCAGCAGGACCTGTGTCATAATGGTACTTGATATGGTCAAAGTGATGAGAAAAATGCAGAAATGATACCAATTGATTCACACCACATGTGATACAATTTTACTCGAAATCGGGATAGCTAGCCCCATCGTATTGAAGAAATTGCGATCCTGTGAAGAAATGAATACACATGATTCGCCAATCCTTTCTTTTTCACCAAACCGCCCAACTACAAGCATGAACCAAACTGGGCCTTCGTACGCTTAGCAGGTGTTGAGCATACTCGTCAACGCTGTCTTTTCCGCGCTGCTGATCGTCAACTTGTAGTAGTACTTGACCTGGACCCAGCTTCTCGCGTAGACACAGTAGAAGCTGGACAGGGGCGGCTTCCAGTCGGCGGGGTTCTTGTCTCCCTTGGACTGATTCACATTATCCGTGACGGCCCAAAGCTGAGGTCGGGTCACATCGTTGGCAAAGGACTCCCGCTGGGCAGTAGTCCAGGCATTGGCACCAGACTGCATTCTTGTTAACTAGGCCATTGATGGCAAGGTTACAGGTGGGGCACTTACGATCCAGGCATTCTTCAACGGGACCATATGGTCGATGTCCACGTCACTAGCGGCTGTCCATGTTGCACCGTCGTACGGGCTGAGCCAGGACCCAGATGTAGCGGTGCATGCTGAGTTGACCACAACACTGGTGCCGTCACGCTTCAGGACATACTCGCTGGGGCACAGAAGAGACAATATCAGCTTTGATCGGCCCGCAGACGGGTAGGGACGGAAAGGACATACCGAGTGTTGCACGTGCCCTCTATCGTGTCCCACGTTGGAAACAAGTCCCTTTCGTAGTTACCATCGTCGGTCTGCGTGGCAACCGTCAGAGATGCCAGCTGGGTTTTGGCCGTGGATGCCGTGGGGATGCCTGGTGGTGTTGGCATCGGGGCCGGCGCTGCCGCGACGAAGGCCACGAGGCCAACGAGGCCGGTGAGGAGGGAAGCCGAGGTCTTCATGGTGATGACAGCAGGCCTTTCACTATCCTTTGCCAGCAGGTAAGAGGCTTAGTGGGAGTTGTCAAGATCCAGAAAACTGTTGCGTGAAGACACCCAGCCCTTGGATCGAGCGCTGGACGGTGGCCATGAAGATATAGATATATATATGTATATGTTGATTCAATTATAAAGCCGTCGACTACTCATACAGTCAGTCCCAGTGGTTAGATACACTTCAACGCACTCCGCGCGCCCGCGTTGGATGGAAGTCATCTCGCTTGCGACTCCACCTCGAGTCAAGTCGGCACCGCATCCTCGCGCCGACAGCCAACGAAGATAAGCACGCGCTCCGGCAGAGCTGAGCTCGGTGTCTCGTCTTGACCTTCGATATCCCAGGTGGACATCGTCAGCCTTGGCATCTCCGGCCTGTCCAGTGATGTTTCTCGCTCGCGCGTTCGCCAAGACTTTGACACCGATGCAGTGCTACCAGAACCGGATGAACAAAATGTGAAACAAGCCAATGCCGTGACGCGGTTGGGGCACGACCTATCCCAACATGGGAAGCTGGTCAAGCCTCAGCGGGTCAGGGTCGGAGCCGAGAGGTTAAGCTTGAATCCAAGGTTATACTGCTCGGCAGTAGATCACAATCACAGATATGGGATGGGACCCAGAATGGACTTCGAGCTTCCTCTTCCGGACCAAAACCCGCCTTTTGCTTAACAGACCTCAGGTATGCCGGCAGTGCAACCATAGGATCACCGATAACGAATGACTAAACAAGCACGGCAGCAGCCGGCCTATCTACATGAAGTGATAGTGCAAAGCACGAGCCCAGCACTTGTCTAACTTGAGCTACACGTAGTACAGGCGCCCTGGCTCAGCTCCCCATACTACACCACATGATCCCATGTCTCCGATAAGTTCATATGGTAGTCTCAGTGATATAGCTAGGCCGAGGTTTGTACCTCCTTATCGTTTCTCACACACCAAATGTACAACAGATGCATAGCTAGCTAACTTGGCTACGGAAGATGTTAGATTCTAGGAAGGTAGTAGATGACACTATATATCAAGGAGACAAATAGTTTCGAAGACTGCTGTATCTAGCACGGTGCTCTCAGTCACTTCTGATAGGAATTCGGCGAGTCCCGCACGAGGCAATTTGAGCATTCTGGCTCAATGGTCGTGGGCAGATCGAAGTGTATACTCTCAGCGTAACCAGTTATTTGCCCGTAAATTAGGCGCAAAAGGTCAGAAAGTGTGACTTGCCGAGAGCTGCGATGAGAGAAAGCGCTGTCGGGCACATCTTGCGAGAACATGTGACGGAATGACGGGCAAGGCATCATGGTAAGTTTGCTGCGATACTACTGCAATGCTTTGCAGTCACTCTGAGGTACCAACTCGACAGAGCTTAAGCATCGGCGCAGAGGCTTGCAGCCTTCCTTGATCGTTCAAGTTTTGCAATCCCATGGCTTCTCCTGGGCTGATCATACCTTGTCCGCACACATCTCTCGTCCTCGTATGAAGTTAGGTAAGCAGTGTTGTTAAAAGTATCGCAACACAGTCAGATTGGGCCAGCTATGGTAATATTGAGAGAACGGAAAGGAATATCGATTAATTCTCTCGCGCGTCCGGCGCTGTTCACATTATTGGCCATCCTCGGTCAAAAGGCCACTTGTGTGCGTCGGAGACGATGGGTTTTCGCTGGTTCCTTTCGTACTCGAAGCTGTAAGACGGCCACCAGTACTGCCTTGTCTCCTCGCACGATTCTCAACGCCTGGTAGCTTTGCTATTGTCTTGATTGCCGGTGGTTCTGCCAAAAGACGCAAAGTTAACAGCACCTTGTCTTTACGTGCTCCTGTCTCACGAGACATGAGTCTTGTGTTGGGAAAGATCCAGAACAGGCTCGCAGCTTATGTCCAGCCCATTCGGGGCCCATTCGAGGATACAATTATGTTTATAGAGAAGCGCTATGCAACCATGTGAGGAGTATGAATGTAAGTGAGAATACTACTGATAATAGCATATTAGAAGTTTGCTGGAACCTGGGAACTCAGCGACTCCTACCTTCTAAATGCCGAGAAGTTCACTCGTATTAAAGGCCTTATCAAATCGAGGAAATCCCGAGAGTACGCCCCTGAAACAATGCTATGGCTACGTGAGGTTCTTCTACGAGAGTACATTCGTGCTTGTAGATTCGGAGCAACGAAGCGGTCAAGTATGTGGCTGTGGACGTTCGTGGCGAAGATAGCATCGCGTTTCGCCTCGGAAAGTGGCAGTCCACTTTGGCTGATCAGATGACTAGACCCTAAACACTTGAAGAGGGTGAGAACGACTTATATCTCGAAACTCCCGGATTGTGGAGCAATACCCTCTACAGTGACGTTTACGGTATACCAAAATCATTTCTAGTTTTGCTGTCGCAGGTAGTCCGACTCAGGCGTTGTCGAGGCTATGCATCAGGGCCGTTTGACGGCCCTTTCCATCTACTTCTATCGAAGGATACATGAAGTCGATGCGTCCATACTCCAAAGCCATGTAAGAAAAGTCAAGGACGCCTTGTTCAAGTGCGCCACGGATGCCACATCGCAGCTTGGCTTTACGGCCGCTTTCGGATGGCCGGGGTTTATAGCTTATGCGAAGCCCTAGACCTCCAACTGCAGATTGAACTTTCAACATGGTTCAAGGGAAGTCCGTCAAGCAGTGGGTTGCAGTTTCTTGCATTTATTATTCAAACAATTCGAGAGGTCTGGGACCAACGACAAATTACTGGCGACTATCGATATAGTTGGCCTCGGCTGTTACGAGAGAAAAACCTACGTATCTTCTATTCCTGAACATGAATAATATTTTTTACGAAAATGCTACTCTGTGACAGTAACCACCCCTCAGCTATTTGTGGACTCTTAGTGGACAACCAGCGAGATAGTTTTGGGCAAAGTCTCGTTTGCGTGCACCACTCAAATACCCCTTTTGACAGATCGAGAGAGGCAGAATAGTCTGAAGGTAAAATCATCATTTCGCAAGTGAGTTTGGGAATCTGGAGCTAAAGTGGAAGTGGGCATCTGACATGCATAGAGCTGGAGTCAACCTGAGCGTGGCCTTAGCTTAAGGATCCTATTTGGAATCCCGTACTTCAGACACCTGTAAACCAATCCTGCGCAAGAAGAGAGTGGAATGGGCACGTGCCGTTTCTTATGCAGATCGCGTCACCAAGTTTTGCTCTATAGGCGTACGAGTCCAGCTTCCCGACTAGCGTCACCCTCGTAGCATCACCTCTAGTAGGAACTTCTTGCCTGTAACTAAAGAACTAGAATCAGTTCTTGACTGCGGCCGGGCTTGTAGGGAAGTGACCGGATAGCGACTTGAGCTCCCTGTGTTTGCCCGAGGGCGGGACCCAGTCCCAAGCCATGGAGCTTCCCATTTCTGTGAGCTGTACCTCAAGACCGAGCAAACTAATTGGTTTTACAACGTATGAGAAATCTCCAAGTATCATTGATAGACGAAAGTTGAAATCCCGAGATACTACTCAAACAAAATTCTATCTTGTAGTGCGTACACTATTACTTAAGCATCGTGTCGGCCGTCGCCTCCCTGACCGCCTGTCCATACTCCCGGGATCCCATCCACCTCGGCTCTCGCTCTTGCATGTCAAGCCATACACGACATCTTTCTCCAATCAGTTTGAGATTCATATTGTTGGACAGCTGCAGATGCCGGTCATCATCGATTTCGAAGGGCTCTAGGGCATCTCGAATCTTTCGTTCTACCTCTGCGAAGGATCTAGCCTCAACACTCGTTATGGTTCTCAGAGTCCAGGCGTCCTGGAGGATATCTGCGATTGGCTCCGCGCCAGGGGCAATAGCGTACTCGCCCCGCCGGACCTTTTCGCGCCACTGAATCCGATCTGTCTGGCCGTGACGTGCATGACCCATTTCCTGAGCTTCTTCATCTGGGTCAACGCCGGTGAGGATGTAGTGCAGGCAGGACGCGAGGCGTTGGTGGGCCCTTCCCATATCTTTTCGCACAATTTCGTCGCTGGGCATGGGATCGCGATGAGTAGCCTTGGCCGTCTCTCCTCGTTCCGCGGCTCCCGGATAAGAACGGCGTGGCGATGCGCCGAATCCGACCAGCTTGAGCCGCCCATCTCTACGACCCTAGGTTAGCATTTCAAAATTTGAATTTGGATTAGAGCTACTGTTTAGACAGAGGCTTGGAACCGAGGCGCAGTGTGATGGGTGAATGCTTCACAAGGCATGGGAAAGCAAGGTGCTGGGTTGGAATGGCAAGGTGTAATATTATACAATATCAAAGCTCGTTATACGTACTCATCAAGCCCGAGGTCACGGACACATGCTTTTGTGGGTATGATCCCTAGTAATTCGAGGTGCGAAAAAGCCGAAGCGAGCTCGATAGCCCAGCGATGTTGGCGAGTCACATCAGACTCAGCTAGGGCTGTACTCAATGGCTCAAGTCTCTCAAACAACAGAATACCGTCTAGGAGACCTGGATCCTCGACCACATGAGAATCGAGGCAACGAACCAGATTAGGGTGTGGCGAAATTTGCAACATGCCAAAGGCCTCTCGTTCAAGCTGTGTACCCGTAAAGTTGGCGAGCCCGAGTTCCAGAAGTATGCGATCTCCCGGCAACGAGACGCTCGGGATATGATATTGCTTTTGCGCCTTGAGGACAATCTGCTCGTTCAAGAAAAAGACTGCTGAGCGATTGAAACCCTGCCAGACCTGAGGAATTGATGAATCCATCCTCAGTGGAATGATCTCCGCCTTGAAAGGGTTGATAGGCGAGCCGCGATTATGAGCCTCGAGAGTAAGATCCCGGCCACGTTCGAAAGCTTCAAGGGAATCCATTTTGCAAGAGACGAATGAATTGAGAGGGGAAAAAGGAGATGGAAAGAGGGCGTGGACTATAATAGACTGCTAGTGTCCCCGGGATGGCAGCCTGGCGGAACACTTCGCACTCATTCGGTGGTATGGCATTGCATTACCTGTATGATCATTTCATGGTAAAAGAAGAGGAAACGGACCCACTCAGTGATCGCCTTCGCTAAAGGAACACCCTGTACATACTGATTATACCCCACCTCCTACCACACTTCATTCAACCAATGGCCTCACGGCCGCTTGAAGACTGGCTTGAATGGTCTGAACTCCCGCCGCACGCCTGCGTCCAACAAAAATCCTCTTCACAAATCAAGACCCGATCCAAGGGCGGTGGCGCTCTCCTCCAAGGCGATGCCCCAGGCCGCGACTCTGTTCTTCAACCTGAAGCCAGCGACGCGAAGGACAAGATTCTGGAATATCCCGGGTTCTTCCCGACCTCCTTGAGTCCGGAGATCCATCAAGTTGCCGTATTCTAAAATAGAGCAGCTGGATGAACCCGTCGAGAGCGGCCTCACTTATACTTGCATAGGTAGAGAAATTTCAACGACTCTCCTGAATACGCCCAAATCAATCTGGATTGAGTCATATCTCGTCACTTGTATACCGAATTGATTAAGAAGTATTCCTCTTCCAAGGGATGAGCTATTTTTTGAGCGGCCATTTCTGACCGAATATTGATAATGCTGATCGATGGCTATAAGATGTCACAGATTCGTCTTGATTCTGGAAGCTTCTCTGTGAAGCTGCTATGCCTGTATCTAATATCGCTCTTGATTTCAGCGGCTGGACGCACATAAGTACGCGCCTCTTGTTCTTTCTAACCCCGTACTCTTAGCGTTGTTGACCGAAACACTCGCCGGACTAGATGGAGAGCTGCATACAACTGCTTTTATGGGGAGTTTGTCAGAGGTTATCTTGCTGCTTTCTGTCGAAGTTGTATCGATAGAGATATACTCACACATACACACACCAGACCTCGCTATAATTGCAATTTGGATCAGAGACCCCTAGAAACTGCAAGCCGAGTGAAACCGAGTTTCCTATCTTGTCAGGGATAATTTGAAGGAGACGGAAGTCTCAAGCGGCCGCTGGCCATAGAACGTAGCCTGAACAAATGTACATGCTATTTTTTGAAAAGTCCAAAACAGGGTCTTCTTTAAGTCCAATACAAGAGGCGTACATTGTCCGTGACTACCAGGAAGCAGTTGCAACCATTGTTAACAAGACCAATACTATTAGGAGTCGCTCTACGTTCTCATCGTACCATAGTAAAGCTTTGACAAAACTGGCCGGGCTAACAGTGAACGAAAATCCTTCAAATGACCCTAATATGACATTCATTGTGATGGGCCGCGACAGTGTTGAACAGGCTATCGGTTTGGAGGCCGGGAAGTACCTGATCTAAATCCGCATCAGTAAGTAAAACATGCAGCGTATTGTGTCTTGATTGTGACACTCCCAGTCTCAAATTATGTCTCTGCTGAAGTCAACGGACTTCAGTTTCTCTCGATTCCAGATCGGCAAGCATCCCCGTTCCATTAATGTGATCCGGCAGTCTTTTCAAAGGTATCAACAAGCTGATAAGAACAGACAAAGTTGCACCGGCCAGAGAGCAGACGAACACATCCCTAATTCCAACCATGTACGCGTTCATAACATGGTCCAAATCCGCAGCGTTGAAGACATTACGTATTTCGGACGCTCCTATGCCTAGAACAATTGCAGGGTCTAGATTTGGAGCCGTGGTCGCAATGGTATGTAGCAGGCGGTTTGCGAAGATAGCCTGAGCCACAACAATAAAGACAGCCCCGGCACTAGATTGGCATGCTGTTTGGCCACCTGGTCAGCCTTCTCAACTTAGAGGTATCAGAAACAAGATGTACTTACTGAACATAAGAGCTGTAGAGCTGGGCACATCCTCAGGTTTTGATAAGCCCTGTACTGCGGTAACGGGAACTTGGTTCCCGAAGCCAACGCCAAAGCCGAAGAGGACTTGAGCACCAACGTACCAAGCTTTCGGAGTTTCGACATCAAACATGTATAATATAGTCATTCCAGCAGTCATTAGGAGCGTGCTGACAAGTTGGTCTTTTTATCTGTTAGAACTTTGGTACAGAGTCTGAAGTGATATGATTGGAACATCCGGCCAGGAGAGTTTTGGCGCAAATGAAGGAAGGTTCCGTAAAGCAGTATATGGTGTAGCAAAAGGTCTCACTCACAGGGCATTAGATATCTCGTATACCCAATCAATGTACCACTGCACACGGCGCCCAGAGCAAAGAACGCCAAATATGGCAGCGTATAGACACCACTCATGATGGCGGACTGGCCTTTAATCGATTGGAAATATATTGGAAGGTAGAACATGACCTGGTAGAATGCAGAGTTGGAGCTATACACAGAGTTATGAATCAGCCAATCGGTAGGAAACAGAGTGTTATAAATGAACTTACATAAAATTGTACAAAGCATTAACCCATGCAATGCGTGGCTTGAGCAATCTCAAAGGAATCATAGCTCGTGAATTTTGGAAATGTTCAATTGAAACGAAGCCCATGAACAAAACAATGGACATTATCAAAGTTGCGATGACCGGGCCGTCACTCCATGCTTTGGTCTGGCCGCCCCATTCCATGGCCAATGTGAGGCACACGAGTGATGCCAGCAAGGCGAACAAGCCTGGAAAATCCAGCTGCATTAAGATTTCTTTCCATGTCCCTGGAGCTGGCTTAATATGTTCCGGTATATGTAGGAGCAACACCAGTAGAGTGATGATAGGAAACCCCAGCGGCAAGTTGATCCAAAAGCACCATCGCCAGCTGGCTCCGCTCGTGAAAGCTCCGCCGATGATAGGCCCAAGGATGGTTGAAACCATAAAGACGCCTGTCCAAATGCCGATGAGCAGAGGGTGTTGACTGGGGTGAGAAACAAAGTTGATGACAATGATTGAGCCATTCATAGAACCAGCGATTCCTAGACCTTGGATTGCCCGGCCGAGGATGATGGACCTGCTGTTTGGAGCCGCAGCGGCAGGAATGCTTCCGATCATGATAAATGCCAACGAACTCAGAAATACCCACTTGGCGTTACAGTACTTGTACGACTTTCCCCATGACGCCGAGGTCGCGGCAACAATGAAGAATGTCGCAGATCCATACCATCCTACATCACTCAGAGAATGAAATTCGTCGGTGATCTGCGGAATCGCAGTAGAAATGATGCCTATTTCTAGTGCGGTGAGAAGAGCGGCCATGTTGATGGAGAGCATGATAAGGAAGAGCTTGAAGCCCTCCACGTATTGAGGCTCGACAGCCCTGTGATTATCCTCTTTATCACTGGAGGGCTTTTGAGAGAAGTCGTTGCCGCTGATGTTCAGACCCAATGGGCCGAGAGCGTTTTCCCCGCCCTCTTGCTTTTGACCCTGAATTGACATTTCCAGAATCGTCACAGTGGAAGTGGACTATGCCGTACCGCGTGGACGAGGCCACGATTATTCTGGGTCAAATTGATGATATCAATCTTTTGTGCCTTTGACAAAATTGATGTTGGAATAGGGGAACAGAAGACGCTGAGGGTTGTTGAGAGAATTGATGCCACAGCGTGAATTGAGCAGCTGTCAAAGGGGATCTGACATGGAAAAGCCGTGTCGAAAATCATTTCGCTCTACTGTGGTTTTCCCAGAAAATTGCCTTGGATATTTATACCCAAGTCCAATGTCGCCCTCTGCTCTGGCAGGAAACCTTCTACGTAGGGTTACAAATGCGATCAACAGCCCGGAAACCCAAGGTCAGCAGTTAATGGCTTTCCAAGAGTGGATAACATAACGAGTGATTGGGTTCCTGACCAAGAAAAATTATTCCGCCGAACGTCGATGTAGCCTTCCTGGAAGGGCCGAGTTTCAGGAATCCATGTCTCGGAGAAAGCTGTCTTATGGTTTATTCCCGTCGCCGTCCCCCAATCTTCCGCCGAGGCCGACTGCGGCCCGCCGCAATGGAAGGCTGTGTGCCATGTCAACGCTGACAAATGTACACTCTTCCGCCGCTCACGTGCTTCAATTGTCTAGTTGGGCCGAATTTCCATTCAATGGTATAACTCCCCCGCCGTCTGGCTTCTCTTTCCACGTGCTCTTAGTTGGCATCCACACAAATGTTCAACGGAGTCCAGCCTGACACATAATTAAGCCATTTTGCTCCGAATTGTACAAACACATGAAATTGTGCTCTATGTCGTCCAATTTAGCGGCACCGGCCGATGTTGAGCCCCTGGTGAAGCGGAGACGCCTTCGAAAAGGGACACATTCATGTTGGCACTGCAAGAAACGAAAGGTGAAATGCGTTCCTGATCCCTTGGTCGATGGTGGCCCTTGTGACGAGTGTAAGCGCCGTGGCTCCCGTTGTGTTGGACAGGAGTGCCCTGAGAATGTGTCACTCTTGGCAACTCCTACGCTTATGCCAGACCACACGTCTATGGGCATAACCACCACTGCTAACACGAATCGCCTGTATGAGCCTCCTGGGTGCACGTCCCATCAAAATGGCGAGAAATACGGGGAGACGACGCCCGCAAAGGCTGCCCTTAGCGTTCAGTCGAATCATCAGAATGGGTTCCGGACCCCGGTATCAACAGTCTCGCGGTCCTCCAGTCCAACATATTTAAAGGCACATGAGGTTGGTATCCCGCGATCCGAAGACAGACTTATTATACTTTAAGTCGTCACTACAAATTGTGTTGACTGATTCGTCAGCGTCGTATCATCGGGGATGACACCCTTGGATCAACTCCAGGAGCTCGGGTGTCTAGGGACCATACCCAACAAGTCAGCCACGGCAAACTGGAGACATTGTCTCGATCTTTGCATAACTCGCTGCCTTCCCGAGAAGATATGGAAAGAATATGCATCGCCAGTCAGCACCCCTCTGTGCTCGCTCATGAAATAATGACCATGCCATACACTACACTCTGCCAGAATGGGCTGAAAACTCCCAAGGTTCTACTAGAGATCCCTGGTCCACATCAACACCCGGTCTTGCTTGCGAGGCACATGCTACTGCTGGCTACATTTATGCAACGTGAGAACCTTCCTAATACGATTTTCATACTTGGGAGACACTGTTCATATGGTGTTTACTTGCTGCCTTCCTCCTTGCTTTGGGCAATTTCTGTTGAGCTGCAGCTTATGAGAGGAGATGTAAATGCGTAGTGCTTATTCTGACCCATTACGATGTGAGATCTCCTTCTCTGTACCTCGATAGCTAACCTTGAATGCTGTAGATCTTCACCCCAATCTTCAAAAAGAGATCAAAGGCCTCTCAGAGTCTCCACAAGATATAATGGAACGACTGTCCAACCTGGCCATCCGCCTGGTAACGACAGACGACGAACTGCTTGGAAGCATTGAGAGTCTTGAGTGTGTCATGATCGAAAGTGTATTCCACGCGAATGTTGGCGATTTGCGCCGAAGTTGGCTGGCGGGCCGCAGAGCAATGAATATTGCACAGATCATGGGCCTCAATCGAATGGGTCACAAAGCACAGTACCAGATTCTTGATTCTAGTTTGAACTACCACCCGCAGTTCATGTGGTTTCGGATACTCTTTACGGACAGATATCTTTGTCTGATGCTAGGGTTTTCCCAGGGCTCTCTTGACCGCAGCATGGGCTCCGAAGAGTTGCTCACGAGTGATACCCCTGTGGGCCGGCTCGAGCGGATCCACTGCGTTGTTGCATCTCGAATATTGGAGCGGAACGAATCTCGCTCAAACATCGAAGACCTTACTCTGACGCGAGCCATCGACATGGAAATGCAGGGTGCTGCCAGAAGCCTACCTAGCAAGTGGTGGCTGACCCCGGACATGAGCAGCAAATTAACCGATGCTCAAGAGCTGTTCTGGAACACCAGACGTATCTTTGCACAGCTAATGCACTACAATCTTCTGAACCAACTCTATCTACCCCATATGCTTCATTCGCCATCAGCGTCACGCAGCTTGGCATACTCGCGCCTGACGTGTGCCAGTGCCTCGCGTGAGATTCTCTCACGTTTTATCACGCTACGAAGCTTCAACGGATTTGCCTATAGCTGCCGCACAGTCGACTTCCTAGCTCTGATGGCCGCCTTGACGTTGCTGCTGGCCCATCTGGACAGTCGCCGCCACCCGACCGACGCGGGGGACCTCCTCGCCCACCATTATCACAGCGACCGGGCGATGATTGAGAAAATCCAAGAGAACATGGATGAGTTTAATCGGCTTCACTCAGACGCACTGAGTGCGCGGAGCACAGATCTGCTACGTCGGCTATCAACTCTTGACGCTGACACTACCAACTCAACCTTGCGGAAAGTCAATGTGATAAAAGAAGCAGGCGGCACTCTTACATCCAATGTGGAAATCAACACTATAGTGAGCGTCGACATCCCGTATTTTGGCACCATCGAGATTTTACAAGAAGGGACGAGCAAAGAAATTTCCAAAGCTGGACCCGCCTCTGCAACAGCCAGCGGCCCCGCGAAATCACCGCAAGGAGTCTCGCCACCATGTACTCCGGTCCAGTCTCAAATTAACACAGTAATGAGTGCTGAGGACGGCATCTCAATTGCTGCTGGTTGCAGTCCCAGCGATGCACACCTCGAGCCACTTGCCGCTCTTGGCACGAATGAGGTTGAACTATATGATTCGCAACTCTTACAACAAGAGCAGTATCCTGGGTTGGTAGCAGACAGAGAAGATTGGGTCTTTCAGGGTGTGGACTCCTTCTTCTTTGAAACTCTACTTGACGGCACTAGCAACAGGGATACGGAATCTACGGCGTAGTGAATCTATTTAAACATTCGCGAAGCTTTAACACCGTGATGTCTGCTGCTGGAAATGCCCCTCAATTGTTAATTAGCCCATTCGACGTAGGACGCTTGTTTATATTCAAAGTAAACTGTTTCACTTGTGAGGGTATTCTCAGGAAGCGCTCGTTGTTTCGCGATGCAAAATAGTGCAACTTGGCATGTCTTACGTCCGTCATATAGCTTTTCCTGATTAGTCACCTTGGCCAGCTCGCAGGTGTTCCGACTTCTAACTACAGTCCTGGTTGTCAAAGAGCAGGCTGGCCAGCTCTTCTGTACAACTTCATTCAGCACAGCAACCCAGGTCTTGCGAGGACACAGTATATAGCTTTGCTAAGCCCCGCATTATTCTCGTCGACTAAGACAACGCATGTGGAATCTGGGACCTCTCATCGATGGAGACAAACAAGCTGCTAGCGAAACCAGCCGGCGGCTTCTGTAGGCGTACATATGGGTCGACTCTCCAGGCTGGGTACCACATAGTGGGAGATTGCAAGACCCCTGGAGGGCTGGTCGATGAAAAAGCTCACGAGGTCAGGCCGGAAAGAATTTCACCTCCCTGCACCCAACAACGATTGCTTCGATTTACCTATTCGGAACGGATAGTGTATGCGACATTGCGCCAGACTCATACTGACAGCGTTGTCATGCACTCGCAATCTGGTAGTAGCCTCATCTACAATATTAGTTCTTGCCTAGTTATGTATGAAGAAACTCCGGTGTTGGAGACCCTCCTGATGGATGTTTGCCACGAGGTTGTATTGTAACATGCTGTGATTGAGGGCATCTGCTCAGTCAACTGCCAAGGGGTAGGTCCGCTGCCAAGACGCGATGTTGTACACCATGAGAAACCACATCCGGAATTTCGATGATTTAAGGACCTCGGGCCGCACAATGTGGCATCATCTGTGATCATGTCAGATCTGCTAGTTAGGTGTCATCGCTACGGACGAACCTGCTTAGCCACCTCAAATCGCCAGTTAGCCTACCAGTAATAAACGGGAGACATATTCTCCTCCAACGATATCTCCGTATTCTTCCCCGCAATCGCACACATCGGCATGCAGCCTCCGCTTGTGGAACAAGGGTTCTTATAACTTTGAATTGACTGATAGACTATAACGAGTACCTTCAAATTAGGTCCTCACCCATGGAACTCACTCCACTGATCTTGCCCGGCGTCCGGCTTTAATGATTTTACGGCATTCTGAAATGAACGAGGGCTCAATACTCTTTAGGTATTTGATGGGACAACAGTGACAGAGCGAATTCACGAGTTCTCCAAATCCATAACAACATCTGGGATCCCTGAAAACAGTACGCAAGGTACCAACAAGGGTCAGACGAGGTGGTACGACAAGGATTCCGCAGTGTTTCATCTTCAATGTTCGATATTTGCACCGGCATGGGGACCCAACTATACAGAAAGATGCCAAGACGTCCACAATAGGCTCTCAGCCACCTGGCTTTACATAACTTGCATGCGGGCGCAACCGACCCATGTACGCTAGACTTTGCGCATGACCAATTGGCCTGTCCATCGCCGAGGAGTCGCGGCATGAGTGCCCGAAAATGTACAGGCGGTCCCCTTCCCCGGGATTTCCTGTATGTTGTCAGTACCCAGTCCCATCACATCAGTCTCCGATCCTGATTTCATGCCCCTTTGTCGAGCCTCGGAATGTAAGCAGCCGTCAAAGTGGACGTCGCTCGCATCAGACGACGTGTGCTGGCCTGTGGGATGCAGCTACAAAGATGAGCGAAGCCTGTTATAATTGACATGTCCAGCTGTGGAGCTCCTGTAGCTGCAAGTACCCCCGGGCTGTGGTGTTTGTCTCTCAAAGGAGACGCTCAGAGCCGCGTCTGGAAGATTTTCTAATTCGTGCAATATTGAAGTCCGCTGGTCTACGCCATGGATAGCGAGGTCGACATCATCTTGACCATGGGGCTCGCGTATTTTCAGGACAGACTCGTCCAGTATGGCAACGAGAGGGCTTCATGAATGAAGATATATAAGAGCCACAGAGAGACCATCCATCAGCGAAAGACGCCTCGCAAGCTCCAGATCAACACCCTGCCAATCTCTTGCCGAACACTTTCTCCATTACCATAAATTCTGTTCCGCTAAAACAAAGATGAAGCAGACTTTGATTCTGTCCACCTTGGCGTTTCTTGCGTCTTTCGTCACAGCCTCGCCTACTCCCACTGTCCAAGATGACGCCGTCGTAGACCCGCGCAGCATCGAAAAGCGAGCCGCAATCACTGACGCCGCTGATGTCGGCTACGCCACTCAGAATGGAGGGTACGCCCATTTTTACGTCGTCCCGTTACTTTTGCTGGTGCAGTCTTACTGATGCTGTTCTTTCCAGAACCACTGGAGGTCGCGGAGGAACTACCACTACTGTGACTAGTTTGGCACAGCTCACGGCCGCCGCCGGATCCAGCAGCGCGGCCGTCATCGTCGTCAGCGGAGCCATTTCGGGATCCGCCAAGGTGAAAGTTACCTCGAACAAGTCTATCATCGGAAAATCCGGCAGCTGTACGTCTATCTCCTCACTCGTGGAAACGACTTTTATCTCTATGGCATGACTGACAAGATTTCGACCGCAGCACTTACTGGCATTGGTCTGACCATCAACGGGCAATCGAACGTTATCGTGCGAAACTTGAAGATCAGCAAGGTTCTCGCTGACAACGGCGATGCTATCACTATCCAAGCATCCAACAATGTCTGGGTCGATCATGTTGACTTGTCCAGCGACCTGGACCATGACAAGGACTACTACGACGGCTTGGTCGATGTGACTCACGCCAGCGAGTGGGTGACCATCTCAAACAGCTACATTCATGACCACGTAAGTATATACATAGCTCTACTTAGACAAACATACACATTACTGTTTCTCAACAGCTTGGGGGACAATACAAAATACTCACCAAGACTCTATCTGTACAGTACAAGGCTTCCCTAGTCGGGCACTCCGACTCCAACGGCGACGAAGACACCGGTCACCTGCACGTCACCTACGCGAACAACTACTGGAACAACATTAACTCGCGTGCCCCATCTTTCCGATTTGGCACAGGTCACATTTTCAAGTAAGTCATGCTGAATGGAAATTGGGAAGCCGCATCCCCCTTGGCTTGCCTGTCTCTCCGCGGGCGGCCAGCTGACCACACGTAATTACCCGCGTACAGCAGCTACTTTTACGCCGTCAACACCGGCATCAACACTCGCGAGAACGCCCAGCTCCTCATCGAGTCGTCCGTCTTCGAGAGCAGCGGCACCAAGGCCATCTACTCGGCCGACAGCGACGTGGTCGGCTACGCCGTCGTCAGCGACGTCGCCCTCGGCGGGTCCGCGAACACGGCTGCGACCGGCACCCTCAAGAGCGTCCCGTACTCGTACTCCAAGCTCGGCTCGGGCAGTGTCAAGAGCAGCGTCACCGCCAACGCTGGTCAGAAGCTGAGCTTCTAAGATGATGGATCCTCTGAAGCCGGCATGCGGATCTGCACTATGGTTCTGGCCTCTGAGGTAGTTCTCCAAGGTCTGATGAGATGTAATGGTCGGATAGGGTAAGAACCTTGTGGGCCTGCAAATGAGCAGTCTTGAAGGAAGAATGAATGTGGGAGAGTGCTGCAGTAATCGTGGCATTGTATATATTCGTCTGGCTCATTCTCGTCACTCTTTCAGCGAAAGCAAACTTTTGAGTCTCATAGTTCCTTGTCATGCTTATGCGAGACCTCGACTTCCCCAGACCAAGATATATCAGATCTGCGAATCTCGCGAGTCTCCAGGTTGTGTTGATTCTGCAACTGGCTGACACACGCATGTGGTCGAATCAATCTTGCTATTTACTGTATAGCAGTGTTATATGTGCTCACACTAAGACTTTCGAGCTGAACAATTTCTTCACATTCTCTTATTTTTCTGTATGTTGGCCTTAGTTCATTGAGGGGTGAGCTTTTTGTATTTTTGATTGGCCGGGAGTTCTAGAGAGCTGTCAGAAAACTGGAAAAGCCTCATCATTCCCGGGGACGACCCTTGCAGTAACAATTCTTCATGAGAAATATTCGCATAAAGAACTAGCCAATCAAAAACTGACCTGCAGGAAAGGATTCGAAACCGTGCAAGTTGGTAATGAAGAAATCTCCATCAGATGATTTTTAAACTTAGCTGTCCATTCGCGACGTTGGCGTTTGGGCTGCACGTTTGGACGGACGAGGAAATACAAGGCGTTGGGGCACCAACTGATCTGGATGAGAGTTCTAAGGGGATATGAGCATGGTTTGGACAGGATGAAGAGGGATGTTTGAAGCTCCTAAGGTCCAATGACGCGAGAAAATGAATTCTTGGTTGAGTTCAAAGTAACACAGTTGATTTTGTTGAATTCGACGAGAAATCGTCACTTGTAGATAGAAGATGGCAGACAGCAGGGATGAGCCATCTCATTTGCTACTCGGAGGACGATATCAGCTACCAACACTGTCTATCAACTTAGCCGAAAGTTCATCTATCATAGTAGAAGAGGCTTACAACGGGTCCCAAAGTTAAACAGTAAGGCGGAAAGTCCCAGTGATGGTTGCAGGTCTTTGGATCAAAACACCCGAGGAATGGAGTCTTGTCATCCAGTGACGCACTTCGGTCACCCATGCGTGAAGCTTGTGAGGAGCTGAGCATGTAGGCCGTTGGGTTAATAGACGACGTAATCCTTTGTCTTCACTATTCGGGTAAACAATACTGGAAGAATTACATCCCGATGAAGAGTTTCAACGATGTAAAAAGGATGGAGTGTCTGCTCTCCACAGCTTATATTTCCCCGATATCATGCGACACATAGGTATGAAGGATTGAATCTAGTCTTACTTATCAGGTTCCACAATCTTGAGCCTTTCATGATTTACTTGCAGGTTCCACAAAGAAGGTACAATTCTATTATCCATATAAATCTTTCCACAGATCCATTATGATAATTTACAGTGAATTTGCTCTATAAGCGCCCCGTTCTGAACTTTTCTTGCGTGTGCTCAGAGACGATTCTATAATACATATACCCGCTCTACCACTCATTATTCAGGCCTCCTTGTATTTTTGTGTAACCACCCTCCGCTTTCGTGTCACACGGCAGATGTTCCATATATAAATCATGGATGCCGTCTTCCGAAACGAGCTTGTGCCTGTAGATCCACTTGCAATCAGGGCAGTAGCCTTTGGAGGAGAAACGGCAGGTCGAGTCTTCCCTCAGAGGTTTGTCTCCCACCTCCCCGCGTTGTGCAACGTGAGTCTCTCGCGCCATTGATTTGAGTAGCTGAGCCATTCCAACGAGCCCCTCGGGCGGGATAATGACCTTATAAGACATGCAGGCCAGGACGATGCTCAGAACGAGCTGCGCGACAACAGCCGACAGTAGGATCAACGATGCGTAGTCCCAGTGGTCGACTTTGACCCGCGACCCTCTGACGGGCGGATACCCCTGGATGATCATCTCGTTGTTGGAATCAGCAGCTGCGCAAATGACGCCTATTGCAAACCGCGCCATCCTCATGGCCATCGCGTCTGCGTCGCCCCCGGCCGCGAGCCCAAAGGCAGTCTCCGCGGGGTAGCTTTGATACTGTGATCGCGAGTCGTCGACGAAGGATAGGACGGCATAGCCCTGAAGTGCGATGCCCTGCGCCGCGAGGAGCCGGACGTGGTTTGAGACCTGGTGTGCTGGCTGCGTGGCGTTGGTTGCGGCCCCGACTGTCACATTGCAATCGTAGTACCACGACGTGGCCGGGGAGGATTCAAAGGCTGTCACGACACCACAGCCAGCGCCGCAGTCCAGGGACGTGTTGGTCATGTAGGTTGTCTGGTTCGTGCCTCCCGCAAAAGGAATCTCGATTGTCCGATTTTCACCACCTCCGACATCAATGGTTACATTTGTGCTTCCGCCGTCACCTCCAGCTATGACTTGGTGGCGGATGCATGTACCGCTGCTGTCGATCCTGCGGTCTGTGGCGACGACAATTGGTTGAAAGTCGGCGTCGTTGGGCAAGTCTGTGGGCGGAGTATTTTTTTCTCGAAAGACGTATTGACACTGTTGCGCATCGCAGAATATCCGAGGGTCTGATGCCAATCGTAGGTCACCGCGTGAAGGAGCGGACTCGGGGAGATCGTCCGCATACGTGAGGGACATGGAGCCGTAACTGAGGTTCTCATAGGTCAGTGCCACGCAAAGGCCGGAGGGTCTAGAGAGCACCTAACCTGTTTGCGGTGTATTCTTGGGCGCCCGAACTTGAATAATCGTTGCCTGCCACGACAGTGCTAAAGGTCCGAATCGCGCTCAGGTCTGGCACGAGTACTTTCCCGGGAGTCACCACCAAGGCCAACTTGCTGGCATCTTCGACTGAGTAACATAGTCCGAGGGTAGCGAGGCCGATTTGAGATGCCTGGGTTAGACCGTTAGTGAGCAAGATAATTGTCTCATCCACGGCACAGCACAAACTCACGACTGCTAAGAGGAACCACAATAGCGCGGCAGTGTATATTGTGGATCTTTTTGACCTGATGGCAAGTATGAGAACGGAAACAATCCCATTTGCCTGCAAGATGAGCTCGACCTGGATAGACGCCTGGGTATTAGCAACGTCTAATCTGGGGTACCTAGTCTCTGCTTACGGTGCGCCTGGGCCTGAAGCGGAGGCTGAGGAACCACCAGCGTGCATCTCGTATTGTCCTGTCGACAAATGCGCTGACAGATAAACTGAGAAGGATGGAAAAGGCGGTGATCAGAGTATTGAATTCTTTTTTCGTCTGTTTCCCCATGATCGGTACGACCTCAGAGTATATGTGGAGCGTATAATAAATCGCACCGCTGAGAGCCACGGTGATTACCCATCCGAAAAAGAGGCGGAGGGTGTAAGTTCTCCGGTATGCCTTGGTAGCTGGGCAGCCGTATAACTCAGCACGGCTGCATGTGCTTCTCAGGTCCTGCAGGCTGACGGCCGTGGGAGACTGCATCTTGACGTTGTTGCTGTGATTCGATTGCTTACAAACGAAGAGCCAAACACAGAGCCGAGCAGGCAGCCTCGAAGGCTTTCGTATTGAGCCGGGCCCATCAGGCCTTAAGAAAAACACAGCCCAGGTCAGTGCCGAAGGTTGGATACACTCATTTTGTAAACGATTCAGTCAAGCAGCCAATGGGGTCACCGTCGCTTCGGATGGGACTCCGTACTCAGTCTCGGCCAGCCCTATTTGATGAAACAGGGGATTTGCCAAGGCCACCATCCCGGCAGTACTCTGGCCAAACCGCAGCAGCTGTCCGCCACTGTAATGCTGATTGGTTGATTTCAACCCTAAATCCTGAACCGCGGCCGACTGTTTTTAGAATACCAATGCCAAGACGAGGACAGGCTATCGTAGTGGACTGTGGATTGTGCAAAAGCGGTCTCGTTCTGTCTGAATATACCTGAAGTTAAAATTAAATCATTGACCTTAAATACTGTGTGGACGAGCTTCCAGTGCGTGTGTGCAGCTGCGCTACCTCTGTTTTTCTTTTCCGTAGGCGACTCTCAACAGAAATCAACAACTTTATAACTCGAAGGCTCAAATCACTGGTCACAATAATCAGATTGTCATTCTTACCAGCGGGGATTTGCGGAAGGTGTCAATCACAGGCAGAAGCTGCGTAAATGTAAGGTCGTGATGGCGACTCCCTGGCCTCTGAAACATGCATAGGTTGGTGGCCTGGCGTCTTGTCCATGTGAACTTCATCATTGAGTACGTGCAGGCACCGCAGTGGTCTTGACCCCTCACCGTCAAATGCAGTGCCACTGGCTTACCAAGCCATCGGGCCCCGACATGCGGGCTAGTCGAGAGAGGAATTGAGAGGGTGGTTCCGGTGCGTCGCTGGCATGAGAACCACATGCTGAGGCCGGTACTCTGGAGCTAACCGCAGTACGATTTGAGGGTCGTTCCGAATCTAGAAGCTGTCCTGTGAAGCAGTGTGATTTTCAAGTCTAGGCCACTGACTTCATTTCTTTTACCATCATATCAAACACGATATTTGAGCTGGCTTGGCCCACCGCCATCCGTTGACTCTGGCTCTTGGAGGAGTCCCATAGGTTGATAGTCTTGTCCTTAGACGCTGATGACTCCTGTGTGCTGTCGCCCGACAAGTCCACCGACCACATAAGCTCGCTATGGCCCTTGAGCGTCTGGAGACACTTGCCCGTGGCGTGGTCCCAAACCTTCACGATCCTATCCTTGGACACCGACGCTCTTGAAGTGACCCTTGTCCAATATCGATCACCATGGTCGGTTCACACCACGGGGGTCCAAGTGGCAAGTTGGCAAGATGGGGGCAGGCATTGCGATGCGGCTACATGTGCTGCCAGTATCCGCTATGGTGCCCGATATTAGTGCAACCGGGTTGATGCGGAGGCTAGCATCGCCGAATGGCCTTTTTTCTTGAAGCGGAACGATATCACTGGGGTCAGTTCAGCCACTAGATTCCAACGACTCATTTCGAAGCACAAGTGCAACACGTTCGAAAAGGCCACCAGAGGGTCCCTGGACGGCGGAAACAACAATAATTTCGCTTATGCCGTGAATGAGAATGGGTCGGTCATTTCGCACAATCTACCTACCAAGGCGGCTTCACGTGCGTCTACGATGCCTGTTCCGGTTTCAAAACACCAGTTCCGATTCATCCCAAAGATCCAAGGTTGTCATTACCGCGTCAAAAGTGGGACCAATGATTTTGTCCTGGCTAACACAATGTTAGGCTGGAAAGTTCTTGTGGAAACTTCCTGATTGGACTTGACTCACGGAGTGTTGATGTCCTCAAGGACCTGCTTGAAACATTCGGTGGCATAGGCTTGTATTTTGCCTGGATATTCTTGTAGAATGTTCTGCATGATTTCCGCTTTGCTGTGGAGATCCGTACACGATGGATCCTTCAAGATTCGTAGAAGCAAAATGAGAGATGTTGAGAGTATGTAGTACGAGTCGAACCAAAATGAGTTGGTAAGAACATTTCTGGCTTGCATATCAAGAATTATCTCGATGGACTTGTCGTTGTTGTCGTTGCAGATTTCGATGTAGCGATTCATCGTCGAGCTCTCCCAGGTAGGATTGAAAAGGAATGTTCGAGTAATGAGAACTAGGATATAATGATATCTTAATCGAAGATAAAGCGTTGCGCGCGCGAATGACTCCGATAGTATTGCCTGAGTTAGATATCCTGGTAGGCTCGCCCACCAGGCATTGAGACCATGGAGGAGGTCGTCTATGTCCCGTCCTCTACATGTCTTCTTGAGGAAAATACAACTCGTGGCCCTGGAGAGAAACTGTGCCAAGCGTGCTGACGCGGCTGCATACATTGGTGGAGTCGTGGCGCTTGCGGTGAGGCTCTGTATTATATTAGTCGATTAGCAATCCGGATTGTGGTGAGTTGGACTGATGCTAACCTCGCACGGCGATGGGACAGTATCGATATTGACAGAAGTGTCAGGGGATCGCCCCAGGTTGGACGAGCTCCATTGGTCCAGCTCGTACAATGACCACCACAGTCTTGTCTTTTGCTCCGCCACCATCCGGCTCTCGTCCTCCGTCCTGATGTGCATACCGAGTGACTGTGCGATTCTGGTTGCACTGCCTAGAGCAACCCAGGCTGTGTGCCGCTGATTTTGATTCTGTCGGTACAAGGACTAGAGACTACTTATTAGCTTGTATGATCGAAAGTGAAGATATTACAGACCATGAGCATCATGGCCTGGACACTTTCCAGGCTTCCCTCTTCAAGGACGCTTTCCATTTGCATTCGTGCAGTTTCAAAGTTTTCGGAAGATCTATTCACCAGAGCTACGACGAGGTGGATGATCGCTTGAGTAGACGTCGGCGTGTCTCTACCGCTGTAAGCAGCCTCGACGGAGTTGAAGAACTTTTCGGGACTGAGAATATAGAGAACACTATTGATCTGGGTGAAGAATGTGACACCACACTGCTCGCTCAATTTTCTAGATGGCAGTGCGATGGCCGGGATTGCCCAGAGTGGTTGACCATCGCTCAGGTCGATTGTGGTCTCCCGTTGCAACATCGAAAGCCGTGGGAAGCTGTCAGGGATGCACGAGCTGATTCTGGAATTGAGAACGGCACAGCTTGAAGCATTATCGAAACCTATATTGCCCTCAATATGGGATTCGGTACCAGCTCGACAGCTTTAGGGGGCCACCTACGGCGCTGGCATGTAGCGTCGGGTATGAATTCACCATCTAGGCTAGATTCAGACAGACCAGGCGATGTCCCATCATCGGCGCCGTCGTCATACTCCTGTGTCTGTGTATATGAGTGCTCATATGACTGTGAATGTGACCCCGGAGTTTTGGAAATAGTGCCTGGCTGAGAGATGGATGGCGGAGGCGAGGCTTCTTGTCCGGGGCTCCGGCATGATGAGCTGTCTGAAGTAGCTTTGCTCAATGTGGAGACGTATTCGCGAAGGTTTTCCACGGTAAGTGGGGTATTGGGCGAAAAGTGCCGAACAACTGCTGCCATCAACTCGAAGCGCTCCTTGGAGGTGTGGTAGAATGGTCGAACGACGACCTCGTCGGTTACGGCGCAGTCCAAACCCAGTCGTTCACACCTCCTACAGTCTCTCGAAGATGACTTGTCGCACTGGTACGTCCAGACAGCCGTCAGTAGAGTCAGAGAAGGATTTGACGGAGCAGAGAGACAGAGCGAGACGATGGGGTGCTAAGGATGGCGACTTGCTCTGATCTTGCGACGCCGGCAGTTGACACAACTAGAAGGTAGCCGGCGAGCTTTTGCGTTAGTGCTCATGCCGATGCAGCTAAGAAAAGAAAAGAAGAAAGAAAGAAAAGAAAAGTTGGCAATAAAAAAGCTGTGGTGTAGCAAAAGTGTTGGTCGTTGAACTTTGGGAAAAGAAACATACAGTAGTACAGCGAAGCGTTTCTCGGGCGACTCGGAAGGAGGAAAGGGGAGGTACTGGAGAGAGGTAGGTGTGGTGGGGCTCAAGTTGCAGACGGGCAATCGAGTCCCATCCCCCACTTCCCCACACTGCACATCCGCCCTGCCGCCTTGAAATGTGGGGGAAGGTGTGTATGGTGGTTCGTTCCTACAGTAATTACACTACACCCAGTCGCCGACTATGATACACCCTATTTGCTTAGTAACCCGAATCGGGAGCTGAGCCGGCTCAGAATGTAAGTAGGCCCCCCTGAGCGGTAAGGTGAGCTGTTGATAAAGCTAGTAAGCAATGGGGTGTCGGCGACCGGGTGTAGGAATCACCCGCACTCATGCGGCCAAGAGTTTCTTTCTGGGTGCAAAGGCTTTGGCTTTGGCTTTGGCTTTGGCTTTGGCAAATTCACCCGACCGTCATTGGATAAAGGAGACTACGCTAAAAAGGCAAGGCTTTGTCGGCGGTCACCGTCAGGGGCACTTCAATTGGAACCCCCAGTGCGCGGTGACCGCACTTGTGGGGCCCAATGATGGATATTTGACATGATAGTCTATGCAGGATGCAGTAATCATCAGTACCGGCATCGACTGTCCTCGCTGTTACTTGCAGTCAGTCAGTTAGTTGCATCGCGTCTGGAGCTGACCATACGTTGCGTTCAATGTTTTACCCGCCCACCATGTCGTCGTCCTTGTTCTCAAAATACGAGATTCCTCTTCCCGACTCAGGCCAGAAGCTGTTGATCTTGGTTCTTGCGGCTTGTTGCATCGTAAGTCTAAGCACCTCAATCTTACCCGGACCGATGCACCGTATCTTGGCCAAAACTTACAGTAAACCAACAATTCAAGCCGATTGTGTACTCCATAACCCTTCACCCCCTCGCTCGGGTTCCGGGGCCTTTCCTCGCCAAACTCTCCGACCTCTGGCATGCATACCACCTATCGACCGGCACTCGGCACATCCTTCTTTGTGATCTTCACAACAAATATGGTGAGTCCGTCCTGCAAGATTGATTGGGAGGCCTAGGGAAATCTAAACTATGCCCAAGGTCCATTGGTGCGCATCGGACCAAATACGGTCTCTGTGAATTCAGAACAAGGACTGCACAAAATATTCTCGGGCTCCTCCCCCATCGAAAAATCCCCTTTCTACAAGGCTTTTGCTCCAGGCTTTCCCAGTAGCTTTGCAGCTGTAGGAGATGCCTTTAAGCAGAAGAAGTCGATCCTCTCTCATGCATTCGCCCAAAAAAAGCTCGACGCCATGGAGGTGACCTTTATGGAGCACACCATGAAGCTCTACGAAGCGATGGTCGCCCAAAAGGTCGTGGATCTCGACCAAGCCCTCTCGGCCTTGACCATCGATATCCTCTCGGATGTCTGTTTTGGAGAGACCTTTGATCTGATCCACAATCCGGCAGAAAAGGCAAGGGTTAGCGATGGCTTGGTACAAGCTGCGAAATGGGTATCACTGGTAAGCAGCGCGCCCAACCGACCCCCTGGCGCTGCAGCCTCGCTCCGCCCTCACCAGGGATCAAAACTGATGCCAGCACTTACCACAGGAAGGGACAATTTGGAGATGGCCGTTGCTGCAAAAGATAGTCAGAGCACTGTCCAATAAGTTCACCACCCGTCAGTACCCGGCGCAGGTAAGTATATCCTCACCCACTAGATGCGGTCAAGGCACTCACACCCAGTAGAGAGCAATCGGGGCGATGCTAAAACAGAAACGCAATGCCTCGCGTAGAGAAGACATCTTCAATTATCTGTTGACGGCCCAAAAGCCCGAGACTGGTGAACCGTTCCCTGATCCAGAGTTGTTCGGAGAAGCCATCATTCTGTTTGTTGCAGGATCTGACACCACCTCGACCGCTCTTCTGACCACACTGTGGCACCTGATATCTCATAAGGAGACCTACAAGACTCTGGCCGAGGAAATAAGGTCCAAGTTCAGCTCGATTGATGATATCACCTACCAGGAGGCCCAACATCTGCCATATCTCAGAGCAGTGATCGAAGAGGGCTTGAGAATATTCCCTCCAAACTCTGGGTTCATACCGCGCCAAGTCATCGATTCACCTCGGCCATTCACCCTTCACGACGTGGTCATTCCTCCTGGAGTAAGTGCATGATTTGCAACAGTGACTAGCACTTAGAAGCTTACAGACTGCAATCCTAGACGGAAGTGGGTGTTTCCAACATGTCATTGCACAGAAATCCTATGTACTTCGAGAAACCAGACGAATTTATCCCGGAACGCTGGATTAGTGGTGGGAGATCTAAGAGAGATACGACTGCGTTCTCTCCGTTTTCAAAAGGTCCAAGGTCTTGCTTGGGAAGAACGTGAGTCCATGTTCCTTGATACATTTATGAAGTTTGTACTTACAGCTTGAACCCAAGCATGGCATACATGGAAATGACTTTGGTCGTGGCAGCGTTGCTCCTGGAGCTTGACATGGAGTTTCAAGATCCGTTGAGTGAATCAAGAAAGGGATACACACCAACCGATTCATTTGTGTTGGTCAGGCCTCATGTTCGGGTGCTAGCAAAGCGCCGCAGCAAGGAGGAGTGTGCATAAGGTATGAGAAGCACCCATTTTGGGTGGGCCTCGTTTGATGAATTCATTAGGCGCCTGTAGTCCTCTAGGAACATCTTGTCTATGCTGCGGCTACGGGTTCGGCCGGTCGGTTGTGGCTACGGCCACGCCAGCGGTGGACCGTGACCACGGAAATCTGCACCGGACCACCGCCTTCTGTTCGATATTATTGTGCCTCGGGCCCGCTTGTTGCAAACTCTTCTCCCCAGCTTAGATTCTTACAATTAGAGCACCCTTATGTTGTGCAAACTAGGCTTCGTGCCATCATAGAATGCGCCTCAAACGTTTCTAAGTGGTAGTAACAGAAATAGACTTGTCCCAGTATGCAACATGCAAGATCGACTGCGGACGTTGCGTGAGCAAATGTGTGTTTGCACTTTCTCGGGCCTCATCGGAGTCATTCGGGAATAAAAGCGCATGCTGAGAGAGTGCTATCTCACCGGTACAGGTGTGGGGGCTACGGCTGCTTGTTTGTTACGGCCAAGTATCCAAAAGTAGGGGTCTGCTAATTACTGTAATTCTCCTCCTTGGACTCGCTCCTGATTGACCTGTTGGTGAGTCGCCAGAGTTCTCTGCCATCATTGGTTCGACTATTACAGGACGGTACCGCAATGCCTCCGTTTATTTCACTAAGAATTACATAATGTAAAATAATATTTACAGAGATTAACGGACCAAAGCGTTTATGCGAAAGTGTGGCTAAGAGCCAGATCTACATGAATCGCTCCAATCAGGTGCTTCTGGTTCCCAAACAAGACCGAGAGAAAGAAGCAGGGTGGTTTACGTATTCGGTGGCTTGGCTTCTTGTGGGTAAGGAAGTCTAGACTAACCTCTTAATTATGTCCTGTATCGTCTTGCTTAGACGATGACGTCGCCTGATTATTACTCTGGCACTGCACTTGCTCTCACTTATAAGTAAAGTGATGCCACCCCCCCCCCCCCCCCCCGGGCACCCGACCTGGCCGTGAATTTATGATCGCGACAGGGGGGAGGGACATCACTTCGCTTGTAAGTGACAGCGGTCTCCGCTGTGATCGGTGCTCCGCTACAGCCGGTGTCCGCTGCAATGAATCAAATGGTGTGACTAAAGGACGATGGACTATCCCGACAACAAAACGTCTTGAGAAGAACGCCATTTCTCTGCATGGCGATCAAAAGACATAGCAGGCAAGATGACGACCGAGAGACAAACACCAATTGAAGGAAAACTTGTTATAAATGGAAAGGTTAGGCTTCTGCGATTTCCACTTAAGGCGTTGATTACTTATTTGAAAGCTCTAGCTTGTGGACGCATCTGGGAAATAGACTTTCCCACTCAAATCGCCATGGACTCGTCAAGTAGTAGCGAACGGTAAAGATGGAATCCCACGCTAGTCTCTTCCTGTCTAACCATCCATCACAGTTGCTGAAGCCAGTGTTGAAGATACCGACGCCGCGGTGAGCGCCGCCAAGGCAGCACAGCCAGGGTGGGCAAAGCTGTCTCCAAGGAAGCGAGGGGAATATTTGAAGAAACTCGCTGCCCTCCTGCGAGAGAATGGGGCTGAACTAGCATGCCTCGAAGCCCACTGGCAGTCCATGGGCAGGCCAATTAGTGGCTATGGCGATCATCTGATAGCAGCGGAGCGATTTGACTACTATGCTGAAGCCGGCTACACGATCCTGGGCCAGTCAAGTCTCAATACGCCTGGGATGTTGAAAGTCACATTGCGACAGGCTTTTGGTGTCGTCGCTGCGATAATCCCTTGGAACGTTCCCCTTGTCGCCCTCTCTGGAAAGGTCGGCCCGGCGCTCGCGGCGGGCAACGCGGTTGTCTTGAAGAGTAGCGAAAAAGCGCCGCTAAATGTAGGTTTCCCTGGCATCCACCACTCATCTTGACGCTCTATGGCTGACGATTGCACCTCAGTCAGTCAAAATGGCCGAATACATCATGCGAGCTGGCTTTCCTCCTGGGGTAGTGAATATTCTCTCTAGACACGGCCACATCAGTGGAGCGGCTCTGGCCTCGTACATGGATGTTCGGGGCCTGTCCCTTACGGGCTCTACGCGAACGGGTCGTTTGATCCAGGAAGCCGCCGCCAAGTCGAACATGAAAAATGTCATCTTCGAATTGGGAGGCAAGTCTCCGGCGGTTATCTTCGAAGACGCAGACCTGGATAAAGCCGTTCCCGCAACTGCTCACAGTATTCAGTGGAACAGTGGTCAAGTTTGCATGGCGAATTCCAGGATCTACGTTCAGAGGTCCATTGCCCAGACTTACATCAAGGCTTTCGAGAAGTCCTTCGGAAATGTTCGAGTGGGTGACCCATTGGATCCCGCAGTCAACCACGGTCCTTTGGCAGATGCTGCCCAAGTAGACACTGTCGCACAATACCTGGAGATGGGTAAGAGAAGCGGCCAGCTCCTGATGGGGGGCGAATTCGAGCCACAGACCAAGATAATTCGGCCCACCATATTCACCAACACTGCTGAAGGCGCCAGTATCCTGTCCGAAGAAACTTTTGGCCCGGCTGTCCATATTGAAACGTTTGACACGGAGGAGGAAGCCTTGGAAAAGGCAAATGCGAGCGAGTACGGGCTATATGCTGCTGTTTATAACAGGGACATTGGCCGGGCCTTGCGATTTGCTGTAGGCTTTGAGTCGGGTACAGTGGGAGTCAACTGTACTTCTCCAGTGACAGGTTTCGATATGCCGTTCGAAGGATACAAAGGAAGCGGAATTGGCCGTGAAGGCACCAGAGAGAGCTTAGATGCGTTCCTCGAGAAGAAGACAGTCTTACTCAAAATCGACTGAGCAAGATACCGCAGGTCCCAGCTGCACCCATCAATGATTATGTCTACACTACTCCGTATGTAGATATGTAGATATTAAATCGAATGAAAGAAGCCTCGGTATTTGTTTTCCGCGTCTTTTTGTGATAAGTTGCTTCTTTGTGAATTTGGTCTACAGCGGGGAAAGTAAACGTCAGCATTAAACACGCTTCTGATTTGACGTGTTACAATGCCATTGATCTGCTCAGAGGTCGATTGACTCCTCCCGACCGCTCGCAGAAGGTCAAAATTTTTGTATTTGGTATCTGTGGAATAAGTGTAATCTTAATAGTCTCGAGAAGAAAAGGTCAAAAGCCCCTCAGAGGGTATCTGGAGCGTATATAAGGGGGTACTGTATAGTTCGCTAACCCTTCTAATTTCCACAATATCTACACTGGTTGTCAAGAAACTCTGTATTGCTCGCCAAATATGTCCATAATTTTACGACGAAGCACGTTCAGTGGCAAGCAAAGGTCAAGGCAAGAGCACCCAATCTTCAAACAATCCAAGCTACGTGTAAACAACCTCGAATACAAGTCATGTCATTATTTGTCCCCATTCAAGACAAGAAAATCCAGCGCCCTGCGGACCTGTTGCCACTTTGCATCGTCTGAAGATAGCCCGGCATCAAAACCGTGATCTTGATCGGGGAGCACCAAAAGGAGTGTCTCAATGCCGTGCTGATCCAATTCCTTGAATGCTTTCTCGCTGAGCCTGCATGGTACCATGGAATCCGCGCCGCCGTGTATGATGACCGTTGGAGGGAACCAAGGACTGAAAGCCATAGTTGGTTCAACGTCCTCAAAAGCGTCGTCCTTTACAACTGCTTTGATTTGCGTTCCATCCTTGAGAGCCGTGAAAAGCCAGGCGTTGCGAGGAATAGACAGATCTGGTGGAGGGAGGCCTCTTTGTTTAGGCTGATTCTCCATCCTTGCTGATGACGCGGCCATGATTTCCAAGGATGTCAAAGTCGTCGTCAGAACGGGTTCTTCGTAAATCTTGTCCAGCAAGTTCTTTTCGAAAGGGGGAATTCCTGCGAGTGAGGGCAGCGGACTGTGCCAAAACTCATCAGCAAGATACTTGACGCCGTAAAAGTCCAGTATGGCTCTCGGTGGCTCTCGGAGGGTGCCCTGGTGGATAACTTTCAGTCCATGTCCTGTTGGATCTGAAAAGATCATTCGGAACCATCCTCATACCAAGTGTAGGGCCAGGAGACCGCCGGCAGATTGGCCAAATGCCACAATCCTCCCTGCATCCACTTCAATACCGGCATCGTGAAGGAGTTTGGTAGGGAGATCCGATTTGCACCACGAGAAGGCATCGATGGCGTCTCGTATGATGTCGCACACGGCGACCTGTGGACACAAGCGATAGTCCGCTGACACCACGATATAGCCTTTGTCGCAGAGATACTCGATCTCGACCTTTGCGATGAGGTGTCTGGAGCCGATAACAAAGGCTCCTCCATGAAATCCGAGAGCTTAAAGAATTTAATTAAGCCTGACCTTAAGCATTTGCATTGATTGGTTTTCGTTACAGTACGTACCGATTCCATATTTATGGTGGCACGTCTCGTCTTCCACGGTCTTCCAATATGCAGTAGCCCCAATACGAATGTCGCCCACCTCCTTGAAAAAGTAGTCTTTCTTGAACATGGTGAAACCAGAAAGAAACGGAACTTCAAAATTAACATTAAAATGATGGTAAAAAGAAAATCGATTGCGGCTTGTGGTAGATTGTTCTGGGTTTCCACACGATCAGTTGGCAAGAGAGAACCTTCGGAAATGTTAAATTTGGGATGAACGGGGGGCTATTTCCGTACTGATACTCTCCACAAGGAAACAGAGCAGCGCGGTCGCCGTGTCGTGACCACTCGGCGGTGCAAGAAATGACATCTCTGAGCTGTCTTTCGGGTGTAACTGAAACCGACGAAGCACCTAGGGGCGGTCTCCGCGCTTCCCCGTCTATGTGGAAATGGGCTAGGGCGGTCACCGTGTGTCGTGTACCAATTGGCGATGGTGCTTGAATGCTTGCCCAAGATATTTAAGATTGCAATAGATGTGCCAAATGCATAGACTCCATATCGTTGTGGGCTCAATCAAATCAGTCTACGTTACTGGCTACCATAAGTTCATACCTCTTTTTATTAGAAGTACATCCAGATCAGCCGCCGACATGGACGGAATGGCAAAGGCCCACCAAGACCTCAAAGCACAAGCCGAGGTGGATTTCCCTGACGGCCCCTTCTTTCAGGGAGCAGAAGCGCCCTGCCGCTTCGAAGCTGAGGTCTACAACTGCATTGTACGGGGGAATATCCCCAAGGAAATCGATGGAACCTATTATCGCTGTATGCCTGACTGGTCATGGGCTCCTTTGTATGAAGACGATGTTTTCATCAACGGCGATGGTGCCATCGACGCGATACAAATCAAAGATAGCCATACCAATTTCAAGCAGAAGTATGTCCGAACTGCGAAGTTCCTCATCGAGAGGACTGCTAGACAGTCGGTTTTTGGCAAGTATCGCAACCGTTATACCGATGATGCCCGAGTCAAACACGAGGTTCACTCAACAGCGAACACGCACATCATCTATTTCGAGAATCAACTCCTGGCGCTGAAAGAGGACTCAAGGCCCTACGCAATGGATCCGAACTCTCTCCAAACAAGGGGTAAGTCAACTTTTTTCCATCTCCTAGTATTATCATAATCGTCTAACAAATGCTATACAGGGCTTTACGACTTTAGAGGCCAGTACTCAGCCCCAACGTTTACTGCGCATCCCAAGATCGATCCTGAGAATGGTGAGCTGATCACTATGGGCTACGAGGCAAAGGGAGACGCTACGAATGACGTTGCCTATTATCTCTTTAACAAAGAGGGCAAAAAACTGGAGGAATGCTGGATCAAGACCCCGTACGTGGGAATGATGCATGATATGGCAGCAACCAAAAATTGGGTTGTTTTTGTTCTCATTCCGCTCGAGACTCAACCAATCGAGCTCTTACAGAAAGGTTCCAAGCACTTCGCTTGGTCTGAGGATAAGCCCCTGACGTTTGGTATTCTGCCACGACGCAACCCCAAGCCGGAGGACGTGCGATGGTATAAGTACGAAAATGCCTTCTACGGCCACACGGGAAACGCTTTTGAGGGTGACGATGGATGTGTCTACCTGGACGCTCCACTTACCTATCACAACAAGGCAAGTCGAAGAGGGGCATGAAAGAGGAAGTAAATAGTCTTTGTCTAACTGTGTGCAAGTTTTGGTTCTTCGAACCCCGAGGGGAGGACCCCTTCACGCACCCCAGCGGTAAGCCTAAGAACGACGGACGTCCAGAGAGCCACTATGTTCGCTGGAAGTTCGATCCCAATGCAACTGATCCCCGCGTTGAGCCCACCGAGTTGGTGACTCTTGATGGCGAGATGCCCAAGATTGATGAGAGATTTCTCACCAAAAAGTACAACGCACTCTTCCTGTGCATCCACGATCCGAACGCCACGCACAGCCCTGTTGGGGGGACTTAAAACACTATCGCAGTTGCAGATATTAATACGGGGGAGCATACTTTTTGGTCTGCTGGCGAACATACAGCCCTCCACGAAGTTGCCTTCATCCCGAGATCCCCTGAAGGTAGGTTTCACTCAAGCAATAACTTGAGCATTAGTCATCCGGTGCTAATAAGCGTTTTGACCTACAGCACCTGAGGGTGATGGTTACTTAATTACCATCGCGAACAGGCGCGACGTCAAGCTTTCCTGCATTCTCATTCTCGATGCGAAAGATGTGAAGGCAGGGCCAATCTCCATCATCGAACTTCCATTCCGGCTACGCAACGGCATTCATGGAAGTTGGGTCCCCCAATCTGACTTACTATCGGATAAAGATCTGTGCGACATGTCTGGTGTGACCGAGGATATGCGGATGGAGTTTGCCCAAACAATTGTCAAATCAGCTCTGGTGTGAGCTGAGAGGTGTGGCTGAGAGATGCACTTTGGGTGGCTAAGACTAGTCGAACGCATCCGTGTAGCAGCAAGAACGGTAGCATTCAAATGTCGATTCCATAATTTTGGTTTGGGTGTCAAAATATCCATCAGTGCCAACTTGCTGCCTGAGTAAAGACTTTCTAGGAAAAGATGTTTGGTCCACGTACATATCACCACTCATTGTGCCTATAACATTCCTTTCTGGATCCTAAGTGCCCAGGAACCGTTTTCTAGGACTCTTGCATTAGAAGACTGTCGCATTAGGAACCAACCGAGATTCGAGTCACAGAAGACATGCTGTAACACAATGCCTAATACCCCATACCCAGCATTCCGTGGCTTGCGTACGGACCGAATTGGCCAGTGGAGAACCTGACATGCCGCGAGGGGCGGAAATAGCGTCTATGCTTTCAACTTCCGCTAGATGATGGTGATTGTGTTGGGCGGATACCGCATGTGACGGAGACGGAGAGGAGACCGACAATTAGCACTTTGCTTTGGACGGCCTCCGTCGCCGGACCCCTCCATCCAAATAAAGCACAGCTTTGCAGGATGAATACCAACAGATTAGCACCAGACACCTGTATCAGGGCGCATCAAATAATATTCAGAACAGTTCCCGGTATACGACGCTTCATTTTACCCTACAACTCGGCGATCGGAAAGTGATCATGGAGCTCCTCCGCACTGGCGCCGACGTGAACAGACAGGATGGTCAAGGCCATATGGCGCAGCATGAGACCATTATGCATTCGGGTTAAAGCTCAGACAGCAGCCGCGATCTGGTAACCGAGCTGATTGACCGCGGCGCATTGATCAACATACGCGACATGAGAGGGGCGAAAAGCGTTGGCATGCAATCTCATGGGAGACGATCGCGATAGCTTCACTGTTTTACTCGGTGCGGCGGGTAACTGTCAGTTGGAATCCGAAGTCACCAATACGAAGCAGTGCAAGACATTCAAATTTCCAGATTGTCTAGATATGCCAGCATTGTTTCTAGATCCCCCTCGAACAGAATCAATCTGTGTTAGATCCCGCTTTTGATAATATCGGCAGCCTAGAGGGAGGAAGAAAGCACTCTTAATACCCATGTGCAAAAAAAAAAAAAATTGCGCACGGTTTAATGTGAAACAAAGATAGAGATACAGTAGGCCTACTTACTTTCTCAGCCACGGCGTAGATAGGTTGGCAAGTATTGGCACTTGGGACCATTGGTATAACACTGCCGTCCACAACTCTAAGACTCTTGACTCCATACACTCGTAGTGTCTGGTCGACACAGCCGCCAAGTTCTAGGGGCAACATAGAGCATGAGCCTACAGGACTGTTAGGAGGTTAGCTAATGTTTCATGTCAAACAAAGTGATCAGCCTTGGAAGCTCACTGGAGGTCGCTCGGGGACAGTGTCGCGCGCAAGAAGGCCCTAAGATCTGCCTCCGAAGTTACGTTGGTTCCAGGAACGACTTCGTGTGGAGAAAGCGTGTTTAGGGATGTGTTGTAATTCAAGTAGCGGATGAATTTTATCAGGTTGAGAAAGACTTCCTCCTCGACGGGATTGCTGAGAGCATTATAATCAATCATAGGCTCTGCGTTCCACGGGTCAGTAACTTTGATGTTGATAGAGCCACGCTGGAAAGACTGCATTAGCACTGGCCCCTGTATTCCCCAATCCGCTTGAATCTGAGCGCGCGTCCAGGACGTGCCACTAGAGCGCATCTGAACCGCCAACAGCTTCATCTGTGCTTTATATCCAGCTATGACGGTTGGGTGTGCATTGGGTGCCAACAGGCTGGCGAAATCTTGCTGCTCCAGTCTTCTTGCCAATGCATCAACCTGGTCGGGCATAGTGACGGTCAATGGCAGCCAGCCGGCGATCTGTGGTGCTGCAATTGAATAGGGGCCTTGGTCGGCTTGTCAGCTTGTGTAAAGAGGAATGTCAGCCCTAATTATACAGGTACAACTCACCAGTTCTGTTGGCTGCCCATAATGTCTCGGCATAGGTTTCGAAGTCGGAGTTATTCGCGAGGTCACCCTTGTTTGGGTGAATATCCTTCAATCCTGGGACTATTGTGCAGTCAGTTTCCATGAGAGCGGTAGGGATGTACTTTTCAAAAGACACCGAGGGATTCGTACGTTCTATCTTCATCGGTATCAATCCGCTATGGTCATGAAAGTTCTGACCAACCCCAGGTAGGTCAACAAGAGTTTCGATACCGGCAGCCTGCAAGACCTTGTGAGGGCCGATGCCACTCCGCTGCAAGAACTGAGGTGTGTGAATGGCCCCCGCCGAGATCACCACCTCTCCTGCATTGATAGTGATGAGGCGACCATTCTCTGCTGGGAACTCGACCCCAGTGGCAGTCCGAGTGTGGTCCAACAACACTCTCCGTGCACGTGTGTTAATCAGCAAATGATAGTTTGGCCGTGTTTCATTAACGTTGCTGTAATGACCTGTCCGCGCATAGGAACGCTGTACGAGTCTCGGATCAACCAGTGAAGGGAACCAATATACTCCTGGCTGTCCGGCACCGCTGTCTGGAGGGAACTCGACACCCTTGACTTCTCCATATGCTTGCATGAATTTAGGAATACTAGGCCAGTAAAAAGTAGGCCATCCGACGTTGACTCCAGAAGTATTGCCCCAGTAAGAGGCATCAAACCGGAGACTATCGAATTCCTCGACAAGCGCAGGAATGGGTGGGTTAAAGCGCAGAGCCTAATATAGGAAAATGGAGTCAGCTTAACGTAGACTTCTGCGGGCCTTTTGCATCTCATCGTCATATGGCGCCCGACCGTTTCTTTTCAACCAAGTTGAATCATGGAACTTACCTTTTTGAAGTACGGCAAAATTCCCTCCCACGTCCAGTCGGCTGGACCGCTGTGAGCTGCCTGAGTTCCGAACAATGCACCCCAACGATCATAGTCCTCTGCAGACCCACGCATTGCATACATGCCATTCACAGCCGAACTCCCTCCGACAGCCATTCCAATTCTGAGATGATTAACTCGTCCATTCAACCTAGCCTGTGGTAGAGATGTTACATTGGGCCAAAAAGCGTCGTAGTTCGCATCCAAATTTTCGTCGGCAGGGATATGGACTGCCAGTATCATGGTCTGATTTCCCCAGCCACCGGCTTCAAGAACTAAGACGTTGATGGTAGGATCCTCGGTGAGGCGATCTGCAACGGTGAGCCCCGCTGTTCCCCCTCCCACTATAATGTAGTCGTAATCTGGAAGTAGCTCCGATGTACTGATCTGACGAGGGAAAACCAGATTGTTATGAAGAGGGCTGCCTATAACAAGGCCGAGGCTTGATAAGCCCGTCCAGAAGAGTTTAAGGCTGTAAGAGAACTTCATAGTGTTCTGTACATATAGAGTATGATATGATGCCTTGTTAAGAGATTGAAATTGTTTGAAATCAGTCTTTAGATTTCCGTTTTTTTTCTGAATCCATCTTTCAAGTCCCAGTCAAAGCAAGTGGGGAAACTTTCTATATAAGTTTTGTTGTCTTTGCACAAAGGCACTTCCATAAAGTTAAGGAATCCCAACTGCAGTAAGATCAATAGTTGCAACATCATTTATGTATCTAGATAGGTTTAAGACTGTTCTTACCATTTCAATCAAATATACATCAAAGCAACGTTATAACCACTGGTCACACTGCCATTCGGGATGTTGAAAAGTTGTATTAAAGGCAATTTCGCACGACTAGTGAGTCAACATGCTCGCGAACCCATCAAACCTTATTGGTCTGTTGTCCGAAATCGCAGGTCCGACGCCATGAAGACAAGTAGGGGAAGAAACTAAAATGACAGGACAGGTAGCAAGAAGAAGCCTTGCATCATGAGTTCAATCATAAATATCAAAGCAAGAGGTGGAGCTTGCGGATGCAGAGATATGGATCTCATGACGACTCTCTACCTCAGGTAGGCATCGTTCATGATCCATTGGTGCGAGTGTGATGGAAATGAATTGAGACAAGTTTCCCCGAAAGCTAAAATCGATTGCATCATTCTTCAAATCTCGGCAGATCCGAACAAGCACCCCGCCGTACGTCTTCTTCTCGCTATGATGATGCCGAAAGGTATTTATATTATATATATTATCCACGTTGTATACCTTGAACTCTCTTTTACTTAACAGGGCACCATTGTTGTAACAAATAAACTGCGGCTTTAGGTTTAAGTCTGACGCTAAGCATAGTTTTGAGGGTATCATCGACTTTCGTGCTGCAAGTTGGCCTGTCCCTAGGATCGCAGAGTGCATTACTGATACCACGTATTTATGTATTTTAACTCTTGTTCCTGGCTACCAGCTTTGGCCAACAAATCGTTAGCGCCGCAGAGGCAGACACTCAGCCTGGGCATCCATTCCGTCCTCAAAGGAGAGGCACACAAATGACGGTGTACTCATAAAACATCATTTTCTGCCACATTAGGCTTGATCATGCTAGTGGTCTTGCCGGGTCGGTCAGGCGTATAGATTTATTGAAAGAGGCCGTCGATGCTACCGCGTCGCATACACCATTGTCTGGTATGATACCTTGAAAGTTCTCTCACAAAGAATTCGAGTATGCAGGCGGCGTTGCATATTGCAGCTCAGGGACATTTCAAACCCGATGCAACCCAGCTCAAGAGCAGCTTCTTTGCAATAATCTCAACTCCATTCTCACATCGACGCTGTTCAATTTTCACAAGATAAATCAGTTATCATCTTATCGAGAGGAGACTTTGGAGGACGGGATCAGCCTCTATTTCATAGCATTTCTTCAGTCCCGATCTTCTTCAGGGGCTCATGTCTCCTAGATATCACAATTATATCTTCTATTTTTTTTTATCTGCAGAAACATCATAAAGGATATATTTCCAAGCCTCTCATTCGATACATTTAGCGCTTTTATTGCCTCGTGATTCTTGATGGGACCTGACCAACCTTTGGCCGTCATATCAGCGTCCATAATGAACATGCCGCTCTGGTTTCGGACAAATATTCTGGTATTCAACATGAGCAACCAAAGAAGTGAAGCGTCGATCAATGAGGGGATGGTGAATAAGCCCTGGAGGGCGCTGCCGTCTGGTCGTCTTACATCGGCTGACGAGACCCGCGTTTTCTACTGCATGCGTCCAACGGTGCTGCTTGTCTCCTATTGAGTTGGTGGGCTGGTACCATGCATCTCGATAATTTGTCTATTATATTGGTACGACCACTGAGGTACAGCTTCGAACCCTCCGATTAAGAACCTGATCAACGGGATGGGCATTGGCTGTTATTTTGCCGGGCCTTTTGAGGTCATCACGGGGCGTTCGATACTGTCTCGAAAGAGAGATGCAGCAATCTGGGTGCTCATGATTATGGGAGCCATCACCACGGCTAGCAATGCCCAGGATCTAAGAGACAAGGAGGGAGACAGGGCGGCTGGAAGGGAGACTCTGTTAAACATAGTAGGGCATATGAACGCCAGACTGCTTGCCGGGTTGGGTGTCATTGGCCGGACATGCATAGCCGCTTCATGTTGGGGCGTATGCTGGATGAAAGGAGGGTTTTCGGGCATCTTGGGGGCCTTGATGGCAGGGAATATGCTTCGAGACAGGACGCGGAAAGGAGACACTCTAACCTGGAAGTTCTTCCCTTTATGGATGTTTGCACTGTTCCTGATGCCCGTTTGGGCCAATTAGGGATATCTAGATGGGATGAGAGCATTTGGGATTAATATGAGCAGAGAACACTTCACATGCACAAGTCAATTGACTTCAGCATTGCATCACATTTATCCTAGTAGGTAATTTGTAAGAATGATCAGCCGTGGTCTAAGGTCTTCGACAGAGGTACCCTGGGATGGGCAACTGTACTAACTTGCCATTTCCATGGCGTAAATAGATCATCCGTCATTGCACAGTCTTGAAATCTGTGCAGTTGAGGTTGCTGCGACTGTCGTCTGTCTGACTTATCATGATCATGCTCCTTGGCAAACGCCGGACAGAGAGGCCTTTCGGGAGTCTGACCCGAGGTGACACGGCGGCCAAGAGACAAAGTTGAGACATATCTACTTAGTGCCCAGTCTCATCAACCTTTGTCTTGACTGTGCCAACCATCTGAAGCGATCCTACCAAGCACATAAAAGGATACATCCCACGGGAATGGTTGGAGGAGCCGGCCGCTTCTGTCACCAACTGTTCACCGGATCTGCGAAGGATTTGTGGATTAATTGATCATTCAGTCGTATATGCATATGCCGTACTTGCCACCATCTCCCAAATGGCAGGACGCAGTTCGTGTATCACACAGCCTTGTGTTGGTTATACCCGCATGACGCTAATGCCAGTTGGTTTGGTGTGACCAATACTATTCAGTATACCCTGTTCAATTGATCCCTGGCGCTACTCAACCAGGGCGTGATGCGCGCCATTACATTGCATGCTCTTCTGCCCCCTTACTCACTGCGTCAGGCAGCCTGTTCTCCCGTGCCTACTGTTGGTAGCTTCGCAACCCCCGCATCCCGATGTCTGTTGGGATGCACAGCCGAGTACAGCCTTCGAGAGAACTTGGCCTTTGGATTTTAGGAGACCATGTCGTCCAGCATTGCAGACTCCTAGACCTTACTCTTGAGCCTTTAATCGCCAACACTGGAGTCAATTCTAAGCTATCTTCAACTCCCTGTCGAAACAACAGCCATGGCCCTCAATACTTCCAACAGCACTCCTTTGGACTTCACAACCTTTCACAATGTCATCGATGGAAAACTCGTAGGCACAACCAAGATGCGGTACACCATCAGCCCCTCCACTCTGGCACAAAATCCGTCACTGCCTCTGAGTGCCGCAGAAGACGTTGACAAGGCAGTGGCAGCAGCCCAGAGGGCAGCAAAGCAATGGGCTGAAGTCCCCTGGGACGAGCGGGAAAAGGCTCTCGAGAGCTTCATCGAGGCTTTAGAGTCGCACGAGGAGGATTTCGTCCAGATGCTCAACAAGGAGCAAGGGAAACCGGTCAGTGGTCACCTCTTTGTATGCTAACTCCCTCTTCTAACCTCCTGAACCAGCTCCTGTGGGCTCGACATGAGCTTGCTACCGGCTTGGCTTTCCTCAAAGGCTCCTGCAGCTTGTCTCTTCCTGAAGAGGTCCTTGAGGACACACCTGAACGCAAGATTACCACCCACTACAAGCCTCTTGGTGTCGTTGTTGGCATTGTCCCTTGGAACTATCCTGTCTTCCTCGCGTGTGCAAAGATCGGCCCCGCCTTGCTGACCGGAAATGCCTTCATACTGAAGCCGTCCCCGTTCGCGCCATATTGCTGCATGAAGCTTGTCGAGCTTGGATCGCGCTTCTTCCCTCCTGGCGTCTTTCAAGCTCTGAGCGGAGACAACGACCTTGGCCCTCACTTTACAGCCCATCCCGACGTGGATATGGTTAGCTTCACAGGTATGGTTCTTACCCACGGATGCAGAACGAACTGCGCGAGTACTGAGACGGCAATCATAGGTTCTGGTCCGGTTGGAAAGGTTATTGCCAGGTCATGCAGTGCGACCCTCAAGCGAGTGACACTCGAGCTAGGTGGTAATGATCCTGCTATTATATGGGCCGACGTCGATCCTGTAGCCACGGCGGCCAAGGTCGCCCTGTTCGCGTTCTACAACTCTAGCCAGATATATACGGCTATCAAGCGTGTTTACGTCCACGAATCTGTCTATAGCGAGTTTTTGGCTGCGTTAGTGAAGCACGTGGAAACTCTTCAAGTTGGAGTAGACGAAACCTCCTTCCTGGAACCTGTGGCTAACAAAGATAAGTTTAACTGTTACAAGGCTCTGCTAGGAGACGTCGAGAAGGCTAGGGTCAAGATCACAACGGGGGACCCAGCTATTGGTCGAAGAGAAGAGCTTTTATCTTCCTGCTATTATTATTAATAACTTACTAAATAACTTAGTAATTATAAAATAAAAATAATTTAATAAATTTATTTTATTAAATTTTTATTAAATATATTATAATAGCTTTATTAATATTTTTTAAATTTTATATTTTTTTTATTAAAATAATTTAATAAATTTAATATTATTAAAAAAGCTAATAAAATAAAATTTAATTTAATTTTTTTATTTAAACTTATATTAAAAAATAAATTATATATATAAAAAAATAATTAAAATTAAAAATTATTATATAATATATATTAAAATAATATAATATTTTTATAAATAAGTTTTTAAAAATTATATAATTATATTATATATATATTTTTTTTAAATTTTTATTAAAATTAAAATTTAATAAAGTTTAATTAAAATAATTAATAAAATTTTATAATATAAATAATAATAATTTAAAAAATTTAAATAAAAATTTCTTTTTATAAGAAAACTTAAACCTTATCTAAGCTGCTATAATAAAAGTAAAATTACTCTATTAAAAACACTATATAAGATAAAACAATACTAATAAAAACTAAGGGGAATATACTATTAAATTAAGGGAATTGCTATTATAAACGTTCCTATAAGCTAAAATTAATATAAATAATCTTATTTAAAAGCATCGTATAAAAAAAGCTTAATTCTGTTATTAGAATTAATTTTCCTTATATAAATATATAGTTAAAAGTTAAATTAATATTATTATAGTTTACATTTAGGGTTAGGGTTAGGGTTAGGGTTAGGGTTAGGGTTAGGGTTAGGGTTAGGGTTAGGGTTAGGGTTAGGGTTA